AAGACGCCGGAGTCTCCACCAAGCACATCCGGATCGTCTCCGATTCCGAGAACTGGATAATCCACGACCTTGGATCTTCCAACGGAACCATATTGAACTCGGAGACTCTCGACCCAGATACCCCCGTCAATCTCCGCCATGGAGACGTAATCAAGCTTGGTGAGTATACTTCCATGGTCGTCAACTTTGAGACTGATGTTGAGGCGCAGGAGCATAAGCTTCCGCCGAGGCCGAGAAGGAATAACAGGCGTCTGCTTGTTGCGGATCCGGATCCGGTTCCGGTTCCTATCGAGTCGGTTCAGGAGAAACCACCGCGCAAGGGTAGATCTGCGAAGCAAGCCGAGCATGAACCGCCCAAGAGAGGTAGGGCTACGAGAAGTAAAAAGCTGGAAGATATCGTCGACAATGAAAAGAAATCGGATGTGGAAAATGACGAGGAGGTGAATTCTAGGGTTACTAGGTCCTCGAAGAAGGAAGCGATTACCAAGGAAGAAGAAGTTCCGGTGGAGAAGAAGGGGAACTCCAGGGCTCGGGGAGGTAAGAAGAACACTGAGGCTGCGCAGGATTTGGGTTTGAATCCAATCAAAGTGGAAATTGAGGATACCCCAATGGGAGTGGAAATCTCAGCGGCGAAGAAGAGAGCGACAAGGAGCAGGCAGGTTGGAAATGAATGTTCGGGATTGGAGGAGAATGTGGAGGAGAAGAGGCCTTTAAGGGCTACGAGGAGCAAGAAGAAAGAAATTGGTGGAGATTCTTTTCTGGAGCTGGAGATGGTCCTGAACCAAGCCCGGAGAAGCCGTGCGAAGAAGAAGAAGATGGAGTCCAAGAGCGTTGTAGAAGAGGTGGAAGCTAGGAAAGATGAAGTTGAAGAAGATGAGGAAAACGAAAAGGATGTTGAAGCTCAGGAAGGTCGCAGTGAAAAAGAAGATGAGACATCTAAGAGGGAAGAGCAGGTGGAGGTTGAGACATTAGGAGAAGATGACCTGAACTCTAGTGTTAGAGAAGATGGAGAGACAGAGAACTTACAAGATACAATGGGCGAGGAAGGAGACTGTAAGAGCGAGGCGGCTGGAATTGAGACATCAGAAAAGTCTGAGCAGGAATCCGGGAGTAAGGAGAAGAAGGTAGATTTGGAAAAGATGACACTAGGAGAATGGTTTAAATTCATGGAGGTGTACCTGCCAAAACAGATAGTGGAGGAGACAGAGAAGATGATAGAGCCCATGAGGAGTAAAGCTTTGAGAGTTCACAAGTATATTGCGGAGCAGAAGCAAGCAAAGGGGAAAGGGAGTGTGAGTTAGATCATTTGCCGTTTTGCTAAGCTCAAGTACTTCTCAACCATATTTGAGAATACTATGACCCTCTCTTGTTACATGTTACGTTAGGTTGGTAAGATGATCTTTTTACCGGCTTGGGTGAGATTGTTAAAGTTGCACCTGTATCTATATAAACTCACTTGGTGCTAATCTACTAGGAGTTTCCGTCTTCATTGTTAATATTATGTGACTGCAATTGCCAATAACTTATGGTATTCGGATAGCTTGCTTCAGATTTGACTCTTTTGGATCCATTTGTGTTTGCTGTCCACAGTAGAACAACGCTCTAGTGGCAAATGCTTATGACAAGAGAGAGACTATACTTCAATCATATTATGAACATATGAGAGTTTCTTCTACATATACAGTATATTTGATAAAAATAATAAACAAATCGAAGAAGATACAGAGTAACAAACAACAACAAGTAGTGAATTGAAAATCACGGATCGGGAATATTACTAGTTTTTTTGGCTGTTCAAAAAGGGCTGACCTTGCCAGCCAGTTTCAGCAAGAACTCGGGAACAAGGCGTCTTCTCGGGAGCGCAAACGCATCTTTTCTCAAAGCGTCAGAGTCATGGGCGTGTATCATTGACACTATATAATCAAACAGTTCGTCTTTACCGCCTCTCAGTGGATCCTTTTTGCAACGCCAAAAATTGTGATTATTATCCCATTACTTTGTTAATTATATTATAATACACATTCACACTAAGTACTTGCTTACCTGAAGAAATAGATCCGTGTGAGTTTTACCATTGTACACAATTAGTTCCGTTTTAGCTTCAACACCTCGAAGAGCTTCTGCAAAAGTTTTGCTACAAAAGGAAGATGATTAGACTAACACTACCGTATTGCCCACATTCTTCGTAGACGGGTGATCTAACCTTGCTTCAGGCGGGATGGAATAATCTTGGGATCCATGAAAGAGTACAATACGAGGCAATAGAGATGCGGCTTTTCTTACACCCGGGTCTTTCAATCTGACTCCAGGAGAGAATTTTTCAAATGATTCTTCTCCTTCCATTATGCTGCAAAGAAAAAGAAACCCACCCAAAGTTATGTCAGACAAGTAAATATGATAGCAACTAATGGCTGTTTCAGTCTAGAAAGACACGATTACCTTAGGAAAATCGAACGATAAAGGCCTCGGTTATGGCAGTGGTCGACCAGTTTGAAGAGATTGTACCTGTTGCAAGTTTGCAAATGGTCAACAGATTCTGATTACGACCAAACCCATTCGAGCAAATGCAAACTTGTTTGGCTTAAGTCCAGGAACAGTTACCCGCCAGATAAACCGAAATAAGCTTTTATCTGAGACACACTCCACGAGATGCTCTCTCCTCTTGATTCTTTAATGGCCTGTTCGATGAGGGCACAGGAAGAGATATGTGCACCAGCTGATTGCCCCATCAAATAGATTCTACACAAACAAGCAAGCAGACATCATGATGGTTCAATAATCACCAGAGCCCTGTCAAAGATAAAACATATATAACGAGATTTCAACCTTTTAGGATCGCCTCCAAATGCAGAGATGTTATTGCAGACAAACGAGATGCCTTGAGAAGCATCTCCCACCATATCGCTAATTGTTCCCTGAGGGAAGTTTCTGGACCAATGAATGATATTTTGTTAATAAAGTTTAGATTAAAAAAACGGGTAAAGGAGTTGTTTACCTGTAATCAAGACAAGCGACAATGATATCCCTTTCTGCAAGCTGCAGTCCCAAGAGAGAACCCCAAGCTTTGTAGCCGATAATCCAAGCTCCTCCTGTCACGAAAACTACAACCGGCTTCGGCCCATCATTTGTTGGTGGTATGTACAAATCCAGCCTGCCAAATAAATAAACCATCCATCATTTGTGAAGGGACAAGGCAAGATCATGCTTAGTTTCACACGTACCTATTCCTAGGTTGATCTCCATAAACTATACTCCTCCTAACTTGGGGTGAGAAAAAATAAAGATATGCCACTGCAGGAGAAGACAAAACATATAAAATTAACAAAGAGCTTCTTAATAATAATATAAGAGGAAACGTTTTCACTGTGATTACGAGGCAAAGACGATCGATCACCTTGAAGAAAACCGGGCATAAGGAGCATTGCATAACAAGCAAGAGCAAGTAATCTTGTGATCCACCGGTAACCTACCCTGAATCAAAACTTTAAACAATAAAAATACAAATACACAATCCAAAAAAAAAAATATCAAAACCGAAACATCATCACATGTCCACGATTACCATAAAACTCATTAATCAATATAAAACTGTTGCTAACAAATTATCCAGAAGACAATTCACGGACTAAGAAAAAAACGAAAATCAATTGATTAAGAGTGACAATCATCAAACTCTTTAACAAGAGAGAAATCAACTTTTTAATATGATTCCCTGTCATACCAACATATTAACGACACCATGCCACAAATAAAATCGAAATTAGTACCCGAGATATCCAAGAAGGTTGAAGCTAAGTCGAGTAATCAAATACGTCTCGGCCGCCGCATGACCGATGTCGCGACCGAACGACTGCTGCCGGCAAACTCGAGGCGTTTTGTCCGCCGAAGACTTCCCGGAGACTCTCCGACGAACTTTTTCGGGTGAAGACAACCTGTTGGAGCCGTGAAGCAGCTCCATTTCGTCGGAATCCGCTGGGCCAACCTCCTTGAGCTCCGACGCCATTGAGGGCATTGAACGGCATCGTTCCGCAAGGTAAATCCCCGGAGACGATTGCATGTCTGCCGTGAAATTAAGGTCGGATCTCGAATTTTTCCTCCACTTTGCTTTTATGGGTTCTCAAACATTTGAAAAAAGAGCCTTTCGTAAGCTTCTGCGCTCTCTCCTCACATGGAGGAAAAGATATAAGGGCTGCTAAACGGCGCCAAAGCGAGTAATTTCATTTTCTCTAATATTTTTATATTCTCTACTAATTGAGTAATGAATAATTTATATATCAAATTTAATTGGAGGGTGGATACATAAATTCATTGTTGTTTAACTATATTATTGTGAATTAGCTATACAATAATTGCGATAAGTGGTAATCGAACACAAAATATAGTAACCGCTGACGTAAACGTAAACGCTAGTGGTAATCGTTTGTGTTTTGATGTCTCAACACTCGAAACTTCGCATGCTTGTGTATAAAACGCCACATGGAACAGTGGGCCCCACACTTTAGAACGTGATCGGTGGCACACGTAACAACCAAGGGAACCTCTACATCAAATTAATGATGAGCTCTCTCAAGTTCCTATAATTGGATTAGGGATCCTAATAATATTCTTTCCGAGGATATTTTAGATTTTCCATTTTTCGAACAAAAACACTCGATATACATGCGCACCAACAACAAACAACCAATCAAATTGTAATTACTATAAATATTAATCTTCGTTTATTAAATGATAAATTTAAGACAATACCTAAAAATACGTTTGCTTACACAAAGAACCCGATTTTATAGGGCCGACTGATACTTTTATATATGATTTTAATTTGTTTTGGGGAAGATTATCTAATCGCTCATGTAATCAAACATTATAAATTCTAAAAGGATCCAATACGCAAAAGGGAATTAGTCACGTATATGTAAATGAGTAAAAACCAAAAGAAAGTTAAAATCTTTAGCAACAATAATATTTCATAACCAAAAAACGTAAGAAAAGGAAAGAAGAATCTACTGTACGCTGAAAGATGAAATGAAAAATAAGACTGTAGAAAGCTAGACTCTTGTTTGTTTTTAAAGGGGTATCCAAAGTCACCTCCGCATTCTGTTTGTTTTTCACCTGAACCACCATCTCTGAACGGCACTCATCGGAGTATTCAAGAAGGGAGCGTAACGTTGGATTATCGGATTCACCGTCCTCCCGATTCTGCTCCATGTGCTCTGGTGGTAACCTGCTGTTACTGGTGCTTGATACATCAGCTTCAATAGCTGCCAACAAGAAAAACAAAATTCATGGGGACAACTCTCAAGATCCAACCAACAATCCTGGAAACTACGTTTATCTTTTGCTCATGCACAATATTATGAAAAGGGTTTTAAACTTGATGGTTTCTCATGACACAACACACCTGATTTTCAACAAAAAGGAGCAAAACACACTTCTCATTACTTCCCTAATGCTCTTAGCCCATGTAACACTTATTCTCAAAGGCAAAGAGCATCAACAAATGGAGAAAAGTGTTTGATTAAAAAATGGTTGTTCCTCCTATAATCATATGTCCAGTTGATCAAGTTTCAACGAAGAATTCTACTTGAAGTTGTTGAGCCAATAGAGAGAAAAGATGTCTGGAACCAAAAGTAAAGCAAGAAAAACATTTTAAAAAGACGTACCTGCCAATACATGAATGTCTGTATAATGTTGCGTTGCCATCTGCAGTAAGTAAAACGACAGTTTTGATCAGATGAGTGAAAACGAGTAAATGCAATTCTACCCAAAGCATTCATAATATTCAAATATGAACTCGGTTCATTTTAAAGGGTTCTATGAAATTTAGTGCCAATAAACTATTATCACTTCAAAAAGGAAGAAAGAGCGTACGAGAGCAGAGAGATAAGCAGAAGGAAGCCAATTGCTATCTCAGCCTGCGATGAGAGGATGTTGAGGGTAGTTGTGTTTGACTCCACCCACACACAAGGGTCTTCCAAGTACTTTCTAGTAACACAGGGAAAGAGTTAAGCATCAGTAAGATTTCACTAATGAGAACGAGTGCTAAAATCAAACTTGCTGATCAGCTGGATGCAAACTACCTGTATATGGTGGAGCGAGCGAAGTTACGCCTCAAGAACTTGGCCACTTGTTCAAGTGCTCGACACAAGATGGGAATCAAAGCAACTGCGACAAATTGATAAGGAGACTCAGACTGGTCATAAGAATGTATGTAATTTAAAGGAATTTACACACACACACAAATTCAATCGACTCTTACACTTGAGACAGAGATGCGAAGTGACAAATGTAAGGCAGTAGATGAAATAGATGAAATCCTTTGCTCCCACAATTGATTGAAAATAAACTTGCAGCCCTTGCATATTCCATGCCCTTGGCCTCTGCAGATAACAAAAAAACTGCTTATGAAAGGAAATTCGAAGTTGTATGGTTCCTAGAGAGTAGAAATGGGGCTTACACCGTAAAGAGAGTACAAGGAATACAGAGATGAGCATGCAGTTCCCATGAAAGACAGACGATAAGCCCTATTTGAGAGGCTCTTTGGTACTAGAGGTAACACTGCCAGCACAGCTATAACGAAAACCTGCGAAAGATGAAACGGATTAGTCTTCATTAGTTCATAAGCACCATATCTGAGTACAAAACACACATCAAGACATGAGGATAAAGCCCTAATAAAGAGCTGGATCTTTTTCAGAGATACGTCTAGAAAAAGAGATCTAGTGATTATAAATAAAAGGTATAGAGAAGAAGGTAGTAAAGTGAGTAAGGAGTGACTCTGATCAATAAACGATGAAGAAGGAGGCATTGGCAGAAAATGTAACAGGAGGAAACATTAAGAATCATACCCAAGCATTGACAGAAAACTGAATTGTCTGCTGATCCCAGCGCATTGAACTTGGGTTTGCACCAGTCGTAGCAGATGGACCAGATGTTCGAGGAACTGATCCCGAGGCACAGAGTTAACTCAGTTTTTCGTTGTAAATTCTATCTCATAGGATAAATGGAAAGGTCCAGAAAAGGAAAAGGGAGTAAAAAAAAGGTTCACCTGAGTTCCGCGAACGAGTTTGTTCATTTGCATTAGTAGATGCAGAAGTAGCAGATGGTCTGGTAGATTGCGAAGAAGACGATGAAGTCGACATAGGCTCCACTATAAGATCAGGATCCTACAAATAGGCAGTATAAGCACCAAATATTCAGCAACAAATCGAGATCAACAAATCTAGCACGAGTGGAGATCAAAAATATGAAGATCCCCGAGAAGAGATTCGGACCCAGGGACTAAGAAATTAGCATAAAGAACATCTGAACTTCCAATCGTTAAAATCGAGCAACTGCAACACACGTTAAACCTAAGATTGAAAGTTGACCAAAAAAATTCCCAAAATAAGTAGCGCACACGAATCAAACTCGAACTCGGAGTATGAACACTCGATACGCAAATTTTAGAGTGTAAAAAGAAGGAAGATAGTACAGACCATATAGCGTTGGTAGAATTTGCGCTTGAAATGCTCGACGACCTCGGGACGAGAGGCCATGTGAGGAGGGATGAGAATATTGGACCAGTAATCCGCCCATCTAGAGTCCTTGTCGTAGTCGTAGGCTGCCGCTGCAATCTTCTTCAATCGCTGTGGATCATCGCCGCCTTCCGCCATCGTTGAGATCGCTACAACTCTCTATTTCCGCCGGAGAAACGCGGAGAGATTCGACCTTTCTGGGTTTTGTTTCTTTGGTGAGTGGTCCAATTTTTCCTACTGTAGGGGGTTTCTCATAAAGCGACGACGTTTCCCTAGGGTTTGTAGAGTGTTCTTTTTAAGTAATATAACAAAAATATAATAATTAGAGAATGGACTATCTCATATCGTGTAAATTATTCATGTCAAACTAATTCCAATTTGGCTCAACCCAACTATATATATCAACAAAATGTGTTGGCTTAAAGAAAGGAATCTCAATTAGCTGCAATCTTTTTCAATTCATGCAGTAAAACGTATATTTGACATATGGTACGTTTATTAATGCAGCTTACTTATACAATATACAGTATGCGTAAACTTAGCTATGATTAGCTGCGTCTACGTATTAAAACATCTATAAAACATCATCATCATTACCATCACCAATATCATATTCTCATACTCAATCCAAAATTGAAAGGAAACAAAAATTTTAATTTTCTTGAAAATGTCTGGCCTTAAGCTAAGAAACGCGAATATTCCTCCGCCGGAACTCGATGATCTGATCCAGCAGCTACCGTCAGAAACAAGACCCGTGGTGCTCAGAAGACAGATGTCAATGTCTCAACGAGCCATGTCAAACACACTGACGTCAGCAGCAAATCTTTCAAACCTTCTTCCAACGGGAACACTCCTCGCGTTTCAACTCCTAACGCCCGTTTTTACTTCAAACGGGGTTTGTGACCACGCTACGCGTTTTCTAACCGCGGTTCTGCTCTTCCTCTTAGCTGCGTCTTGCTTCGTCAGCTCCTTCACCGATAGCGTTAAAGCCGACGACGGAACAATCTACTTCGGTTTCGTCACGTTCAAAGGTATGTGGGTCGTTGATTACCCTGACCCATCCGGGTTGGGTTTACCCGATTTAGCCAAATATCGGATGCGGGTTGTTGATTGGATCCACGCTACGTTGTCGGTTTTAGTGTTTGGGGCGGTTGCATTAAGAGATAAGTACGTAACGGATTGCTTTTGTCCGTCGCCGGAGGAAGAGACGAAACATGTTTTGGACATTGTTCCGGTGGGGATTGGGGTTATATGCAGCTTGTTATTTATGGTTTTCCCGGCAAGACGCCACGGAATTGGGTATCTTGTCACCGGAAATGTTGATCGCCGGTAAATATCATAGCGTTTGATTTACATTTTTAAACACATAAAAAAAGCTATTATTTTCTTGACGTGGGTTGACTTTCTTTTGTTGATTGTTTGTGAAATTGTATTCATACGTTATTCTTTTAATTTATTTTTAACTAAAGCTTATCATACGTTATTCTTTGACCCTTTATTTTATCTACCTTGTTGAACTATTAGATAAGCAAGCAGACTCATATATATATCCTGTGTGTTGTAAAATTTTATAAATATATATATTATCGTCGGGAGTCTTGGGACAAAATACATAATGCAATAAAATAAAATCATAATCATTGTGTCAGCTACGTACGTCTTATAATAATCAAGTAGTTTATTTACTATACTTTTATATCACGGAACCATTTGATTTGATGACAAACATGTGAATGTAAGTACGTTTTTGCATGTTACTTGGAAAAAGTTGACTTGACTTTTGAATATATAAGATTATCAAAAGTTTTAAGTTAGATTGCTAGTAACGATCGTTATATCATAATTTTGTAATTAGAGATGGGACAAAGAAATAGTCCATCCGTTAAGATCTGAATTTATTAAAAGATGATTATCAAAATACTACTACGTGTCATAATAATGGTCTAAAAAAAAAACTCACTAAATATATATTTTCAACATCTCGAGTAAAAAGTCATTCCATGAATCGATCGGACCTGGTAAACACCAATGTACACAATCATTGTATAAAATAACATTATCTTCCGGTTTATGTCCAAATCTGCTCGGATGCCCATCTGGTCTTAACAACATTACTTGTGTTACATCTAGTAATCTCAAATTTAATCCGTTATTATTATTGTTTTTGTCTCTTTTGGCAATGCGAAATTCATCGAGTTGAATGTTGTGCGTTTCTAGATTCATGCCTTCCAACTCTGTCTCGTTGCTCCTAGAACAAAAGAAACCCAAATAGATGTTTATGTTAGTGAGTGTGAAATGATTTTTGAAACAGATCAAACTGTGAATTAAAACCAATCTATCAAAGTAATGAATGCCGGTTGAATAATAAAAATACCTATAGGGTCGCGTTTTCAGGCAATTACCACCTTTATCCCATTCTCCATCCTCAAAATGTGAAGGTGCAAATGTCCTTAGAAACACTTGTCCTTTAAAATTCTCTAATCCGAGAACTGTCTTGAATGTTGTTCGTAATGCTCTTCTGTACGCAAAATGTGCCCCAACATTTCTGACCCCGGGGATGTAACAATACAAGCATCCTATCATTTTTTGTTTGTCAAAAAGGAAGAGTGGTCGGAAAAACCATTGCCCGGAGGAGATAATGATGTAATCAAACTCGGCGATCTGTGAAGCCCAAGAGGGGTCCGGTTCGTCAAGGTAGAGATTGTAGAATGAGTTTGGACCGTCTGGACCGGCTTCCTCGGACCGAACCAAATGGGTTGTCCAAAATGTGGCAATTGTGAAGTTGTACGTTTTGTATTTCCATCTTTGGAAGTTAAAGTCTTGCTGTCTTGAGTCATCCTTGGGATGTTCCACCTGGAATTAATTAATGTAATTTTCTCATTAAAGTTATTAATTTAATAACTTGGTCAGAATAGTTTATTCATGTTATTGTTGCAATGTTGATCCACTAGGAGAACCCGAAAATGCAAACTTTGAAAATCGTAGATCGGTAGTTTGATGGCGAAACATGAATAAAATAAGAAAATATGAAGTTATGTTAATTATAAAAATCAGGAAATACTAAAAAAACAAAGCAAGCATGAGAGAAGGTACCCGAGAGAGTAGGCAGATCAAAGACTGTACGTGGTTTCTGCTAACGGAGTCACCAACAAACGCCATGCTTTTTCCCCTAACCATCTTGAGAAACTTGTAAGGATCAAACAGAGGGAGATCACACTCTTTCGGTTTCCATCTCCATTTCATGAAACCCAAATCAGGTCTCCCATACTTCATGCAGTTTTGGTGTTCGTGTATAGCCTTACATGTCGTATTTGTGTAGTACGGGGCCTCAGGGTTTGGGACCCACTCACCGGAGAATAGATCGCATTTCTTCGGTTTTCTCTTTTTCCGGCGATGCTCCTTTTTAGGGATTTCTTGGTGACCAGCATTCGATGATGAGGTGGAATGATTGTCATGCAAAGATGATTGCTTGAGATCACCATGATATGTGTCCTCATAATCGTTATCATACAATGATGGTTGTGATGATAATGTCTTCTTATCATGATCCGATGATGATGAGGATAGTAGCGGTGATGAACTAGATGAATGGACGTTATACGTAGAAGAAAGCGATGGAGAATATTTTTCCGAAGATGAATTCGATAAAAGTTTGTATATTGATGAATAGTAGAGAGGGTAACCAAAAAGAAGATAAAAGATTGGAGCTATTGTAAGTAGAATAAGAGGAAAAAGCACTAGTCCTATTCGTAATTTTGTCACGGGAAGTTCCATCTCGTTAATTATTTTTCCCAAAAAGAGGATATTAGGAAATTAGTATCTATTTTAATTTCCGGGGATGAGAGAGATGCTAGGAAGATTTTGGATTACTGGATTAGCATGAAACAAGGTTAACTAATAGGTATTTACTAAAATAACAATTATATTCAATGTTTTACATTATGTGTTTTGCTTCTAATATCGATTACGAAATCATGTACAGAAATCTGATATCTTTTACGAAATCATATAATTAAACGAATAAGGGTTGACTCATGTTAAACTATATTTATAGGCTTGTAAATTTAAGAGTTTTGTCAAATTGGTTTATTTTAACTATTTCCGAGAATGGTTTCTACGATTTTGATATGTTTATCTAAAAAAGGAAAGAATTAAGCCAATTGACTTACTAAACGCTTTGTAAACAGACAAATTGAGACGTACATTTCCAAAAAAAATTCAGATACAAAGCAACTTCGTACCAGTGGATTTGCTCTGTAACCGGTTTATCTTTGTTTGGTTTAGCTGAGAGTTTGATAACCTAAGGGTCCTTGTAAACCGTCTTGATCTGGTCCGTTCCTCCCAACCAAAGATGGCATCCATGGGAAGAGCTTGCTGAGCCCATTTCCCAAAGTCCTTCGCCTCACTTCCTTATCATTGATCCCAAATTTCGCCCTCTCTATCGCTTCCATTATATCTTCTCGTGCTACTGCTTCCCCGCCTGAAAACAATCATGAATGCGCAAATGCGGGTTAAACCTTAAAAAAACTACAGCTTCTTCGTCTTATCATCCCAAAATATCATATCAGACTGACCTCTACGAGCGGCGAGCAATGCAGCTTCATTGACAATATTGGCGAGATCAGCACCTACGAATCCGGGAGTTAGAGAAGCAACCAGATCACATATGAGAAATGCTTCTTCTTCTAGAGGGACGTCTCTCAGATGTACGGCCAGGATTTTCCGACGGCCTTCTTGGTCTGGTTCTGCAACCACAACTTTTCTTGAGAACCTTCCAGGCCGACAAAGAGCCGGGTCTAAAGCTTCTGGTCGGTTAGTTGCTGCAATCACAATGACTTTTGTTTCTGACTCGAATCCATCCATCTCAGTAAGCAACTACAGAGGAAGCAACTTGAAGCATATCAGCAAATGGCAGCTACCTAATTAAAAAGGTTTCTCTAAGGTTGTGACTCTTTACCTGGTTTAGGGTCTGGTCACGTTCATCGTTGAAACTTCTGCCGCGTTTTCCTCCAACCGCATCGAGCTCATCGATGAATATAATGGAAGGTGAGTTTTTCCTGGCTGCACTGAAAAGATCTCTGATTCGGGCTGCACCTCTTCCAACAAACAACTCAACAAACTCACTAGCGGAGACAGAGAAAAACGGAACTCCCGCCTCTCCAGCTACAGCCCGAGCCAGCAAGGTTTTGCCGGTCCCCGGTGGACCAACCAAAAGCACGCCTCTAGGCAATCTTGCTCCGAGTTTTTTGTAGTTTATACTTCCTTGAAGACACGACACTATCTACAAACAAAAGATAGCAGAAAAATATCAAGATTGTGTTCAAACTTGAGGTTTTGATCTGTTCACGTTCATCATTTAGAGAAAGTTTTTACCTCGACGAGCTCGTCTTTAGCAGAATCCACGCCCTCAACATCATCGAATCCAACTGCGGGATTTTTAGTCCGTCGCTTTTTCGCAGGGCTGTTAGATGCCGAGAGTTGCCGGTAGAGAAGCCACATAAGAGGAGTTAAAGGAATCCACAGAGAAATGATTGTTATCAAAGTACTTCTTATCGACACCAATGCAGATTGAGGAGCTGAGCTATAAGTGATCCCTTTCTCCCTCATCAAACTAAGAAGAAACTTCTCATCATGATCTACTTTTCTAGTCGCATACTTCCACACAGGAGCCAAAGCTCGAACCTTTCCCGGAGCAACAACGTCTTTCGTAACAGCTTCACTCGCTGTTTCCACTGCGCTGCCGTCAACTTGGATCGCGGGTTCCTCTAAAGTTTCAGACTTGTGAACATCCTCAACAGTCTCAACATTCTGGTTAGTGTTGTAATAGATTCGACGAGAGCCTTCTTCGAGCAAAACCTTTGAAACAGAACCACCTCGAAGATTCGTTACGAAATCTGAGTAAGGAACGATGGATGGGGACGGGACAGCGGTTAGCCTCAAGAACAGGTAACAGAGTCCGAAGATAACAGCCACACCAGTAGATAAGATCACTCTTTTGATATTCTTCCTCAGAAATAACCGAAAATCTTCCACGGATGCTCTGAAATCGAATCTCCCAAGTCTCATGCTCAGCAATCGTAACCTAGGCCGAAGCCTAAGAGAAAATCTTCTTCCTTTCTTCTCTTTGTTTCTACCATTTTCGCCAATACGAGTCTCCTTGTCTCCGTAATCACCATTCACAAGCCTCTTAATCTCGCTATTACAAGAAAACCCAAGTCGATAATCGCCATGAACTCTAAACCCTGATCTAGATTCCCCAATTTCCAGAAACCCACCAAGTCTCCTGCAACTAAACGACTGCTGATTCTTCGTTCTAGCGACACAAACATTAAGCTCACTACTACTCGAAGACACTGTTCTACTAGATTTCTCCGGAGGATAACCTCCTTTGAAATGAAACCGATTACTACAGAGGACACTGAAAGTAGCCATGGATTCTCTTTCCTGGAAACTGAATCATGCGTTGTTCATAATCGGGCAAAAGAAAACGAAACAACCAAAAACTTACGATAAGCCACCAAGCGCAAGCGTAGATATGCTCGTCACAAGATTGAATTGGAGATGGAATTGAAAAAGTTATCGTCGTGAAGCTGATGGCTGTTCAATTGAAAGGATAAGAGAGCTCGCAAAAGCTCTAAACAATTTTGACTTTTTTTTTTTTGAGACACAGCAATTTCTTTTAGTTAAACAAAACAAAAAAAAGAAGGATATGCTTTCAATTTTCGATTTTCACTGAAATATGACGAATTTGGAGATAAACCTTTTTCTAATTAAAACAACAAAACAAAACAAAACTTCGTTGACAATATAAAATATATACTTATCTTTTGATTTGAGTTTCAAGAAATATCTGAAGTTAATGAATATATACTAGTCAAAACTCTTGATTTGTTGAATGAAACAGGTTCCTTTTTTCAAATTTTATGAATGAAAAACTGAATGCTGAATTCGTGATGAAACCTCTAGCATCCAAATCGTCCTTAATTCTACTCATTTTATGATTTTAGAAATACATTAGGCTGTTGTTAGTTGGTAGCAAGTTGGCACTACAGCATCAAATACATTTTTTAATCAAATAAAGAAATAAAGAGGGAGATTTTCTTGACGGCGTCGTTTCGTGCTGGTTTCACTCTGTTTTTTTTTTTTTTTTTTGTTTCTTCCCTTTGCCTCTCACATTTTCTCGGGAAAGAAACAAACAAAGAAGAAGAAGATCACTTTCTCCAAGCGGATGAAAAATTCAAAGACTTTGATACATGTGCGTCACCATAATACGCGTATGAGTTCCTGATGTGATCTCCAACGTTGTATTTCTTCCGTTTTCGTTATCTCCTGGCTGTAAATCCTTGGCTCGTCTTATCTCATCGGAAGCATCGAGGATTTTGGATTCGAATCTTTTGATCCGACCAATCCGTGGTGAGTGTTAAATTTCCCGGAGGTTTGTGGGTCGTCTTCGTTTAGTACTAAGAACTGATGCCCATGGATTTTCAAAGTTCCCGGATTTAAGATTTTATTTTGTTTATTTCATGCTCTTTGGAATAGTGAATGTCTTCTTATATTCTGTTCATGAGTTTCTCTTGTGGAATGTTTTCTCACATGTCTATTACGATTGTGACATTATCCAGCTTGATCACAAGAAGACTGAGACCTGTCTAATTAAAACCAATGCTAGGAGTCTCTTCAGGGGTAGTAGAATGAGTAAAAAAAGAAGAGAAAATGAGACTGAATCAGGACCAGTCACTCCTCATGTCCCCGTGGATAGATTCGGGTTCCTGAAGCAAGAGCATGGCAATTCGCCAGAACGTTTCAGCAAGGCTAGATCCACATCATCCACTGACCATGACAGGTATGTCCTGACGATAAACTGAACTAGAGCTTTTCAGAGAGAGAGAGAGAGAGAGAGACTGAGAGAGATAAGAAATGAATGGGAAGTGTGTTTTTGTTGTTGGCTGTAGAGAGGAGAGAAAGGTGAGAAAATGGAGGAAGATGATTGGGGTTGGAGGTAGTGATTGGAAGCATTATGCTAGAAGAAAACCTAATGTTGTCAAGAGACGTATACGAAAAGGGATCCCGGATTGCTTAAGAGGTCTTGTTTGGCAGTTAATCTCAGGAAGCCGGGACCTTTTGCTTATGAATCCTGGTGTTTACGAGGTGATTTCTCCGTTTGTATCGCTACATTGTTTGTTTGCTCTTACTGAGTCACACTCTGATAATTCTATCAATGTCTCTATGCAGCAATTGGTGATTTATGAGACATCGGCATCAGAACTTGATATCATTCGAGACATATCCCGTACTTTCCCATCCCATGTTTTCTTTCAGAAGAGACATGGACCTGGACAAAGATCGCTATACAATGTCCTTAAGGCGTACTCAGTTTATGACAGAGACGTTGGTTATGTTCAGGTTTGCCCTCCGAGACCGAGACCGAGACCTCACTATCTTGCGTTATGTGGTACCAAAAAAATCATGATTCTTGTAACTGCAGGGGATGGGATTTATAGCCGGTTTGTTGCTGCTTTATATGAGCGAAGAAGATGCGTTCTGGTTATTAGTTGCGTTACTCAAAGGAGCTGTTCATGCTCCAATGGAAGGATTATACCATGCAAGTCTTTTAATACTTGAGAAAAAAATGCGTGAATCAGAGTTTGTGACCATTTTGAAATAAAAAATGATGATGTATTGTATGTAGGCAGGGCTTCCTCTTGTACAGCAATACCTGTTTCAGCTAGAAAGCTTGGTTAGGGAGCTAATTCCGAAGCTCGGAGAACATTTCACTCAAGAAATGATCAATCCGAGTATGTATGCAAGTCAATGGTTCATCACAGTCTTCTCTTATTCATTTCCTTTTCCTTTGGCTCTTCGGATATGGGATGTGTTTCTCTCTGAGGTATAATCAATTCACATCTCTTTCAGTAATATTGTTCTAATCAAAGCCTCACTATGTTATATTGTGTTTGGTCATTTTTTATCTGTTTACTTTAGGGTGTCAAAATCGTGTTCAAAGTCGGCTTAGCATTGCTGAGATATTGCCAAGATGAGCTGGTGAGTGAGGTCATTGTTTAAGAGCTCTAAGTTAAATCTCGCAAAACAGAGTTTTTTTATCAAAATAACTTGTTTAGGTAAGATTACCGTTTGAAAAGCTCATACATGCTCTGAAGAATTTCCCTGAAGATGCAATGAATCCGGATACCTTGCTTCCGTTGGCCTACTCCATTAAGGTTTCTCTTCCTCATTTTTGGAAAAATTGAAAGCTTTCTCTTTTATCGTCTAGTGAGCAATACAGGCACTAATGATGTTTGGTAAATAGCTGAGCTTTTCTTGGGTTAATTAATTAACACTGGTGGCATAATTTATTTATCCCAGGTATCAAAGCGTTTGGAAGAACTGAAAATGGATTATGACAAGACTATTGCCAAACCGGTTCAGCCCTAAGAAAACCCGGTTTGGCAGAGCAATAACCTGAACTATAAGCTTGGATTCGAATTCAATTCTCATCCTTATCTTTTCTTGTTGGAAATGGAATATATTCTCATTCTTCTTTCATCATATTTGTCAAGTTGGGGGGGAATTTCTTATCAGAAACGCTCCGATTCGTTTTTTTTTAGCAATTTCTCGAGCTTATGTATAGATGGAGACTCGTGTTTGTAGAAACAAATCTCATTATTATTAACAAATGTGAAGTGATTCTGAATTGAATAAAAAAGTGTATGTTTGTACAAAATCTTTAAAAAAATTAAATCATTGCACTCACAATTTGACTAGAATAATTGCAAAGAGGTCAATGTTGATTGGATTTACTTTTTTTACACATATTTGAATTGAAGCTACTTTTGACAAATGGGGTCATGAGTCATGAGTGAGTCACGGGAGGGAGGTCCTTTTTGTCACCTAGTGGAGCAGTTGAGAGAGCCTTTGAGATAAAAAAATAGAATTTGATTCTCTGGGCCCACGCAACGTGACAGCTCGCCTCGAGTTATCCGCGCAAACGGTACACGTATCTTTACACGTGTCGTTATATGATTGGTTAATACTTTTCTCTCTTCAAATTTTTTTAATAGCGTGTCTGCCAATTTAGTAATGTTGTTATGGTCGGGCCGAAGATAATGTCAAAAATATATTCAAAGCAATCTAAAAATTGCATAATTTTCCTAGTGGCAAAAAGCAAAAAAACAATTAAATTAATTTGCTTCAATTGTTGCTATTTTTCTGTGGTCAGGAATCGTGATTCACGCGCACCTACCGTTTCCACCACATAAGGTTTTAAGGTAATTTTGGTAAAACCTCGAAACGGCAAATTGTTGGAAAATGAAAATAAAATCAACGGCTCAGGAGAGCTTCACACGATTTAGCGCGATGCCTTTCTTAAGGTTAAAGGGTAAACGCGTAATTTCCGCGGGGCACAACCCTTTGAGCTTATATAAAGGACTCTTTCCGCCTTTCTTTTCTCCTCACGAACGCTGCTCATTGCCTCATCATTACCAAATCATCCTCTCAAATTTAGGGTTTTCTTCTTTTCGAAACTGTTTCAAGAGTTTCATTGTTTAGAGTCTTGCAGTTTCCTGAATCATCTCGATCTGGTGAGTTTTTTTATGTGTGCAATATAGATCTACTTTTTCTCATTTGTAGATCTGATCGTTCATTTCTGTCCTCTTTGAGAAAATTGTTTTCTAATCAATTATGAAGTATTGGTTGTTTCGATTTCCAGGTTTGAGGGTTTCGATTGGTATCTGGAAAGCAGGCGATTCATAATTCGTGGTCTTTATCTAAATTTAATTATATGTAAGTATCTCTAACGTCAGACTTAGTATTTTGATTGATTTTCGTAATTCTGATCGGGATCAATATGCATATTCATGTCATGATTGATGCTTTATCTGGATCGAACGATTTTGGTTTTGGTTTACGTGTTGTTTAGCTAACAAATCGTCTTAGTTTTAGAATCTCAGGATTAGCTGTAAATCTATTGAAACATGTTGATTACGTGCGTACCTGATAAACCGATATGCTTGCTAAACGTTTATTCGAGATCTGTATTTAAAATTTTCAACTTTGAGCTTTGAATCTCTGTTGAACTTGGTTCGTCTTTATCTAAACCTTGCCTTGTTTGTCTTGTCTATTTACAGAAGAGCGTGAATGAGATTATGATGGAGTCGAAAGGTGGTAAAAAGAATAGCAGTAGTAGTTCCTTATTTTACGAAGCCCCTCTCGGTTACAGCATTGAAGACGTTCGTCCTAACGGTGGAATCAAGAAATTCAAATCTTCTGTCTACTCCAACGTGAGTTTCCTCTATTTTTGATGGTTTTGAGTCTGCGAAATTATATCTTGGACTGTATTGAAGTTTCTGAACAATGGTTTTATCTTATTGCAGTGCGCTAAGAGGCCATCCTGAGTTGTAGCGTGCACCGAGTCTCCCAATATAGTTATAGCTATATTTCATTTCCAGTTTATAATTTCCTATTTTCAAAGCTCCGTTTCTGCTGGTTCCCAAGTTCAATCGTTCTCTCCTCCTACAACTAAGTCCTGCCGCTCACACAACAAGGCGAAATGGCTTTATCTGCAATCGGTTTCGAAGGTTACGAGAAGCGGCTCGAGGTATCTTTCTTTGAGCCAAGCATCTTTCAAGACTCCAAGGGCTTGGGACTCCGTGCTCTGACCAAGTCCCAACTTGACGAAATTCTCACTCCTGCGGCATGCACGATCGTTTCATCTCTCTCGAACGATCAGTTGGACTCTTACGTCCTCTCCGAGTCCAGCTTCTTTGTCTACCCTTACAAAGTCATCATCAAGACTTGTGGTACCACAAAGCTCCTCCTCTCCATCCCACCGCTTCTAAAGCTGGCCGGTGAACTCTCTCTGAGTGTCAAGTCTGTCAAGTACACTCGTGGCTCCTTCCTCTGTCCTGGAGGCCAGCCTTTTCCCCACCGGAGCTTCTCTGAAGAAGTCTCTGTTCTTGATGGGCACTTTTCTATGCTGGGCTTGAACAGCGTAGCCTACTTGATGGGCAATGATGATGAGACTAAGAAATGGCATGTCTATGCTGCCTCGGCCCAGGCCTCCAGCGACCGCAACAACAATGTGTACACTCTTGAGATGTGCATGACTGGTCTAGACAGAGAGAAAGCATCCGTCTTCTACAAGAATGAATCTGGCGACACTGGATCAATGACTGACAACTCTGGAATCAGAAAGATCCTCCCTAAGTCCCAGATCTGCGACTTTGAATTTGAGCCCTGTGGCTACTCTATGAACTCGATTGAAGGAGATGCGATCTCCACTATCCATGTGACCCCTGAAGACGGGTTTAGCTACGCTAGCTTTGAAGCTGTTGGTTATGACTTCAACACTATTGACCTGAGCCAGCTGGTGACGAGGGTTCTGTCTTGCTTCGAGCCTAAACAATTCTCTGTTGCCGTGCACTCGAGCATTGGTGTGAACGCTTACAAGCCCGAGATCAGCGTAGACTTGGAAGACTATGGGTGCAGAGAGAGGACATTTGAGTCTCTGGGAGAAGAGAGTGGGACTGTGATGTATCAGACGTTTGAGAAGCTTGGCAAGTATTGTGGATCGCCTAGATCTATCTTCAAGTGTGAGTGGAGCAGCAGCAATAGCTGCAGCAGCGAGGACGAGAAGGACGAGGGATTCTAGCAGAACTTTATCTAAACTATTTTATGAGCTATCTGTTTTTGCTTTTGAATAATTTGTAATGAATAATGTGACTTGTGAAGTTGAGCTAGTCTCTCCTTCGCAAGCATGTGTTGGTGTTTCGTTTTATATATGTGAAACTATAATGTTGCTATGATTATCGTGTTCTTTGTTCATGAGATGACGCTCTATCTCTCTCTTTATTTCGTTTTCCGTCGACGATTGATAGACAGAACGAGACGGCCATTAGTTTGAAACATGTTGAACAGCCCACATAATATTGACTTAACAAGCTGCATACAAATATATTTTCACCATAATAATTTTTGGTTTTCAATACGATGCGAAGTTGCAATATGATCGTCAATGAGAAATACCGTCTATAGTTAAGACGCTACAAACAGCTGAGATTAAGAACGAACATATCTGCTCATATCATACAAAAGTGAGTTCCTGTCTGTCACAAATGGCGAACAACTCCATAAGAACTCATACAAAAAGGTGCAGGCATGATCCCTGTATCTAACGACCGATTAAATTCCTCCACTTATCCTTCAAATCCACCTCAGTCCTATCAGTGAATACAATAGGGTTGGAGTTCTTTATATCTTTCCATGATTTTCCATACTCTTTCACTCCTTCCCTCAAAGCTTCCACTTCTTGAGGCGTCCAGAACTTCATTGGCCTTCTGGGACGAGGTTTAGCCAATTTCACTTTCTTCAACGGCGATACATTCAGAGGTTCTGGGGTTGGCAGACAAGGCCGAACTCTCCCAGACGAGCTATCTTCTGCTTGACCTCCTCCTGTTTCAGTCCTGTTTGTCCGATCTGGCTGAGGAGAGACATCAACTGCATTGTTGGTTTCTTTCACTTGCCCAGTGGAAGAGTCGATAAGTCCTTGAATCTCCAACAAACAATCTTTAAGCTCTCGAGCCACTGTTACGTCCCCCTTATTAAGACTTGGCTCATGTTCCTGTTCTTGCGCATTCACCTCCTCATCTTCAACCTCGTTAACTTCCTCTCTACTGTTTCCATTTCTGGCCTCCTCCCTCTCAACGGTGTCATTCTTTGCTCTTTTCCGAGCAGCATTTGGAACCTTGCGCTTAAGAAGCCTCTTTCGAGCTTCAGACTCAAGAGAGGAACAACCAAGTAGAGCCCACTGCTCCTTGAGAAGCTGATTGAGATGAGAGATGGCACTGTACCTGATGTTAGTCTCACGGATCTTCTGGTACATCTCAGCTTCCTCAAACGCCATCTTTAGATCGCTCTCCCAGTTCAATAACTCAGGAGTCACCAGATAGCTCTCCCTCTCCTTCAATACCCCAATCCGCTTCCCCCAAATCCTCTCAAGGGCCTCGCCGAGGAAACCATCCGAAGCAGTCACTGGCCACATGAATCTAAGCGTGCATTCGACGGCCGTCCAGCAATAGGCGGACTTGAGGGACCCAGCGATGACCGAATCTTCCTGCAGCCTCGCGAGAACCTCGAGGAGATCCAGCGTTTCCTCGTCGACCTGACCTCGAATCAACGAATTCGATATGTCCCGCAAAACGGCAGTCGTCTGGAGCTTTACACAGTCGTCCGGTTTCAGGGCCGATAACAGGCTACTAGCGCAAACCCTTGGATTTTGTTGGCGACGGAGGAAGAATTCAGCCACCCATTTGTCTATCACTGTCATTTTTCAAGCCCGCGATCAAAGCTTTCGCCTTTGTTTAGTTTTCTCTCGATCGGTGTGTGGGGAATTTAGGGTTCTTATTTGGGGGAAAAGGGAAACTCCCCGCTCAGTGTTTATAACCCCGTTGTGATTTTTTCAGAAAATTTATTCATTAATTAATTATTAATTTGTTGATGGAAAAGATAGTCACTCTTTTACTTACTTATTCATTAAAAACAATTTACTTTCACTCAAAATCCTATTTTCTAGCAACAAAAGAAATAATTCGTTCCTCCAATCAAAAGCCTGTAAACAAAAAACCGTATCGTTTCCCGGGTCAGAGGTCGAGAAAAACCACGTACGTAAGAAGCCTTTACGTCCTGGTCAAACGGTTAACTAACACGTGGAGGCAACAATTCTCGAACCAATCCTCGTGTCCTCGACACGTGGAGGCACCCAAGCACGTCCCTTTGGGTTATAAATAGCAAACCAAAACTCCATTATCTCTTCATCATCGAAACATAAACAAACAATATCAATCCAAATCATCAGATTAAGTTTTAAGCAAAAACCAGAAAGAGAGAAAATGGCAGACAACAAGCAAAATATAAGCTACCAAGCCGGTCAAGCCGCTGGCCAGACTAAGGTTATTATGATCTTTTGTTCTTTTTGTTCGTTCGAATTAATCACTTGTTTATAAATTAAGTATCCGTGAGAGGCATAATATATGTGTATATGTATGCGGATTAAAATATATTTTTCTTTCTGTAGCAAAATGTAGTTGTATACTGATGAATGTGTGAATGTAGGAGAAGGCAAGTGGAATGATGGACAAGGCCAAAGATGCTGCTGCTTCAGCTCAAGACTCCCTGCAACAGGTTCAATTTTGATTTCCTTTTCAATACTCGTATTTGATTTTTTCGTTTCTAAAAGAATAATTATCAAAACGTTAACCAAAATATGTATGTATGTATACGCACGTACGTAAAGAAATATACTGTCCTAACCCGTAAATGTGAATCGTAGACGGGACAACAAATGAAGCAAAAGGCACAAGGAGCTGCTGATGTGGTTAAGGACAAGACCGGCCTCAACAAGAACACCTAACCATTTATAATTTCCATTCTAATATATTCCTCCGTTCTTTGAGTTATTTAATAATTTTGGGGGGAACTTAATTCTCATTACTGCTGCTGCTTCTGATGCGATTTCCCTTTTTTTTTTTTTTTGATGTTTATGTAATCTTCTCCAATAAATATACATTATCTGTTTTGTTTCAGTATGAAAAGTTTAACAAAAAATAATGAAAATTATGAAAAGGAACCAAAAAAAAGAAAAGACAGGACACAGGACCTTTTTACCCCATTCTAATGATTGGTTAAAATTAAATGGTTGAAAAATATAATGTGGAAATCATGACTGGGTGACAAATTGAAGTCATACTATATAGTACTATAGATGTCAAAAAAAAGTATATAGTACTATAGTGTGCAGAAAATAAGATATGGTAATGATATTTCCGTACTCGTAAAGCGCAGTCTCGTTGGGAACAAATTGAGAATATTGTGGTAAAATCGAAAACTACAAAAAGTTGGAGGGGATAAGATCGAATTTAATATCATTTGTTGGAACTTTCGGTCTTGCTCAGAGGGTTTCCAGTACAAGTAAACAATCCCTCTCTTAAACCCTATCATTTTCCACCCGCTTCGCCATCTCTCCTTTCGTTCGGAAGATCCAAACTTTTGGTTCAGATCGAGAGCAATTAAGCAGAGCTCTATTGCTTTGTAGTCTAAATTGAAAGTAAGATGAGGTATCAATGGCGGTTGCTTCTTTTACGGAGTTATCATTCTTCTCATCATCGTCCATTACTTCCCCATTTCTCCCGTTTCCAGGTAATTTCCAGTTCGACCCGACCTTTCACTTCTTTCCTCCACGAACGTTCTGGGGTTGGAGCTTTGCAACAACGCCCATGTCTTATTGCCTTGCGACCGCCATTGATGAGCTCTGTAGGCCGAAGCTTTTCATCCGAAGATTCCGAACCTGCGATTGGAAAAGAGAAAGCTTCTTCCGAGGCTGTTGTGATTGGTGTTTTTAGCAGATTGACTAGTAAGGATGAAATTATGAAAGAGCTGAATTCGAATGATATTGTGATTAGCCATGATTTAGCGTTGAAAGCTCTGAGGTCGCTTGAATCAAGCCCAGATGTTGCAGAAAGGTTTTTCCAGTGGGTCTTGGAAGTTTCTCCTAAAAAACTTTCCTCCAAGAGTTATAACACGATGCTGCGTATTCTGGGCGTTAATGGGCTTGTTGATGAATTCTGGATCTTGGTTGATGACATGAAGAAGAAAGGGCATGGTGTATCAGCTAACGTCAGGGACACAGTGGGTCAGAAATTTCAGGAAGATGGTCTAGAAAGTGATTTCAATAGGCTGAAGGAGCTTTTCGCTTCAGGTTCCATGGATAATTCGGTGGACAAGGTTTGCAATAGGGTTTGTAAGATTGTTATGAAGGACCAGTGGTGTGCTGATTTAGAGAAACATCTAAGGGATCTGAAACTCGAGTTTAACAGCGACCTGGTGAAGATGATAGTTGAAAAACTTGATGTGGAACCGAGGAAAGCCCTGTTGTTCTTCCGGTGGATTGATGAGTCTGGCAGCTTCAAGCACGATGAGATGACGTATAACGCTATGGCCAGGGTCTTGGGGAAAGACAAGTTTCTTGATAGGTTTCAGCACCTCATCGAAGAAATTAGGAGCGCTGGTTACGAAATGGAGATGGAGACTTATGTTAGGGTCTCCGCAAGGTTCTGTCAGACTAAGATGATTAAAGAAGCTGTTGAGTTGTTCGAGTTTGCAATGGCGGGGAGCAACACACCCACTGCGCACTGCTGCAGTTTACTGCTCAAGAAGATTGTCACTACCAAGAAACTGGACATGGATTTGTTTTCAAGGACCGTGAAGGCTTATACCGGAAATGGCAACGTTATGACGGATTCCGTGCTGCAAGGCGTCCTCAAGTCGTTGAGAAGCGTTGATAGGTTTGAGCAGAGCAATGAGGTGTTGAAAGCGATGAAAGAAGGCGGCTATATTCCTAGCGGCGACCTGCAGAGTGTGATTGCGTCGGGGCTTAGTCGTAAAGGCAAGAAAGATGAGGCCAATGAACTTGTGGACTTCATGGAAGCCTCTGGAAATCATCTGGATGACAAAGCAATGGCAACTTTAGTTGAAGGGCATTGTGATGCCAAAGATCTCGAAGAAGCTGCAGAGTGTTTCAAGAAGATGATCGGCAAAGATGGGGTCTCTTATGCGGGCTACGCATTTGAGAAGTTGGTACTTGCTTATTGCAACAGTTTTCAGGCAAGAGACGCGTACAAGCTTTTCGCGGAGCTAGTGAAACAGAAGCAGTTGAAACCTTGGCACAGTACATACAAAATCATGGTGAGGAATCTTCTGATGAAGAAGGTAGCAAGAGATGGTGGGTTCGAAGAAGCTTTGAGTCTTGTACCTCTGATGAGAAATCACGGTTTCCCTCCTTTCGTGGACCCATTCATAGATTACTTATCAAACAGTGGAACAGGCGCTGAAGCATTCGCTTTTCTCAAGGCTCTGACGTCGAAGAAGTTTCCATCTAACTTAATGGTTCTGCGTGTGTTGGAAGCTATGTTGAAGTCTGCGAGGCATAGTGAAGCTCAGGATTTGCTGTCTCTGTGCCCTAGCTATATCCGTCGCAATGCAGACGTTCTACAACTGTTCAGTTCCATGAAACCTGATAAATGTTCTTTAGAGAAACCTTTGCCAGCTCCCGCCCAGATCGAAGCCTGATCCATTAGAGATCTCTGTGGACACGTGTAACAACAATTTTATAGTTTCATCTACTTGATGCACTCGGTTTCTTCTATATTTGTCTCCCAAATTATGTATATTATCCTAAGGAATCAAATGGAAGATTAGACTACGGGATTAATGGATCTGTTCAGCCAAACTTAAGAAGTGTAGATAGACCATAAGAAGAGCTTGAGAGAGGCCTGAAGCTTCGTTTTTTGCTGCTACAGAGAGCTATAAACTCTTTCTTTATGATTAGATGAGCTTGAGCAGATTGGTCTTCCAGAAATTATATATGGCCCATTTACTAAGTCAAATCCTGGCCCATTAGCTGGCGGGTAATTATGCTCCGAGTAACTTTTAAATATATCATACGCGCAGATCAAACGCGTTAAGTTCACGCATGGTCGTTTACTCGTTTTCCTCTGATTCTAGTCTTTTGACTCTTTGGGCACAAGAGCGCGTCGGACATCCCTTCTGTCTTTCTTCTAAACATGTTTGCTTTTAATCAAGAAACTACACCGTTTTGGATCGACAGAAAACAAAAGAAAGTTCAGTGCATACAAGAAGTCAGTGAAGAAGCTAGAAAACTTAATTAGCGGATAGAGAAGAAAACATAGTTATCAATGATTTTGAGGCAACTACATGTCACGTGAGACCCAATTTCTTTCTTTAACTTGTAAATTGATTAATGTAAGTTATAACACTACTCCCAAAATAAGATTCACTCTACTATCTTATTGCCATACCTCGAAAGAACAATATAACTATGAAACTTAATATTTAATGGCTGCTTTCTCTTTGTCAACCTACTTTGTGGTCAATTTATGTATGAGCTGTATCGTTACTATTATATGGCCATAGCATATATATGCATAATGCATTAGCTTTACTTGTTAGAACTGAACAACAAAACTTCATATAGAACCAAGATTACATTTTGCTATACGTACACAGAATCAAAAAGGGCTATAAGTGTGCTTACGATCTCTCGTACGTTAAGAAATCGCTGTTTCATGTTTAAAAGATTCGATAATGATGAACAATCAATCAAGTTGTAATAATGGGTAACTTTTTACTTGAGAAAATATCGAATTAATGCGGATATTATATGTACATATCTACACAAATACTATTTGAGTGGAAATTATTGTGTTTTGTTATTCTCATTCTACGCTTGAATAATGCGACGAGGTATTATGAAAGGTGTCATATATATTGTGCGTAAAGTAGTACTTTCTATTAATGATCATTGACTTCTCAACTTCACCATATATTTACACATAGGACAAGACAAAACAAAGCATGCTAAATTTTAAGCATTGACATTATTTCATCTTGCCCCTGATTTCTGAACACTCACACACATATATACACGTACATACACAATGTATATATGTTTGTACATGTATCGTAATGAATAAATGAATCAATCACGTGAACAAAGGAGCATCATTACACATCTTCTGATGATGTAAATTCTCCCTTTTTGTTCTTTGAGATACTTGCCAAGTCTTCTACTTTGTGATTTCTTCTCCTTTCTCTTCAAGCTCATGATGCTTTCCATATCCGTTTCTTTTCCTTGAAAAACCGGCTGATATAACAATGATTTATATATTCGCAAACACTAAAAAGATGGTGAGATTTAGTACGCCTAATTAATCCCTTGAAAAATCTTGTTTTAGATTTTTTCCAAGGGTTACGAATCTTGTAGGAGATATACTTAGAGATTAAGACTGTGATTTTGTGAAGAGAGAAGAGAGCTTTGGAAGATAAGTGTTTTGATTTGATGGGGAAGATGCTTGTTCCAGTGAGTTTTTATAGGGAAAAGTTTTTGTCTGCATTGAACATTTTTTTTTTTTTTTTTAAAGTGAAAATAGAAGCCATCAAATTTATATTTAATTTTTAGACGAACCACGTAAATAATAATAGGAATAGTGTTTGAGCAAATAATTCTTATTTTTTTATGGTTGAATCACGTCACCAAACTTTACATAACAATGTGAAAAGACACCAACCAAGATACATTGGTCGGCCATTTGGTTGCATACCTTATTCTTTTATGCACTATTTCACAAAAAAAATATAATGACTTTAATTAATAGGAATACTATATACTTTTTTTGTAAAGCTGTAAGTCTTATATATAGCTCATGTAATATATATAATCACGATCTCTTTTGATTAGACTATCCATATGTGAGTATATGGAATTTACATCAAAGATGGTGATACTTGTAACTGCTTTGTTTTTTCAACACATCGACCGATTCGATATAATCATATAACTAGAGCCATTTTGCTTCAAATGAGATGAACAGATCCCACAAAAATGGGGATGCTGTGAGTAATTTTTACTCGTATTCACAACTTAGTTAATTCATCAAAATACTAAATTAGTTTGAATAAATGTATAAATACTAACTTGTAACATACGTTGGTGTGAATACATGAAATTAGCGTGTATATTTACAGTGTCTAACTTCTTAGATATAAAAATTGTAAACCAAATTGATCTGAGATATATCTATAGTTTCATATGGATATAGCATACTCTAGTGGTATTGATTTCCTCATATTTGACACGAATTTCTATAGTGAAATATTATCCTTGTTTTATAACGAGTATTATATTTCACGTTTATCGCTTTATAAAATTTGCTAATGTTAAAGCTTATTTTAGAAATTATTTCCAAAACTTTTGCAAAGTACGTAGTGTAGCTTAAGAAACTTCTCTACGAAACTTCCTAAGCTAAATTACTAAATTTTTGAGCTTGTTAGAAGATAAGTATTTTAATTACTTTGAAAATTTGTGACTTGTGAGCTTGTATATTAGCTAAAAGTTTAATAAATCAAAGCCAAAACACAATCCCACATGTCTTTTCTCGTGTTCCACCACCAAATCAGCCGTAACTTGAACCTGGCCTGCTTCATTCAGCTTCCACTGAATACATCCATACGATATAACTCAATCTCTCTAATCGTATCGATTATATAGTTATTTTTTTTTTGAAATAAATTTTACTTAATCACAGCTCAAATACCAAAGCCTACATATTTTATTAGCGCCTTACTTCTTGGAAATCGTTTTGTGTCCCCTTCTACATATATTATTAAGCCGATTATCCCTATGCCATGTTTCAAAACAGAACATTTTGATCTTGTAAATGTTGACATGTTGTTCGACTATATTAGTCTTCATATACATATACCAAAGAATACATGCGTACACCGGTACATGTACTTGTCTTACCATCGCTCGCGCGGTACGTATTGCTACATATTGCGCACGGGACAAGCTATTAACCAAAATCCCATAGTAATTTTTTCAAAGCATAAGAAACCAAAAATCTAAAATTTAAATTTTAAAGCATAAGAAACAAAAAATCTAAAATTTAATTTTTTTGTCAGTCATTCCCTCGTTATTTTTTTTTTATTTTTTACCAAAGATAGAATGCGTTTACTGTGAAATATATATAGTTCCACGTGCATTATATGAGAGTACCATAACTCTTGAACTTGAAAGGCAATTAATAAACGAATAATATAAGAAAAAAGTTGCTTGTTTGAAAGAAAAGACCATAACTCTTGAACTTGTGTTGTCTTGGTGGTTGTTTGCATCCAATTATTCTTAATTTCAAAAACAAGAAAAATAGAAGAAGCATGTGGAGCATGCCCGCACGTGAAATTCGCATGGCTGAGGGTTACTGTTTGGCATAACCTAGACAACTTTCGTTATCTTGTCTCCTTACTTAATAATACTCTACTTAGTTTCATCATAAACTATTCATGATTCCAATAATTGATTAATTAAGAATGAACTCAAACAGAATTAAGAATCATTAACCCGTATCTTGGTCTTGGATAACTCAAAGAAAAGTCTCCGTAATTACACACTTGTCCAGTGCATCGCATCAACAACCACTTTCGACTCTCTATCTATGGTTTACTAATCATTTGAATTAAGGTTGATATTTTTCGGGCTAATGAAGCATCCTATATCTTGGAACTAATTATCTAATTAGGATCATTCACATACGAACATTAATTATTGCAATTAAGACCAAGTATATCAATTCGTACGTTGGCCCTTATATTTGTCCTTAGTTGATTTCTCCCTATTTGAACCAATGTAATTTAGTTAGAGCCTCATGCTAATACTTATGGTATTAGATTTTATTAGGGCCACGCCATGTCCCAAAACTAGTTTATAGGAGTAAATTATGGTTTTTTTTTTAACTACAAAAGAAAAGTATTAAACCTGCGAATTGGCACATGACACATTTTTGTATTAATTAAAAAGATTGTAAAAAGACAAAACTATTATTGTTCAACAAATTTAAAGTCGAACATATATATATATATATATATCCCGATCAAAATTATATATTTGTAGAAAATTTCCTTGAGATCAAAACTACTTATATCTAAAGATTATTTATTAAGGGAAAAAAGTAATTTGAAATAAAAAAAAATGTTTTTTTTCCCACCTTTCTTTTTATAAGTACACACACTCATACTCTTTTGCCTTGTATCGTATGAATCATATTGCTTTCTTCTCTTCGTAAGTTGTTCTGTGACCAGAGAGATTGAAGATCAAATATCATCGGACTTCCATTCTACGACGGCAAGAGTGTGGCGGCCACCGCAAGCAATTGACTTGGCTAACCATTTTCCTTCTTCTTCTTCGTCGGCGTGATTAAAGCTTCCCTCAGGTGGAGGAATCTTTATAGGCAACTCCAATGGCTGTCCCGTTGTTACTTTCCTTCCATAACCAAGTCTCCCATGATCTCCTCTACCAAACTGATCACAAAGAGAATCATAATCAGAAAAAAAGGAATAATCTTCTTCTATTTTGCGTAAAATTGAAAAGCGGATTTCTTGGTTTTCAAGGGACTAACCGAGAAGATTCTGCCATCTCTTGTCAAAGCAACTGAATGTGTTCCGCCGCAAGAAACCTATTTGTAAAAGGTTATTGATTATCAAAGTCTAATGCTTTAGCTGAATGATATCCTCTTTTAAGAGATCTCAAGATCATTAAAGTTTAACGCTTTACTACCTGAATGATATCTTCTTCAGCTAGAAGATGAACTTTCTGTGGAACCATTTTGCTGCTCTTGTCATTGTCACCAAACCCGAGTCTTCCGTGTTCTCCTCTTCCCCAACCATACACCTATAAAATAAAAGACCAAACACATAGTTATTATATCTTGATGAAAAATGAGGAGCTAGCAAATGGTGAGAATGAGAAGGAAAGTAAGAAACTCTGAGAATACGTTTGAGAGTAGATGAGTTCTAATACCTCTCCTTTATCGGTTAAAGCGGTTGAATGCCATCCACCCGCAGCAATATCAACCTACAGATGCGTTCAAAGACAGAGAAAGCTTATGCCTTTTTGTAGATTCTACAGAATCACTTGATAAATGTTTAATGAATCAAGAAAAAGGAATTAAAAAAAAACGAACCAAAGTGAGATCATCCAGGCCTTGGACTGGCACCGGATGAGGGGTCGGTTGGGTATCACCGGTTCCAAGTTGTCCGTACTCGTTATTACCCCATGCCAACAGTCTCCCATCTTCTTCAAGAGCCAGATTATGAAATGCTCCAACAGCGATTATACGCACGTTTTCAAGACCTTGAACTCTTACAGGAACAAATATTTGTTTTCTGTTGTTTAGAAAGAAAACAGAACCCAACATTTTAGTAATAGCCTAACAATGCGCAAAACGTATACTATTGCTTTGTGAGAGTTCTCTATACATGTCACCGGGAGGCCACGGTTGGCCCCAAGTCCACACTTGACCTTCCCGTGTCAGAACCACCGAGTGAGTACCACCTGCAGCAACCTGTTAAGAAGATTAGACCCTCAAATGTAACATTGACAGAGTCTTGATTTTTGAGGACAGGACACGAGCTAGTTTACCTGTCGGACTGTAAGCTTAGGGGCACATGGCTTAGGGATCACAATATCTCTTCGCACGGGTCTACCCATCTCGTCTTTTAAAGGCTCTTCACCACATTGTCCATATTCATTCCCACCTGCGTGTATTTCCATAATCATTTTGTATAATGAACTCTCACCAAACAAAACAGATTGAGGATAAAATAAATAGCATTTAAAAGCGTACCCCACGCATATGCTCGGCCTCGATCATCAACAGCTAAACAATGCCAACCACCAATTGCTGCCTATCATTCCCATTACGATACCAAAACAGTACATTCAATGGTGAAACCGGTAGTTTCATTTGATAATCTGACGAAAAGCACAACAGATTGAGCAGAAGGAAAGATCAGACCTGAGTGATCTTGACATTGGCAAGAGCCTTAACTCGACTAGGGACATTTTCTGTCTTTCTCTCTGGTGGGTGTCCTAATGTACCTCTTTGATTCCAACCCCATGTAAACATCTGAATCAGTTTAGAAAAGAAAACCGTGAAATAGATATTTTAAAACCTTGACTTTCTGAATATAAAAGGACCTCTAATTTAGTCACTCAAGCTACTGAAATGAGGAACATAACCAATTCCATGATAACACAGCGAAAACCGAGTCAAGTAACCAACTTTAACCTATTCTAAGTCCCACAAAAGAAGAAGACAGAGAGCTTCATCGATTATGCTTGATGAGACAAACCAAGTTTCTTGGTTACTTCAAATCTCACAAGAGCTTATATAACCAAACTTAAAAAGGCACTCTGTTTTTTGTTTGTCCTAAAAACAGATAGAAAGCATATTCCCAAATGCGTAGAGACCAATTGAAACACGAGAAAATCTCATTTAGATAAACCCCAAATGAATGATATTCGGATAATACCGTGCCATCATCGCAAATGGCGAGGGAGTTACGGCTACCGGAGACAACGGAGCGAACAGAGTAAGGCTCGAGAGCTTCAACGACACAAGCCCATTCCTTTTCTTCGTTGGTCCCAATTCCTAGTTGCCCATCTTCCCCAGAGCCCCTGATAAGACAAGAGAGAGGCCACAGAGTGAGTGAAAAATCGAAACTTTGTTAGGGAGAGGGAAGTGAAGAGAAGAGTAATGGACCAGGCTATGATTGAAGTAGCTGAAACCATTTGAGAGAGAGAGAGAGAGAGAGAGAGAGAAGGTGAGCGAATGAATTGCAGCGAGACAAGCGGAAAATCAAAGCAGTGGGATTCGAGAGGGGTGGTAATAAAAGCGATGTGTTTATATGTTAAGTTTAATTATTTAATTAATATTCATAATGCTTAACATGCTCCAGACATTGATTTGCGTATATTCGTATTTCTATATAGAGTATGCTCACAGAAATGATTTTCCATTGGTATGTGTTTCGGTGTTTTTTTTTATTTAAATTACAGCGGATTAAGACAATCAACGAGGTATGCCAAATTCTATAACTGTAGTTGAATAAAAATCCAATACAAAATACTGTATAAATACACACATATGGAAAACATGAATAAAAAGAGGAACAACAGAAAAAGGAAAATAAATAAATAGAGACATAAATTTAATTGTACGGAAAGAGACCCATGAGTGCTGTGTTAGACACAAAAGGAAAAATATGGGTTGAAGAATAACATTTGAGCTTACAAAAAAGGGTATATATATGTACACATGTCCACTACATAAGCATTCTGTATTGTTGACTCTGCGTGGATATAATTCTGAAGCTGAAAGTATTTTGTTTTCTTGTTTTTTGTTTTCTTGCCGGAACTGTAGGTGTTTGATTTTGATCTCAAAGATTCTTTGAAAATGGGTTAAGTAAAAAAAAAGAATTATGCACCGGGATCCCTAATGATATATCTTAAACGAGTTGAACCCAAATCAATGATCATAAGTTCTGTGTCTAACAATCAACGAAATATAAAACCAAAGACTCAACAGCATTAAGAACACAATAAAGAAAAGGAAGGGTTTATGAGTTTTCAAAGGAGAAAACCAAATAAGGATCTTCTCTCTGCTTCTACAAACCCCATATCATATGTTTTAGGAAACTAGAGCCAAATCCATACCATCCATACTTAGAAATGTCTCTTTCTCTCTCTCTCTCTCTCGGATCACTTCAACGTCTAAGCTTGTTTCCCTTCTTCCAACTCAGGTTTTGACGCCTCCTTGATCTCATCACCACCCGCCTCATCCTGAAAAAAAACGAGCAACGCATCAGCGTTTCATTGCGAAATAACTTGGTACAGATGTAAAGATGCTTTATATTGTGTAGATAGGAGTTAAGAAGAAAGAGCTGGGAAGGTAGCTACATTAATGTCAGAAGTCCAGAGGGTCAGATTGTCGCGGAGAAGTTGCATTATCAGTGTACTGTCCTTGTATGATTCTTCTCCTAACGTGTCCAGCTCAGAGATTGCTTCATCAAAAGCCTGTGAAAAACAATCCAAGTGAATATCATTTTTCAGGATCATCTGGTGTGGTGCAGGCAGGAATTTTTTTAAAGTCTGAAAGCATAACGACATCACATAAGGCAATACACAAAACCTGTTTTGCGAGATTGCAAGCGCGATCAGGTGAGTTGAGGATCTCATAGTAGAAGACAGAGAAGTTAAGGGCAAGTCCCAATCTAATCGGATGAGTAGGAGCTAAATCAGCAAGTGCAATATCCTACATCACAAGAAAATCTTTGATCAAGATAAACCCCCATTAGTGGTCTCAAGCAGCAAAATTCAGATGTTAAGATTATACCTGAGCAGATTTGTAAGCTACAAGAGTGCTCTCTGCAGACTCCTTCCTCTCAGCTCCAGTCCTAAACTCAGCAAGGTACCTGTGGTAATCTCCTTTCATCTTGAGGTAAAAGACTTTGGACTCGGCGGAAGACGCAGTGGGAACAAGGTGAGCATCGAGAAGGTTCAATATCCCATCGCAGATTTTGCTGAGCTCGGTCTCGATCTTGCCTCTGTAGTCCTTGATTATCGAGACGTGATCTTCGTTTCCTCTGCTTTCTTCCTTCTGCTCAATGGAAGAAATGATCCTCCACGAGGCTCTCCTAGCGCCAATCACGTTCTTGTAAGCAACGGACAAGAGGTTTCGCTCTTCCACAGAGAGCTCCTCGGTGTCTACGGTCTTTGCAACTTTCTCCATGAACTCAACCATTTCCTCATACCGCTCAGCTTGCTCCGCTAACTTGGCTAAGTACACATTCTCTTCCCGTGATGATGACGACATCTTCTCTTGTTAGATCCTGCTTCCAAAATTCGTTTCAAACTTCATCAGCATCACTGTATCTACCATTATTCCCAGGAACACCAAAATCACAAAAAAAAAGACACACGGGTTTCGCGTTTTCCACCATTTTCTCATAATCATCATCTCCTATAGATCAATCCGAAAACGAACACTAAAAGTCAAAACACACCGACAGATACACACAGGATCAGGCGAAAGAAACGCCAAAATCGATCGTAACTATGCCAGATCTCGAAACAAGATAAAAACACACACAGACAAGAAAATCAACAGAGTACATTCCAAGTCCAGAAAACGAGAACGAAAACATAAACGAGCAAATAGAGAAGTTATTCGTCCATCGATGAGCAAAGCGAGGTCAGATCCGGAGCTTACCGAGGGGATTTTGGAATTAGGGATTGTCGAACTCGAAAGCTTGGAGACGCGAGGCAAGTGGAGAGAAACAAGGGGGAAAAATAGAGCAAGATATGGGCTTTGATTTTTTTTGGAGAAACTAAAGAGGAAAAGGCCCAATAATTGTTTGACAAGTGTCACGCGGTGTTGACCCGTCAAAGACTTTAATTTCGTGAAAAATGAATAATGTAATTACACGGCCTAGCATGGACCCTGATTCCGTTTGACTTTTAAAACGAAAAATTAAACTGATTTGCCATTTTTAACGTCTGCCTCATAAAGTCATCATGATTTTAATTCAAATTTCTTCAACTGTTCTCCGTTTAATTGCTTTTGACTGTTTAGACTTTAGACTTGCCCTGAAATACTTTGTTACACTTTTTATTTCCGAATTACTAGATTTTTGACATTCGTTCTAAATCAGTTTGGGTTCAGAGGACATATATAACTAAGTATTATAGTTTTATGAAAGCACACGAAAACAAAAACAAAACTAAAGATCAGTCTTTATCATTCTTCTTTTCCCTCTAGAGAGCACAATCGGAACATTCGTCATGTTTTTCTCAAACAATAAAAAAAAAGGATAGATTCGAAATCATCTATAACAACAAAAGATACAAAAACTAAAGAAAATAATAATCTTATATGGTAATGCTCAAAACTCGAAAGAAGAAAAAGGAAAGCCGAAAACAGAAAGACATTTAGTAGGGTTTTAAGTAGGCTTCCTCATATTTCTTCCTGCACGAATCACTTCATCAACTAACAGCAACTGCGAAGCAATCACCGGCCTGCAACACATTACCAAGGAACCGTTTTAACTGCCTGAACTCAACCGCTACTGAATTATAGAATTGTTTCAAAAGCCAATTCTAGCATTTTGGTTTTGTACATACCCTGAATTGATAAGTTGGCGCTTCACCGAGTAATTGTCGAAAATACCGGTAAGCAGAGGGTCTATGGGTTCTCCATCCTGTAGGTTTAGTCCCACAACGTTTCCTTTGTCATGCTCGCTCTGTATAAACATTGAAATCCAGTAGAGATTAGCCACACACACAAAAAAAATGTTCATTTGGAGAATTATCAATAGGCGTAAAAGAGGAAAATACCGTTAGAGAAATGATAACGTCCTGTGTATCAAGCCCAGCATTCTCAGCGAGTGTCTTAGGCACCACAAGAAGCGCGTTAGCAAAAGCTTCAACACCGAGTTGAGCGCGCTGCAATTTGCCCAGGATTAAGATCGCAGCCGGAAAAATCATGAATTGGTATTATATTACTATATACTTACCCCTTGAACGGTTTTCTTGACTTCATTGATTAAGTGTTGTCTCGCTGCAACTTCGAAAGCTCCAGCTCCCTATGGAGAGCGACAAACGTCAATAAGCCATAAGCGCACAAAACCAAAAGCCTTACACTGAAATTGCAATCTGTATGATCATTGCGGAGAAGGAGGTACTTACTAATACAACGCACTCATCTTCTAAGGTATTCTTGACTGATCTTAAACCATCACGGACAGCGTCTTTAATTTGAGCAATGGTGTGGTCGTTAGGCCCTATAAAAACCAAATAGATATAGACTGAGCGATGAGCAGGCGTGTAAAAGAAGAAAAACCGACCTTCAAAACTTAGCCGCTGAGAGAAACAAGTTTGGTCATTTGTACCTTTTATGAGGATAGTACATGAATGAGGGTTCTTCACTTGCTCGACAAATGTGTACTTTTCCTCTCCAAGAACGTGCTCATATACAAGTCCAGCCCAACCAAGACAATCAGGAGTTAAGTCATCAACGGAGTTCACAGCTTCTCCACCACATGCCAAAACCAAACGTTCCATGTTCCTCCTCTTTGCTCTTCTAAGAGCGATTATCTGGAGACACATATATATGCATAAGGAAACAGAAAGTATTGGATAGTAATAATGTGTAGACACAAGAACCCGAGTACAAGAAGATAGACAAGCTTAGCGGAAGATCTAGCAATCTAAAAAGCTTTAGGGAAAATCTCTACTGGTTTCATGTCATCATGCCTTTACTTTAGATTTCAGTTCACCTGATTTCACATTTTACAATCTTTCTCAAGAGTTTATCTTACTTTTCTGGCAATCGGAATAACAGGAGCCCCCAAAAAATACAAAACTAGTCATAGCTTACCCCTTCTCTAGCAAGAAGATCCAACGATGGGGGATCAATACCCTTTTGATTTAAGATAACAAAGCTGTCGTCATTACCAGCACAAACCTGCATGATACATAGAACATGTTAATATCCAAAATAATACAGCAGATGGCTGGGAGGTAGTGGTTTCAAACTCACCTTGTTCTTCAGCTCAATAATTTTCCTAACTCTCTCATCAACGGAACGTCGCTCAGCAGTAACCATGGCTTCCCTCTGTTCCGCATTCGAGTAGAAAAATCCTGCGTTAATTTCACTGATATATACAAAGTTAGGATACGAAATCAGTGCTACACGGGACAGTTCCTCTAAATACTTGTCTTTCATATCTCTTCAAGTATCAACGAGAAAATTATAATACCTCTTCTCGTACTCCAGAGACACATTGCAAGTTAGGATGTGACAATTCTCCGCACGGCGTTTCATGTCAGGGTGTCTTGAACCATGATCCAGGACAAGCCCCTCAACCTAATACAAGAGAAACAATCCATGTGATATTAGCAACGGTTACATGAAGACGAATTTATGATTCATGACATTCAACTATCAGACAGAACAAATTTACTGCAAAGCAATAAAAAAGGCATACCAATCGTGTGTCAACATCAAATTTATGGCGCATGTGCATTATCTCGACCATAAACAGGTCAATAGGTTCCTCAGGCTTCCGGATGCAGAGAACCTGTTATGTGCGGGAAGTAGTTGATTAGGAGACAAACAAGCTTGTAAAACAAAACTTATTCATAGATTAGTTCTCATAAGTGTGGAAACCAAGATGATAATAGGATATTCAATGAGAGATATCAGTAAACTTACGGAATTCACAACGATATCAGTCAGTTGATCAGCTAAGCCTTCATACAGCTACGTAAGCCAGAAAAAAAAAAGATAGTTAGGAGTGGAGAGAAAAGAGAAAAAGTCTGTGGTAATGAAAAAATATAGATGTCAACAAATGAAGAATACCTTTGTTCTTAGCGTTGTCCTTGCAACCATTTTGAGGATCTCTTTATCAGGCTCATCACCCATGACCACGGGTGTCTTGAAAGTGTCGAGAAACTGGAGAGTAGCTCTTTTTGCAATCTCGAAACCATCAACTAAGACACGTGGATGCATTCCTGAGACACGTATAAACCTTTTCATCAGAACCATTAGTCACTGAGGCTAAACAAAACATGACAAGGTAGTTGGAGATGAAACGATGGAAAGACATATATGTTAACAATGATAAACTGATTCACAAAATGAAAGGCATCAGATCCAGCCTTAAAGTCTAAAACAGATACAGAGAGAACTGATAAATAAATAAAAGTAAAAGTCGGACAGAAGCAAATTCGGCTAACCTTCGTCGATGCAACGCTCTGACTGCTTCATGAGCTCACCAATGAAGATGACAGTGGAAGTAGTACCATCACCACTAATGTCATCCTGTGCAACAGCTGTTCTTGCAATCATGATGGCAGTGGGATTTTGGATTTGCTGCAAAGAAAAGCAAAAAATGAGAAGTGTAAAGCATTATCAAACTAGTTAATGCCGAGATATAGTCATCCATTAGAGAAGGACTTGAGTGCGTCATTTCTATCACCAATTCACCATACCGAGTAGCGCTCTGAACTGAGAAACGTTTAATATATATATATTCATTTTCCAAAATCGTACTCCAATTTCACTAAGCAATAACCACATGCCTAGAGTCTAACATTAAATGACACAAGTTTCAAACAGACTTCACAAGTAAGAAGCGATACTAAGCTAGGTTCTAATCAATTAACAAGATCTAGCTATTGTTTGTTTTCTAACGGGGCTCACCATTTCCTTTAGAAGCGTGTTCCCATCTTTGGTAAGCTTGATATCCCCGGAACCACCAACAAGCCTACACCGAGTGAAGTGAACGATAAAAGGGTCGCAGCGAGTAGGGGGTAAGTATACATAGATCTAAGGAAACAAAATGGCAGAAACAGTCTTACATCTTAATGGTTCCCTTAGGGCCGAGATTTGACTTGAGTACATCCTGTAAACCCTTGGCGGCGTTGATGGTCATATGAAGCGCCGCCGATTTGTTGAGCACCTCGGCATTAGGATTCAGGACACGCACAGACATCTTCGATGATGAGAGATCAAAGTAGTCGAAGGAGATTCAGAGGAGAAAACTGGAAAGAGAGAGTGATTCTAGGGCTTTTGTTCTGGGAGCTTCTTAAGTTTTACTGAGTATCTTTTATTTCTTCTTTTAAATCTCGTTGCTGCGAATGCAAGGGTAAGAAAGAAAACTCTCAAACCATCACAATCTGTCCCTCAACGACGTCGCATTATCACACAGTGAAAATAATACTCCCCCTTGATATCTTTCACTACTACTAGGACATGCACATTTGTCAACTTGCCTCGCCTTAATATTTCACACAGTATGTTTCATGAGATTAACATAGAACACGTTAAAGAGATGATTACAGTGATTTTCATTTGTTTTTTTGTATTTTTTTTTATAAACTTTGACTATTAAGGTAACATACACAGACGAATAAATGTCCCCAAAACGAAAAAAATAACGTGGAACCGGAGATTTTGTAATGACTAGAGACGATACAAGACGATACAAGACAATACAAACAAAGAGTAAATGAGAAACTCTATTTCAAACTGAGAAGTGAGAGAATCCATGACTATAGACGAGTAACGAGCTCATGAACATCTCTAGTTTCAACTTGGCATCCCATAGTACATATATATAAGTAAACATATGGACCAATGAGAGAAGAAGCTATTCCTCGAACTCATGCATGTGATCAAGAAGATAGTTTGCAGCCAACTCTTCGTTCTTGTTGCAGGCAAAGAACACTTCCAGCACCAATGCTCTCTCGAATCCCATTGCTTCCAGCTGTTTATTTATTTATAATTATTATCAAGGTGAACCGGAGTTGATCAAATCATTAAAAGAAAGATGGATGCTTTTTCTTTTTAGGAAAAATCAAAGCTGAATAAAAAAAAGAAAAGGAACAGACCCGTTCGATTGCATCGCGTTCCTCAAGTGTGACTTGGATCGCCTGTGGCTGTGGCATTCCCGCCTCCAATTGGCCAAAGAGGTTGCCGCTGAATGCGCAAATTAACCAAGAAAATAATCATTGTTTTAAGTAATCCAAAAGTTTTGGTTTTGATATATGTGTTTACATTTGAATCCTAATCGTAAGAGCACAGGGATTATACATACCTCTCTCCACCTCCTTCAACGGGTTCATTGATTAAACGTAAGAAGTCAGCTTGATGTTCTTGAATCAACCGCATCAAGTTTGGGTTTTGCTTTCCCAGTTCCTGAAGCATAGGCTGCAGAAACACACATATATTAAAATTCATTTCACCCAGCAAAAGCCTGAAAAATATGTCCATTCTTCTGTGAATTGGATCAACATACCTGCAGAACCTGAGGGTTTGCTTGCACCATTGCTCGCAGAGCTTGGAACTGATATACACAAAGAATTTCAATAAACACCTCACGCATTGATATCTGATATACTCTTGTCACCAAGTGTAGGAAAAGAAACAGCTCATACCTGTTGGCTGTTGCGCAGGAAGTCAAGCGTTCCGGCACCAGGGTTTCCCCCAACATTTGGCAACCCCTGTGAGTAGATTTTGGTTACATACCCAGTTATGATCAAAGCTTGATAACGAACCAAGTATGCCTTGGGACGTATTTCTAGAGCCCAGAACAAAAGCTTTAAAAGAACCCAAGTGTACTCTCGATCTCCAGGTGTATTACCTGTGGGAAGAGATCTAACGGATTTGCATTAGGACCAGTTGCAGGTGCCGCTGCAGGTTGCTGCGTCTGCGCTGGACGATCTGCTGGCTGTCCACCACTAGCTGGGGCACGGGCAACTGAAGGAACTTCAGCTTGCTCAGGGATACCCTAAAGCATAAATATAATAAGTGTTCAAAATATATAAATTTCTCTAGTTGCAAGGAAAAGAGTAGCCTATAATAGTGACAAGGAAGTCGATTATAGGCCTAGGGACCGAGATGCAGAGACAAAAATTGAACTCACAGAGTAAAGATATTCCACAGCTCTTTCAGGGTTGTTAAATGCAGCACGGAGTGCACGGACAACAGTGTCACGATCCCAGGATCCACCACCCATGTCAAGAATCTGTTGAATGGTACTCTCTAAATTACTTCCTGCGGCCAGATTTGATGCTGCTTGTCCGTAAACATCACCCTGAGATCTATCTTAACCAAAAAAAGATGAAACAAAATAAAGAGTAGGCCAATCTCTGAATCAAGCGGAAAATTTAATGGACTACATATATGTAGCAAATATGCTAACCCAGCAGGAGTTGATTCGGGTGTGGGAGTGCTTGCTGGTAAAGTAGCAGAAACAAGTTCAGGTACAGGTACAGGTACAGGCTCAGGTGCAGGTGCAGGTACAACCACAGTTTCAGTTGCAGCTGCAGGCGTTGGTGTTGGTGTCGGTGCAGCTGGTCTGCACAGATTTAGGAAGATTGGGGTGAGAAAATCGAAATTAGTATTCACATAGAATAGACAACTGTTTCGGATAAATTTCAGGAAACTTTTCCAAACAGAAAATAATTGTCTCTTAAACTCACATTGCTACCGAAGCTGGAGGTTGAGGGGATGCTGAAGGCTGTGTTGATGAGGTGGGCATCGACTTGACCTAAACCAATGCTAAAGTTAGATCATTCAACGAACAAGTTGCTGCAGCATCTCTATGTTTATGATGAAGCTATAACAGCAGAACCAACTCACCTGCGCTGAAGGGCCAGCAGATGTAGTAGACGCTCCAGATGAGGCAGGTTTACTCTGCATGTACAGCCATAAGTCAATAATTAGGTAATCAAAGAGCTAAACAGAAAACAACACAATTACTTTTGTTTACTCGGATCCAAATGCACCTTGGTCATCATAATGACAATAAAACTGCCCTCGGCAACTTTGTTCTCCTCAATTGTGGTCTCATCTTTAAGCACTTTCCCTTGGTGAATAAGCATCTGTTTCGAAGCAGGATAAACATCTGCTCCCTGCTCAGTCTCTATCTTCTTCTTCAGATCAGCAACCTGAATGTATATATGTTTTTTACCACCATAAGTTCAAGAATATATTCAAATGCACGGACCACAAATTTTCTCCAGATACATCAACAACCAGCTAACTAGCAACCTCATACATGATCATCATCAATGCATTCAGGAACAAGGAGATAAAACAAAAGAAGCTATAGTGACCTCAGCAAGTACGGAAATATTGTAAATTTAAATGTTGTAGATTTCCCGATCGTAAAACAGTTAGGAGAAGCAGAAGCACAGTGACAAATACACCTAAAGAGATTGCTGAATTGTATCAATTCTCTCTACCAGCCTCTAATTAACTACAGTTCACTTCACTCGCAGGAACTAACTCTCAGATCACGAAAGAATGTGATGAACACCCATAAACTCGACCAAATCAAAGAGTCAAAGACGATCGGATAAACCGCCTCTGATACGGAAATAAACCGTTTCAATTAACGAGTAAGAAAACTATCAGCAGAAAACTCCCATACCGAATCCTCCGGTTTTACTTCGATCTCGAAGTGAGTCCCCTTGAGAGTTTTCACAAATATCTTCATCTTCTCTTCTCCAGCACAATTCCCGTTTGCAGTGAACGATTCTCCGGCGAAATTCTATTGGGATCGATCGCCGCCGGCGATAACTTCGGGAAGGCGAGTAGGTAGGTGAAAGAAGATGCAGAGAATCTGGCCCCCTACCTTTGCGTTCCCTCAATATCTCCACTGGATTGTGGCCCGGAGCACATGGGGTGTACTTTCTAGTATGCCACGTCATCCGTCGTTATACCAAACAATGTTTGACAATTTCCGGATTACACTCGTGCAAAGATAGGCCCAACCAAAATGTTTCTAATTTCTAACGTTTAGAAGATAGGCCCACAATATTTTCTAATGTGTACAACACCCTTGTGGTAGCCATTCTTTCTTCCTTTGGCTTTCTTTTGGTTACGAACAAGAAAAGGTAAAATACACTTTATAGCCAATCTTGGAGTTATCTCTGTAAATAAGTTTGTACAAGCTCTATCTTTGATGACCAAGGGAAGTGCAAATTAAACAGGGGAAATAAGAGAAAAAAAAAATATAGTAAAAGTTATCGGCTAAGTTCAAAGATCCGGATTGGCTAAATGCTAGTTTAGCCGAGCCGAACAGAGCCGATGCGAGCAAAACTTCTATGGAAAAAGTTAGAAACAGTGCTTAGAGCACAAGCTCAGTCTTACACGGGCTCTCCTCCTGACACGTGCCAAACACGCCGATCTTTCTCTTCTTAACAGGTACCACGTGATACGCACGTGACACCGGCTCGAGCCCTAAAGTTAGGTCAAGCTTGATCTCCCCGGCGGCGCCCTGCACAGCCGGCGGCGAGAATGTCATGGCCTCCGGGACATTGCTTTCCGATTCTTTGCTTTCTCCTTCATGAGCAGCCACAATTTCAGACTGGTGACTCAACGACGACTCGTGACTAGCCTCTCCTCCGCCGGATTTTCCCCCCGATTCCTCCGGTTTAACGACGGCGGCGACTCGCTTAGTCCGGCGACTTTTCGTCCGTTTCAGGTCGGTTGACGCAGTAGCAGAGCCGGAGTTCTCATCCTTTGATATATGTCGGATGTCATACATCTTTAGCGGCGGACCTTGGCCGTTCGTCGCTGCCTCGGTGGCTATCTCTGTGATCGGGTCACCTTTCATAACAGCCTCCACGGCGGCTTGACAAAGGTGCCAATTTCCCGACCATAACAACCCCACTGAACCATAGATCGGATTCACAATCCTCCCACAAGCTTCGTGCAACAACGATCGGAAAATCCCTGCAGAATTTCATTATAATTTCCGTTAAACCGCATCGTAATCAAAAGACCTAATACGAAACGGCAACGTTTAGAGAAGGACCAAATAGGCAAATACACACGTTTTCGAGACTTCAGACATAGGAATAACACTAACCAGGACGGAGATGATCGGGACCGGCGTTGATGAGATTCATGAGTCCAGCACGGCCATAGAACTTGGCAAGAAACACGGTTGCGTTGGCTTGCGCTTCAGGCGACTTGATCCAAGCCAAACACGGTCTAATACTGCAATCCTCACTACACCCTTTTCGAAGAACTCTGCAACCATTACAGCTCATCCGCATCTTTTGGTCTGCTATATTTTGATTTCCCCACAGTAAACAATAATCGAACACGCAAAAATCCCGAGATAAAAGGAAAAGAAAAAATCGATTAGAAAAATGTTTGTTTCCGTTTTGTAAGATCTTTGTAGTAATCTGAGATAGAGATTCGCAAACTATATAAGAGAGATGATAGCTTTAAGGGATTGTGTGCGTTGAGAAGAAGCCCCTGGGTTTTTGGGAGTTGGGAGATAAAACCAAGGGAAGAAAAGAGTAGGGGGATAAGAAGAGCTGTTTTTCTAAAGACAAAAGGGTTGTTTTTGTCTTTTATATTTCTTCCTTTTTTCTCTCAGAGACGCCGCGGTTTTTTTTTCCCTGGTTCAAGGTTTCACTTCTCGTGTTTCTTCCCCGAGTTTTGTTTAATACCCACTCTCATCCCCCACGCGCGTGGTATGCACGTGTTACAGCATATAATTAAAATGACTGGTGAATAAATCAACTATTTAAAATTTTAATATTCATTCTCATTGGATAGAGCATTTTTCTAAATAATTTAGAAATTTTAAAAAAATTACAGACATATAAATGATTATATGATTACTAGGGTGTTGTTTTTTTTGTTTGCCTGTAAAAAGGAAATACTATTTCCTGATTTTGGAAAGAAAAAAAAATAGACTTTTTTCTGAAAAACTGTGATAAAGGCAGAGGCGAAGCACGTGGCTTTAACGCACGCGCGTCAAAAAAATTGGTCGAATCGCCACATTTGAGCCATATGGAATTGGGTAATTTGGGGAGTATTTGAGAAAGTAGGGTCCACACTTAACTCCTGGTTTTCTGGAAAAGAATCCCGTCTTCAAAAACTGCTTTTGTAGCTGTCCAAAACCAGTGACTGGTTTCTGGTTTTCGGTTTCCGGTTTCCAGGTTTTGATCTTTTCTTCTTGTGACTGTGGGCGGGTTGATCTTTTGGGTTCTGTTTGCCGACGGTTTTATTAAAAACGTAATCTATTTCTTTTATTTTTCTTTGTCGTTAATTTAATCACCTTTAGTTTAAACTCCCTCACCTTCGATTTAATTTAGACGACAAAAAAAAAAACAGATCTTTAATATTTCACGTAATCAACTTTAACTAATTAAACCAAGTAAACATTTCAATATTTTGAAACTCCACATATTTGGGACAGTTGAGTTGTAGATTCTGTAGTGTGTTCTCTGGAGAATATTTTAATATTTTTCATCTGAATTTGCATAAGAATAATCACCAGACCATGATTATTAGCTAACCCATATACTAACATTTAGCAAAAACAAAAAGAAAACATGTACTAACATTTACTGCATTTCTTTCGTATATACATCATCCTGTATTATATATAATCCGCTGCAAGTGCCACCATACGTACGTAATTTTATTCTTCCATGGTTTTGGCTGAAACTTTAACGAAGTTCAAAACAGTACTATTAATTAGTCAAACCCAATTTGCATTCCTATGAGTTTACAGGTTTAATTCACGACACAAACATTAAAGGAATCTTGAATGGACCGTAACTCGAAAGTGTCACGTTACGGATCTTCTTCAGGTCAACGACCGACGACTTCGAATCCTGTCACCATTAGCTTCCGCTCCGTTTATCTTTTCTCTAAGCAAATTAGAATCTCTGAAGCCTACAGGGAGAGAGATATAAGGAAACTTGTTTATATAATACAAAGCATTCATATTTATCGAACTTCTCAAAATTACATTTTACAAAGACTGAGAATCTCCAAAATGCAGAAACGTAACTGTACAAACGAGAACTTAGATCTTTACACAGAAAAAAAAACATAAAAGAAAACTCCAAATCGGTTGAATATGTTACAACGAGACTCGAGAAAAATAAGATACCAACACATTAAGACTCGATTTTGCATCTTAATTGCCGTATATATACACACAATATTGGTGTCAAAGTTAAATGTAAAACTGCGGTAAAAGGCTGTAACTGGTGATCTTGACTGGAGTTTAACCTTTCCTTTCCCTCTTCATCTTCAAAAATATAAATATCTGCTTCAAAAAAGTTTGGAGTCTCTTTGATTCTCGATTTTATGTACACTTAGTGATTCTCTGTTGCTTCTTCTAAGCCATGGCAGTGATGCTCGAGTTCTGGCGGTCCCTGTTCAAGCAATCGAATCCTTCTACCCTAACAGCTGCTGGTTTAAGCCCAAACTTGACTCGACCACAACCTCCTCCTTTGACACGTGATGGAGATGGAGATGGGAGGAATGGTGAGAGCGAGGGTGAGGTTGAGCTGAGTTTCTCATCCCCAAATCGCGCATCTTGAGCTAACGGGTTTCCTGCTCTGCTCGGGGGAGACCCCAGGAAAAATGGAGGCGATGAAGCTACAGCAAATGGTGTTTCTTCCTACAGAGAAAGAAGAAGACAAGAGAATCGTAATTAACAACGAGAAGCATAGTTCAGACTTCAAGAAAACATAATATGGATTAACCTTTTAGAGCCTATCATTGGTTTTTATACAAAGAAACACAAATCAACTATACACTTCAAAACCATATGGTTTCAAGACAAGTGAAATCCAATAGACATTGCTTCAATACAAAGCTAACAGTGGAAAAAAGAAGAAAAAAGAGAGACGAACCTTTCTACGAATTATGTCCAAAAGATCCGCCCCAGCTTTGGAATCACATACATCAGCTGCTCCTGATTCTGATTGACTATGGAGAATCCAAAAACAAAAGTAAAATCAGCATTTTGCAACAAACATGATGTTTGTGGGGGAAAAGACAGTAAAAAGGTACCTCGAATGTAATCTAAAAGGACGAAAAACGTTGTCTGGGAGAATGCAAACGCGACGAGGCTTAGGACAAACAAGAGATGTGACACAAGAGAGATCGTATCCTCTGGATTCGTCACGGGACATGAAGGCGTTCTGCTGAAGGTTACAATGATTCATCTTCGAACCACTTTTTTCTCCACAGTAGAACGCCTAATCTGCTCTGCATCATCAGACAAAACACAAGAGAGATCAGAAACCAAGGAATCGAAAAACATGTGTTTTTTTATTTATTTCGAAATCGGAATATACTTGGTAAGATCTGAACAATTCTCCCTAAATTCGTCCTGTTCTCACCCAGATCGAATTTGAGGGACGCGACGATGTTTCGCTTTGAGGGAAAAATGGATCATTTCGAAATCCAGAGAGATTTGGGTATTAAAAAAGTATGTTTAGAAACAGAATACGCCAACGAATACGTTTGACCAGGAGAAACCAATTTCACGAAAAATTAAAAAAAAAAAGAATAAAGAGCACAAGCGTATTGACTGGACTAAAAACGGAAAATTTTCATAAGACCAAAGAAATCGAAACAAGATAAGAATTTAAACCTTAGATCTCCAACAAAAAAAAAAACCGTTTACAATTGAATAATAAGCAAAAAAAAATAATAACTTTGATCTGTCATTGCCGCCATTAACGGAGCTTGATAAAGAAGAGAAAGAGAGAAGGATGTAGTACCTTAAGAATTGATGACGACGAAACAGCGGTGATAAGGGTGAGCGAAAGAAGAGAAACAGAGCGGCTGTGAAGGCGCTTTATAAGATGATGACTAGACTTTGGCCGACAAACCAAAAATGTGAATTAAGGTTTTACGATGTCGTTTTACGATGTAATAAGATGTTGCTTATATATCTCGCCGTCGTTAATTCCTATCTATATACTAATTGTGGACAAATCAATATGCGCTCGATTGTGTCTAAACAAACCATCAAACATATCATACTTTTTTTTTTTAATTTTGTTGGCTTTTCAATGGTCAAAGAGTGTAATAAACCGTTGGTGCGTATGGTAGATTCGAGGCATTAACCACATTTAAGCATGTAGTTTGGTTAAGACTATAAGCAATCATACAACAAAATGATGCAAATAGAACATTGCTTTGCACGTTTTAAATGCGCTTATGTCTCGTCAGCAACATTAATAATCGACAAATTGAATTGAAGGAAACCAGAAAGTAGCAATTAGTCATTCCATTGTCTTCTAAAAAGCGTTATCGTCTCTCCTCAAAATACAAAAGATTTTATATATTCTATCTAGTATGAACTCATATATGTATATGATTGTAACAAAGACAAATAACCAATTCTGTAATTTTCTATCATTTTCTGTGGATATATATATACTTTGGGCTAGCTTGGGAAAATTAATACATTTATTAGTAGGCCCATTGATTATGAAAACCTATCAACGGCCCAATTTGGGTGGTAAAATCAGCCATGAGGAGATCCAGACCGTCCAAAATAGGGATCTCAAAAGAAACCCTTAATATTTAAACCTTTGCTTCACCAAATTTGTCTTGCCTCTTGAACACGAAGCTCTGAAAGCCGTAAACCTTTTCACCTGCTAGGGTTCTTCGTCGTTGTTAACTGGTACGCTTTCAATATACTATCCTGCGAATTCGTGCGATTGGGTCTTCTTTCCCGAGGAAGATGCTAGCTTTAGTGAGAGCTGTAATCCATGGGTTTGATTAGGGTTACAATTAGAGTGATTTGGCATATTGATATTAGCTTTTGTAACCAATTGAGAAATGTTGGCCATTCTTACTAGCGAGCTGAGAACTTATTTTGGGTTATGAGCTGTTTGTCTCTTTGCTTTACCCATCATTAATTCACAAAAAAATTCACGTGTCCTAAAATGTGTAATTGAAATTCCAAATGTTTGAGTTACATAGTGCTTCGTAACATTTACTCGATGAAAGCGTTAAAAGTCTTGCCACTAGATTTGGGAATTTGATGGAATTGGACTTATCAATATCTTTGTAGATTTTAGTTAACATTTGTCCTAATTTCAGATAGTTTGATCAAATTGAAGTACATTTCTCCAGCTAATCATGAAAGGTACTTTTATTACCAAATGTTGATTGGCTTAATTTGTGTGTGTTATATTGTTAGCGTTCCAGAAACTGCCAAGATGTTCTCTGCTCAGAACAAGATCCAAAAGGATAAGGGTGTGGAACCAACAGAGTTTGAAGAGCAAGTTGCTCAGGTTCTTGCTTTCTGTCTTTGGTGCCTTACTGTCGTCAGCTTTTTTGAATCATTTGAAGTTTTTTCTCGGGTTGTTCATTGATTAGTATCTTAATTTCTTTTTTTTTCGCAGGCTTTCTTTGACTTGGAGAACACCAACGGGGACTTGAAAAGTGACTTGAAAGATCTGTACATTAACCAAGCAGTGTATGTACTCATTGTTTGTGGCTGCAAGGATCGTCTTAACTAGGGTTTCCTAACCTAAATATATCGTCATTTTCTTCTTTCTATGCAGTCACATGGATATTTCTGGCAGCCGCAAGGCCGTGGTGATTTTTGTGCCATTCAGATTGAGGAAGGCCTTCCGCAAGATTCATCCTCGTCTGGTCAGAGAGCTTGAGAAGAAGTTCAGCGGAAAAGATGTTATCTTTGTTACCACCAGAAGAATCATGCGTCCCCCAAAGAAAGGCTCAGCTGCTCAGAGACCACGCAACAGAACTCTCACTTCCGTCCATGAAGCAACCCTTGAGGATGTCGCATACCCTGCTGAGATTGTAGGAAAGCGAATCAGATACCGTGTTGATGGCACCAATGTCATGAAGGTAAGACGTTTATTTGTCTTTCATTGCTGTAAGCTCTGATTTTGACATTTAACTTTCTAAATTTTTGCCAGGTCTACTTGGAGCCTAAGGAGAGGAACAACACCGAGTACAAGCTTGAGACAATGATTGGTGTGTACAAGAAACTGACAGGGAGAGATGTAGTTTTCGAGTACCCAGTCACAGAAGCTTGAAGAGTTAAATGTTTGTTTTATTCTTTTTTTTTGTCGGATATAGAGCTTTTGATTCTGTTTCGTTAGTAAAACTCTTTGAAAAGAATTTTCTTGTTTCAGTTACTTCAGTCTTTCTCAAAGTTTTATTTAACAAAAAGCGCTTCTGTTTGAGTATTCACGGTTTCAGAAATACCATCTCAAAAATTTCACATCGAATCTGTAAATTCTGGGCACAAAAGTGCATTGACACAGTTGGATTTAATCATACAATAACTGAGAAAAAGCTTGTGTGTAGTTCAACTATAGAGAATACAAAAACCTACTGTTCACTCCTGCTCTGTACAGCTTCAAGTCAGATGAAGACTTTAATTGAATCTCAGTATCAGCAGGAACAAACAGAACATCTCCCATTGAAATCTCATCTGCTGAAGCGTCTGTAGACATTCTTCCTTCACCTTGGAGTACAAGCAGAAGAGAAGGGCCTGGAACAGACGGAAACACAGTCGAGGCTTCACTAGGAAGATCACAGAGATCAACTTCAAACTCCTCGAAAGGCGGGAGGTATCTTGTGATGTATGGTCGAATCCTTGATCCCTTTAGGATCTCAGGAAAGCCCTGAAACTCAGAAATGAGAGAACTCAGTAACTAAGCTGCAAACATTTTTACGTCTTGGTGTGGTTTGGTTTTAAGTTAAAAGGCTTACCAGTTTATACGAGAGCATGGAACAAAGTGTTTGAATATCCAGAGGCTTGGAAGTGAGGCCAGCTCGTACCACATTGTCTGAAGTCGCCATGACCTCAATGCACTCACCGAATAAGTATGCATGGGGCTCGTTCGCACCGAGATACAAGGCCTCACCAGGATTGAGCTTCACATAGTTGAAGAAGAATGCAGATATGACCCCGATATCATCTGGATATTGCTTCTCTAGCTTCAAAACTAACCGTTCCTTGTCTGTCAGATGGCGCTCCTGCATAATTCACAAGGGAAGGTATCAGGCAGTGGCATTTTACAAGACAATCGCTAAGAGGAGGATCAATAAAGAGAAAAACAAAAACAATTGAATATATGATTTGCTTTGTTGGATGGCTGACCTGACTCTCCATATGTAGACGGCGTTTTAGTTTGAATACGATTTCCTTCGTTGTATCGGGACCTGCAGACATTAGCAGGGTGAAGATCGTTCGGACAGCAGATCTAACTTTCTCCTCATCATGCTCACTGATACAGAACAGTTGGTTTGCTTCTTCACTCCCAACAAGCTGTTCAATCTCCGGGATAGCCCGAATGACACTCTTAAGCTCCTGCAACATTAGTACAAGAAAAAACTTTCAATTCTGAAAAATAAGCTATCAATCCTGGAGTTTTGGAGACTGAATAACTTATAAAAGAGACGCTATTTTCGTAATGTGTTTATATATATCGAAAAAAGAGAAAAACTCTCTATGAATCATGTGCAACTTCATGAAAAGGAGATACCACGTTATTAACCATCACTCATGTAAACGATTTCCATCACGGAAACAGACCGAAACGAAACATGTGTTAATACTTGTCAAAATTGGGAACCTAAGTGGGCCATTGCATAGATTCGAAAAAACAAAAGCTTTGAGAACGATAAAGATAGAGATAACACATAAATGGTACCTGAAGAGGTATAAATCCACACAAGGCCTCGAATTGGGTATAGGCCAAAGCCATTTCTGGTTTGTGATTGTCGTCTTTATAAAGATTTGGATGAGCTTTGTGCATCTTCTTTGCCAGTTTCTTATCTGGATGTGCTTGAATCGACAAGGGCCTAGCCACCGACAACACCTACCAAATTCAACAATGTTTGAAGGGATCACATCTCTGCAACTCATTACATAAAAGTCCACAGTAGAGAGAATCAGCTCTCGATAAGGATCATCAGTTCCGCAAATCGTAAAATGCAGAGATTTTGGGAAAAATGATAACAATATGGCAATGTATGTACCTTGAAGAGAAACGGGAGATCGCAACCCCATTTCTCCAAAACCCTATTCCCGAGAGATTTAGGGTTTTCGGTAATCCACGATCTGAGAGTCACGCCATTGGACCCATCAGCATCCTCCAAGTAACTCGGACCGGACTCGTGAGTCCCCATCCACAGCTCGGCGTACGGTCGGGTCGAATCGATCTGGTCATCGGAATTCGCCGCATAAACCCTGTAAACGAGTGAATCCGACCCAATTTTGCCCCAATCGTAATCTTTAACGGAGCATCTCAATCGGCGAAGCCGTCGTCGATCCGCTTCACAACCGCCATTCGCCTTAACGACAGTAGCGATCTCCATTTCACCAAAACTCACGATTACGAATATAGAATCCGTGTCTCGGAGATACTTAATCTCGAGTGTAAGCTAAGCGCCCATGACAATGGAAGAAGAAGACTCGAGCCTTATTTCTTGGGAAAATGCGCGTTCCCAAATCGTGGAAAATTTGTATTTTATAAACAGAGGAAGGTATGATTGCAAAATTAAAAGCATGGGGTTCAAAAGTGAGAATAAATAATAATTGTGGGGTTGAGATGTTTAACTTAGGAAGGTGGAAAAGTGACAGATGTTTTAAAAAATCACGTGCTTTGCCGACGGATTTAACGTCCATCCGTGCTTGGTGGGCCGTTTGCTAGCTGTCCACGTGGACTGTCACGATGACTCACTCTCACACGTCTCAAAAACTTTGTGTAGTTTGTGTAATAAAACCGTCAAAATACATAACCAAAATAAAAATGTTGGAAACGTTATCATTTATTTTACGATAATTCCAAATTTTGTCTTTATATCAATAATAAAACAGAATATCTAACGTTGACAAAGACAAATGAAAAAATAGAAACAAAATCTAATCAATGACGGAGAAAAAAATTCTATAGCCGATTCGATGAGTATCTTTTATTTATTAAATAAACTGTTTTTAATTTCTTCTATTTAAACCAAGAAATCTTCATTTTCACCCAATATTATTCAATCTTGGGTTTTATAGTTTGGGCCTCCTAATATTAACCCATTAGCTCATATTAATAGTAGGCCCATTTTTCGAGGGCTGTTGATTCGTACTGACGGCGCGTGACATTTTTCCTCTTCCACGTGCGGGCACGTCATGTTCTGTACTTTATGTTTTGTCTGTCTTAAAATATCTCTCCAATGGGAAACAAACACCTCATACTTCTGTTACTTTTTATATCATTACTCCTTTCTTATTAACATTTTATAGTTTCCACCCCCAATGTTATATATTGTTATTATACACCCCATACCATCTTCCCTTTTAGTGCCGCCCACAGAAATTTGCAAATGTTCTTCTCTTTGTAATGCTCGCTGCTAAACTCTCAATGCACGCGCGCGCACATGCAGACACTACTCCAAATCCAAATGTATCAGGGATAATTTTTTTGGATTCAAATGTAAAAGTAACTCTATTTTACTTTTAACTGAGAGATATTTAAGAGACAATTGGTTTAGTTGTTGATGGAAATTTTAGTTAATTCGAACATAAAAACTAGGGACAAATTAAGAAAAGCTTTAAAATCCAGTAACTTTTCCAAAATCTTGGAAGAATTCATAATTTTCATTCTTCGTATAAAATTTGTAAAAACCGGTGAAATGGGGTTATATAGAAAATACGAAGTAGAAGGTATAATTTGTAAATATAATAAAATATTGGGATGAATTACAGCTATTTCGATGAAATCAAAGTTAGAGAAGAGATGATTGATCACTGATTTTCACAACTCTCTGTGCGTTGCGGCATGCACTGAGAACAGTTGACTCGTTCCAAATCAGGAAAAGGTAAAAGTAATATCAGTCCGGCGAAGCTTTTCTCGTTTTCCGGCCCCGATCTCGGCGGATCGCCACTTTTATCGGGCGGCGGACCACATGGCGGTGGATAGTGCGTATCTGATGCAGTTTGTGGACGAGACCTCGTTTTACAATCGCATTGTTCTGAGCCACCTTCTGCCGTCGAATCTGTGGGATCCTTTACCGCATTTCTTCCAGACATGGCTCCGGAATTACCTCGCCGGGACCCTACTCTACTTCATCTCCGGCTTTCTCTGGTGCTTCTACATCTATTACCTCAAACATAATGTTTATCTGCCCAAAGGTGACTGACTTTAACAAAAATGTTGTTCCTTTAATGATCTCGATTCATCGATGCTGCTATCGTCTGATTGGTTGTTGTCGATTTTCAATTTAAGGATAAGTTTTTTTTTTATCTTATCTTTTTTTTTTTGTTTCTCGCGTACTGTACTTTTAGTTTGAGTTTAACAGTTTGTCTTTTCGGAATATCTGTATGAAATTAGAACTCAATTGTATTTGCATTGAGATTGATGAACTATGTGGAATCAGACTTGTTTAATTCTGATTATTTCTCTTAATGAGGTTCATCATAGACAAAATTCCTCAGCTTTGTGTGTTGCTTGATATTCAATATTCTCCATCTTTCGGCTTGATTAAAGTTCTTGCTGCTTCTCTGAAACTTTAAGTATCACTACCAGTGAGAACTTTTCGATATTAGGAATATGTTATTTTTGCTGCTTCTCTGAAACTTTTCCTGGAGAAGGATATAAAAACAGTGTTTCTGTAAAGAAAATCTGTAGTTGTAGAAAGTCTAGTCCTTTTGTCTTAGTTTTGAAATCTTGTTTTGGATCAACTTTGTCTTCAGATGCGATTCCTACAAGAAAGGCTATGCTTTTGCAAATGTATGTGGCGATGAAGGCGATGCCTTGGTACACTCTTCTTCCAACTGTGTCCGAGAGTATGATTGAAAATGGTTGGACCAAATGTTACTCTAGAATAGGCGAAATCAGCTGGTTCCTCTATTTTGTTTCCATCGCGGTCTATCTTGTTTTTGTTGAGTTTGGTATTTATTGGATGCACAGAGAGCTTCATGACATTAAGCCTCTGTATAAGTATCTCCATGCGACCCACCATATCTACAACAAGCAGAATACGCTTTCTCCCTTTGCCGGTAAGTGTACTCAGTTTCTCATCATACTTGTAGAATTATATAGATTTCATATTTGTATCTTGGTGTATCCAAGAATGTGGCATCTAACTTCCTTAGGTTTTGGTTTTCCTTGCAGGGCTTGCGTTTCACCCAATAGACGGGATACTTCAGGCTGCACCGCATGTGATGGCTCTGTTTATAGTGCCGATTCATTTCACAACCCATTTAGGTCTTTTGTTCATGGAAGCGATATGGACAGCGAACATCCATGACTGCATCCACGGTAACATATGGCCAGTAATGGGTGCAGGGTACCACACGATACACCACACAACATACAAGCATAACTATGGTCACTATACCATATGGATGGACTGGATGTTTGGCTCTCTAAGGGACCCTCTCTTTGAAGAAGACGGCGACAAAGACAGCTCCAAGAAAAAAGCAGAGTGACAATGCCCCTTTTGGGTTTTTGTCTTGCTTGCTTGTTTGAAGTTTCAACCTTTTTTTATTTTCTTCTTCTTCTTTGTGTGTCTCTCTCAGAACCTTTCCAATTATGTTGTTTAGAAGCATTGACTGCACATTTGCTGTCTAGTTTTAATTCAGGTAAAAATTGACTCCACTTCTCAACTCCCAAAATATAGCTGGGCCAGAGTCTAGCCTGACCTACCACATTACTAATGACTTCTTCTTTCCTGTTTAACAAAGTCACCAGCATGTGACCATTGATTGAGAATCACAGGAAAATGATATTATATGTAGTTTAAACCCTAAAGTTTTAACATATTCATAATATAACCCCAGAGAAACCAATCCCACAATTGCTGCAGAGACTGTAGCAATCCATCTTACTATAAAAATTAGTAAAATCCATTTAGAATGCTTCTTAGTCTAAATATTATTAGTTACAATAAACAAATTAATAAAAATGTTTCACATGTCTCATACTCAATAATGTTTACTTTTTGCACTCTGGAATAGAAAACCGGTGGCTTAACTTGGCCTGATAAAAAATGAGGCTATATTTTACAGAATAGAATATGTAACTTGGGCGCGTTTATAATAAATGTTGGGAAGAAGGAACTTATATAACAAGGAACCTAAGCACAGATCACAAAGCCTCTCCCTCCCCTCTGGCGACAGATTATATATCTCTCTCTCTCTATCTGTACCTAAGGCACAAGCAGAGAGACAACGTTTTACTTTTCCATGGCGGAGGATAATGGGTATCTTACTCAGTTCGTCGACGAGACAACGTTTTACAACCGAATCTTCCTGAGTCACCTTTTGCCGGCGAATCTGTGGGAACCTTTACCACATTTCCTCCAGACATGGCTCAGGAATTACCTCGCTGGAAACCTTCTTTACTTCATCTCCGGTTTCCTCTGGTGCTTCTACATTTATTACCTTAAACACAACGTTTACTTTCCCAAAGGTGATTTTTTTTGTTTTATTTTCAATTTTGATTACTGATTTTGCTGTGTTCCCAACGATTATATCCCCTTGTGGATTCTTTTCCACTTTTCAGTTTTGTCTTCAGCTTCTGATTTGACTAACGTCTCATCTGATTTGATGAGTTTGAATTTTTGAGCTCAAAATGTATATATTAGTATTATTATGACCTTGCAACTGGAAAACTGTAGATCATACTTCTATTACTTTTTCCTTTCCTTTAGTTTGTCTTGGTTTAGTTTTGAATTTTTTTTGTTTGCTGGATCTACTACAATTTGCTGCAGATTCTATTCCTACGAGAAAGGCAATGATTCTGCAAATATATGTGGCGATGAAGGCTATGCCTTGGTACACACTTCTTCCAGCTGTCTCTGAGTACATGATCGAGCGTGGTTGGACCAAATGTTACTCTACACTTGACCAGTTCAACTGGTTCCTCTGTTTGCTCTACATCGCCCTCTATCTTGTTTTAGTTGAGTTTGCGATTTATTGGGTTCACAAAGAGCTTCATGACATTAAATTTCTCTATAACCATCTCCATGCAACACACCATATCTACAACAAGCAAAACACACTCTCTCCGTTTGCTGGTAATTAGCCAAGTTTTCACGAATTCTCTTTTTAATTAATCTTAACTTCAAATGCAAGAATGATGTCACTGTCAATCTAATTAAAGGGTCAGTCTCTAGCTAGGCTTTTACTTAACGTGTGTTTGGGTTTTTTCAGGGCTTGCATTACATCCGTTGGACGGGATACTCCAGGCTGCACCGCTCGTGGTTGCTCTGTTTATAGTACCGATTCATCTCGTAACACATCTGAGTATTTTGTTTCTGGAAGGGATATGGACAGCGAGCATCCATGATTGCATCCATGGTAACATTTGGCCTATTATGGGCGCAGGATACCATACCATACACCATACCACATACAAGCATAACTATGGTCATTTTACCATTTGGATGGACTGCATGTTTGGCACTCTTAGGGTTCCAGAAGACAACTGCTTCAAGGAGAAAGCAAAGTGAGAGAATGCTCAAAAAAGTTTCACGTTTTTTCTTCATTCATGTGTTGTTCTTCTCGTGACTCTATTTTTTAAGTCTTGTAATCACTTTGTTGTAATTTGAACACAGTCTGCGGCAAAGTTTCTGATTAAATTAGTTATTTACATGATGGAATTACAAATTTTGATCTTTTAGATTAAAATCTGAAGGAATTATTATTATTTAAGCCCTTAAGATTGGGCTATTCCACATTATCTCTTGATTTTTTCTAAAATAGTAAAGTAAATTATACTTATATGGTAGGTGAAGTTGCACAAGATAACCCAATCATGTGAGAGGTAACATTTGTGTTTTTCAGTTAAGGTAAGAAAAAAAAAACAGCAGAACGAGAAAATCAAAAATTGAAAAACATATCAAATTAATTAGAGGAAAAAATTACATAATTATTCATAATCAATCAAACGCGTGCTCTCTCTCTCTCTCTTCCCCTCTTTTCATCCGCCATGAAAACATATAAAACACCTTCCAGTCACAAGTCGAATCCATCAGAAGGTAAATTCTTATTCTCGCTCTTTACACACGAGAAAATTGAGAAGATTCCGGTAATTTTCGTTCCCTAATTTCATTAAAGGAAAAAAGTTCTCTTTTGCATATCCATGGGGAATAAAGGTCGTTTCTTTCAAATGGGTTCTTTTGTAGAGATACAAAACATTTATATTGCCACTTCCCACTTGTAGTAGATTAGGTTGTCCCACAGAGTCACTGTGTTGCTCCTTGAGTTACTGTGATGTTGAATTGAGTTTTCATCTACCAATTAAGATGGAGTTTCTTGTCTGTTTCTGTCTTCTTCCTCTTTCGTAATTCTTAATTCTTCTCTACTTCTCCTACAGCTAGATTTTTTTCTCTTTACTGTTCCTCTTCAGCTAATTTTGGGGCTTTTTTAAGCTGCTACGTTACGATAACGATGCCCTTTCCTCATTTTCAGAATTTTGGGGGTTTTTTCCAGGTTTGTCAATTCTTGCCATTGGTTTTGGAAACGATTCTAAATTGGTGGGTTCTGCTTGAATCTCTCTCACTTCAAACTGATTTGCGCCTTCAAAAATTATCAACTTTGGTTTCTTCCACTTGCAAAACTTTAGGTGAAGTTACGAGTTAGACTCCTTGTTTCGAGTCTCATTGCAGGGTGTTAGGTTTGCAGGAATCTCAATTAAGCTTTCTAATTTTGCATAATATGGAGTCAGTGACTCTTGGTTACAGATTCGTTTTGGTGATCACAATCTACTTAACCTCTGCGAGTAAGAATCCCTTTTGAGCAGAAGTTATAAAGGATTCTTCTCTGTTCTTTTTCTCTTGTGGTTTTTGTGCTTTGGGGTTCTTTGCAGATAAGTGATATCTTTTGGTGGGTTTATTAGAAACTCTAGTTTTAAGCTTGAACATGGGAATGCTTATTGTATTAGGTGGCTAATGTAATATAGAAGGAAACTAAATAGTTATGTATGATTAGTTAAGCAGTTATTTTGTATGCCTTTGATGCAGTTTATGCAGGCTGGTTTAGTGATTAGATAGGTTTTGATTTAAAAACAATCATGACAAGTTAATCTTGTTTCTTGAGTATTCTTTTGTCTTGAGTGTGTGATTCTTGATCTTAGGCTGTGACAAACCGGGGACCTGAAACCGCTGATAATTGGGTCTCACCATCTGACATTCCACTCATAGAATCTAATAGTAAAGAGGTATCCCTAATTGTATTTGTCTTTTCACCAACGGTTTTTGGCGAGCCTAGTCCATGTCAAAACTTGTAAAAACAATTGATGAATTGAATTTAGTATTAACACTGCTTTACCAAGCTCCACTTTTTTTGGGAATATTATGCTACAAAACAGATTTTCTATTGAGTCCACAACTGCGACCTATTGCCGATTCTTTGCCTTTCACACACTACACGTACCTTTTCTTGCTTTTTGTTTTTTTTTTTCCAGCTCTGTGGCCGCTTCGAAACGTAAAGAGAAAAGGGAAAGACAATTTGATTAATGGCAATTTTTTTTTTTGTTTAATTTGTCCAAGCAGCAGAGGATGAGAGAGACACAACTAGGCGGTCACACTTTGAGGACCCATGGAAGGACTATCTTAAGGACACACATGCATGATTGGATCATACTCGTGCTACTCGTTATGATTGAGTGTGGACTCCTTATAATCCACCCTTTTTATCGCTTTGTCGGGAAAGATATGATGACTGATCTCAGTTACCCTTTAAAGAGCAACACCGTACCGATTTGGTCTGTCCCGGTAAGCTTCCAGAGTAAAGTAAAATCATAAACTTTGGCTGAAGACACTTCTCGCAATGTAAAAATACGTTTCCTTTCCTCGGGATGACAGATCTATGCAATGCTGTTGCCGTTGGTAATCTTTATCGTCATCTACTTTCGCAGAAGAGATGTCTACGATCTTCATCACGCCGTGCTAGGTCAGAATTTCTATATATAAAAAAGGAGATTGACTGCTCTGTTCTTCAAAGTGTCTTCTTTCATGGATAATCACCATTAAAAAGTTGGCCTTTTTTCGCTTTTTTCGATGTGCAGGTCTGTTATACTCTGTTCTTGTGACAGCAGTACTTACGGATTCTATAAAGAATGCAGTTGGTCGACCACGTCCTGACTTCTTCTGGCGTTGTTTTCCCGATGGCAAAGCTGTAAATGTCCCCATGAGTTTTACCAGTTCGCGACTTTAGATCTTGTTCTGCCTCATGAATTTTCGATTTTGCTTCTCAGCTTTATGATAGCCTCGGGGATGTTATATGCCATGGTGATAAAAGCGCCATTAGAGAAGGGCACAAAAGCTTCCCAAGCGGACACACCTCATGTAAGACAAACCTACTCTGTTTTTTCTTTTGCTTCAGCATTTTACCCGAATATCCAAACTAGATTGTATTCACACTCTCTAGAAAGAAGCTAAAACTGTGTGTGTTGTTTTGGGTTTTGTGTAGGGTCTTTTGCAGGACTGGGATATCTGTCGCTGTACTTGTCAGGGAAGATTCAGGCATTTGATGGTAAAGGCCACGTTGCGAAGCTATGCATTGTCATCCTCCCTTTGCTATTTGCAGCTCTTGTCGGTATCTCCCGTGTAGATGACTATTGGCATCACTGGCAAGACGTCTTCGCTGGAGGCTTGCTAGGTTTGTTGTGTTCACTTCTCTACTCAGTTAAAAAAAAGTTCAGAAGTTGTTTCCCTTGAAACATCATAACAGAGTTTTATCCCATCGCAGGTCTCGTGGTCTCTACGTTCTGTTATCTTCAATTCTTCCCGCCACCATATCACACTGAAGGTGAAAAAGAATTACGGATTCCATATGCTCAAGGAATTTTAAAAAATGCATTGTGAATTGATGATCGATCTTTTTGCAGGTTGGGGACCATATGCTTACTTCCAAGTGTTGGAGGCGGCACGACTGCAAGCAGCCGAGCGACCGCCCCAAGATCAGAACGGTGAAGAGGAAGACGGCGGGTTTATGGGTTTACATTTGGTGGATAATCCGAGTATGAGGAGAGAAGCTGATGTTGAAACTGGTAGAGGCTGAGGATGAACAAACTCTGAAGCTTCTTTGGTTGCTTTCTTAGGACACTTTCTCTTCTTCTTTAGATTCTTTGACAACTTCTGTAGATTTCTGTCCGTTTGTTTGGTTTTTTTGTTTTTGGTTTAACTGTTTAAGGAATCCGGTATTGGTATTGATTTATTTCTTTAAATTTCTTCACTTCAGAGAAATCGAACCACGAGTTCATATAAATTAACATCATTTTGTTTAGTTAGATACGAAGAAACAATCATTTTTGGTTCAGTTCTTCATAATTATTTATGAGTTTATACCGCGACGGATTACGCCGGAATTTTGGAGTTTCTGTTGCGGCGGTGGGAGGTGGAGAAATTAGGATTGGGTTTGTCCGGCGAAGGAAGGAGAGCACAGGATTATCTGTGCACCTTGCCGCGGAGGATCAGGAGGTTAGAGGAAAGGGCTAACGATAGAGTCAAACTTGGGTCAAAACCTTCTGTTTCTTTCAGCTGGGTTTACGGGAGACAAGTTTCATTATAAGAGAGATTAATAAAATCATTAACGCAACATTATTTTATTGCAAAACAATTAAAGATCTTGCGTTTTAGTGAAAGGTGCTGTGTAGCACTGGGTTGTATATATCAAAAGGCCCATGGGCCTGCTAAATAAGCAAATAAAATATCTGTAAGGAGTGGCATACATGTAATTAATAGAGTTACCTAAGGGATATTCTAGAGAACAAAAAAAGTTGCATTTAATGTCCATGGCTCGATTATCACGCCCAAAGTTTTTGTTCTCGTCTCGTTAAAACCTTCACATTTGTCACAGTCTCGCAGCATAGAAATAATCGAATCGACCTTTTTCTGGTCTTTATCTGGGATCTGTTGTTGCTATTTAATCACTTTCTTCATCTTCGATTGATTGAGCTTGTGTGAGAGAAGAAGAAACTAGAAGAAAATGGCTATGGCTATGGATCGGATCGTTGTCTCCCCTTCCTCTTACGTGTATCGTCCATCTCTAGCTCGGGGATCCAGATCTTCCAGAGTTTCCATGGCTTCTACGGCTCGCTCTGACACTACGTGAGTTTTCTCGTCCCATTGTCTAAATCGTGTGCTTCGAATTTTTCCATATACCTGGGTTTTTGGATTGAGTGTCAATGATAAATCTCTGGATTCGACTGATCCAGTTTCTTGTTTTCAACAACTTCCTTTGACCAATGCAATCTTTTTTGAGGACGAAATCGAGATTTGTATAATCACTTGTATTAGTTATCTGGTTCGTGAAATGATGAATTTGCTCCTTCTTCTTTATTTCTGTTTCTGAACTCGTCCGATTTACTGGTTTTCTGATTAATCTGTGAGCTTATTTTTTGGAAAGAAAGAAAATTTCCTTTTGTTCCATCTCTTTTAAAAATTATTTGATGCAAAGGGAAATCTTTTGTCTCGTTTTGTGTAATCTCTTCTTTTATTTAACGCATGCATGAATTGTTTTTGTGTTCTTGGTTGTTGGCCCATAAGACTACTCCCGCTAATCAATTTCTCATTCATTTATTCTATTGTTTGCTTGTGTTAGTCTTTTTAACAAAATTCACATACCACCAAAATCATTTAAATGTGTTTTTGTATTTTTGTACAGATGTGAGTTTTCTTATATTCATGGGCTTACTGCGTACATGCGTGTCTATGTTACTATCTACAGTATGTGAAATATATGTCTAAAATGTTGGGACTTTTCTTCTCTTCTTTTCCCAAGTATTATCCTTTGAGTTTGCCTGTTTTACTGCAATTGCACATAGCTCTCTAATCGTGTTGGGATCTCTGTTTCCTAGGTGTTTCTAAATTTGCATTATTACTTGCTTGTTAATTGGTTACCTGAAGAACACGGAACTTTAACTGATATCTACGTGCAACTTTGAAACTCTATGGATCTTTCTTCTGAAGCTGCTGATGGTGGGAAATGAAAATGCATGCATTTGCTTTTATTTATCAGTCGCTAAAGTCCTTTTGAATTTGAAACTTTATTGGTTAATTACAGAGAGGTCACAAATGGAAGGAAACTGTATATCCCTCCTCGGGAGGTGCATGTTCAAGTGAAACATTCTATGCCACCACAAAAGTTGGAGGTCTTCAAGTCCTTAGAAGGATGGGCTGATGAAACCCTCTTGACTTATTTAAAACCTGTTGAGAAGTCGTGGCAGCCGACCGATTTTCTTCCGGAAGCTGATTCAGAAGGATTCTATGACCAAGTCAAGGAGTTAAGGGAAAGGTGTAAGGAACTCCCCGATGAATACTTTGTGGTGCTTGTTGGGGATATGATCACAGAAGAAGCACTTCCGACCTACCAGACGATGTTGAACACCTTGGATGGAGTTAGAGATGAGACGGGAGCAAGTCCTACGCCTTGGGCGGTATGGACGAGGGCTTGGACTGCTGAAGAGAATAGGCATGGGGATCTTCTTAACAAGTATCTTTATTTGTCTGGCCGAGTAGACATGAGGCAGATTGAAAAGACAATTCAGTACCTGATTGGTTCGGGAATGGTAAGATCCTCTCGTAATTTTTCTTGCTTTATGATCTTTGATACATCCCTGATCCTCTGAAATTGCATTTGCGCTGTAGCAATGAGTAACCTATAATGGATATACAACTTGAACTGAGTGTTAAAATTTAGATAGGATGGAGATACAATCATAAACCATGTATCAGTTTTCTTCTTAGTTTGCAAAATACGCGTTTTATGTTTCAAGTTCTGAATAATAGAGTTGAAGTGGTTCCTCTTAGGTGCCGGCCACTTTAATCACACTCACGAATTTTCTTGTGTGTGTAAAGTTTGTATTCTGTATTTCCCATGTATGATTGATTGTCTTATCCTCTTAGGATCCAAAAACCGAGAACAACCCTTACTTGGGTTTCATCTACACTTCCTTTCAAGAAAGAGCGACCTTCATCTCCCATGGAAACACTGCCAGGCTGGCGAAAGATCGTGGAGATTTGAAACTTGCGCAGATATGCGGGACCATTGCTGCTGATGAGAGGCGCCATGAGACTGCTTACACCAAGATTGTAGAGAAGCTCTTTGAAATTGACCCTGATGGCACGATCTTGGGATTGGCTGATATGATGAAGAAAAAGATCTCAATGCCTGCACATTTAATGTATGATGGGCAAGATGATAACCTGTTTGAGCACTTCTCAACCGTTGCCCAGAGGCTCGGTGTCTACACCGCCAAGGACTATGCTGATATTCTGGAGTTTCTTGTTGAACGGTGGAATGTTACGTCTCTGTCAGGCCTTTCTAGTGAGGGACACAGGGCCCAGGTAAATTGCCACCATGAAAGATCTATATATATTTTTCATCTTTAGACTTGTGATGAAACGTTTTAGTTTATGAATACTATATTAGCTGGACTGCTTGGTCTGTTATGTGTATTTGAAGGTCTGATCGGGACCTGAACTTGAATTCTGACTCTTATCATTACCTTTGACAGGACTTTGTCTGCGGTCTACCTGCAAGAATCCGCAAAATTGAAGAGAGAGCTCAAGGAAGAGCCAAGGAAGCAGCCAAAAACATACCATTCAGCTGGATTTTTGGTCGAGAGATCAGGGCTTAAAGAAACGATTCTGTTTCAAATAATGTCCAAGTAAGCCATAAAGTTCTTCACCAGCATCTCACCGATGACGGATAAGTTTTAAGACCACGAAAGTTCATTTGAATATGTTTTGTTTTATACGGAACATTGTAGATAAAGCTATGTTTCATGTTTGAATCAGTCAAAAGACATAATAAGAAAAAGAAAAATGTTTTGAGTGTTCGTAGTGATAATGTCTGGTTACCAAGAACAAGACTTTCAAAGTTTGCTTTTCTTTTTTTGAAACTCTTTTTTGCTGTATCAGTACTATATAATGTTTTCTCCTAAGTAAATAAATGGTCTGTACCATTTTCCTTTCTCGACTGCTTAGCATTTCCCTTTCAAAATTCATTTAGAGTTCCGATTTCTCCTTTGAGAGAAACTGCTAGAGAATCTGGAAACAGATTCTGAGTTTTATGAATATTGGTTTGAACTCTTGTTAAGGAAGGCATAATATCATCTATTCAGAAACCAAACCCATAAAAACAGATCAACTAACATTTGATACAAAACTCTCCCTCAATCAAAATCATTACAAGAATTCAAATATTCAAACTTGGAACGGCCATGGCGAATCCTTGAGAGTCTCGTCACTCTGAACCTTACCAGTTCTCTTCATAGCAACTCCACTGTTGTTACCATCACCATCGACGTAAGCATAGTACTTTAAGAAGAAGGCAAGAACGAGAACGATCCACTCAATGCAAAAGATCAAAACACAGAGCCCACCAGCTAGTTTCAAGATCAAAGACGCTTCTTTTTCACGGACGTAAGAGTTAAGACTCTCCAGGAAATTCGAAGTGTTGGTGAAGATGAGAACAGAGACGGATCCTTGGAAAATGGCGGTGAGGACGGTTGCGATCATGTGTGCTGCGTACCACCTGTTCTTGCCGTAGGATGCGGCAGCACAGCCGGAGACGGCGGCAGCGATTGTGGTGGCGTGGAGGAGGATGAGGAAGAAACCGCAGAGAGAAGGGATTAGACGGAGAGAGAGAGTAAGGAAGATACAACTTGAGGATGCACCGAGGAGGATGTAGTTTGAGAAGAGGAAGATTTTGTGGGTGTGGTAATGAGATTCTTGAATCGATTGTTGAGGTTGAGTAATTAAACCCATGACGATGGACTGTTTTTCTGATTGGGGTTTTTCTAATAGAAAACTATAGATTTTGAGATCAACAAGAAGAAGAAGATAGTGTAGCTTGTGAAGTGTGATTGTAGATGGGATCTGTGAATTGGGTAAGATCGGAATGGGTTTATATAGAGAGAGATTCAAAGGGTCGGAGTTTCCAAATATGACCGTTGGGGTTTGCACAAGTGAAGAACAGAGTAGCTGTTGTGTAACGGCTAGTATTTTAGCTTTCTTTTGGTCAGAACAAAGACTATCAGGCCCAATGGGTATAAATATATAACGAAATAGTTATGAGCCTTTAGGTCCACAAGACTTTTATTTTATGACTTTCTCATTATGGTGTAACAAATTTGCATATTAAACCGAAACTGACCGTTTTCTTATCACAGCAAAGATGAAACTTAATAGACCGTTTTAATACAAATTGAAACAGAATAAAGTCTAGATGAAACCATAACTGCAAAAACAAAGCAAAGCTGTTTCTTCTACTTCGATTCAAGATCTTGTTTTGCTTCTAAAATTTAAGATCATGCTGCCTAAAAGACAAAATGAGTCATCTACTACTGAGCAGCATAGCTTTGACGAGGCTCGATGGGTCATCAATGTTCGAAAATCTCTCGATGCAGAGCTTGAAGAACACGATCTCGAAGAAGTCACAATTTGCATTTTCACTGTCCCTAAAGCATTGATGTGTAGCCACCGAGATTCATACACACCTCACCGAGTTTCGATCGGACCTTATCACTGTCTTAAACCGGAGCTTCACGAGATGGAGAGGTATAAACTAATGATCGCGAGAAAATTTCGAAATCAATCTAAATCTTTCAGGTTTCATGATCTTGTCGAGAAGTTGCAATCCATGGAGATTAAGATTCGAGCCTGCTATCACAAGTATATCGGGTTTAACGACGAGACTCTGTTGTGGATAATGGCGGTAGATTCGTCGTTCCTGATCGAGTTTCTTAAGATTTACAGTTTCAGAAAGGTGGAGACTTTGATTAACAGAGTCGGGCATAACGAGATTCTTAGAGATATTATGATGATCGAGAACCAAATCCCGTTTTTCGTTTTGAGGAAAACACTCGAATTTCAGCTTGAATCGACGGAATCAGCTGATGGTCTGTTGGTCTCTGTTCTTACCGGATTATGCAGAGACCTCTCTCCTCTCGTTATCAAATTCGACGATGATGAGATTTTGAAGGCACATTTTCATGACTATAATCATATTTTAGATTTCTTGTATCAGATGATCGTTCCAAGAATCGAAGAAGAACAAGAGGCCGAAGAAGAAGAAGAAGAAGAAAACAGAGCAGGCGACAATGGCGGAAACAGAGCAGTTAGGTTTCTGCAAGAGTTTAAGCTTCAGTTAAATAGGGTTTTAGCATCCAGACCTGCAGATTTAATCTTGAGACTTCCATTGAGAATCATATCAAACCTTCCAGGATTCATCGCTCTGAAATTCTCGGCTGATTATCTTTTCACCAGACAAGAAAACGAAGCAACAACAACAACAGCAGGACAAGAATCATCATCGGCTTCGATTCCCAACATCGAGAAGCCTCCTCTCGTTGAAGAGCTCACAATCCCATCAGTCTCCGATCTCCACAAAGCCGGAGTTCGATTCAAACCAACAACAAATGGTAACATTTCAACGGTAGCATTCGATTCAGACTCGGGTCAGTTTCACCTCCCTGTAATAAACCTAGACATCAACACAGAAACCGTTCTACGGAACCTCGTTGCTTACGAAGCTTCCAACACATCAGGACCACTCGTGTTCACTCGTTACACAGAGCTGGTTAACGGAATCATCGACTCTGAAGAAGACGTTAGGTTGCTTAGAGAACAAGGCGTTCTTGTGAGCCGTCTCAAGAGTGATCAAGAAGCTGCAGAGATGTGGAATGGTATGAGCAAATCCGTGAGGTTGACCAGAGTTGGGTTCTTGGATAAGACTATTGAGGATGTTAACCGGTATTATACCGGAAGGTGGAAAGTGAAGATTGGGAGATTTGTGGAGGTTTATCTTTATGGTTCTTGGCAGATTTTTGCGTTTTTTGCGGCTGCTTTGTTGTTGATCTTGCTTTCGTTGCAAGTGCTATCTTTGGTGTTTAGCTCATTGAGGTTGCTTCGCCTGAGAACCGGTTAGTTGAGATTGGTTTGACTGTGCTTCCCATTTGATGTAATTTTGGATTTGGTTTGGTTTGACTGTGGTTACCATTTCATGTAATTTTTGGATTTGGTTTGGTTTGATTGTGGTTCCCATTTCATGTAATTTTGGATTTGGTTTGGTTTGACGACTGTGGTTCCCATTTGATTTGGGTAATGTCGAACCATATATGAAACTGATAATCAGCATGGCTTTGAATTTGCTTCCTGCTTATTCGGTTATGGATAAATAATTTAATTTGGTTAAATCGAACTAGAGAAGACGGCTTTTTTTGCAACAAAAGTCCTCCTTCTTTTGTATTGATTCTAATTTTACCCTTACATACATTAATTAGTAAAAATCGAAATTGAGAGAGAGAATAGGGTTTTTTGGGTTTAGAATCAGAAACCGCTGCTGAAGATAGTCTGGGAGAAAGCAGAAATGTGGAGATCCGTTTTCTGGAGATCGCAAAATGCGTCTCGTAATTTCGCCGTTACTCGAATCTCGAAGAAGAAGACCCAGCCTCCATCGCTAACCTCACTTTCCAGAGTCTCACACGTCGAGTCATCAGGAAATGCTTCTGCCCGAAACCTGAGGTTCTTCTCCACGAGCCATACGGAAGAGAACACAGTCTCGTTACCCACGGATGAGATCCCAATCTCTTCAGCGGCGGAGCTTACCCTTGAAGAATCAAATGCTTCCGATTTGGGTTTTTCCGAAAGTGGCGATTTTGGTGTAAACGGTACTTCCGCAGAAACAATTGGTGGTGTTGGTGAAGATGGAGATTCAGCTACTGTTACAATGGAAGCTTCTGATGGTGGATCCGTCGTAGAAGTCGGGGATCCTCGAGCTGACGAGGTAACTCAATTTGACGACGAAAAGTTGGAATCTGTGCTATCTTTGTTACGAAGTGACGAAGAGTCCTTGGAGTTTGGTTTGAAGGCGCTCGATATCGATTTACACTTAGATCTTGTGGTCAGAGTGTTTGAATCCCCAGGGATTTCAGGTAAGAATCTGATTAGGTTCTTGAAGTGGGCAACTAAGAAAGAGGAGATTACTCTTACCGCATCACTTGTAGAATCTCTTGTCGTGGCAATTTCTGGCGATACACGTAGATTAGATGCTTATGCTTTGTGGGATTTGTTTAAGGAGATTGGTGAGGATGAGAAGAGTAGTGTTTTGAATTTGGAGATACTGAACGAATTGATCGCCTTGTTCGGGAAGATTGGTAAATCCAAAGCTGCTTTCGATGTGTTCAGTAAAACCGAAGAGTTTGGGTTTACTCCCAACGCGAAAACTTATTATGTGACCTTGGAGGCGCTTTGTAAGCGGTCGTTTATGGAATGGGCATGCTCTGTGTGCGAGAAGATGCTTAAGAGTGGTGTGTTACCAGAGGGAGACCAGATTGGTAACATCATAACCTGGTTTTGTAAGGAAGGGAAGGCCGAAGAGGCTTACTCGGTCTACGAACTGGCAAAGGCTAAAGAGAAATCCCCGCCTCCTAAAGCTGTTACTACTCTGATAAGTGCGCTCTGCAAGAATGATGGGACTGTCGCGTTTGCTCAGGAGATGTTGAGTGATTTATCTGGAGAAGCTAGGCGACATGGGATCAAACCGTTTTCTGACGTTATCCGTAGTTTATGCAGGATGAAGAATGTTAAAGACGCTAAAGCTTTGCTTTTGGATATGATTTCTGAAGGCCCTGCTCCTGGGAATGCGGTTTTCAATCTGATTGTCCATGCTTGTTCGAGAAGTGGAGATCTTGATGAAGCAAAAGAGGTTTTGAAGTTGATGGAGAGTAGAGGTTTGAGACCAGACGTGTACACATACACCGTCATCATTAGCGGTTATGCTAAAGGAGGGCTGATGAAGGAAGCTCAAGAGATTCTAGCAGAAGCGAAGAAGAAACATAAGAAGCTTAGTCCTGTGACATATCACGCACTCATCAGAGGCTACTGCAAGATTGAAGAATACGAAGAAGCTCTTACACTTTTGAATGAAATGGATCGTTTCGGTGTGAAGCCTAATGCCGACGAGTACAGTAAGCTGATACAATCATTCTGCCTCAAAGCCTTGGATTGGGAAAAAGCAGAGATGCTGTATGACGAGATGAAGCACAAGGGCTTGCACCTCAATGCGATTACTCAGGGGCTGATAAGGGCAGTTAAAGAGATGCATTCTGATGCCAAGGTAACCGAAGATGTTGCTGCAGCATAGAACTCGATTCGATAATTTCCATTGTTATATCAAAATCTGGAATAGCTTTTGAAGATGTTTTTCTTGGTTTGAAATCCCAAAAGATACCTTGACTGTTCTTTAGTTACTGGTAGCATTCTCTATATTGTACTCGAGCATTCTCCAATAAGCTTTCATGGTGCTCAACTGTTTCGGTTCAAGTTTTTTAGCTTTTTACTGAACAAGTGTGATAATTGAGTACCAAGATATAGTGAGTCAGATTACCATGGTTATTGTTCGGTTTGCATTTGGTTTTCTACGAAATTAACCTTTTTATTTATTATTTCGTGTTTCAGTTCAATATTTCATTTTCTTCATCTCATCTCATTTCATCTTTTGGAATTGCTATAATTGCTATAGTTCATCTCCAACCATGGAAGTTCCTAATCTGGATTTCATGACAGATCTGGATTAGTCTTTAACTTAACCAAATGTATTTGCAACCTAATCTGGTCATGGCCTGGTTAGAGCAGGAATTAAAAATCAGCTTATGCTACTTAATTCAAACTCTCTACCACTTGGGATTCTGAATGTGGTTCACAGCATATAAAATGCCTTGTCAAGTTCTGAGTGACGAGAAATCATACTTGTATTACGAATGATTATGATTTCTTTTATCTATCCATTAGAAGAAAAGAATTAAAAAACGAATAATCTTAACTTTATCTCTTATATAGTTAGTTATGATTTATTTTCTTAATCCCTAAAAAGAAAATAGAGAAAAGAAATCATAACCATTTAAGGGCTCATCTATCCTATTTTTGGGCTTTTCTTTATGCCATGTCGATTCATTGGTAACCCATTTTTGGGCTTTTAAGTTATGGTAAGCCTATTACTAAATTGAGTCCAGAAAATATGACTTGGAACTTTCTGAACAATTGGATTCTTTTTGTTTGTTATAAGGAAATGTTGGAAACTAATCAGACTTTTTAGTCCATGATTTTCAATCCTTTAGCACATTTTTAATTATGAAGATGACGTATAAAATTGTCAAACGGTGGAAAGATGATAAAGTACATATATACCTAGTATATAAACAATATACACTTTTAAGTTTTAAAATATAAGTACTTAATGGTGTGGGCTGATTTTATAATTTAATATTGGATATTGGCTAAAGTAGACAACAGAATGAATATACATCATTTCACAAAACTTGTTTAATATACATCATTAAATAATATTTTTTTATTGACTTTTTGTTACGACTACAAATTCAAATTATATGAGTTTTTATAACAAAACTCACAAACTTTTGGCACATTTTTGGTACAAATATCTTTGTAACCTTCATGCTAAATCCAGTAGCAAAGTCTGATTGTATTTGATATTATTGGTTACATCATGTGTTTTGTAGTTTTTGGTATCTGCAATGGGAGATGCGTCCAAATCCAAGCTTTCTTTTCATCATTTTCTAGCTTGAGTTTGGTCAAGAGATTTTGTTTCAAAAACGATAACCCACCTGGTTTGGAAGATTATCTGAAGTCATGATCGGAGGCAAATTAGTACTTGCTTTTTTTTCCGTCATTGACCTCAAACTATCGATTCGCAATCAAACTTGTTTCATATCTTAACTATTTCAAACTCAAACTAATTTATGAATTTTTAAATTTAACCGAAGCCTCCTCAGTTTATCTTGGCTTCGTATACTCTAAAACATTTAATATGTTTGTTTGGTTTCAAAGCTTTTTTATCTTTTGTTCTCTCTTAAGTCAAGAAAAACAAAGTGGTCGTTAATAAATTTCTGGTTTTGTTTCACAAACTAACTTTCAAAAAATACATTATTTTACTGATTTTCGATTCTCTATATCATTTGATTATCAATTATCATACACTCCTTCTGTCATAAGCTTAAAAAACTTGAACTGGAACTTGGATTGAATACCATGGAAGCAGTTAACTATGCTGCATGGGAGAGAGTTGCTGATGCATCTGAATTTGACCTCAGACAAGCTGCCAAGATGAGCTCTAAGTTCTAGCTTTGATGGCATTGTTTTTATGGAAAAAGCTAGTCAACATTGTTACTGAAATGTATGAGAAGAAGAAAAGAGACGATTCCTGAAATTGCAAAGCTGATTGATTTGGATCTATTCAAGGCAGAGTTGATAGAGATATTTGATATCTTCAAAAGAGATATGAAAGGAAATATGGTGCTAAGGGATGATCTTGATGTTTTCAGATCAGAGATGAAAGTAGAGAAGGCATAGCTGAAACAATATATGATTGTGCTTATGGATGATCGAGAACAAGAGGAGAACAAGAGCAGAAGTACATATATGTAGTATATAACAATTAACACTTTTAAGTTTTAATAGATGTACTAGATGATATGGGCTGAATTTTATAATTCAACTGAATAATTTGTTTGAATTTACTTTTTGTTACGACTACAATTTTAGTTATATGAAATACTTTTAAAGATTACAAATCTGACAAATTGTTTTTTGGCACATTTTGAGTACAAAATTGTTCTTTGTAACCTACAAAGTACTAATCTTCATCTCAGATCCTTAATGCAGCTTTTGCCATGTTTTAGAAAGAAAATGGATGGTAATATTATTCAAGTTTCTCAGAAAAATACTATAAATAATAATAGGAAAATATCTGAAGATGGTAAAAAAATCTTATAATAAACTAGAGATGCTCAAGATAAAACAATAGATTACTCTGGCTAGGGATGATCTTCAGAAGTTATTGTTTAGGGAGGAGGTAAATTGTATTTGTTATTGTATTCTCTTAATTTGTTATTGTATTCTCCTAATTTGTTATTGTTTCTACTAACATAATATTTTATTCTCTTTCTCTTTCTTTCAGCTATACAAAGCTATTCAATCCAAAAGCCAGAGAGAGAGAGAGAGAAAGGATAATATGAAAATACAAATGATTGTTACCGATCAGGAAATGTTAAGAAGGTGTTTTAAGAAATAAAAGAAGGTGTTTTGAGGAACAAAAATCAGGAAATCCTAACCACTACTTTGTTCTTCTTGCCTGAAGAGAGAACAAGACCTTTACCTTCAACAATATCTTCTTCTTCAACTCTCTTATTCTCATCATCAACTCTCTCATTGTTCATATATATCCCTCCTTGCTTCAACATCCTCCTTGCAGCAGATTTGCTCTCAAACAAACCCGCAGAAACCGATACATCCACAATCGAAAAACCCTTGACTCGATCAATAGCTAGTGAGCAAGATGGTATATCCTCTGCGATTCTCTCAATCAAGTTCCAATCAAACTTTGTCTCAGCTCCTGGTCTTAGAGCTTCCGTTGCTTTGATGGCTTCCTTCAAACCTTCTTCGCCGTGTACAAATCGGGTTACTTCTTCAGCGAGTTTGATTTGAGCGGTATTAGGAACATACCCGGGTCTGCTCATTTGTTCTTCCAACATCTTTATCTCATCCAAACTCAGAAAAGTTAGAGTCTTTAAAAAGCGTATCACATCAACGTCTGGAACAGAGAAGAAGTACTGATAGAATTTATAAGGCGATAGCTTGGAAGGAGATAGCCAGATCGCTCCATCTTCTGATTTCCCGAATTTTGTCCCGTCGTTTTTCAACAGGAGAGGAAACGTAAGCCCGTAAGCCGCTTCTTCCGCTTGGAGAATCTTCCGGATCAAATCAGTCCCAGCTGTTATATTACCCCATTGATCACTCCCACCTATCTGAACGTTGACCCCTGCCTTGTCGAACAAGTGAACGAAATCATAGCCTTGCAATAACTGATAAGTGAATTCAGTGTAGCTCATGCCTTGCTCTGATTCTAATCTCTTCTTCACACTCTCCTTTGCCATCATATTTCCCACCCTAGCAAACCGACCGACTTTTTTCAGGAAGTCGAGCATTGTCATGTCTTTCCACCAGTCATAGTTATTGAAAATCACGTAAGAACCCGTGTTGCAACCCAGAATCTTGATGATGATGTTTTTAATCCCGGAAATGTTTTTCTCCAGTGTATCGGCGTCAAGCTCAGGTCTTTCAAGGCTTTTACCAGATGGATCACCAACTCTCCCCGTGGCGCCACCAATCAAACCAACGGCTTGATGTCCACATCTCTGGAACCAAGAAAGCACAATGATACCGAGTAGATTACCCAAGTGTAGACTCTCAGCCGTTGGATCAAACCCGCAGTAGACTTTGAGAGGAGGTACGCTAGGATCAGAACAAGCAGACCTGAGATTCTCGCTGGTGACTGACTCGAGGAGTCCTCTTTCTTCGAGGATATCGACTACGTTAGGGCGAGGAACAGTAGGGTGAACTGAACACTTGACAGAGGAGAAGAGAGGAGTTGTGCAAGTGGAGAAAAGGTGATGAACTTGGACCCTTCTGAAGAAAGCAGAGGAGGATCTCTCAGGCAAACTTAGTAAAGAAGCCAAGGGAGATAAAAAGGTTCTGGAGCAAATAGGCAAGATACTTCTTGAAGCAAGCGTCATTCCTGTTGCATACGACATAGGTTGGGTTGGAACCCTTCTTGATAACTACAACTGACAGGTGAATAGAAACACCATTAGCTGTAAACAATGCTAAATGACCCATCTTTATCCTCTAAAACTGTAACGCAAGTAAAACAAAAGCAAGCCTGGCTAGGGGCAAAAATGAAAAGTTCAGTGATTTGGAATGAAACGAATCGAGTAAGCCACTTAAAGGGTCAACGGTTTGATAAAAAAAACTGATTCCACATCCAAAATTCTCTGGCAGGCAATTCAACAAACACCTTATAGGCATAAACAATGCAGTCCCATACAGCCCACAGAAACCCGTGAATAGAAATTGTTTAAGCTCCAAAACTGGAAAAAACACCAAACTAGAAAGGAATCCCAGAAATTTACACCAAACTACAAAGGGATACCCATCACTGCATCTCACACCTTGATGAAGATAGACCAACAAAATATATACATTCCCAACTTCAGCGAAACTACAAACACAACCTAAATGGATAAAGTTTCCAGCCGATTAAACTTTGACAAGGAAGAAGCGAAAGAGCTTACACTGGTTTGCAGCTCCAGGAATTGAATTTGTTTTCGACCTTTGCTTTGCCACACAGATCATCTGCTTCTCAGATTATTTGAAACCAAGATAAACCGAGATATATCCGGACAAGTTTCAAAATTTATAAAATAGTTCAATTTGAAACGGTTTAGATATAAAACCGGTTTGACTGTCTCCGTCTTCCTTAAAACCCAGGAAAATAATACTCTCTCACTCGGTGTTTCTGTAGAAAGTAGAAAAACCCTTTCGAACACAATTTTTTGGAGCGAATCAATGGTTTGGGGTCTCTTTCCTGTTGATCCTCTCTCAGGTTATTTTCCCATTAGTTTCGATTCATTGTAGCTTTTCTTTTTATTCCATCACAGTCTGTAATTTTATTTAGATTGTATGATCTTTCGTGTTGGCTTGCTTGCAAATGAAAGAGTTTGATTGCTTCCTCTTTTTGCCATTACGAAAAAATGGTCCTGTAACTGCAGTTTCCAACTATATTATGTGCTTCGAAACACCCAAATTTTCATTCGTTAAGTGAACTTCGTGATGACCCTAAATTTTTAGTCACCCTTTTACCTTTTTTCATAACTGTTACCTGATTAACGTAAGAAGAAGAAAAAAACCCAAATTTCTTCTGTGTGTTGCTAGAGAAGTGAGTTTGTGTTAAGTTTAATCTTTGCTTTTTAAAAATCTCGAGTTTTGGATATTGTAAAATGATTTGGCTCTGTGTCTCAGGTGAAGATAAATACTATATCTTTTCGAAAGGGAATTACAAGATTGGTCGAAAAGGTATTGTTACACGAAAATCTCTTTCCTTTTTTCTTACACTTTCATCGTCTTCCTTGTTCCTTGTTTCAATAATTTCGTTAAATCTGTGGCCATGGTATTTTATATTCCCTAGGATGTGACATAATCATCAATAAAGATAAGGGGGTATCCAGGATCCACGCAGAGTTAGCTTTCGATGCAACAGCTGTTTCAACCTCTCGGAGGAATAAATCTTCCCATGCCTCATTTGTTATCCGTGTCAAAGATTGTTCAAAGTATGGGACCTTTGTCAAAACTGACCTCGGGGCTAAAGACAAAGTTCATGAGCTACCTGATAAGGAGAAAGTTCTCAAAGATGGAGATGTTATCACGTTTGGTACAGGCGCAGCAACTTACAGGTATTCCTGACGACTCATTGTGATTGTTTTTTTTCTTGTATCCTTCGTGTAATATGATGGCTTAATATCCGTTCCTTTTTTCAAATCAAATCGTTGCAGGTTGTCTGTAATTCCACTGGTGTTTTACTTCTGCCTTTCCTCGGAGACCGTTAAGGTGGATCGGTCGGTACAAGATGCAGTTTCATCAATCGGTTAGTGTTTCACATTTTCGTCTATCGGTTAGTAGAATTGGTCCATGTACTTTTCATTTAGTCCCCATTGCCTGAAATTATGTCGATGTTCAGGTGCTCGTACTGCTCCAACCTTGAGTGAGGAGTGCACCCATGTTCTTGTTGAGCCGCGTATGCAAATGAATGAAGCTCTGGTCAATGCAATATTAGCGAAAAAACCCATCATTTTGACGAATTGGGTTAAGGTATGTCAGAGAATTCCATTGTGACCCCTCGTTTGTTGTTTGTTTATGGGTCTTGAACTTCAGTGGTTTCTCTAGCTTCTTGCAGAGAAAGGCATCCGCAGCGAGATTCCTGGATACAGCCAGTGAGTATTATCTTAATGATTTTCCCAGTTACAGAACAAACTCTACAGCTACTGACATGCTAATATTAATACAGGTACAGACCATCGGTGATGGTGGAAGAAGCTTTGGTGGATGTAATGGAACCAAACGTCCGTGAAAAATGTCTAGAAGGGTTTACTTTTGTGTTGGAACCAACAGACACGGTATAATCTCTTATTTGTGTAAAACTAAATTATTGATGAACATGCATTTACCTATTCATGCCCTTTTTTCTTACGCTCTTTCCTTATTCATATTTGTTTTTTCTCTTCTCTTTATGCAGTACAGGTTTGGAAGCAGCTTCCCATCTTTACTTAAAGTATGTGGCGCAGAGACTGTTGCTGTAGCAGACATTAGCTCCATGAGTCAGGTTTGTGCTATTATATTGTTTTGCTCATTTGGTCTTTCTGTAAGTAGCCCTAACATCCATAATAAACTTTGCAGGATTCTCAATATGGAGAAATTAATCGCATGATACGTGTCATCCCAAAAAGTTCAGGAGACAAATTTGGCCATTTGAAGCATCTCAGTCTGTTATCTAGAGTGAACGAAATGGATTTAATATGCGCTGTCTTGTCCGGAAATCTACCTTCTTCTTCGTTGATACCACCTTCAGGTGAATACACTCACGAAGCCAAATATATTTACTTTTCTTGAGATTTCGAATATAGCAAAACTCTTATCTTGAAACGTTTTCTTTTTGTAGTGGTAATTTCATCATCGTGCTCTACGGATGAGACAGTGGTAGCAGATTCTGATGCTGAAGAGAAAGAAACAACATCGTCAGTTCATATGATCGATGCCACTGAAAAGGCAGAAACACCAGAGAAGCCTGCTGCTATTGTAATAGAGGAGAGTCCTGTTACGGTATTGGAAGAAACTGAGAATTTGAATGAGTTTAAAAGCGTAAACTTATTGGCAGATACCGAAATGAAAGGCTACAGTGATGAGAAGAACCCAAGTGATAGTGTCCCTGATGTGACAATCCGAAGGGATCGAGATGATGAGCCTGAATGTGGAAACTCGGAGATTATCTACACTCAAGATCTTATTGTTAGGGATTTGCGATCAATTAGAAATGTTCGGTCTACCGGCGGGGGAGGAGTTGTCGACTTCAAGCGATTCAGAAAGGCAAGACACAAACCTTAGGATTCTGGACAAATGTTATTATGTTCGTGACATGATTGATTTTCCTTGTTTTGTTTTGTTAGGGAAATGTTACATCCGGGAACAGCTTCAGTAGCCTAATACCTTTCGCCAAGGATCCATACAAGTAATCTCAGGCCTTTTTTTCTTGCTCCTGATGTTTTCTTTCTCCTCGTTGTTTACTTAGCCGTTTGTTTATGTGGTGACAGGGAGTACGATAGCGGGGAAGTGACAGATTTTATGAAAGAAGAGAAGAAGAGGAAGCAGATGGAAGCCGTTGCAGAGGACTTGTTTATCAATGAAAAGGTGTCACTCAAAATCATCTTTCATCGAAAAATTCTAGAGATGATCCAGCTGTTTTCCTTACCCTTAAATCAAAATATGCAGGCTAGAAAGCGTGGAACGGCTGGTTCCATTCGCGGGTTTCTCACTCGAGGTTGAGGTTTGAAGGTGAAATCTGAAATGAATTGGATTGTTGTGGGATCTTGCTCTGTGATTTCGAAAGGGCTAAGCTTTCAGCTTTTTCTTCATGGCAGGACTATTTCAGGGTGAATCAGAGAGAAGAAGCAGCTTTCTAGAAGAACGCTCGAGAGTGATGGCATGATTCTGGTTGCTGGCTCACAAGGATCTAATCAAAAGCTTGCCTTGTTTTTCTTAATTTTTTTGTTCTTCATGACGTAACAAAAATGTACACTGGCAAGTGTAGTAGATACACACGTATGTATAAATATAATGATCTTTGGTTCCTCTCTCTGATGAAAACAAAAAAATCGATTTTTTCTCAAAACTTAAAAACATGTGGCCATTACTTCTCTGTTAACTCGAAAAGATACAAATTTTATCCTCTCTCTTGTTCTAAACACAAGCAAGCATACAATGGAGTGGCCATGGTCGGTCATCGCTTCATCTTCTCCTTCTTCTTCTAGTTGCTTCCTTGCTTCTCCTAACTATTGCTTGTCTATTACTGAACGAACGAACTTGAATTGTGCAAACAAATATCCGTCGAACATTTCGATTAAACCCTTGCGACACAGCAGATTCGACTCGAAGCATAATCTGGTCACTGGTGTGATCTACAAACATCGAATCTATGGAGATTCCGTTGTGCGAAGAAGCACCACAAGCAACAAAAATGCGGAGGAGACTGAGTCATCTTCATCTTCATCTCCGTCTGTAGATTGCGTCGGAATGGGATCAGACGTGGAGTGCGTCTATAACGGAGAAGATGAGGAGAATCGGAGCTCCGGAATCTTGAGCGGCGGAGAAGGATCGTTGCTTGAATGGACGGTTCTGATTTCACCCTTCTTTTTCTGGGGAACGGCGATGGTGGCGATGAAAGAAGTATTGCCGATAACCGGCCCTTTCTTTGTCGCTGCGTTTCGGTTGATCCCGGCCGGTTTATTGCTGGTTGCATTTGCGGTTTACAGAGGCAGGCCTTTGCCTAAAGGAACCAATGCTTGGCTCTCTATTGCTCTCTTTGCTCTTGTGGACGCCACTTGTTTCCAGGTCTGCTTACTTGACCTGAGCTCTAGGAATTAAAGTTGATAAATTCTCTTCTGAATGATAATAATGGTGATGGTGATGGTTCAGGGGTTTCTTGCTCAAGGATTGCAGAGAACTTCTGCTGGTCTAGGAAGTGTAAGGAAGTTTTCTCTCTGCTACCTTGTGCTCTTGTCCTAAAATGTCCTAAGTTTGAGACTTACTTGGTCTCTTTTACCGCAGGTTATAATCGATTCTCAGCCACTGACTGTAGCTGTATTAGCATCTTTCTTATTTGGCGAGTCCATTGGAATAGTGAGAGCTGGAGGTTTGGTTCTTGGGGTTGCTGGACTTTTGCTTCTTGAGGTAAAATATTTTACTTGATCAGACCGAGCTAGTATCTCGATGGTGTTGTTGCAACTTGAGGATAATGTCTGATTCACCACAGGTCCCATCAGTTACTTCAGACGGTAATAACTTTTCCTTGTGGGGAAGTGGAGAGTGGTGGATGCTTCTTGCAGCTCAGAGCATGGCTATTGGCACAGTGATGGTTCGATGGGTCTCAAAATACTCGGATCCAATTATGGCAACCGGTTGGGTAATAATGCTCGGTCCTCGCCTCTTTCAAACCTTACTTTCTGGTTCAATGGCTTGTCTCTGAGAGTTCTTCTTCTAACTTTATCTGCAGCATATGGTAATCGGTGGCCTTCCACTTTTGGCGATTTCCATTATAAACAATGAGCCGGTTTTTAACGGCGGTACTCAAGAGCTATCCACAGATGATGTTATAGCACTTCTCTACACATCCATTTTTGGCAGTGCGGTTAGCTATGGTGTTTATTTCTACAGCGCTACTAAAGGTTCTATTTTGCTGCCTTGTCAATATTAGTATCGCTGCTTTGGATTTCAGATTGCTGATGATGTCTCTTTTTATTGCAGGAAGCCTGACTAAACTCAGCTCACTCACCTTCTTGACACCAATGTTTGCCTCAGTCTTTGGGTAAGCCCAAGATTCTATCTGATTACAAAGTTTTTTGGTTCGTATTCTGATATGTTTTTGTTCGGACCAGGTATCTGTACCTTGATGAGACTTTCTCCCCGTTGCAATTGGTCGGAGCAGCAGTCACTTTGGTCGCTATTTACTTGGTGAACTTTCCGGAACGCAACGACTGAGACACTCTCTCAGTTCGTTCTGCATTTTTTTTCAGAGGTTCTTATAAATGTAAAAGCATCATCATGTTCGACTTACATTTGTATATAAAGAAGTGAATAATCATAGTTCAGTGTTAATCATAAGCCAAGCTTCATATTAACATAACAAATGAAGTTGCACAATTCGATACAGCATTAGCATATCCTCGTACTTCCTCCATAACAGTTACAATCAGAGATCAATTATGCTCCCGAACCGGACAAGTCTGGAAAGATCGGGTGTGAGTATTTCCCGGTTAAAATGCCTAAATCTCCTCCGGTTGACAATCTGTCCCAACCATATCATCCATATCAGCAATAAGTCTCTCCACAGGCACCTTGCTCACATCCCATCGCATGCCTATGTCTGAAACCAGGCGACTGACGCAGTACATGCCGTAGCCAGCCACAGCCAAACCCCCAAAACCTGCTACGAACCTGAGTGGTGAAGAGAGAACAACGCTGGCTGCTGCAACCATTGAAGCGGCTTGACCGCTCCTTCCCACGTCAGTGTTCGCTACAAGCAACCCAGTTTTGCAGTAGATGGCAAAATCTTCACAGTTGTTCTTGAAAACATTGTAAACACCGAAACCATTTCGCAAGAGGAAGTTTGCACGGTAAGTGACTTCTTCTGGAGGATCTGAAGGCGCTATTGTGCATATGCCACCTCGAGGTTTGGCGAGAAAAATAGCAGGAGAGACACTGTACTCGAAGAGGTAGAGATCACCTCCAGCGAGGAAGCAGTCGAGACAAGAAGAGATTACACCACCAAGCTTGGATCTATCTCCACAATTAGGACAGGGGCTGTCTCCATGATTTGGGGATGAACTAACAATCATCTTGTCCAAGAAAGTCCCAGTTCCAGTCTCTTGACCATCCCCACGAGTGAAATGGTTGACTTGTCCATCACCTACATAGATTCCTGCAAATCATACGCATATGGTTAGTTAGCAAGATACATTACACAACAAATAAAATATCCCAAAAAAAGATTTTCTTATGTCCCAGCGAACCTAGAAGTAGAGACTAAAAGCCACACTCTTATCTAAAAACGTAATGAATCGACTGCCAAGAACAATAGAGCATGAGCAAAGTTCAAAAGAAGCCAAAGCTTCAAACTCAACACAGTTGCATATTTGATGAGAGCAGCTTTCACTAATCACATTGCTAAATTCAGGCCTATTCATCTAAATAAAATTCTGCGGAATGAATTCCAAATCAAGGCATCGTGAGAATCTACACAATGAGCTATCAGGATAGAGCCTAGAGAAGTTAGCATTGAGGTTGCTGTCAGATGCTATACCACATTCCCTTAGAACGATCAAACAATTGTTAAAATCATATCCTAGAAATCTCCTAAACCTTCTTTTTATTTGACCAAATCCAAAAAGAAAAATCATATTATTCTTCCCTAATTTTGAAGCATTCGCGAATTTCATTAGTTAATAGAATTGAGACAGCTGCGATTATAAATAGAATCATCTAGCATCACCATGAATGTAAATGTATGTATCTATAAATAGGGAGTGAGAAAGAGGGAGAGAGAGAGAGAGATCGTACCGTGATGAGCGTAAACATAGGCCTGACGCCATGAATAGATGTGATCGCCTGGCTTCACTTCATCAATGGAGATCTTGTTGGAGAGAAATCCCATCTTCTCGCTTTCTCAAAATCTCCCGCCGACGAACAGAGAACCAGAAATAGAGATTCCGCGGCGGCGGAGAGAAAAGGAGAGAAGAAGATCTGATTTCGCTTCGTGTGTGGGGTTTTCTTTCTTACTTTGGATAAACCATAAATTTCAAAAAGGGATATGTTGATTGGCACCCAAAAAAATAAATAAAAGAAAACGACATCGTTTGAAATCGGGAAATTTTGTTGTGATGATAAATACGCATTTTTTTATAAATTGCCAATAGATAAAAAAAAAAAGGATTAACAGTTTTATATTGCACATTTGCACTCATGACATTGACATAATGTTAATAATTAATCACATCTAAAGTTTGTATCTCATTCTCATATGTTATATACATACAATGTCAATACAACACTCATGATATAATAAATTCAGCAAAAAAAAGAAAAAACACTCATATGATATTTTAAGCAACCACCAAGTTTTTTAATACTAGAACATAGAGTCTTGTTTAAATGTAACTCGACAACTGTTACCTCGTTCGGCCTCACATGCAAACAAAAATCTTAATACGACACGGTTTATGCGCAATAGCCAATATGTAATGTAATATGGTTTTATTAACTTCAAAACATAAACTAAACTTGCGCGCAATTCTATATTGCACTGATGATTACGTCTCCGACAAGAAATTGTAATGTGCAACCTCCAACAAAAATCAACTTTTTACCATAGAAACCAAATTACATTGGAACCGGAGTCTTTGAGAATGAGAGAGTAGTTGCATTTGCTCCTCTCGAAACGACACCGCTTACATCGTTGGGCCTCAAAACGCAAACGATTATTTCCAAATGATAGATACTGTTTGGTAAAAATTGTAATGTGCTTTTATTTAAATCAAAGCCCAATTATATAGTTCAGGACCTTCACCTCTTTCTAAAGCCCCTAAAACAAAATTTTGTTTTGAGAAAGAGTTAGCCATGGAAGTCTCAAATCACGCCAGAAAACGGAAAGCAATCGACGCCGGACACAAGTCGCCGCCGTCATTACCACCGGCGTATCGAGTCTCAGACGGCTACGAACCTAACGCTGTAGATCTTTCTCTCCTTGAAGCACTTGAGAAATCTTCGCATAATCCAGTAGAGGCGGTTGATCTTAAAACCCTAAAGAAGCATGTCCTATCCTTTGAGCGGCGTCTCAGGGACAACATAGCTGCTCGGCTCAAGTATGTGGAGAACCCCGAGAAGTTCGCAGACTCGGAGGTTGACCTACACGACGAATTGCAAAAGCTCAAGGTTCTCGCTGGGGCTCCGGAGCTGTACCCGGAGCTTGTTGCCTCGAATACGGTTCCCTCGATTGTGAATCTCCTCTCCCATGACAACGCCGATATCGCGAACGATGTTGTTCAGCTTCTTCAGGATCTGACTGACGAAGATGCCTTGGAGGATAACGACGAGCCGGCGCGTGTGCTAGTCGATGCGCTGGTCGAAAACAACGTGCTCGAGCTCTTGGTTCAGAATATGAACCGGTTATCGGAGGCAGACCCGGATGAGGCAGCGGCTATATACGCAACCTTGACGGTGATTGAGAATCTGGTGGAAGTGAAGCCGGCTGTAGCTGAAATGGTGTGTGAACGGACGAAGCTATTGCGGTGGCTTCTTGTGAAGATCAAGGTGAGGGATTTCGAAGGGATCAAGCAGTATGCGTCTGAGATTCTGGCGATTCTGCTGCAAAACAGCACGGCGAACCAGAAACGGCTAGGGCAGATGAATGGTGTAGACGCTGTGCTCGAGGGTGTGGCCATGTATAAGTCCAAGGACCCCAAAACTCCTGACGAGGAAGAGATGTTAGAGAATCTATTCGATTGCTTGTGCTGCCTCTTGATGCCATTGGAGAACAAGGAGAGGTTCGTGAATGCTGAAGGAGTTGAGCTGATGATTATTATCATGAAGCAGAAGAAGTATGCTTACGGGTCTGCGATTCGGGCTCTCGACTTCGCCATGACCAATTATCCACCTGCATGTGAGAGGTTTGTAGATGTTATGGGACTGAAAACAGCTTTCGCTGCTTTCATGGGCAAGGCAAGTTTTTTCATTCCTACTTCTTCTTTTCTGAGCATCTTTACAAACTCTCTAGTAGTTTAATGTTGTTTTTATATTCTGTATTTTCCGTTAGAAAATGCTTTGCATAGATCAAAATGTTTAGTGATTTTGAGGCATACTTGCATAGTGATTTTGAGGCGTTCTGAGGCATACTTGCATAGTGATTTTGTTTAGTTATTTGAATGTTTAGATTCCGCTTAACAAGAGGATCAAAAGGGAGCGGTATAAGGAGGAGCTAGAGGAGCGGGTTATTTCGCTGATTGCGTCATTATTTGGTAAGAAGGCAAGTCATATTGTTCATGTAAAAAAACGTGGTCTGCTTGCATCCTCCCGATGCTAATTCATTGGCTTCTTGGCGGTTGACTTTATCTTTCAGCTGGAATTCTTAGGGGTTCTAGAAGAGACCGTTTGTTAAGCAAGTTCGTTGAGAACGAATATGAGAAGATCGATCGCCTTATGGAACTATACATGAGGTAATATAAGTGTTCTGTTCCTATTCAATTAATCCATTTTTGAGCACCTGACTATAGAGCCAACATTCCTTTGTGATAGCTTTGTTATATTAATATATCTCTCTAGAGTATAGTAGTGGTGAAATGTAATTACGATTCACTAGTACTTTGTCTTTGCACTTTGCAGATACTCTGACAGGGTTAGATCAGAGGCCGAGAGGTTAGACCAACTTGAGCTTGATGACCTTGAGGTAATTCACTCTCTGCTCAACATATTTTAGTGTTTTCATTATGAGGTTGAATCTGTTTATGAACTGATTCCTCTGTGTTGCTTTCCAGTTGGATGAAGATGAAAAATATAATCGGAAGCTGGAGTCAGGCCTCTACAGTCTTCAGGTTCGAATAAGTTTAGTTTATCCAGTCTGATGTCCGTATCATCTAGGGCATGGCAAAAGTGCCTCACTTGTTTTTGAGAATGATATGTTTGTCTTGTTATTATCTATTTGTTGTCATCCCTGAGTAATGTTAGCTCTGAAATTGCAGCTTGTTGCTGTTATTCTGGGCCATATATGGTGTTCGGAGTAAGCCTCGTCCTTTAAAACACCTTTGAGATGCATTCCTAAGCTAAGTTTCAGGGATACTAAGTTGTAGAAATTCATTACATGATGTAGGCATTCTGGAATGAGAGCGCGGATTGAGCTGCTGTTGAAGCAACAAAAGCTCAGTAAAAACGATGTGAAGGAGATACTTCAGGTTCTCTTTTATTACCTTAAAGTAATTACTTAAAGTTTTGACTTGATACTTAAGGTAATTGTTGTTGCTAAACATAAAACCCTTGACAGGAATATCATGACAACATTGGAGATCTTGAAGGACCAGAGCAGAAGGAAAGAGGACAGGCGAGAATTCAGTTGTTCATATCGGCAATGTGAGTTGGAGGAAGAAAGAAGATGGAAAATCCCAAAGGCTTCGTATGAGATTCCAATATGTATTGAGACCAGAGACACTTGTGTTTTCGCTGACACAAGATTTAAACTCGAGCAAAAACTACTTGACTGTTGTCTGTTGGTCACAAAGTACATGACTATTTTATGAGTTTTTAGTGTATTGTGACCTTTCAATCCAACAATTTATCTCGACCTAAATGTTCGTCGTCCGTGTAAAAGATTAATTTTAAGCAACTAATTATATGTATTATAACATAGCACACAAGAGTGGACGTGCCGGAGTGGTTATCGGGCATGACTAGAAATCATGTGGGCTTTGCCCGCGCAGGTTCGAATCCTGTCGTTCACGTTTTTTATATAATTTTTTTGCGATACGTGCGGAAAATGAAGCCACGCGTGCTCCACTCGTCCCTAAACGTCGCCGTTAGCAGATCTCTCCAGAATGTCATCTCTCTCCAAAACACAGCAGAATAGCTTTCTCTCTCTCTTTTTGTTGAACTTGAAAATGGCGAACTCGACGACAACCGTTTTGATCTTGAGCGGTGACTACATGGAAGATTACGAGGTCGTCTTCTTCCTCTGCTAACATTTTTTTGTTTTTCTTTCTTAAAACATCTTTCTTTCTGCTTCTTATTTATATATATTCGGTTGCTATGTCTTCTCTCAGGTGATGGTCCCGTTCCAGGCTTTGCAAGCTTTCGGAGTGTCAGTCCATACCGTCTGCCCCGGAAAAAAGGCCGGTGACTCTTGCCCCACCGCTGTTCACGATTTCTGTGGCCACCAGGTTTCTCTCGATCTCGATGTGGTCTATTGATACGAGCCATTCAAATTGAGCAAAATGCTAATTGAGCTAAGAATTAGTCTTTGAAGCTTATGTATCTGTTTGATTAGATTTGTTAGAGCACTTGCAGACCTATTCGGAGTCGCGAGGTCACAATTTCACGCTGAACGCAACATTTGATGAGGTTGACCTCAGCAAGTACGATGGATTGGTGATCCCAGGAGGACGGGCTCCAGAGTACCTGGCCATGAATGCGTCTGTCGTTGAGTTGGTGAAAGAGTTTTCGAGCTCTGGAAAGCCCATTGCCTCTATCTGCCACGGGCAGTTGATATTGGCAGCTGCAGACGCAGTTCACGGTCGAAAGTGCACAGCTTATGCAACTGTTGGACCAGCCCTTATCGCAGCAGGCGCCAAGTGGGTGGAACCAGTAACGCCTGATGTTTGTGTCGCTGATGGCAGTTTGATTACTGCAGCTACGTATGAGGGCCATCCTGAGTTCATCCAGCTCTTTGTGAAGGCTCTGGGAGGTAAAACAACTGGAGCGAATAAAAGAATCTTGTTTCTTTGTGGGGTAAGCAAAACCTTACTTTTGGTTCAGATTGTACACTCCATATGACTCAAGCAGAGGTTTTGTTGTTGTATGAATCACACGAAAATCAGAGCTTTGGTTTTTTTTTTTACCCTTTGTAGGATTATATGGAAGACTATGAAGTCAAGGTCCCTTTTCAGTCCCTTCAAGCTTTGGGATGTCAAGTTGATGCGGTTTGTCCAGAGAAGAAGGCTGGTGATCGCTGCCCAACTGCAATCCATGACTTTGAGGGTGACCAAACTTACAGTGAGAAACCAGGCCACTCCTTTGCCTTAACTGCTAACTTTGATGGGATAAATTCCGCAAGTTATGATGCTCTGGTCATTCCGGGAGGCAGAGCACCAGAGTATCTGGCCTTGAACGGACACGTCCTTAACATAGTTAAAGAGTTTATGAATTCTGGGAAACCTGTTGCATCTATATGCCACGGACAGCAAATCTTAGCTGCTGCGGGTGTCCTCAAGGTCAGTTTTGTAACTGTTTGAGAAGATTTGCTTTTATCGGATGTTTATGTGACCTGGTCACCTGATGCAGGGGAGGAAATGCACTGCTTATCCAGCCGTGAAACTGAACGTGGTGCTTGGAGGAGGAACTTGGCTAGAACCAGATCCAATTCACAGATGCTTCACTGACGGGAATCTGGTGACTGGCGCTGCGTGGCCGGGACACCCAGAGTTTGTGTCACAGCTAATGGCCTTGTTGGGCATTCAGGTTTTATTCTAAGTTCCATGTTTATGTAAAACTTGTGGCACATATATGTTACTGCAATCTTTTGGTGTCTGTTAAAACTGATGTCTTTTCTTTGAGTCGAAAGTAAAGTTTCTGAGATTTGTTTCTTTTCTTTCCAAATCCGTTGACTACAGCGTATGTAATTGGGAAAGAATACTGCTAGTTCTCATATCTCACCATCTGTTGATGCTTTGCTTTATGGTGGATAAGGATCATACATTGTATATTTCTTGAAAACATTTACACATACAAAACACAGTCATAATAACAGCATCATAGTTGAGATTGATACAAACCAATTACGGTAAAGACATGGTTCATCCCGAACCAACAGACCTCGCTGTTTCAATGGCTGCAACCAGATCATCATATTTGGCACCGGTCACTTCCTTGACGACTTTATTATCCTTCAAGATTTTGAAAGTCGGAACCACTCTTATTCCTAGCTCCTTTGCCAATGGCTGCACCAAAGAGAAGAAGAGTTTCAAAGTTAATAATGGTATGGCAACAACAACAACAGGCTATTCGGTTTAAAAGCAGAACACAAACCCGGTTATCTGGGTTGCAGTCAAGCTTTAGAAACACTACGTCGTCGTACTTCTCTGATAAAGCTTTGTATTTAGGGGCAATCACTTTACATGGACCACACCTGCAGAAGATATATAACTTTAGTTGAACGAAGGTAAACTTTTGGTTTCATCAAAACTGAAGAGCATTTCATAAATGGACTCAAAGATAAAGAAGATCACTCTCACTCCGGGATCTATATCTATTAGTAAATTGAACAAGATGAAAATAAGACTATCAATTTCATGATCAATTGATCACTAACTAATTCAAATCAAAAGTGGTAACGTACCATTGAGTGTACATGTCAAGCACGACAATCTTTTCACCGGCGGCTTTAACGATGGGCCAGAAGGTGTCCTTATCCACTTCCGTCACTTGGCCAACACTGACATTCACGGTTTCTAAGCTACACCTCACCGCATAGGAATCCCCTCTTTTCCCAGATTCCAATGAGCTGAAACCAATCCTCGTCGAGGCGGCGCCGGAGTAAGGGATCCGGCACTGCTTCCTTACTGGACCAAACCCGCCCGTGCTCGGAGCTAAAGCCGTCGGAGAGGGAGCGAGACGGAGAGAGAGAGGCATTGTTTTGGGGGGTTTCACCGAAAACGAACACGATGAAGAGGAAATTCGTAAAGTTGATCAGGCTTTTGGGTGTGCGGTCTCTACGGACTGAGCTTTATATTTTATTGATTTTGTATTATTGGGGACTGTGTAAAAGAAAAGACGAATTGTAGCCTCAAATTTATTCCGATGAAATAAAAGGATATTCGAGGGTATTTATGTCTGTTCGTTGTTTTCTTGTGATAGATGAACGGGAGGTGTAGAATTCTTCGAGGGAATGAATTACGATTGATATTTATGTTTTACTACTAAATGACGATTCGGTCCCTCAGAAATTGGAATTGAAGAAGAAAGATGAAGATTTTCTTCTACAACATATTTTCCATGTACTGTGATGTATATGATGAATGCTTAGCATAGAGAAATATAACTATTTCAGACTAAAATACAAATGCCAACAACTTGAGATACTTCAATGTTCAGGTAGTACTTTTCATCTACATCCTAATCTTTTAGACTATATTACGCAATTTTTTTAAAAAATTGTTAAATAAAATCATTATAAGAAAAATCAAAATAATTACTTCGTTGTTGGCAAAACAGAATTCAATCACAGTATAACGAAGATGAACAATTAAATGTAAATTTACATAATAAACTGCTGATTAGAAATCCCATAGCCACATTAAATATGACTGACAGAGAGCACTTTGACACAACGACAGAGAGGCAAACAACTGCCGCCAAACCGCAGCTTAACGGTTAGTTCAGATTCCTTTTCCTTTCCAACTGATCACAAAATTCACTATTCTAGGATTTTTTTTTTCCTAATGTATGAAAAAAAAGTAAAAAGTATAATTTTTTAAGTTAGTTTTAAATATATTTAAGTCATTTTAAAATATGTTTAAGTCATTTTAATAGATATATATATATATATATATAATTGTTAATTATCGGTCTCCTTCCACTTCTTGTCCTAAGACTCACTCCACCGCAAAAGCTGACACTTTTTCTCTTTTTTTTTTTTTCTTTTTTTATTGTTTCGTTCACTTTCGTTTTTGTTTCTCGATTAATAAGTTAGGAATATCCTCGGTCGTGTTGACGGAGGATGGATCTCAGGCGGAGACATTGGTCTTTGTCGGCGATTTTGCTGTCGGCAGCAGTATTGACGTTGCTGATTGAGCCGCTGCTGTCGGCGGCTCCGGAGAATTTGGTATTTGAGGTTCGAAACAAGTTCGCCGGGAAAAGAGAAAAAGATCTCGGGGCTCTCAAAGCTCACGACGCTCAACGTCACTCCAGACTCCTCTCCGCCATCGATCTTCCTCTCGGCGGCGATAGCCAGCCTGAGTCTACTGGGTTCGATTCTCCCCACTGCGATTCTTTTGTTTTCCTCTTTCTAAACAGAGTAAATATAATTTGGGAATTTAATCAAAAATACGATTTTTGTTTGTTTTTCTTGCCCATAAATATGGAATCTGAAAAATCCCCTCTTTTAGCTTTTGATCTTTTGTGATTCTCCACTGTTTGTCTTTGGTCACTGGCTCCGCTCTATGCATTGTTCTTCTTCTTGCGTCTGCTATGGTAAAATGTTGACTCTTGTTCTTGGTTTGGTTTCTTTGATGATCTCAGTTTATACTTCACTAAAATCGGACTCGGAACTCCATCAAGAGACTTTCATGTCCAAGTTGATACAGGAAGTGATATCTTATGGGTGAATTGTGCTGGCTGCATCAGATGCCCTAGAAAAAGTGATTTGGTAAAAACATTCACCAAATAGAAACAGAACTCTAAAAAGTTATAAGTGTTTTCAAGGTATCATCATAGTTTCATTATCTTTCAGGTAGAGCTAACACCTTATGATGCGGATGCTTCGTCCACTGCAAAATCTGTTCCGTGCAGTGACACCTTTTGCTCCTACGTAAACCAGAGATCCGAGTGTTACTCAGGTTCTACCTGTCAATATGTTATTCAATACGGAGATGGAAGCTCGACTAATGGATACTTAGTGAGAGACGTTATGCATTTGGATTTAGTTACCGGAAATCGCCAAACCGGTTCCACCAACGGATCTATCATCTTCGGGTGAGTTAAAGAGAGGAAAACAGCTTCTTTCGTATATGCATTGTTGCCACATTTCAGTCGGTATTTTACAGGTGCGGGTCTAAACAGTCTGGTCAGCTCGGCGAGTCCATATCTGCAGTTGATGGGATCATGGGATTTGGACAGTCGAATTCATCGTTTATATCTCAGCTTGCTTCACAGAGGAAAGTCAAAAAGTCTTTTGCACATTGCTTGGATAATATCAATGGAGGCGGTATATTCGCCATTGGAGAAGTCGTGTCACCCAAAGTGAAGACGACTCCTATGCTCTCTAAATCGTAAGCGAATGCCTTTTTCTTTAAAACTCTTGCTGCTCAACAATGTTTTGAATTTCTTACAATCTCCTTGTGATCCTTCTGCAGAGCTCACTATAGTGTAAACCTCAAATCCATTGAAGTCGGTAATTCAGTATTAGAACTTTCTTCGGGAGCCTTTGATTCGGGAGATGACAAAGGAGTCATTGTTGACAGTGGTACAACTTTGGTTTATTTCCCCGATGCTGTTTATAAGCCGTTAATGAGTGAGGTTAATAATACAATTGTTTTCTTCTGTCTTGTGAAAACTTCTCTCTCTCTCTTTCACTATAAAGTTCTTGACACTTTGTTTGTATCATCCTTTGGTTCTCTTGGCAGATCTTGGCTTCGCATCCGGGGCTTACCTTGCATAAAGTTCAAGAGTCTTTTCTTTGTTTCCATTATATCGACAAGTAATAATCGAACTCATTGCTTTGTCGTTCTTGGTGTTTCTTATTCACTACTGTTTGAAATGATACCGTCACTTGGTGGATATGTACTAGTTGATACTTCCAAGTCACATTTTATGTCTCTAGTTTTGACCCTCTGAAACTTTACTAACACAGATTAGATCGGTTCCCACCTGTCACACTCCAGTTCGACAAGTCTGCTTCCTTAACGGTGTCTCCTCGGGACTATCTATTCCAGATTCAAGTAAAAGGCTTGTTCTTGTTCTTGTTCTGAATCTTGATCTTGTTTGTATTTTTGTCCTGACATAAAAACCGACTCCAGGGAGACACATGGTGTTTTGGCTGGCAAAACGGTGGATTGCAGACTAAAGATGTAGGAGTACTGACAATTCTTGGAGGTATTCTCTCTTACAAAAAAGTGTGTTTCATCATCGAATCGTCAAAAACAATTAAAAGCCTTGAATTGTTTCGCTGCTGCGCAGACATGGCGCTTTCTAACAAGTTAGTTGTCTACGATATCGAGAACCAAGTTATTGGATGGACCAACCACAACTGTAAGCATCACAGATCCTCTTTTCTTTGTTAAATTTGTATGAGATTTGAAGCTTGTGGGTGTTTGGCTGTAATGAATCAATCACACAGGTTCAGCTGGAATACAAGTGAAGGATGAACAAAGTGGAGCAATCTACACGGTCGGTGCTCACAATCTCTCATGGTCTTCTTCTTTAGCTGTTACCAAACTTCTTACACTTGTTTCTCTCTTAATTCCTTTCCTCTGTAACATTGCTTTATAGTTGTAAAAGAGTTTGTTCCTTTCGCTGTGTGATTCCCATTTGTTGAGAAAGATAACAATTTTTATAAATTTCAAAGAGAGAGATTGATGACACAAATCTGCGGTTGTGTGGAATTGGAGCTTTTTGAAAAGACAAAAACAGGAAATATTCCCCTACAGACAGACAAAATTAAGCCTGAGGGGTTTCACGGAATCACAGACACAAAGCCATTATTACATCATGTGACGTTTTTTTCACTCTTCTTTACTGACAAAACCAAAAACAGCATAGACACCAACAAGAACGAAAGACACAAATAAAGGACAAAACTGACAAAAATTTATGTTCCAAAACCAATGAATCTTCTTCTTGACTCAAGAAAAGAAAGAAAAGAATAAGAGATCAATGTAGTAGAAAGGTGAAAAAGGAAAGAAGAATGAAAAAAGACACAGTACCTCTCTTAGGTGATTTATTTGATTATGATTTATCACCTCTCAAACTTCTTCACTTCAACCTCTTATTTCTTCTCTTTTCACTTTCCAGGAACAAATCTTGGCAAGTTTAAAAGTGTATTAACTCTTGCAACACCTTCTAGTGCAGAATACTCTGTTCCAGGTTCCGAATCCATGTTATCATCTTCTTTTATCAGCTTTTCGGCTTCACTTTCGTCGAGAGCAATCTCTTTCCCGGTCCTGACAGTACTAGAACGGCCTAGACCGCTTGGTCCAGATGCATCATCATTCTCAGTCGCGGTTTTCAGTTCTTCTTCTTCATCATCTTCTAGTCTGGAGATGGAAGAAGCTGTAGATATGGCGTTTGCGCCGTTGGAGTCCAGATACAAGCAAACTGCAGCACAGTCATCGACTTTCGAGGTTGGGTATTTGTATCTCCAAGCTCTAACCGCAGACTCGACTAAAGCTCTTGCTGCGGAGGAACGAGATGGTGCTGAAGCTACAATCGCCACTACGTCTTCATTTGAGAGAACATCCCAAATCTAATCGCACAAACATAACAGTAGAAAACGTTAGTTACTAGAAAAGAAAAGGCGAGAGAAAGAAAAGAGCGGAATGAAAGAGTTTCTCTTTTACCCCATCTGTAGCCAACACTATAAACTCATCTTTTTCGGTTAATCGGCGAAATGATACATCAGGCACAGAGATTAGACCAAAATCTTTAAGGCAAAAGTCTCCGAAAGCACGTGCCATCGCAAGTCCAGGCGAGTCACAGTTTGGCAGCCAAACTCTGCAAACTTCAGGTTCATCTCTAAGAGCAAATACACGTCCACGACACTTCTTTATTCTCTCTGCCTCAGCTGCGAAAATCAATTGAGGGCAAAAAACACAATGTGGTTAAATGATGGGATCCATCATACATCCACACGACACCATCATAAGGAACAATGATTCAACCTGGGAGATTTGGCTTGAGATCCACAGTTAGTTGAACAGCAACAAGAGCATTTTCACTGTCTCTTGTGCCCATCACAGCTCTTGAGTCTCCAACATTTCCAACAACGAGATATTGGCCCTACAATATTTTGCAGAGGGTATATGATAAAGATCATGAAACAGTTAATAAGGCTTAAGCTCAAAATCGTACCAAACCGAGACTATACCTGTTTGATCAAAGTCACAGCCGTTGTCCCGCTGCAGAAACAGTCAACGCTTCCATGGAATTTAAGTTCTCTATCCATAACTTTGAAAGCCTTGAGAAACGCCTCCTTCAGAGTTTGAAACAATTCAGAATGGGACTCTTCCGTGTTACCCTCTTCCATGTCAACGGATGGCCTAGGTTCTTCTTCAGCAGATACGAAAGAAGCAGTAGCATCTTCAGAGCCGTTGATGTTGCTTGCATTACTAACGGTGGTGATCGCCTTTTGAGAACCTTCAACTGGTACTTTCGCTTCCCAATAAGCACTTAATTTGAGAGGAAGATTGTCTCTGACTTTCTTTGCAACCATATGACCATACGGACCATGCCCATCAAACACTCCACAGAAGATTGTATCTGTCCTCGAACCAAAGTTCTGCACACAACATAACCAGAATCACTCGCATAGATCAGTATAGAAAACCTGCTGATTCCAACCACATATTTCAATAGTGTGCGACTAAAAGGTGAACACTTTTGATGCAAAAATCAAGATTCTGAATCATTTTGACTGGGTTAGATCAAAGCGGTAGAGAAACAATACAAAAACAATAAAAGCAGGGAAGAGTTATGGATCTAACTAACCTCCCAAACAATCATGGCATCTTGATTAGGCCCTTTCTTGCCTTGTTGAGTGAAGATACAAGCAACCTCACTGGATCCATTCAAAAACATCCGGCCCGGAACCCGATGCAAAGGGTCCTCCCTCCTGTAATCAAAAGAAGAGTTCCTGGAACCAGGTCTCTTCTTAGAGTTCTTCCTTTTCCTCACACCAAACCCAGGAGAGCAAGGAGATCCCGGTCTAGGGCTCCTGGTCTCTGCAGATAAACAGGACCCCATTCTAAGGGCCCTGATAATATTAAGAAGGCACTCCAGGCCAACAATGGTACAGTCACACCCACGGTCCTCCAGCGAGAAAGATTGAAGCTTTAGATCCCAATTATCACCACAGAGAGCAATGATGAAAGATCCTCTGCAAGAACAACCCCTTTTTTTAGATCCCAATGATCATCCCACACAAAGAGCAAAACAATGATTCAACTTGTCCAAAGAGATATCTGTAGGAAGAACAAACCTCTTTGCTTAGTTTCAGCTACTTTCTGCAACAACTCTAATGGTCAATATAATTTCTCAAGTGAAACACACACAGCAGTGATTCTTAGACCCAAATCGCCAAAATTGAATGAACAAAAAAATATAAAAAAAAATAATCAAGCCTTTCAAAGCTGACCAAAGAAAAGGGTAAGGTGAGACTTCTGGGTCTGACCCGTTTCGAGTCTCCAACGCAAAAGAAAAATAAAATATTTGTACAGTAATAATCTAACCCCAAAAGTGTTTATGAGAAAAAGGCACAGATCTACGTAGATTTTTTCTATTGGCACCGCACAAAAAAAAAGAACAAGTGAGGTGTTTGTTTATTTATACATCAGAATCCATCAAACAGTGATTGGGAAAGAGACTTGAAACACGAGAATCATCAAAACCCTTTCTCTCTCTCTCTCTCTCTCTTTTCTTCTTTGTCTGCAACCAATCACAAAGACAACCACGGGGAAAATTAGACTCCACAAAGAATCAAACTTTTTTTTTTTTTATCAAATACCCAAAAACGAATTTGAGTTGAAAAGACACTAACCAGCAAACAGATCAATGAAAAGGTAGGAGGATCTCAGAATCAGATTCAATCAGGGAAATGAAAAAGGAAAAACGGAGAAGACGAAGGAAGAAGCGAATGATTCTGTTGGCGCGTAGAGAGAAACAAAGAAATAGGTAACTGAAAGGGAAATAAAATAAAAGAGAAGATGAAATTATTTTAAAGAGGAAGAAACGCAACCAACAACTACAAACCCGTTCTTTCTTCTTCGACTTTCTACTTTTGTGTAGAGAGAGAGAGAGATAGAAGAGAGAGGGAGAGAAACAGTAATGGGGGGAGATGGGTCACACTCTCTCAAAACATTACAATACAACCAAATATGTATAAAGAGATTTTTGTTTGGGATTTTTATATCCTTTCTATTTTTCGATTTAGAGATGGTTTTTTATTTATTTATTTATTAGTATTCTCATTTCAGGCTGGCACAATTAACATGGGGTTGGATAAGACGTTTCTTACACATAATTTCCTGACATCCACCAATTTAAAGAATTATTATATTTTTTTGTCACATTATATATCCATACAAATATGAATTCATATATATATATATATATATACATAAGGTCTCTCAATGACTCAATCATCCCATGCAGGTGAGAGAGACTATCAGATTTAATCCACGATTTTAAATAATCTGGTCTGTAAATTTGATTTAAAAGTTTTGAATTGAATAATATAACAGTTTAAACGACAAATAAGATTATTAATAGAAGCTACAGAACAAATGTAATCGATTTTTTTTCTTTTAAATAGCATAATAATTTGATGGTGTTGTAATTTCTTTTATAATTTGATTGAAATATATTGGTTGGAGTAAAACTTGTTTGGATATTAATTTGCACTGCTTTAAAAAAAGGGGTTAAAAACTAATTTTTCTTCTATTTTAAATATCTGAATGAGAGAGAGAGTACAATAGTTTCGTTGTCCAGACGAAAACAAAACGGTCAATACATGTAAATGCATTGTGAAGACAAAAAAACGAAGCCACCACATGTCGGCAACGAGGCACAGAAACCAACACGTATCAACTTCCTTCTCATGCAGCAGATCTGCAGATCAACATTTTGAAGACAAAACCTGTTGAGTTTTTAGTTTGTCCCCCTCTCTCTCTCTCTCTCTTGAAACCCAAAATCATTTTTTGACATTTCAGTCTTATCTTCTTCCTTGATTGCTTCTCCGCGTCCGATCTCAATCAAAATGAATCCAACTTTCTTTTGGATAACATCTTAGATTAAGTTAACAGGGACGAGTTGAAAAGCTACTTTTTTTGTGTTTCTTGATTTGGATCAAGCTTCTATAGTAATCGTTACCTCGATTTAGTAAGTAGATGGCTGATTAGCGACTATAACCGGTAGCAAGCGTCAATTATATATCGCTAATCTATACGAATAGACTGACTGAATAATTGGGGGTCGGTTATCCACTAATCAATCACATCTCCAGATCAATCAATTTCTCTTTACATATAGTAAAATATCCTAATCCAAGTCATCATCAAAATCTCACTTCTTCTTCTTATCTCCAATAACACACACCAATCATAGATTTTTGAAGTCGTGCCGTTTTATGATTCAAACGAAAACACTACCAATAAAATAAATAAATAAATAAATGTTTTTGGGGAATCGAACCAGAGAGCGAGTGAGTCAGTTCAGTGTGTGTACCTTACTGATCTCTCTTTCAAGAGAAGAAGTCAGAGAATTCTGCAACGAAACAATCTCTAGAAACTATCTCTTCACTTCCCTCAACCATCTTCTTCAATGTCACAACACCTTGACTGACTTCTCTTTTCCCTACACTCACCATCCAAGGGATTCCTGAATTCACAGCACGATCCATATGCTTTTGTCTCCTTTTGTTCACTCTGCATTGATATCAGCTTCCCATAACTGACTAGCCAATTCCGCAGCTTCCCCTGCTTTGTTTTCCTCATTATACTAACCAAAACATGTGTCTCCGTAGGTCGAACCACCTCCACTCATAGCAAACAAATCAAAAACAAAATATACAAACTTAGAAAATCCAAGCTACTGAATTAAGGACAGACAAAAACAAAAAGCATGAGACTTTGGGAGGAAGAAAGTTTACTTGTTTTTGCTGCTCTTCCAATATGTTAAACGCTCGCTCGATCCCCAGGCTCACACCAACCGCAGGGACTTGCCATGTTCTAAACATTCCTATAAGGTTATCGTATCGCCCACCAGCACCAATTGTTCCAACCTGCAGAAAACAACAAATCTCATCCATATCTACTCTTTTTTTTTCCCTCTTTCTAATTGAATTGCAAGAAGCTAGTCGTGGGCATTTTTACCTCTGCTTCTATACATACGGCTTCAAATATGACGCCTGTGTAGTAAACAAGACCTCTAGCTAGACTTAGATCAAACACTATTCTGTGACTGCACTTTGATCTTTCAAGAGCTTCAAACATGATACTCAACTTCTCAAGAGTTTCTCTTGATTGGTTGTTACCTAAAAACTCGCTCCCTTCTTGTCTCAGTTTAGACAATAGCTCCATAGGACGCCCCTTCTCCTTGACAAACTAAACGAACCAATAGAAACTCCAGAAACGATTGCAGAGTACATTCGATTTTGAAAAAAAAAAGGAAAAAACGCTTTTTTATTATTAACGGCGCCACAAACTCAAAACGGATACAACAATAATCATCCTTCAAAAGACATGATGAGCTTTTACTTTGATAGGCATTAAAGAAGACAAAGCTCCTTGAAGAAGCCCATATAATCTTTCTTTCTAAACCGACAATTCGATCTGAGAAACCAGGATTCCATCAGTATCTGCATAAAGCCACTCGCCATCGCAAATCCGAGTGCCTGCAATGTGGAGAGGGACTCTTTGTTCACCAAGCCCTTTCTTACTAGCCTTTATAGGATGAGAAGCTAAAGCTCTCACTCCAATGTCGCAGCCATTGATCTCATCAACGTCTCTGATGCAACCGTTGACTATGATCCCTGCCCATCCGTTGTTCTGAGCTTGTACTACCGGGTTTCCTCCAAGTATCGCACAACGTAAGCTCCCTCCACCATCTACCACAAGAACTCTTCCATTTCCTGTTTCATGTTTTATCAACATATAAGTTCAGTGTGTTTTTTTGGATGTGAGATCAAAATAAAGACAAGAGATTGGTTTGTTGTAAAAAGAAAAGACTCGGATTTTCGGAAGACACATCTTGTCTATAGTCACTAGGCTGTTTCCTGAATTTGGTGAGCTGAACCTTTATGGTGATTTTTAACCATATCATCATCATCATCAAGATCTATAGAGAGTTGTTGATGTAAAATTACAGAACCAGATTGCTTTATTCTAAGAAGAATGAATCGTTATCTATTTTTTCGCATCAACAATGAAGGTAGTATACACAGTGAGCACTAGTTCTGAATCATATAAAGACTTGTTCAAACGTATTTTTTAAGCAAAGTAAGATTGAAGCTATTTGACAAGTAACTAACAAGAGTTACGTCTAAATGTAACACTACCCAATTAAAGCATGTCTCTCTACGACCAGTAAAGTTTCAGTCTTTTCAACATTTGGTGAGCAAAGAATCATTAATAATAATACCTTTCTCTTCGACAAACTGACGGATCAAGCCATTGTCTTCAAAGACTTTGACAGTAACAACAGGGCCTGAGAATATTTGACGACGACCGTAGATCTGGAAAATAGGTTGCAGAGCTCGGAGCTGACCACTTCGAATCAGCTCTTGATTCGCGTCACACACTTCCGCAGTGGTCACAAACGCCATTCTAATCTAGATTTATCTCACCTGGATTAAGGATTCAGTGTCAAAATTACACGAGTTTTTTTATAAGGAAACCGCTCAAGCTCAGAAGGCAGAATTCAAAAAAAAAAAAAATCTGGTAAAAAAAAGGTGATGATATACCCAAGGTTAATCGATCAAACCCAGAAGGAAAATTACAAAAAAAAACTGGTCCACCCATTCGCAAGACAACAATCCAAAATCCATCTGGATAATTAGATCGAATTGAATTCTCGTTTACCTGAAATAGAAGAAGCTCGGATGAAGAAAAGAAATCTCTGCCTGTATGCTCAAGTCTCAGAGAAATGAATTTGATGATTTCACAAGAGAACGAAAGTGATATACATAATTTGCTTTGGTCGTTTTTTATTCATAAAATATGGACTTTTTAACTTTCATATAATAAGATTAGACCGAAGGTAGTAGTTAGTTGTAAAGCTTCGAAAAAAAAAAAGAATCTTTACTTTTTCCTTTTCTCTGGTTTCGACTCTGTTTTTCTTGCTACTACCATTTTCTCGCTTTTTCTAAATTTCTGTTCTTTTTTTGTTTTTGATTCTCGACTCTTTATGCTTTTAAAATATCTCAGAAACAATGTAAAAAAATTCAAGCTTAGAAGAACATTGAGAGATATTCATAAATTCATATAAAAATGAAACTTCACTGCTTGGAATCTCTGAAGCCACATCTCCCAAATTATTATTATCACAAACAGGTCAAAAGGAGAAAGAGAAAGATGATCCAAAAAAAAGGTTTCAGAGTTTGTGGATAGTTTCCATGTCTATGATTTCACCCAAAGTTCCTTTTTCAACATGATCCCACCACTTCATCAAGAAATTGTCAACCACCAATCTGAACCATGGAGACAGCTTCAAACCTTCTTCGCCTGCATCCACTTTCTTCACCAGCTCCTTCAGCTCTTCCCTGCTCACATACTTGATACCGCCTACTTCGTATGGGTTTGGTTGAACTTTCACGTCCCTCACTATGAACAGTAAGTGGTCAACTGCAAAAGAAAGTCCAACGGAAAAAGAAAAAAAGAAGCTTAACGTTTTTGCCACTGTGCGTATTCAAAGAAAATGGTTCGATGAATGGTGTTACGTTCGTGCTCTCCCCATTTGCCATCGGAAGGAGCCTTGTAAAGCAGACGTCCCAAGGCAATGAACTCATCGACCGGTACATCTTCAGCTACAATACCAAGCTCGTCGAGAAGCTTTCTTTGTGCAGCATTCCTTACACCTAATGAGCATGATACAAGCTGATGAACCTACACTTTTGCTGCCTAGATAGTTAGAGGTACCTATTTTGTTTGGCCAGTGGATACAAAACCAAGTGCATTTTCCTCGATAAGCTCTGATTCACGGTAAAGAGGGTGGGTGCAACAAGTGTTTGTCCACACGAGAGGGAAGGTCACCTTTGTTTTCGACCTTTGCTGTTTCAAAAGAGAAGAAGGAATTTTTCATTTGTATACAACATTTGACTTTATCTTAACGTTAAAGCAGTCATCATAAACAAGTACCTGGAGAAGCAACTCAAAGTTGGAGTTGAATAAGAATACACTAAAATATCAGTGTCTTGAATAACTACACTAGAAACAGTATCTTCGACACAAACACGGAGTGGTCCAAGACATTTGATGAAAACTCAAAAGTGCGATCTAAAGAGGAGAGAAGAAGCACACTGATATCAAGACAAAGACTTACAATTATATTTGCTGTCATGCCCCACCACACGATCAGTTTCATCAACAAGAATGCATCTGCAAAGCACGAGATTACAATCAATAAATTAAGAGGAAAACTATTCCATCAAAGCGAAGGATCAGAACATCAAGTAACATCCATCCACAAACTCAGTGCAAAAGAAATATATCCAGTGAATCCATATAGGCCAAAAATCTGGAAACATAGCTTAACCACTAAAGCGTTTGACTTTTGTCCACCCATTCAATTGACTCATAACAAGTGTACTAAATCCATGGGATCGTTTCTTAACAAATCAACAGACCTAAGTTCCTAAACCATACTTGGTAAAATAAATAATCAAAGACTCACTCGTCCTCAAACATAAGGCGTCTCTGAACAGCATCCATTCCATCATCTTTGGATTCTGCAACGGCGCGAAAAGTCGAGAACTTTCTCGGTGAAATGGAACCGGAGACAGATCCGACCGACGAGAGAGGACGATGCGCATATCGGGCAGAAGAAGAAGAGAGAAGAGTAAGAGATACGGGACTCGCCAAGGAGAGACTAAACAAAGAAGACGCAGACATTGGTGATCACTGATGAGTTTCTGCGTTCTGACAAAAAAAGCGGATAAGCTAATTATATTCATAGACGAACACTGTTCAGAACCATCCAAAATTCATCTGAGCTGTTCATTTCATGGTAATAAATATATTGAATATTGATTGTTAACTTTATAACTAAAATATTTTTTTTTTTCAAAAACGATTTAAAATTCAAGCTTAAACAACGGGAGAGCATTCATGAGTTCAAGTTATAAAAAACGAAAACTTCGTGTGCTTGTTTTGCTTGGAATCTCTAGTATAGTCTCTCATCTCCCAATTATTATTTATCATCACAAATATCCATAAGAGAAAGCCAAAGATGAAACAAAAACTCAAAAGGAAGATTTCAGAGTTTATGGATGGTTTTCATGTCTATAGCTTCACCCAAAGTTCCCTTCTCGACATGATCCCACCACTTCATCAAGAAATTGTCCACCACTAATCTGAACCATGGAGACAGCTTCAGACCTTCCTCGCCTGCATCTGCTTTCTTCACCAGCTCCTTCAGCTCTTCCCGGCTCACATACTTGATATCAGCTACTTCGTCCGGGTTTGGTTGAACCTTGGCGTCCCGCACGATGAACAGTAAATAGTCAACTGTAAAAGGAAAAGCCATGGAGAAGAGGAACATCAATGTTCCATTAACGCTTTGCGAGTGTGTACATTCAAGAAAATGGTCAACACGACGAGTCTCGGGGAATGGTATTACGTTCGTGCTCTCCCCATTTCCCATCGGAAGGAGCCTTGTAGAGCATACGTCCCAAGGCAGTGAATTCATCGACTGGTACATCTTCAGCTACAATACCAAGCTCGTCCAGAAGCTTTCTTTGTGCGGCATTCCTCACACCTGACGAGCATGATACAAACAGCGAAACCAGTAGTTAAAGTGAAGCTATAGTTTGCTATAGTGATTCTGAATTCTTGTCTAGTAGGATACCAACCAAGTGCATTTTCCTCGATAAGCTCTGATTCACGGTAAAGAGGGTGGCTGCAACAAGTGTTTGTCCACACGAGAGGGAAGGTCACCTTTGCTTTCGACCTTTGCTGCTCAAAAGACAAGACATTATTTCAATAGGTGGTTCTAGATATTACACCAGCATGCATGTTCACAAGTCTGTGATCAATTTGTATACAACAATTGACTTATCTTGACCTCAAAGCAGTCACTAGTAAATACCTGGAGAAGTAACTCATAGTTCGAGTTGAATAAAAATACACTAAAAGCCCTGTGAAGCAAATTCTTAGCTTCAATGTTTTCCATCAGATGACCTGCAGATTTTCCAAGGTATCAGTATCTTGAATAGTGGCATAGATAGATATAAGAAGTACAACAGCCCTCCTCTATCACGTCAATGAATAATATGCCAAAGAAAGCCAAGGCGACTAGCTAATTTTCATCAAACATTTTCCATCCGTCACATCTTATATTCATCTAAATTAAAGATTCAGCAGAAAAGAATTAACTATGTCATAGAGAAATATATCCTTGGCTGCTTGAAATAGCACACACTGCAAGGTAAAGTTCCCTCTAATACGTGCATACGCTTTATGGAGTATAAAGCTAGACCAGAAATAACAAGTTTGACAAATTCACGGAGACGCCTACGAAATTTGATAGAAACTCAAATTTGTGATCTAAAGGGCCTAAGAACAACATTAAATCAAAGGATCCACGCTATGCCAAATCTTGCATCTAAGCTCACTCATATGAGAAAAGTAAAGAAGCACATGAATTTCAATGGAAAACACTTAGGAGATTGAATGAGAGTCGAACCAAGTTCACTTACAATTGTATTTGCTGTCATGCCCAACGACCCGATCAGTTTCATCAACAAGAATGCATCTGCAAACAAGATATACACAATGAAGAGATGAATCCTTGCATCAAGAAACCCAAAACTTAGAAGACACACTTCCATCAAAGTAAAGGATTAACCACCATCATCATCACAAAAGGAGACAATAAATATAAAACCAAAGAATGCAATTTTGGCCAAAAACCTGGGAACCTATCTTAACCTGACAATGTTCCTCCCAAAATTGTAACATATATTCATAGAAGACACTAAAGCGTTGACTTTTTCACCCATTTGATTCAGACAACCGGAAACTTAAAAATTACTAAATCCAGAAAACATTTGGGGGCCCAAACATTTACTAGCATATACCAAAGTCAATAAATCAGTAGACCTATGTTCCTGAACCATTGCTAATCGAAAAAACTCCAAATCCCAGAACCTAATTTCCTCAATTTTGCCTACCTAACGATGGAGACAAGCCAGATTCGAGGGTACCCACTTGAAGACAAAAAGGTAACATTTTGGAGAACCATAGATCAAAAAACTTACTCGTCCTCGAACATGAGGCGTCTCTGAACGGCATCCATTCCAGCATCTATAGAATCTGTCATGGCGGTAGCGGAGAAAGCACGGAAAGTCGGCAACTTTCTCGGTGAAATGGGAACGGAAACGGATCGAAACGACGACAGAGAAAGATGGGCAAATCGGGAAGAAGAAGAAGAGAGAAGAGCGAGAGATCTGAGATGAATCGATGGGAGATTAAATAAAGAAGAAGCAGACATTGGTATGCATGTGGTGATGACTGCTGCCGCTCCCCTGCTTTCTGCGTTTTATTTTATTTATGTCCACCAACTCTTACCATGTACCCCTCCGCATAGTATTATAAACCCTCCTGCCAAAAGTGGATAAGAATATTTCCCTTTTCAACAAAAAATATAATTTGCAAACAAAACCCTTAAAGTAACCGTGTTTTGCAAGCCGATCTTATAACTATGAATTATTACAAAAATGATTATTGTGAGGGTCATTTTTGTAATTTTTCAATAAAAGTGTAGATTTATATCGGCTCTCTGAAAGCCAAGTTGTTGTCGTCTTGATCAGAGGAAGAGCACAACTAGGGTTAGGGTTAGGGGTTCGCCCTTCCTGCGAGAATCGTCCCTGAGTAGCCGCCATAGAGGATGACTGGTAAGGCGAAGCCGAAGAAGCATACGGCGAAGGAGATTCAAGCTAAGATCGATGCTGCGTTGACCAATAGAGGCGGAGGAAAGGCCGGAATCGCTGATAGGACCGGAAAAGAGAAGGGAGGTCACGCTAAGTACGAGTGTCCTCACTGCAAAATTACAGCTCCGGATCTGAAGACGATGCAGATCCATCACGAATCCAAGCATCCGAAGATCCCTTATGAGGAATCCAAGCTCGTGAATCTCCATGCGGTTTTAGCTCCAGTTGTTGAGTCGAAACCCAAACCTGGAATCAGGGGAAGCTTGAAGAAGTAACTCTATCTATCAGTTTCCTCAAAATTTGAGATCTTTATATTTTAATTTGAAGATTATGATTTGCTACTCTGTGTTGATGATGCTTATGGCTTCTACCTTTTTCTTATCATCTCATTGACATTGATGTTATATGAATAATTCGATATTTGAACGATTTCTCTTCTCCGGTCTGTGTTAGGTTCCAAATATTGTTACTTGCAACAATGTTTGAATGCCGTTTGGTTTAGGCTACCGTTGTGGTTTCAATCTCTCTGTTTAATTTCTTTTCGTTGGCATAACATTAAGTGTAGAACACGTTTGGTTTAAAGTGGGTTGTGTGTTAAGATTAAGGAGCTTCAAGTGTTTTGTTTTGCCCTTTTTTTCTCAAGCTGCAAGCATATCAATATGTAGACATCTTCTTGTGTTCAGAATTCGGATTCTGCAATTGTTTGATAAGTTTCTAGTTCCAATCTCTCTTGTTTATTTGTACTCTGTTTTCTCAAAACTCTTTCAGACAAGAATCTTTTTTTATAAATAAGAGAAGATGGTACTTAAATCAAAACCGCTGTTTCTGCTCAGACATAAACAGAGGAAAGCTTAGGTCAAAATGAACCGCAATGTTCGATGTCTAGACATCTTGTATATACGATATTGACATAAAATTTTGTTAGTTTGAGGATTGTGCACATTGTCAGATTGGCTTCTTTGTCTGGTGTTTATGTACTTGGATAAAGATTTGGTTCGGTTTTGGATTGTTCTTTTCCGGTTTAGGAGGGATGTTGATTTTGGTTTTTTCTTCTGGTTTTTTTCTTCTGGTTATAGTGACATGTACCCATCCATCTGTCCCAATTCGATGACTCGATCACGTGGAGACTAATAATGGAAATCAAAAGTTAGACACATAATAACTGACTTTTTCCCTTTCTATTTACGTGTTATATTAGAGAAGTTAGAAACGGATTCTTTGATTAGTCTAAAAGATATCTTTAGAGCATAGTTTTCTTGATACACGTGCTATTTTTAGTCAGAAACCTTGTCCTGCAGTGCACACCAGCACATGGTATAACAAGATGCAAGATGACTTGATACTCTTAACCTCCTCTGTTTTCCTTTTTATATAATTGGTTACATAATTAAAGTACCACCGAATGTGGTAACAGTAATACCGAATTTTGATTAATTTACATTCAGTTTTATTGGCTACAGAAAGCTCGTTGAAGTTTCCACGTAAGGCACAAATGTTTTTAGTTTCTGATTAAAGTCTCACCACAAGTTAACTGACTCGCAAAAGTTTCTTAAAATGGTTTTTGAAAGTGATTTAAGAACTCTTTGTAGAAAGTAAAATTTGTTTATTTAACATAATGTCCCACTAAGCGATTACTGTTTCTAATTTATTGTCAGATAGTTGGTGTCTTTGAACAAGAGTTAGACAAGAAAAAACAAGTTGAGCATTAGTGGACATTGAGTTAAATGACCTTTTCATGCATGAGTAGCTAATGAAGATGAGTAGCCTTTATGTACATTTCTATTGCAAGAAACCCAAATAAAACTTTTGTTTATGACTTTTTGATATAAACGAACTTTATGCTCCTAAAAGAATCATCCAGCGACCGATAGATGGAGACTCAAATTTAAAAACACTGAACCGTATCCCCCACTTGGCTGGCTCGATCTCATATTCAAACTAAAGCAGCCTGCGGTTTCGGTTGCTGGACATTTTCTTCTTCATAGAGCAACCTTCTCCTCTTGAAGCCATAACCGTGATACCGATACATAATGCTCAAGAGACACTGCCTCAAGCTCACGATGTCGAATGTCTCTATAAACTTCAAGTCCCTTTGTCTCCACTTCAAACCCGCGTTCTTCTGGTACTCCTCGAGCACCGATGACAAACACCAGCTCTGAACTTTTCTTAAGCATCCCACTAGACAACCTGTCCTATGCTGCACACACGAAACACACCAAATCATGAGTGTCCCTCTGAAAAAAAGACTAATTAACACAATCTCTTAAAACACCACCAAGAACACGAAGAGGAAAGAAAGGGTTGTTGTATATTACCTTTCCGCGTTTGCAGTGTATGAGAATCGGATGGTTTCTCACATCTACAGAGAAAACAAAACAGTTATTGTAAGAGTCATGAAACAGCTAACAAGAGCCTATACATAGATCACCAAAAAATCTGTGTTGTTGAGTGTTGATTCCTTACCAACTAAGACTTTGAGAGCATCCAAAACTGTATCTTTGGGCATTGGAGTTGGAGGATCCTGCAGATGATAAACGATTCGGCAATAAGAAATCAAGGGCGTTACATATTGCAGTGATTCAAAGATCAGATAAGCCACACGAAACAAGAGAGATTGGTGATCAACAGAGGTAAAATGAGAGAATCTAAGGAGGGAAAAACGCACCGTTTTGCCTTCGATTCCAAATTGGAAAAGCTTGATGTTGTTGGCCTCAAGAAACTTAAGATTCTCCTCTGGGTATGGTTCAGGACACAGATAACTGTATTGGTGAATCAACGACCGGTTTTGTTAATCCAATCGAAACCAATCAAACATAGCTGAATAAACCCAAAAGGCAAAAAACAAAAATGAAGAAGGAAGAGAGTCAATCTTCTTACATGATGGAACGAAGGTTTAGGGTTGTGAGGAAAGCGAAATTCTCGGGCTGAGGAAATCCAGATCGGTAAATTCCGTCCTCGACCATGGAGAAATTCGACGGCGAAACTAAAACACCACCGTCGTGATCATCCGTTTCCATTATCAAACACATCGAATTCTATTAGCCTCCAAGAATCAACTCCTTCCCCCCAAGAAACGAGAAAACAAACACAGAGAGGAGGAGAAGAAACAGAGCAGGAGGAGGAAGTATTGATTTGATGAAGAAACCCAGAAGAAAAAAAAGAGGTATTTTTATAGGGAGGAAGCTGGAAAGGGGATCAAGTGGGGTTTCTATTATAAAAAGGAAACAGCTTTGAAAAGCGGACTCAGCTTTTGGTAGGATTCTTCCTTCCTATTGGGTTATAAACCTTAAAGGATTTAGGGTGGACCCTTTAGAATCTCTTGGATCTCGACACGTGTCGTATCTCCTGCTTTTCATTAGACCTCACAGCTGACAATTCTTACGAATTTTAGTTTTGAGTCAATCCCTTTTAACATTTTTCAAATTGAACAAATATTCTCAAATAATGTGCTCGAGTCACCAAAAATATTCGAAAAAACTTTGGAGTGCTCTCAATTTGATAAACTACAGACTGAAACTATTGACTATTGACAATTGTCGTTGACCAAAAATAGAAAATGTGTTGACAGACACAAAGCCTATCCTTTTTAGTTAGAAATATTTATGTTACATGGATTATTTTCTATCAACTAAAAATGTTAAAATTAACTAATTAAAGGATACCTCAATCTAGATTCTAATTCTTTTCCTCCCCTCTGAATAATCTAATCTTGATTGTAGCTAAGATTGATTCTTAAGATTCTTGTTCAGGGTTTGACTATTTGTCACTTGTTTTTGTTAAATATGGTAAAATACTATTGTCAAAAACATAACATCTTAATGCTTTTATTAGGTTTTTTTTTTTTGTTGGTCAAAAGCACCATAAGAGAAAATACAAAAAGCTGAAACTGTCTTTCAATCATATCATCTAATGTTATACATTTTGTTTGTTTAACTATTAATCCAGAACATCTTCATTATATACAAAGAGAGATGATTATAATTTATGAAGAAAAACTTCAAATTGTATATATCATATTTCTAATTGAAAGTTTTTCGGCACACCCAAAAATATCTAGAAAGATTTAAAGCTCTTTTGTGGCTTTTAACTTCAATGGATGAACAAAAAATCTAGAAAATAAGTTTTAATCTTCAACATAATCAATCTCTACCGCTGACTTTATCCGGTGCAACGAGTCTCCATTGGCATCTTCAACAGAATCAGTCTCAACCTCTGATTTTAGCCGATGCAAAGAGGTTTCATTCTCATCTCCTGAATCATCATCATCATCAAAGTAAACACTTTGATCATCATCAGTTTTTGACCTATGAATGTGCTCAAGATGAGTATGCTCTTCATCTTCATCTTTTTTCTCTTTCTCCTCCTTCATAGGCAGATCATCATGATCTCTTTCGCTGTCATAGCGCGAAGAAATGCTCTCATCATTTGATCTCTCGCTGCTTTTACTGCTTAGCCTCTCATCACTGACTTCCACATCTTCCCAACTATACCGATACTTTATCTTCAAGCTCTGCGCCGGGTTCTTCTCATCAATAGGAGGATTCGGTGGTGGACTTTTATGGTCCTTTTCATGTTCATCATCTGAGTTAGAATCAGACCCATCATCAGATTCCGTCGAGCTATCTTCTTCCTCATGCTTCTTCTTCTTCGCCTTGCTCACTATCTCCTTATCACTGTTCAAAGATGATTCTTTGTCTGATGACATATTAGATTTGTCATCTTCCATTGCAGGCTCAGGAGGAGGAGATACAAGATTTGAATCATGCCGGCTTAAGGCAATAGACATGCTCTTGTCCCTGAAGGATAAGATAGGAACAGCTGTGGGAATACCGTCTTCTGTTGACATTGAAATGAAGCTAAGTGCAACCATTACATCACTTATCAAAGGACGAGCCATTGCTTCCTCTTGCACGCACATTGAAGCTATTGCCACTGCTTGGTTTAACCCTCTCTCTGAGAATCTCTTCTCCATAACTAGATCTGCCATATCCGGGTATCTCTTCGGATCTCTGAATATCGGTTGCGCCTAGAAAGAAAAGAAATGAGGATTGTTCCAAAAAGGAAACAACTTTATGATTCTAAAAAAAGGAGCAATCATTATGGTTTCTTTGTTGTTATTTACCCAAGAAACTAAGTTCTGTTCGTCATTAGGTCTAGTAGTATCAAGAGCTTTTCGACCCGTGATGAGCTCAAGCAACACAACTCCAAAGCTGTAGACATCTGATTTCATAGTGAGATTTCCTCCTCGAGTATACTCAGGCGCGGAGTAACCATAAGTTCCCATAACTCGAGAAGACAAAGCCATCATCTTATCACCTATCCCTGGTCCTAGCTTATGCAGACCAAAGTCAGAAAGCTTAGGACAAAACTCATCGTCCAACAAAATGTTTGAAGCTTTCAAATCTCGGTATATCACGGATGGATTCACTTTATCGTGCAAGTAATCTAGCCCTTGCGCTGCGCCATACGCTATTTGCATCCTCGTTGTCCAATCCATCGGTTGGCGGTCTGATTTTGGTTCTGCAAAACAAAACATTTGATATCTCTCAGCTTTACCTAAAATATTTTAAAATGGTGAAAAATGTGTCTGAAGAAAAAGAAGAAGAAGCTATCAAGTTATATGTAATACCGTGAAGATGGTCTTGAAGAGAACCTCCAGAGACATAATCATAGACCAAAAGCCTTTGATCTCCATCGGCGCAATACCCAACGAACTTAACAAGATTCGGATGATCGAGTTGTCCTAATGACAAGACCTCAGCTTGAAACTCTTTGTTCCCATGTAATCCATGCTTGTCTAGTTGCTTTACAGCCACCACCTACATTCCCCAAAAACGAGACAATTTCTTGTGATGAATCATTGCTAATGTATCCAAAATTCCCAATTATAGCTTTTTCAGTATATCGAACCTGGCCAGTAGATTGAAGGGTTCCTTTGTAAACCCTACCAAATCCACCTTCTCCTAACAAACACTCTTGCCGAAAATTCTTTGTCGCCGTTGCTAATTCCCGGAAAGTGAATGTCTTAAGCGTTGTTCCTTCCAATTGCTCTGTTTCATCTGACCGTCTCCTCTCTTTAAGAAGAAGAAAAAAGTTGCAACTTTTTATTTTTTATTTAACCGATCGAATGAAAGACGAAATCGATAAAACGAAGAAAAGGGTTTTCAATCTTGCACACTAAAAAAGAGGCGAGCATAACATACCATGTGGTCTGGCTTCGTTGTCGTTAGTCTCATTCGTATTTGAAGATTTTTTACTCTTCGGTGCGGAGAAACACGGAAAACAGTGCATGGTTAGCGAAATAAACAGAGAAAAGACAAGATTTTTGTTTTGTTTTGTTTTGGATTTAGCAATGGGGCGGGTCCTTCATGGGTGATTGAAGGACCCACGTAAAAGGAGAAACAAAAATGAAAAGAGAAAGAGAGGAAGAAGAAAAAGAAGAGAAATCCAAGCCACCGGAAATCGATGAAGAAGAGTGACTTCTCCGAGGAAGAAGGAGAAAAAGTGTAATTCGCTTTCTCTCTCAAAAATGTTTACATCTCCCAAAAGCATGGAGAACCATCCTTCTTCTTTCGATTCCTGTAAAACCTAATTTTGTAAAGATCTCAAAGTGGATTAATCTGTCCGACAACCAGCTAAAATAATTCTCTTCTTTTTTTTTTGTGCTAAAAATAACGCTATTTTAGAACATCAGTACTAAATAATGACGGACTAATATCAATAATTTGTGGATTTTATGAATAGATTCGTATATATAGTCTAATAATTTTTCTTAGTGACTTATATACAAATGTGTTGTTAGAAGAAGTCTGATTTTTTTTTTTTTAATTTCAACAACAGATATGATTTGGCCAATGTCTCAGGAAACTAATTATTGGTCAATGCCGTTTAGATCATCTATCTCCGCACTCAACCAAACACGCTTGGAAGAGGATTTTGCCGGGAAGATATTTCGTGTACTGTTCAAAATTTCAAATGTAATGAAAAAGTTTAGTTAAAAAAAACATAATTATGTGAAAAAGTGTTACATTTTGGATGGTAACACAACCGTCTCTAATCTTAGGTTAACATTTCCAGTCAATTGGGTTTGAAAGCGAGTTATTACTTATTACTAAAATAATTTATCGTATATTGTGGGCCTAAGCTTTTATATTGGGCTTAAGTAATAAAGCTCAATAAATAAGCCCATTAGAAAGTCCCTCTTGTTATTGCAACTTTTCCGGCCATCGCTTTCTTCTGTGTCTGCCCTTGAAATCCTCTGGAAGATGAGTCTCCTCCGATTCAAATCGTGATCGCTTACCATTTGGATTCGCTTCACTCATCACTTACAGATCTCTGAGTTTGTTTCAGCAATTCTTCCCCCGTTGAAGAGACTCCAAAATGGTAAAGCTTTTCGATTTGTTCATTCCGAATACTTCGATTCCCCTCTTGAACGTCTTCTGTTTCTGAATGTGTCTCGTTTGGGTCTACAACCTTCGGAATGATTGACGTCAACATTTCTCATCATTCTTACCCTTTTTCGTAGATATCGAGAACTCTGATATAGTTTCTATTCTAATAAGTATATCTATAGATTCATTAAACGAAATAGGGTTCGTTTCCTCTTTGTTTCCCTCAGTCCGTTTCTTCTTTGACTGGAATATTTGAATTGTTGATTAAGCTAATTAGTGTATTGTATTCTTAATTGGCGTGCATAAATCACTGAGTATAAGTTCGATGGGCATGTGATTTAGGTTCTGTGTGTTGGATGCAGCGGAAATTTTATACTCAGTGAAAGTTTTCTCTTGTTGTTGTTTTGTTCACAGTGAGTTCATGAGGCAGTGCACTTCTTAATACGGTTGGTGTTTTTGCACTGATCCAAAGGATTAATAATCTGCTTTCAGATGCAAATACCTCATGGCCGAACAAGCTTTAATCGCTCTAGAGTCCCAAGCTATTTTGGGAGCAGACCATGCTTTGGTCATCGGGAAAGAGTTTCCTGATGTGGAAACTTGCAGAAGGACTTTGAAAGATCTGGCCTTGGCTATGCATTTCGATCTCCGTATAGTGAAATCAGACCGAAGCAGATTCATAGCCAAATGTTCCAAGGAAGGTTGTCCGTGGCGGATTCACGTCGCGAAATGCCCTGGCGTTCCGACATTTTCGGTTAGGACACTTAACGGCGAGCATACCTGTGAAGGGGTCCAAGATCTGCATCATCAGCAAGCCTCCGTTGGCTGGGTCGCAAGATCGTTGGAAGCACGGATTAGAGATAATCCCCAATACAAACCGAAGGAAATATTACAAGATATTCGCGATGAGCATGGTGTTTCGGTTTCTTACATGCAGGCTTGGCGCGGGAAAGAGCGGAGCATGGCTGCACTTCATGGCACTTATGAGGAAGGATATCATCTTCTTCCTGCTTACTGTGAACAGATTAAACTGCTAAACCCTGGGAGCTTTGCTTCTGTTTCTTCCTCTGGGGCTGAATCCTGTTTCCAGCGCTTGTTTGTCGCGTACCGAGCCTGTGTATCGGGATTTATTAGCGGATGTAGGCCGCTTCTTGAGCTCGACAGAGTTCATTTAAAAGGTAAATATCTAGGCACGATACTCTGCGCGGCCGCGGTTGATGCGGATGATGGTCTGTTTCCTCTCGCGATCGCAGTTGTTGATGTGGAGACGGATGAAAACTGGCTCTGGTTTCTTTCGGAACTGAGGAATTTACTCGGGATGAACTCAGAGAGCATGCCGAGGCTCACGATACTCTCTGAGAGATATCATGGAATGGTGGAAGCGGTTCAATCACATTTTCCTACTGCTTTTCACGGGTTTTGTCTCCGTTACGTGAGTGAAAACTTCCGCGACACCTTCAAGAACACAAAGCTGGTTAACATGTTCTGGACTGCTGTTTACTCCCTCACTGCATCTGAATTCGAATCTAAGATATCTGAGATGATGGAGATATCACGAGACGTGATACAATGGTTCGAACTCTTCCCACCCGATCTCTGGGCGGTTGCTTTTTTCCAAGGCGTAGTACGGTACGGGCATTTCGACTTAGGTATCACAGAGATACTGTACGATTGGGCTGTTGAGTGTCACGATCTCCCAATCGTTCAGACTATGGAACACATTCGAAACCAGTTATCGTCTTGGTTCGAAACCCGGCGTGATTCGAGCTTGAGATGGAACTCGATACTCGTTCCTTCGGCTGAGAAACGGATCGCGGAAGCCATCTCGGACGCAGGCTGTTACAAAGTGTTGCGCGCGAATGAGGTGGAGTTCGAGATTGTGTCGACGGAGAGAACGAATATCGTGGATATCAGAGCACGGGTTTGTTCCTGCAACCGATGGCAGCTTTACGGTTTACCGTGCGCTCACGCAGCAGCAGCGCTCATCTCGTGTGGACAGAACGCTCGTCTGTTCGCTGAGCCGTGCTTCACCGTTGTAAACTATCAACAGACATACTCGCAGATGATACCTGAAATTCCGGACAGAAACTTGTGGAAGAAGCAACAACAGCAGCCAGAGAAGTGCTTACCGTTGATACTACCGCCAAAGACCCGGAGGCCGCCGGGCAGACCGAAGAAGAAAGTGGTTCGAGCTGAGAATCTCAAGAGACCGAAGAGAATTGTTCAGTGTGGTCGCTGCCATTTGTTGGGACATTCTCAGAAGAAATGCACACAGCCCTTTTGATCCTTCTCTTTTTTTTTTGTTCAACTTGTTGGATGTAAGATGTTGTAAAGCTGTAATCTTTGACATGATCGTAAGAGTTTTAGGGCTTTTGTATAACGAGGATTTAACCTAGATCTTGCAGTAATTCAAAAAGTAATTTGCTTCTTTTTTTTTTATCTATAATTTTTATCAAAACTAGCCGGGTCGAATAAATACCCGCCCGGTTCGTCCCATCTAATTTTCCCGCCAAATAAAAATGTAAAACCGCGAAAATGATTTTGGCAGGTGAATCTGATAAGACCTAAGAGAGAGAGAGAGGGAGAGAAGCCGTAGAGATCCAAGGGTCAGAGATGGAATCAGCACCGACGGGATGCTTCAAATGTGGCCGTCCGGGTCATTGGTCTCGCGATTGCCCATCCTCGGCTCCGGTCGCCGGCAATGTCGATTCTTCTTCCACTCCATCTCAAACCCCTAATAACGAATCTCAGAGATCTTTCGCCAAAAGTGGAAATCCCGCCGCCGGAAGATCCGTAGGGCCTGTACCCAAAGTGACGAAGACGAGAGTTCAAAGGCCTAAGCTAACACCTGATCTGCTGCTCTCGGAGGATGGTCTCGGCTACGTTCTTCGGTATTTCCCTAAATCCTTCAAGTATCATGGCCGAGGGAAAGAGGCAAGTCGTTTTTCTCCGTTTTTCCTTCCTTTTTATTCGCCGATTCTATAGAATTTGCTCTGTCCTTTTCATCGGTATCGGAATCGAAATTTGCTGGATTCTGATAGCGACTCTGTATGCGTTGCCTGATCATATCAAATCGAGAAATGTTTGTTTGTTCAGGTTTGATAATTTGGAAATGTTCTTTTTTATATATAGGTAAGCGATTTGGGTAATTTGATACGGCTGTACAGTGAGTGGCATTCTCATTTGCTACCTTACTATTCGTTTGATCAGTTTGTGCATAAAGTGCAACAAGTCGCTGCTACTAAACGTGTGAAGGTACGTTAACTCAATCCCCTTTAGTCTAATTTGTTAGTGTTCTTCATGGAACTTGACTATGCCCTATGGCAATTGTGAATCTATGAGTCCTGATTCTAAGGATCTGATGATTGTGTCAAATAGTGGGTAGTCAAGATTACTGATATCAGAGTTGCATTGCTCGTTTCCTAATTTGGTGGATGAATCTTGTGTTGCTTTGTGAGTTCCAAGTATTATAATCTGCGAATGTGTTAGACAAACTTTGCCAGTAACTAAAAACTATATATTTACTAAGTGAGTATGTTGCATTTGCACTAAAAAACTTGGTGCACTTACAATTACTCTAATTTGTTATCTTTTCAGATTTGTATAAACGAACTGAGAGAAAGAGTCGCCAGGGGAGTTGATCCAAACAAGTTATACGAAAAGCAGGAGGAAAATGCTCTTCACTCTGATGATGAAGGTATGTAAAACAGATTAGCTTATTTCCCTTTGACTCTTCTTGTGTGGCTGCATTCCAACTTTAGCTCAATTTCTGTCACAATCTTGTATTGCTAGGTGATGAAAACTCTTTTGCAGGTAACACAGATATGGATCATCCAAGTCATGACGAGGAAAACATACCATCGAAGAGCGTAGATGTTGATGCTGATACAAATGCTGATGCTTTCCAAGACAGTATGTTGAATGAGATATTCGATAATGCAATGGATTCGAGACATACTTCGAAGCTACCGAGCGATGAACTAAGCAATGAACTGACGGAAGAGCAAAGAGCACGTATGGAAGCTAATAGATTGAAGGCAATGGAGAGAGCTCAGAACATTTCCGAGGAACAGAGACTACGAATGGAAGCTAATAGGCTAAAGGCTCTCGAGAGAGCCAAATCAAGGCTCGAACCAAATCAAGATTAGCTTTGCTATACATTTCTAGAGAGGTTCAATTTGTCGGTTGAATTTTTTGGGGATAATTGAACCAATGTGTAATCGAATCTAGCTTATGTGATATGTCTGTCTCTGTCTGAAATTGGTTTAAAAAAATAAGAAGTGTGGTGGGTTCGATTTTTTTTGTTCCTATTGGTTTGGTTTAAATTCGGTTTAGGATCCAAAATTATGTAATTTAGCAGATTTCAATTTTAATATATCTAATTTTTTTAAAATGAATTAAGCATATTGAAAAGGACAAAGATAATGAAACAAATAATAAAATTTTGTGACGTGTTCTCTACCGTCCAATTTTGGCGGAGAAGATAAAATAAAAATAAAATTTGGGACACACGAGCAAAAAACATCCACAGGGGTATTTTCGTCTTGGTACGTACATAAACTTTTTCAATTAATTTATTTTTTCTCTAAATTTCTTGTTTCTTTTGTGTGGAGGTGAGACGAGAACGCTTTTTTGCTTTTCGTCTGTCTCTCTCTCTCTCTTCACTTCCTCTTACCTCTCTGTTTACACGATTCTTCTTCTTCTTCTTCTATGTCTTATTTCTCCATTGGCATTCACTTCTCTACACTCCGTTTTATTTTTAGAGGAATTACGATTTGGGTCTCGGTTATCGGCGAATCATTTACAGTGATGACAGTATAATGTCTTATGCTCATCATCATCGCCGGGGACATTCCTCTTTACGTCTATGGATTTTAATGCCGGAGTTCCTATGTCCTCTCTTTCACCTTTGATGAATCAAGGTCCGATTAGTTTTTCCTCTTTCTGTTAGCTTTGATCGGAAAGTTTTTGATTTTTTTTTCTTTTTTCTTTTTACGGATTGGGTTTAATTACGGATTTCTACTTTTGTCTTTTGGGTGGGGGTTCTGATCAGATGCAATGTGGCAAATAAATTTGAGTTCAGATGAAACAATGGAAACTGGTTCTTACCCAGAACGACCAGGAGAGCCGAATTGTTCTTATTACATAAGAACTGGACTTTGTAGATTTGGCTCAACTTGTCGGTTCAATCATCCTCGTGATCGGGAACTGGTAAGATACGTTTTCTTTATGCTCTTGTGTGTGATTTTGGAGATCTGTTTGGTTGGATCGAAATTTCAATGCTTTTGAGAGTGTTTTTGATATGTCTTTGGTTAATGTGATGGTTCTCTCTCACTGTCCAAATTCTAGGTTATAGCCACTGCAAGGATGAGAGGAGAATACCCTGAAAGGATAGGTCAGCCTGAATGCGAGGTGATTCAGTTATTGAATGCTCTTTTTCTCTGTTGATGATTTAGAACATACAAAATGAAAAAGACAGTTTTTTTTTGCTGATAAAGCATTAGCAGTTTTGTCAAACTCATCTTCTTACACAAAGCTAACTTATTTTTGTATGCTTGGGGTTGCTTAGTACTATTTGAAGACAGGAACCTGCAAGTTTGGAGTAACATGTAAGTTTCACCATCCAAGGAACAAAGCTGGGATTGCTGGAAGAGTCTCACTCAATATGTTAGGCTATCCTCTACGCTCGGTACGTTTGACTTTTGACAATTCCTCTGATTTCACCTCATCACACTTTGCCGCCATCCTCTTAGTGATTCTCTGATAATGCAGAATGAGGTTGACTGTGCTTATTTTCTAAGAACCGGACACTGTAAATTTGGTGCGACATGTAAATTCAACCACCCTCAGCCTCAAGCAACAACCAGCATGATGGTTCCTACATCAGGGCAACAGTCTTATCCTTGGTCAAGAGCATCTTTTATTGCCAGCCCTCGATGGCAAGATCCCTCTGGCTTCACCCCATTACTTATGCCCCAAGGTGTTGTACCGGTTCAAGGCTGGAACCCTTACAGCGTAAGTTGCTCAAAACAACAATTGCTTCATTACCTTGAGCTAATCTGAATTTGTATGACTTGTTCTTTTGATTTCTATCGAATGATTCTCCATTTCGTTAGGGTCAGCTCGGCTCAGTTTCTCCTTCAGGTACCGGCATTGAGCACAACTACAGAAACTTGCAGCAGAACGAGACCAAAGAGCCAGGCTCTCAGTCTCAAGGGTCCTTCTCGGGTTTCGATTCGGGCGCCTCTGTTCCGCTAGGAGGGTTCTATGCATTGCCGAGGGAAAGTGTTTTCCCGGAGAGACCCGGACAACCCGAATGTCAGTTCTACATGAAGACAGGTGACTGCAAGTTTGGCACCGTTTGCAAATTTCATCATCCTAGAGACAGACAAGCTCCTCCTCCTGACTGTCTCTTAAGTCCCCTTGGCCTCCCTTTACGCCCGGTAAGATCAAAGACTGAGAATAAAAAAAAGGCATTTATGAATTGGTTTTTTTCGATTTTTCTCTAATAGTTTTTTTTCCGACAGGGAGAACCCTTGTGTGTGTTCTATACTCGCTATGGAATCTGCAAATTTGGTCCGAGCTGTAAATTTGATCACCCAATGCGAGTATTCACATACGACAACGCGGCTTCAGACACAGATGAGGCTGTGGAAACATCAGGTGGGCACACCAGAAGAGCCTCTGTGTCTGAAACAAGACAAGCAGCAACAACCTCTGCTAAAGACGCTACCATTGATACACAGCAGTGAAGAAGAAACAAAAGAAGAAAAGAGCTTAAAAAAAAGCTTTGATTTTTCAAAGAGGAATCTGTAAATTCTCATTTTCATTTAAATCTCAAGCATATTTATTAATAAATGTATAGAGGTGATTATACAAACTGATCTTGATCTTATCTGATCGCCATTGTTGTAATATTATTTTGGCGAATCAGTTGAATAAATGATAAAAGTAATTTCCTCAAATTTGACCTTTGGAGCAAATAAGGTAACATTGTGTTCCCGATATTATGATCCGGTTTCAACGTTTACTATACGTTGATTTTTCAGATTCCTTTTACAATTTCTAAAGTAACAACACTCCCCGTGTACGACTACGCACTTTTTTGTTTTGTCAAAAAGCGCATGAATCCAATAGCTCCACTACAACAAACAAAGCATGGAAATTGAAATCGATGACGTAAAGAGGGAGAGATGTTTTAAATCGAATCAGCTTGGGGAAAGAATTCCAGCAAATCATCATCGTCGCCACTTTTCTTTGTCTTTGTTTCTTCGACTCAATGTGATGATGGATCTATAGCCCAATAGTAAATTTAGGCCCAAATTGAAATATTAAGCTCAACTGGTTGCCCTAAGCAGCCAAGAGTATATAAGTTGTATATTCGTCATTTCCTCTTCCTCCATTCCATCTCTGTTTTTAGGGTTTATGGTGTCTGGGAATGTGAAATCTTCGTTTATTTTCTGCTTATTGATTAGGTCATCTACAAAGCAAAGTAGGCTTTATTTTTTGTACCAATTTTGTGTCGGAAGATGACAAGATTAGTTTATTTCACCTCCATTGCAATATCTTCATGGAAGTCTTCTCCTCCATGTAGTAGCTCTGCGGAGGACACATTTGATATATATGTTTTCATTGATCATGTTTTACGTTTATGATTGTCCGAATCAGTCAAGTCCCATTGGTCGAGGTCATGAATCATGATTTAATTTTTTTGTTGACGTCTTTCTCGGAACATTTTCATATATTTGCCTTTAATTTCAGTCTTATGTTTGTGTTTTCTTGTGCCTAAAAATCCAATTGTGCAGTCATCTTTAAAGCAAATAGGCTATAACTCAATGCCAAATTTGTGTCGGAAGATGACAACATTGATTTTGCACCTCCATAGCAATATCTTCATGGAATTCTTCCCGTCCGTGGTGTAGATCTATGGATTTGCACATTATTTGGCAATTAATAAATGTTTTTGTGTGTGGTATCTGTTAACTTAATGCTATTCTCTATTTCTTATTTGTTGTGAAAACATTCAACAGGAAAAGCCGGAAGCTTATATGTGACTGATACAATCCTTTCTACGAAAGACGACTATCTTGGTGGTGAAGAAGAATGTGTAAATTCTCATTTTTTCGCATTTAAGATCCGTCTTTATTATGTATACAGCTTTAGACTTCTAAAATCACTGAGCTAGTGAACAAACATATGATGAATTGTTTCATTTTTAATATCGTTCGTTTCCCTCAAATGTGTACTTGTTTTTTTATGAATCAACCAATTATTCACATCTCTTTAATTGTTTTTTTCAAATTGTGATGGTTTCCAAATTTATAAATTCGTTCCCAAAATCTTGCAACATATGAATTGTTTCATTTGTAATATCGTTCTTTTCTCCCTAATGTCTAATTATTGTTTTATAAATCAACCAATTATTCATCACATCTCTACAATTGGTTTTATCAAACCGTGATGGTTTCCAAATTTTTAACTTCGATACAAAAACTTCAATACGAAGCAAGCAGTTAATAAATGGAACATGAAAAAAAATTCTTGGTATCGTAGATTATTTTTTAAAATATGATGTTTGGTTTGGTAAGCGAAATGGATTTACATGTTGATCTTGTTTAATGTAATAATTGTCTGGCCCAATATTATTAAATCAAAGTAATGGGCCATGCCAAGAAGCCCAAAATAGTTAAATGTAATAAATTGTCTGGCCCAATGGTAAGTCATTCTTTTTTAGCGTTCTTTTGTCCCACATCGGAAAGCATTGAAGCAAAACGAACGTTTATATAGCGATGGAGTCGAAGGACACATTGTCACTTCGGGGACATCCGATAAAATTGGAACGATACAGAGAAGATTAGCATGGCCCCTGCGCAAGGATGACACGCACAAATCGAGAAATGGTCCAAATTTTTTTTCCCAGATCGATCTCTGCTTTTAAAGTTTTTCATTCTCACTGAATCCTGGTATCGGGTTTTGGATGAACAGCTGCGAAATTATGAAACTTTTTTATTTCTAGATGGATTTCTTCTTTCTCTGGTATTCAAGTTTTAATTGAGGAATAGATCTCTCTTTCTCTGCATCTAATTTTCAACTGTAGCCAAGTTTCCAGTTTATATACTCCGAACAGAACCGAACTTTGACATCTCGTATATTTATGGGGGGATATATAATTTTTATCACATACCCATTCCATGACGCGGGGAAAAGTAAACAAACACGGACCCGGAGACAGAAATGCGACCAAGCCCGAGTCGCACACGCCTGGTCCAAAGTCTTCCGTAACTCGGTTTTACTTCTTTTTATATGTAATGACGGTCTTTTAGCTCCTAACTGATATTATTTCTAGAATGACACTTCTTTTTCATCAGAATGAGTCTCTCACGTATATTTATAAAGGCTCATTATATTATCGTACAATAATCAAAGATTTAAAATACGATTCTTGAGTATCTGATTGTTGATGAACTAACACCTCGGGTTAAATACTCAACTAGCAAGTATATTAGAACATTTTCAGTATATACAATTTATAAGGGAAAACACGCGTGAATTATTTTATAATAATATACTACAGACTGTTCTTCAATTTACACATATTTAAATGAAAATACTAAAACATTAGTTAATTAAGAACCGAAAAATTTTAGTCATAAACCTGGACCCAGAATACCAATCCAGAGATTTCAACGGTCAACATTCCAACTGAGTTCACAAACATAAATCAAAGCGTTCCATTTCATACCTTTTCTCTTTCAAGTTTTTACAACCTTTGACTACCTCGATCTCTCTTTATATGTATATATATACAAAACCAACCACATACATGCATACATAGATACAAACACGTAAACAAAAATATATTTATACAATCCCACAACCCCTCCTCTCCTGTTTCAGTTTTATCGAATAATCTAAAACTACTTCAAGATTTTCTAGGAAACCAAACAAAAGAAAAAGAAACTATGGTGTTACCATGGATAACAAGAGGAGGAGCAACAAAAAGACGTAATCAACTGACTTCCGGCGATATAAGCGTCGCGGAAACCAAGATCCCGGCTCAACTCCGATCATCAAGAGTCGAGCGGGTTCAGTCACCGCGAGTGCCGTTGACCCCGCGTGATGCGGCGGAGATATGCCAGGGACTGGAAAACGCGGTGGCGCGAGAGGAAAATGCTGAGTGTTTCGAGATTGTGAGTAAAATCAAGAAATTGGGAAGAGGAGGAGGAGGAGAGACGAACAAGAAATGCTTGGTCCAAAACGGCGTCGTTTCAGCGCTGTCTTCTTGTTTCCAAAGATTCGCTTCAGCGTCTGAGAAACACGCGCTTTTGCTGGAGGAAGTCTTGTCTGTGCTCTCTTCTTGCTTGCCGCTGAGTCGATCAGAGGGTGTCTCGAAGATGGGATCAGCGGCTTCGCTTAGCTGTCTCGTACGGTTTTTGAACGCTGCAGACGCTAAGACGAGGCAAAACGCTGCGTTTTATATCAGAGAGGTTATTGCAGTAGACAAGAGGTATGTGTATGCGCTAACAGATATCGAAGGAGCATGTGAAGGATTAGTTAAGATTATCAAAGACTCTGTTTCGACGAGCTCGACGAAAGCATCTCTAATGGCGATTTATAGAGCGGTTTCGTGTGACAACAAGGTCGCTGCAAGATTCGTGAATTTGGGTTTGGTCGGATTGATCACAACAGAGATGATTGTGAACAACGTGGAAAAGAGCGTTTGCGAGAGATGTCTCGTTGTTCTCAACGTCATCTGCGACAACGAGCAAGGCAGAGAGGATGTTCTTAGAAACGCGTTGATCGTTCCTCTTCTAGTGAAAAAGATTCTACGGGTTTCAGATCTGGCAACGCAATGCTCAGTCTCGATTCTTTGGAAGCTATGGAGGAAAAACGGAGAAGATGAAGATCGTCTGTTAGTTGAAGCTCTTCAAGTTGGTGCCTTTGAGAAACTTTTAGTGCTTTTACAAGTCGGCTGCGAGGAGAAGACTAAGGAGAAAGCGAGCGAGCTGTTGCGGAATTTAAACCGCTGTAGAAACGAGATGGAGAAAACAAACTGTGTCGATTCTTCGATGCATTTGAAGAACGTGAAGAAATCGTTTTAATCCAACAAACAATACACAACATAATTCTTTTTGTAGTTACTCTGTTTTTGAAATTTCTTTTGTAGTTACTCTGTTTCTAAATACTCTGTTTTTTGAAATTTGGAGGTTTGAATCATTATGTTTCAACAGTCAAATACAGCTTTTGTCCATCATTTATCAAATCTACATCAATAATTTTACCTTCATCTTCAGATAATACACAAGAAGCCTCTGGAACATTCAGCTGTTCCGCTGCAGTTCTTACAAGCTCCTCGATGCTTCGAGGCACCCACAATACAATCCCGCGTCTTCTTTTCTCTTTCGCATCATTCGGATGTGAAGAATACACTGTACATTTCTTCTTATTGACTTTATCTGCAGATGTTTTCAAATAAATAACAGCTCATGAGTGTCTTAAAAGTCCAGTAAATCCTTTGGTCTAAAAAACCGATTTAACTACCTTTAAGCTCTTTGGAGCTACTCGGAAACGAAGAAATCTGAGAACTTTTAGCGTCTTCAAGTAATTTTATCAACATCTTGTTCCCACTACCCAAGGCTTCATCTAAAGGAGTATTTCCCCATCTACATGTTTTTTTAAAAACAGTTAGTATCAGCCAAAAAATAGACAGAAACCGCTAAAGAATGAAAAGAGTATATGTATACCTGTCTTTGGCAAGAACGTTAGCACTTGCTTCTACCAACTGCATTGCCAAGAGGTACAATCCTTCAGAAGAAGCGACATGAAGAGGTGTCCTGTGATCATAATCTTTGGAGTTAGGATCAATTCCGTTATTGAGAAGCCGTTTCAGGAAATCGCTGTCTCCTTTCGCAACCACCGTGCAAAGGAAAGTCCCTGCGTTCTCTATGCTCAACGTAGCTCCTTCTTTCACAAGCAACGCCGCAACACGGTCATTCCCGTTCTTGATTGCTTCAAGTAACGGCGTGTTCCCTAGTTTATCTTTGATATTTATGTCTACTGATTCTTGAATAAGGTATAGTGTAATGTCTTCATATCCTCTAGAAGCTGCAAGATGCTGTCAAAGAAGAAAACATATTACAGTATTAGATATGTTTAAAATCTTTTTGATTAAAGAAACCGAGAGAAGCTTAGAAAATCATACCAAAGGCGATCTTCCGTCATAATCTGTCTTATTCGGGTCAGCTCCAGCTCGGATCAAGCTCTTAAGCTGATAAAGATCACCGTAGAAAGCAGAGCTATTCAGCTTCAAAGCCAGCTCTGCTTCTTGTTTACTGATATGAAACGTTATATCTGATTCCAATTGCTTAATCCTGACATTAGATTCTTTCCCTTCAAGAAGATTGTTGAGGATCCTACGTCCATCGTGGAAATAGATCTCGAGGATGTTCATAAAAGATTGTTTATCAAGCCTTAGAATCCGACATAGCTCGGAAACTCGAACTGTGTAAGGCTGAGGAATGTTGCAGAGGATTGAAATCTCTCCAAAGGAATGATCCGGTTGAAGAAGTGCCACTATTTCCTCAGATCCATCCTTAGCTATACCTATCTCTTCCTGATGTTAATTAAAAAAAAAAAAAAAAAAAAAAAAATCTTGCTTACTAACATTGAATTTCAGACATTCGTGAGCAATTATTCACGAAAAAAATCAAAGAATTTTGTTTTACCAGTACACCGTGACAAACGAAGTAGAGTTGATCAACAACGCTTCCTTGCTCCATTATAACTTCTCCAGGGAGAAAGAACTCTTCATGAAGTCTTATAACCTGTAGTAAGAGAACCATCAAAAAAAGTGTGTCCTTTTGAGTTATCTGAAAGAAAGAAGTTTCGATTTTTACAGTCCGGATCAAAAAGGCTTACAATCTGGTTGATGAATTCAGATGAGCACCCGCGAAAGAGAGGGACTTTCTCAATGTAAGGCAAGTATAAAGTTTGTGCAATCTGCAGTGAAAAACATGAGTTAATAATAATACATTCGTTTCATCATCTGAATCTGAAATCTAAACAAGCAATACCTTAGCACGGATGGAGACAGGTATGTCTTGAAGAACAGCCGCCTCGGTGTAGCTGCTCTCGTACTGCAACCGGAGATGTCCAGTGATCTGACCACGTATGTTTCGACCTAGTTTGTTTCGGTTCATATACCGCATAATATCCGCCATTTTATCCCGAAACCTCTCTGTTTTTGAACCTTTTACAATCAGAGCTGTCATGTTACCGATCAAGTAAGCGCCTAGAATCATGTCGAATGAAATGTAGACCATCGCGAATACCATTTCCCGCATATTAACCGCGTGTATATCTCCATAACCTGCACCAAAAAGAGTCATGCTAAATTTTGGTTATAAACCAGAACCAAAGCAAAAAAAAGCTATGAGAACTTACCAACAGTTGCCATAGTGACGACTGCGAAGTACATAGAAGTGGTGTACCGAGTCCAGAGATCGATATCCCTAAACTTGGAGTAACTGTAATCTCCCAGTTTCAAGCTTCCAATCCAAGTGTACCCTTCTTGAGAAGCAGGTAGCGTCGTGGCCAAGTAATAGAAGATACAAGCCGCCGTGTGGGTGCAGTAGAGCTCGACGAATATAAGCTTGACGATTCTCGTGAAAAGGTAATTGATTCTTATATCTTTCTCCATCTTGTGGAAAAACAGGATTACTCTACGAACTCGGTATAGCCTTATCAACAGTAGGTATCTCACTTCTTCTTTTCCTCCTGCAGCCTGTTTTCAAATTTACAGTTTCAGTACGTTCGATTTTTCACAATTTGTAAGCAAGATCAGAGAATAAAAAGCTTACCTTGTAGATGATATCCCATGGCATGCAAGCAAGTAGATCAATAGTAAATGTTGATTTTAAGTATCTGCATATATAGTGGACACCATGAAGAGGTTAGATTCATTCGTTATCAGATTCGATTAAATTAACAGAAGCTTAACATGAGGATAGAGCATTAATACCGTAAAGCGATTGAGCTGCGTCTATAGACCATTCTGTAAGTTCTGCTATCTCTATATGCTACGAAGAATGTTAACACAATATCGACTAAGAAAGCGATTTGGCCCACAATGTCGAGGATGAACAGATTTTCTGGTAATCCTCTGAAGAATCCGAATTCCAATGGAGTGAAGAAGGAAGAGTAAAGTGCCCATATCGTTATGAACATCGTCCACGCCTTGTACCACCTGCAAATTCGATGAATCTGGTGATCAAATCTTTAGATTGCAGTAAGAGTTTTGGTAGCTAAACTAAACTCATTACTTCAGATATCAACAAAACAGAGTTTTCTTCGTCGGTCAGGATTTTCTGACGTGTGCAGGCTCGTGGCCGTTAGACTTTTAACGAACGATTATTTGTGACCATTGAGAAACTAATACGTGTCATAAAGTGGCGGGAAAATGGATGAATAACCGAAGAAAATGTAATTACAGAAACAAGAATGTTAAAACCACATTCATGCACCTAATGTTTTTGTTTTCGCTTAATTGACCCCAAACGATTTGTTTTCTTTTTCTGATAGTTTTTTTCACTAATAGACTTTTCTTGTAACAACTTAAAAGTTACATAGAAATCAGTATACTACAAATTAATCTATTGTTACAAGCCTAATCAACTGGACCCTAAGTGGGATAAAATAAGAAAATTATAATGTAGGGACTACTTCTGAAATAATAAAACAATAAGGGGACTCAGAAGGAAATTTTCAAATCCTATGAGGGTGGGGATTTCAGTTTTACCGGTTATCTGGATGAACAATGGAGCCTCTGGAGATATCTCTGATTCCATTAATGACGGTGAACTTTCCGCCGCTACCGCCGGCGAAGTCTAACCCTAAGAAATTGCTGAGGGGGTTGAACCTGTTTCCTTGCGATTCTACAATCCCTTCTCTGAAATCATCCACCTCATAATCCTCTAATTCCGCGTCCGATTCGCCGCCGCTTCGGTAAGAAGCTCCGCCGCCGCTACTACCTCCCATTACCGCTGAATCACGAAATCGGGTTTAACTAGATAATCGGAGATTTGAAGAAGACAATCTCTCTGTTTTTCTTTTTCTCCCTCTTCTCTAATTTTTGTTTGGGCTAGAATCTCTCTCCTCTCTCTTATTTCCTTTTTTTGTGATTGCTCAGTTACGCCTAAAATTGGCGCCTCGGTTTCAGATTTTTGAAATTTGTCAGATGGGAAAAAATAGCAACTAAAGTTATTCGATGAACAATAACTTCGAAGCGACGAAATTTATAGAAATTTTGGTTGTTTTTTTCTAGATAGTGCTGTTGTTAATTTTTAAAGAAAAATTATTACAAAACCTCATTATCTCGGTGTGATTCACAAAGGAGATCACATGCTACATTATAAGTTAAAGTTATATCATATGGACATAATTAAAGATAATACTGTAAAAGAACACATTTTGAGAGAATAATAATATAGATTCGAAAATACACTTGTGTAGTATGATGACCTATGAAGAGCACATAAAAGTGAAACGAACAAGTCTTTTTATAACCACAAGTTACAGATAACAAGTCATTAAATGTTACATGTCATAAAGTTTGGTGGTGTTTGGCAAATTGCGTTTAGAAGTCACACTCATTTGTTAGTAAAGTTTTTGTTTAATGCCTTTTCTCACGTTTACACATACATAAGAAATTATAAAATGATATTTCAGAACTTAGGAGGATATTTACTTTGAAACAACGAAATTGCATTTAAGTTATTCTTAGAAGTTTTTTGGAAAAACAAAGTTGTGCTGACAAGCAATGCAAGTGTTATGATGGATAGTGAAATAAGATACTCACTTAATATCTGGATGTAGATTGAAACCTCACTCTTGTATAACACTTTACCATTAATAAATTCACGTTACAATATAAGCCATATGATTAGTCAAGACTAGATAATGTTAAGGTCTTTAGGAGACTCGGTGCTTTTAGTTAGGCCAGAAGTAATTAGTTAATTAATTTATGTTCTAATGGAAAATTAGTTTATATCAGTTGTGCATTAACCGACCACTGCTTTGGCTGTATTCTCTTATTTTTTTGTGGACTCATTTTAAAGTTATATAATTAAGAAACATAACGTTGTTAATTCCTTGTTTTCGGGTTATATATCTCGATTTGAATATATCATGTCAATTTGAATAGTTAGTGGTCGAACTTCTTGTATACTTGACCCCTAATTGGTTTGTAGAAATATTTGACCCCTAAATGGTTTGTAGAAATGCCTCTATTACACATCTACTTGTTTAATCAAAAGAGCTTAAGATTCCGTAAGACATGGACACATTGAACGAATAAGAGTGAAATATTTAAATTACGTTCGGGAAGTATAAGATTAAACCGATAATAGCTACACTTAAATACCAATTAATCCTCTAAACTTGCAGATAATTAGCTTTGAGAATTCTATATCAGAAACTGATTCGTTTTCCCTGAGGATTCAAACAGAAGATTGAATGTTTTAGCAGTTGTAACAGTGTCTTTTTTTCAAACATGTTGAGCTCTCCAATCAAAAGCTGAACCCTCGTCATCCTCATCGTCGCTGGGCGATTCATCTTCGGTCATCTTCGGCTTCTTAACAGACCCCTCAGAGGTTTTACTGCGCTTAGCTAATCTAGCCGCTTTCAGTTCCATTTTTCTCCTCTTCAGAATCTCCACTTTCTCGTTGTAAGATCTGCAGAAGAAAATCAAAACGTGAATCCAAAAATTTACTATAACAAATTTCAACGTTTTCATATTCTTGCCATATCAAATTGGTATATAAAATCACCTTTGCTCTCGTTGTTCCTCCTCTTGTATAGTTTCCGCAGCATCAACCTGAGAATTAGAGTGCGAAAAAACAACTTTAAAATTAAAAAAAGCAGAGCTTATGATGGAGCCAGAAAATCATTTGTTGGCAAAAAAAAGTTATCTGACCTCTTCTTCTTCCATACGATTATCCACTACCTGCAGATCTTCTTCAATCAACTTCTCGAATTCTTTATATTCGTCCCTGTAAACAAATCGATAGTAGTAAGTTCATGAAGAGAATGCTTTACCACAAAGAATCTTAGATATACCAGCACTGGATCTCAAATTCGAGAATGTATAAAAACAGTAACTGAAACAGAAGAGTGAGGTTTCAATCTGCATCCGGAAAAAGTGAAAGTGAAATAAGATACTCACTTAATATCTGGTTTGACGATCTTTATTCCACGGGCAAGCAGGTCAGCTTCCTTATTATCGAAAAAACCGGTCGGAAGGGCTCCTTTCACCACTGGTTTCGCTTCTGAACCACCCGTGGTCTGTGTCTGACTCTGCTTAGGCTCGCTGGTGGTTTTGGTATCTGAAGAATCAGCCTTCTGATTATCGAAGAATCCGTCTGGAAGAGGTCCCTTTGTCTTTTTTGCTTCCGAACCTATAGTCTGCTTTGGTTGCTGTACATTCTCCGGTTTTGCAGTTTCTGAGAACACAAATATTTGCCTGATAAGTTCGTGTCATGAGATACAATAACGGAAAAACTCGATTCACCAAATGAAAGTACCATCAATATATCAATAACATAAGACTTTCAACATTTTCGTGCCAGATTTTGGAGAGTACATGAGACATTACCAGGATTTCTTATAGCAGATGATGTCTGAGACTTGGATGTTGTAGCCAAAGTTTCAAGTTTTGTTGGCTGAGTTTCAACAGGTTTGCTACCCCGTTGAATTCCTGCTGCACTAGCCTTTAGATTATCGATTGCCTGTCCCAAAATTAATTTGCAGAAAGCTAAGTTCCTTTGACATTAAACAACAGAAACAGAGAATCTAAGGCCAAACACTACAAGTTCCAAAAAGTTCATTAGCAATCCATATATTACCATGAAACTAGCTCTAAATACCGATCTTCAATCAATGTAAACAACAGAATGTGAAGTAAGCTTATAGAAATCTGGAGGAATCGAGCAGAGAAACTGTGGCACTAGATATTTTATACCTCGTGATGCTTACGAGAAGCTTGGTGTACATCCCATAGTGATTCGGATTTCAACACGACGTTGCACACTCGACACACGGGCTGGTCTGATTCGTTGTACCTGCAAATCCAAAGAAGATATCATCATCATCCCGAACTTGTAACTACCTGCAACTACAAGCTCGAGCTCGCCTATTCTACTTTCAATACCCAAGAATTTTAAGCAGGATTTGTTCAACTTGAGGAATTTTGTAATTGGCATCGATACGAGAAGAAGAATCAACAATCATATTTACCTGACGAGAGGAGAATCTATGCGGGTGTCTTTCTTCTTGGCGTTGAGTTTAGAGCGAAACATCGCCTTCTTCTTCGCTTTGGCATCCATCACTGAAGCTATTCGGAGGATTACAGCAACTCTCAAACAATCCGAACCTCCGAATGAAATCGAAAGATCTGAGAAATTCGTATAGGAAAACAAAAAACCCTAAATCATTCGAAGATTTCACCACAACTTCGTCATCAACAGAAAAAACCTAGACGACAACCGCCAGACTCTTTTACGGGTCGGGTCGATCCATCTCGGGCATGGACTTAGGATTTTGGGGCTCATTCTGGGTCGGTGATAAAAATTGGGCCTCGCTATCTCTTTTGTCCCCGGTAAAACAAATATGTATATGTACAAAATACCTTAAACTTGTTAAAATAAACGTCTTTTACTTTTCTTGAAGTTACACATAATATTGCAGCAACATGAATTTGTGGAAGTAAATTTATGTGAAATCTTCGTATATTATATTTGACAAAGCTTGAAACTAATAAAAAAAGGGCAATTCTCTTATTTAAAAAGGGAAATGGTACCAAAAAACATGAAAGAGAATTTATGAAGGGGAATATAACAAACCAACAAAAAAAACTGCAGTTCGTCGATGTCTATGGTACTACTAAAAAGAAAATGCTTCAATTTGTCACACAATCATAAATGGTTTTTGAATGAGTTGATAAGGTGTGACCACACAAAAATAAGATGATTTCACGCCTTTGTAAGCCGCAACGCATCGATGAACAACTCCTTGAGAGACGCGTTTGAAGCCGCAATTCTCTGCGATGTGATGTCCAAGTCTTTACCGGATCTGATCATTTCACATTGTACAAAAAAAAACAGTTAAAAGCTTAGACAGTTGTGGCATTGAGTGTGTTGGCTTTAACTAATAAAAACTCTTACGGATCAAAAATAAGTCCACCAGCTTCTCTGACGATCACAATTCCTGCCGCAATGTCCCTGTATATAAAATGCCATTTGAGATCAAGTCTTGTTTTTGCAAAGAACCAACCTTTTTTAAAATCCACGCAATGCAACAAAAAAAAAAGGGGACATATCACCATGGACCACCGAAACCGATTTCATAGAAGATATCAACCCTTCCACACGCAACGCTACAGAGGTCCAGTGCGCACGAGCCGTTCATCCTAAGGGACCTAACCTGATGAATGAAACACAAGATACGATCATGAGTTTCGGCATCCAAATGATTGGATTTCCAAATAATTAATTTTCAATAAACTTTCACCTTTGTTAACAAGCTGTTGATTCTGTTGGTTGTATCGTCTAACGTATCTTTATCTCGTTTAGTGCCCGCCTGTATTCATATAAGCGATGAGAGGAAGCTACATAGCAATCTAGTGTCAACACAAAGGAGACATATTATACCTCTGTTACGAGCAAAGCAGTTACAAGTTCGCTCTGAGTTGACACTGCCAAAAAAGAACATTGTTGGAGTTGAGAAAACGAACATTTCTTGATCAAAAAAATCTTTGGGGTTTAAGGGCTGAATATAAAGTTCCAACCTTTGATTGGTTTTCCATTCAAGAAGGCTCCATTCCCTTGGACACCAGTGAATAGCTGTTTCATCAACAAAATAATATATGAAAAAAATGTAGAAACATCATCGCCGTTATATTCATGTCCATAGCATCATCATCATCATCATCATCATCGAGGAAACTATTTACAATGCTATTGGCACTGACTGAAACAAAAGAGACTGTTGGAAGTATATTTACAATGAGTGAGAGTTTGGGGGCAGTTTCTTACCTCATCCATAATAGGATTATAAACGACGCCAACCACAGGGACTTTCCCAATCGTAAGGCCAATGGAAACACACACAAAAGGGAACCTACAGAAACAGCGTTTGGTTTTGTTTTCAGTGAAACGAAACAATATAGTCATTCAAATGGGAACTGAGCAACAACATGTACATATACATATATATACCCGTGAACAAAATTTGTAGTTCCATCAAGAGGATCAACAATCCAAGTTGGTTCATCTGTTAGTTCTGTCACTCCGTTTGCAGCAGTAGTTTCTTCTCCTATGAACTAATTCAAATTCGAAATTCTCATATGGTCAGTGCAAGGCCAAAGATCTAACAGCGGATTTCAAAAGAAGAAGTAATCACCTTGTGACTAGGAAAAAGCTGCTTGAGATGATTAAACACGAGTTCTTCACATCCTTTATCAGTCTCCGTCACCAAATCCACCTAACAGCAGCAAATTCAGGAACTAGATCAACATGCCAAAAAATTGACAGAATTTGGATGAGTAAAAGTAACAATCAAAGCCGCGACAAAAACAAAACAAAAAACCTGGCCTTTGTGTTCAACATGTTTGGTCTCGTAAAACCCTTTACGAATGACCTGCAGAATGAAAACCAAAAGATCCAGATTAATTATGATTAGAGCATACTCGATCGATATTGAGAAATAAAAGAGAGAGAGAGAGAGAGAGAGACCTGTCCAGCTTTTTGAGCGGCATCAATGGCGGCAGCCAAGAACTGATCTAGAGAACCTTCATCAATTGTCACCCAACAAAAAGAGAAAATGAGAAAACAGGGAAATCGGAAAGAAGCAACGACATGAACAAGTTAGCATGCGAGATTGAACGTGTTTTTACCATTATCCGCCATTATCGATGAAAAGAGGTTTTGCAGAGACGAAAAGAGTGACGCTTTGTTTCTGGGTGCTTCTGAGAACGAAGAAAAAGTTCGCAGTTTTATGGTGTGGAGTTGAGGATAAAGTGGATATTCGGGGAATCTAATCTTAATTAGAGTTTCCTTATAAGTTTGGATCTTTCACATATCCAGAGTAGGAATCTATGGAAATGCGACGCCCCAGTAATCAGAATTGGAAAAGGTGATCGAAGATTTGAGATGTTCGATAGATTAGATTTGAGAACCAAGTTTTTTTGTCATCCCTCCGTTGTCTCTCCGCAATCTGGAATCAGTTATTGTTCCGGGTCGGGTCAGTCGACCCGAGTCGGGTTTGGGCCTGATACATTCTGTATTATCGAATTAATTTCTTACAAGATTAGTGTTTGTTTTTCCTAAAAATTATAGTAGAATATACATACAGTAGATACTTATCCTATTGTTATTGTACGGTCATAGTGTTATAGAAGATACATACAGTAGATACTTGTCCTAAATCGATTAAAATTCATTTAATTGACGGGGAAAACAAATCATCATTCTTGTGAATAAAGAAGGTTACGTAAACATTTGGAGATTGAGCGTTGATTTTTGGAACTATTGCTTAATTACACGTAACCAAAAAGATGTGTAACTTGTGACTTGTGCGCAATCTCCTATCACACAAACTACTGCATGCGATGTATATTCGAAAAAGTGTTTAATTTTGGCCTAACATAAATGGTAAAATCGTGTTTAAAACGAAAGAAATACAGTATTTCTGTAATGCTACTACCATTTTAAGTAAATATTCCTTTCTGTACAGCTAATATACATTGTATTCAAATGACTCAGCTTTACTTTCTGGAAGGAAAATCTTTTTTATTATTGCACACACAATTAAACGTTGTGTAATTAACGTTTAAATATTTTTCATTATTTTTTGGATACATTATTGCAAAATAACAATAAGTAAAATAAATTAATTATGTGCTACGTGGGCTAACTATCGAAATATAAGAGCTTTGGCACTTCCTTCTTCTGCACCTCGTAGTCTACGCTTCACCGCTCTGACATTGCCACTTTGGAGCGACAATAAAATATAAAAATCATGAATTTCTCAGGGATCTTCTTTGTCTTCTTCTTTCTTCGCCTTCTGTCTCGATCTCGGAGCTATGATTCCGGGTCGGGTCTCGAGTCACTTGCTCGCGGGATGCTCGAATCAGCGAAGGAACCCGAGTTCTTCGAATGGATGAGAGGAATTAGGAGGAGAATCCACGAGAACCCAGAGACAGGGTTTCAGGAGTTCAAGACGAGTCAACTCGTTCGAGACGAGCTTGACTCGCTCGGAGTGAAGTATAAGTGGCCTGTTGCGAAGACTGGCGTCGTGGCTTGGATCGGATCCGGCTCCAAACCCATTTTCGGACTCAGAGCCGACATGGACGCACTTCCTTTACAGGTTTTGTAATTTAATCATATAACCAAATTTTTCCTCGATTAATTTGAGATATTGATGGGCTGTGTGATTTGGGAAGAAAACAAAAGGAGTTAGTGGAGTGGGAATCGAAGAGTAAAGTAGATGGAAAGATGCATGCTTGTGGTCATGATACTCATGTTGCTATGCTTCTTGGAGCAGCTAAGCTTCTTCAATCCAGAAAACACCATATCAAGGTGAGTTTGTGTTCTGTTTTGTCAGATTCTGATCTGTATGTATTTGATTGGTTTAGTGTATCCTGCAGTCAAATCCTAAAATGGGCCAGCTTCTGATTTGCTGATTTTTGGGTTATTGAATGAATCCAATAGTCAGCATTTAGAATATTATGTATGTCAACACAACAGTGATATGTTTTCACCAAATGTGAAACTGTGTCAGAATCTGATTTTTCTTTTCGGGATTTTGAATGAAACAGTAGTGTGTGTGTGTGTGCGTGTGTGTGTGTGTGAATACTCACAATAGTTATATGTTTGGATGATTTGAGCGGGTGTGTCAAGCGATCCAAATGTGAAATTTCTAAATGGTCAAACTTTGATTTGGTTGATCTTGGGGTTTTTATTTAATGTAATGTAACACAACTTGATATCTCTCTTTTTTTCTTATTGCAAAAGGGAACTGTGAAACTTGTGTTTCAGCCAGGCGAGGAAGGTTATGCAGGTGCTTATGAAATGCTAAAAGACGGGATTCTAGACGAGTTAGATGGGATTCTCAGCGTACACGTCTTTCCATCGATCCCATCGGGTGGTATCGGCTCTAGGCCCGGGACCGTTCTTGCAGGCGCAGGCTCGTTTTCAGTCACGGTTCACGGTCAAGGTAGCCACGCAGCTACACCTCACTTGTCTAAAGACCCGGTTCTTGCGGCTTCTTCCGCTGTTGTTGCCTTGCAGCAGATTGTTTCTCGGGAAATGGATCCACTTGAAGCTGGTGTAAGTTTGTTTTTCCACTTTTCAAGCATTGTGTTTGATGAATCAGAAGCTTGAAGGAATAAGCGCGTTTTAATGTTTCTCAGGTGGTTACTGTTGGATACATCGAAGGAGGTCATGCTCAAAACGTAATACCTCAGTCTGCGAAATTCGGAGGAACTTTCAGAAGCTTAAGCAACGATGGTCTCCTATTTATTCAAAGACGAATCAAAGAGGTGTCACCATTTTTTTTTTCTTTAATTTCGAGACTGATCGATTCTGTAGTTAGGGTTCGAGAAAAATTTGTTGGTTCCTAGACCGATTTTAAAACGTATCTTGATGATGATGCAGATTTCAGAGGCACAAGCATCGGTATATCGATGCAAAGCAGAAGTAGAATTCGAAGAGAAAGAGCCGTCGCTTCATCCGGTAATGAATAACGACGAAGGCCTATACGAGCATGGAAAAGAAGTAGCGGAAGCGATGATCGGAAAGGATAACTTCCATGATTTTCCGGTGACAATGGGAGGAGAGGATTTCAGCTTCTTCACTCAAAAGACTAAGGCTGCGATCTTCGTGCTCGGTATAAAGAATGAGACGCTAGGCGCTGGTCAGCCGCTTCATTCACCTTACTTCTTTGTTGATGAAGAAGCTCTTCCTGTTGGAGCCGCTCTTCACGCAGCTATGGCAGTCTCTTATTTGGATAAACATGGTCGTGGCCATGACCGTGAGGTTAAGAATGAGTTATAGAATGTGTTTGGAAAAAAAAAAAGCATTTTGTAATTTGTAAAAAAAAGTTAGGTGGGGTATATTTGTTAGGTTGCGGTTTGGTAAGAACGTTTCTTAATTTGAAAGTTGGGTTTATTTCGAATATTTTGAATAACGTCCCAATGTTATTTCCGTTTCGATTTGGTGTAACAATGTGTAGAACGATTTGGACAATGCAAGAATTCAAAGCACTGAAAATTCTCAAACTTGAGCATATTATTATAATATACACCACGAGTAGCTCTATGATGACCTGTTCTACTACTCCCTATCAAATTGATACAAATACATAAAATTTTAATCGAATATGTCAATGGTAAGAATATATATATATATATTTATAAAATTAGATGAGAACTTACCATATAAATATTATAACAAAATATAAAAGAAACGGTGGTGTCTCGCACACTATTGTTTTTTTTTGTCAACGGTGGGTTACACATTTCACAAACCTAGTTTGCTTTTCGTCACACTCAACCTGAACAAAGAAAAAGAACATAAAGAAACAAAAACGATAACGACAATAGATTTTTATTGGAAGCTAATTTATTGATAGATTTTATAAAAATAGTGGTCGTTTAAACGTCTACGGAAACATTACTGCACAGTAATTATCATACATATATATGTAACGCGACGACCTGTTGACTTAATCGTTACAACTATGTATTCATGACCTAGCTTAGCTGTCGCATTTAATACATAAGATTCTCTTTACTTTTTCAAAAAGGAAAAAATTCCGACGAGTAACTTTTCTTTTTCCCCTTCTACTGCAGCAGTTGTGGTCTCTTTCTCTTTCTTAGCCGGCGACAGAGAGAGAGAGACAGAGCTCAAACTCGCGTTAAAAGTCTTTCATTTAATCCCGGTTTCTTCTCTCTGTTGTTTACGCGTAGCCCAGAAAGGTACAAAACTTGCTGAAAACGAAAGGGGACGAAGAGTTACTACAATTCGAACAAGATGAAGTACAAGCTCAAGCGATCTCTCTCCGCCTTCTTCTTCATCTTCTTCCTCTATCTCTCGGCGGTGACCTCCGATCTAGAGTCTGACCGGCGAGCGTTAGTCGCCCTCCGTAACAGTGTCCGTGGCCGTCCGTTGCTATGGAACATGAGTGCCTCTTCTCCTTGTACCTGGCACGGAGTCCTCTGCGAAGCGGGTCGGGTCACGGTGCTCCGATTACCCGGAGCTGGTTTATTCGGCTCCCTACCAGTCGGCGGAATTGGCAACCTTACCGAGCTTCACACCCTTTCTCTCCGTTTCAATTCGATCTCCGGCCCAATCCCTTCGGATTTCTCAAACCTAGTTCTCCTCCGTTACTTGTATCTCCAAGGTAATGCCTTGTCCGGCGAGATTCCGTCGTTTCTCTTCACGCTTCCCAACATAATCCGAATCAATCTAGGGGAGAACAGGTTATCGGGTCGGATCCCGGATAATGTCAATTCCGCGACCCGGTTGGCCACACTCTACTTAGAGAGAAATCAACTCACCGGCCCGATCCCTGAGATCACGATTACTCTTCAGCAATTCAATGTCTCTTCGAATCAACTAAACGGGTCGATTCCCGATTCGCTTTCGGGGTTTCCCCGAACTGTCTTCGAAGGGAATTCTCTGTGTGGGAAGCCCCTAAACCCTTGCAACGACGCAGCCGAAAGCCCCAATTCGCCGTCGTCTGGGAAGAAAGACGACAAATTATCCGCCGGAACTATTGCCGGAATCGTGATCGGGTGTGTTGTGGGTCTACTGCTGTTTCTCCTGATCCTGTTCTGTCTCTGCAGAAAGAGAAAGAAAGAAGAAAACGCTCCATCGAGAAACGTCGAAGCCCCTGTCGCCGCTCCGACCTCCGCCGCTGCTATTCCCAAGGAAACGGCGGCAGGTGTTCCGTCGGCGAAGGCTACGGCGTCGGAGAGCAGTGCGGTGAATAAAGACTTGACCTTTTTCGTGAAATCTTTCGGGGAATTTGATTTGGATGGATTGTTGAAGGCTTCAGCTGAGGTTCTAGGGAAAGGAACAGTTGGGTCTTCTTATAAGGCAAGCTTTGATCATGGATTAGTGGTGGCTGTGAAACGGTTAAGAGACGTTGTGGTGCCTGAGAAGGATTTCAGAGAGAGGTTGCAGGTTTTGGGATCAATGAGTCATGCCAATCTCGTGACTCTTATTGCTTACTATTTCAGCCGCGACGAGAAGCTTCTTGTCTTTGAGTACATGTCTAGAGGAAGCTTGTCTGCCCTATTGCACGGTAAAAATCGAAATCACCATCACTGCATTTTTTTCGTTTATTTTCACTTTCCTTAGTTTAGCTGATGCTCGCTAGTTTGTGATCTTAATTTGTTTTTTGTTAAGATCTAGATTGATTACCGTATTGTCGATCCAAGGTTCTTAGTTAGTTGATTCTTATGTCACTCTTGATCATGAAAGTCATTAAGCTTCGATTTTTTTAAACGGATTCGTAGGGAACAAAGGAAGCGGGAGGACACCGTTGAGCTGGGAAACCAGAGCCGGTATAGCCTTAGGAGCTGCAAGGGCGATTAGTTACCTACATTCGCGTGATTCGACAACTTCTCATGGAAACATCAAGTCCTCGAACATACTCTTGTCTGATTCCTATGAAGCAAAGGTCTCTGATTATGGTCTAGCGCCTATCATTAGTTCCACATCTGCACCTAACCGTATCGATGGCTACCGTGCCCCTGAAGTCACTGATGCTCGCAAAATCTCCCAAAAAGCTGATGTTTACAGCTTTGGGGTCCTAATCCTCGAATTACTCACAGGTAACACACAATAAAGCACACATCTTTTAAGTTCGTTTTTTTGGGATTGCTGCGGATTTAGGAGCTTTAACATGGTACATTGCATTGCAGGGAAGTCGCCAACGCATCAGCAATTGAACGAAGAAGGAGTAGATTTGCCAAGATGGGTCCAATCGGTTACCGATCAACAACCACCGTCTGATGTGTTTGATCCCGAGCTCACAAGGTACCAATCTGAGGGCAATGAGAACATGATCCGGCTCTTGAAGATCGGTATGAGCTGCACGGCTCAGTACCCTGATAGTCGTCCTTCGATGGCTGATGTCACCAGACTCATCGAGGAGGTTTCGCATTCATCAGGCTCCTCCCCAAACCCGGTATCAGACTGATTTTTTTTTGTGGGGGTCTATATTGATCGACTTGAAAATTGTTTGGGGCTAAATTGCAATTTCTTCAATAGTATCTACACATTCCCCGCCTTTTTTTCCATCTTTGCTCTTGTCCTACTAGTTTGTTCGTTAATTGTTGAGCCTCAAATTGAGATGAGACCTTGAAGATTTTTTTTTCTTTCAATTTTTTCTACTTTTAAAATTTACAAAAATGTTTATAAAAAAAATATTGCATCTGCCAATTTTTGTATAAATATATTATTTGATTGTGTGTGAAAATATTGGGTTTTTTTTCTTCTTCTTCGTCTTACTTCTTATCCTACAATTCCTAGTCAACGATTCAGCCGATCATAAAGTCAACGATTTCGTTTATATATTTGACGCCGTCCAAAATGGCTTTGTTAATTAAAATAAAACACTCCAAAAAAATCCCTAAAAATCTAGTATATTGGTTATGTCTTCCATCTGTGCAATACCGACCTCACCTAAAAAAGTCAACGACAAAAATGGTCATGAATATCAACCATCTGACAATTGGTTGACAAATACTTTTTATAATGGGGAAGTTGGTAACCACTAACCAGTAACCGTACACCAGAATGAAAATGAAAAGAAAAAAACATTTTACAACGAAACAAACTTTTTGCACTAAATATATGATATATATGGAGGGGAAATTCAACTTTTTGTAAATTATAATAAGCGAATGGGGATTTTTTAGCCGTTGCAATTCTTTGATATGGAAAGCCTTGTGAAGATGGTGAAATTCATTGTTTTCCTATAAATTTTATGAAAATAGTAACAATTGAATAAATTGAAATTGCTTCTTTCAATAAAATGAACACTAGTCCAACGCTAAGATGATAACTCTCACAACCAAAGATCTTTTCCTAGTCATGAGATTAAAGAAGAGCTCAAGAGCAATAGGGGAACTGGAAACTAACGAATCCTAGTTAGTTTAAGGCCTCCAAAAATGGAGTGGGCCAAATATTCCTCCAAAATATTTGGGCTAACCATACGAAAACAAGAATAATAAGGTTATGAAGCCTGGAGGCCTGGAACCGAAGTGACAAACCTTTTTAATTTATTACGAAATAATAATTTTAACGTTTACAGTTAAACACATGGCCTAAACGTTTTCCCAAAGATAATCCGGAATGAAAATAAATATCGACAACTTCAAACTGGAATTATCAAATTAGCAATTGATTTTTAATGTCATTTTGTTTTGGGATAAACATGTAATTATATATTTGACGTGAGCATAAAACTCTATATTTTGTGTGTATCAATGATTGTCAAAGTGCGCACAATCCTGAATTCTTTTCTAAAAGCAGAGATGCTTTCATGGCGGTGAAGGTAAAAATTATTAATCACACTGTAAAAATCTTGTTAAGCACGTTTTTAAAAGCTCTTAAATCTTGCGTGTTTAGTTCAAACAAAATCTTCGTCTAAATTTGTAATTAGTTATCTATATACTAGTATTTAATTTGCGCGTGTGTGTATATGCTTGTATGTCCGTACGTATCTACGTGTAGGGGTATAGATCCTGGGTGGCAATTTAATAGCAGCTTTTTCTTTGTATTTGACGAGGAAAAGTGATAATCCAAAAGCCAAACTCTAGGGCCATGGCAGTTTCTCGTTGTATTTAGAGAGAGAGAGAGAGAGAGAGAGCATAGGGAGAAAATAGGAATCGAATCTGGATTTTTAGAGGAACGCCAGTTTGTAGGAGCTTAAGAGCGAAACCCGAGGAATGGTAGGGTTTTGATTGTTTTTTTCTTTCTCGATTGACCAATGGTGATGGTGATTAAGATGATTGCGGAGATGCAAATGTCGAGGAAGGTGATTTCGGAGACCTGAATAATGCTATCGTATATTCTGATTCTAGGGATTGCTTAGAGACAAATTCGACGCAGATTTTGTTAAACACTGTGATTGAATCATCTGGGTTGGTTTGTGCTTAATGTCTTTTGCAGTTCTTAATTTATGCTCTTTGTTTATTGGTTCACAGTTGGACTATTAATTCATTCGCTGGTCGCGCTTATCAACTTCGTTGAATATGGTAAGATTATCAATGGACTCTGGAGTCGTGCTCATGTTCTTGCTTTGAAATGGTCTTCGAAGAGAGGATAATTTATATCGTTTTTGTGTGGATTGCATAAAGAATCTTCCCTCAAAATGTCGCACCTGTAGATAGTAGCATGAATGTTTAGCTGTAGTCTAGGAAATCACTCACATGGAGGACTCTATCTCTAAACATCACATGGAAAATGCTTTGCACATACAGTAGAAAAATGGAAGGCGTCCTTATTGTTCAGTCCCACTGTTTTTTTCTTTTTAATCTATCAACAAATTTATTCCTATAGCTTTCCCTTTGATACTGATTTAAGGTTTCTCTCCCTGTTGTGCCTGAAGGTTGATAGAAGAACTGGTATGAGTCGGAGAGGTCGTTCCAAAGTGGAGTCTGGAACTTGTAATGTCTGCTCTGCTCCTTGTTCATCTTGCATGCACCGTAATGCGGGCTTCACGGGTTCAAAGCCAGACGAGTCATCTGATGAAAACTCCCATGGTGTAGTTGCAAGCCAGTGTTCTTTCAACGAGGACGATCCTTTGCTTTCTTTTCGGGGTAAGGCTCTCGGTGGTTCACAAAACACTGCTAGTGAAGCGAGCAACCTGGTTAATTCCAATCATGATACTTCCTGTGAGAATGCTGAGATGGTTGGGAAGACGGTAGAAAATATTCTTTTATATAAGGCAGATGAACCAAACACATCAGCCATGTCTGAGACTGAGCGTGAGAGTGACAGTGCTGATTCTGAAGATGTAAGTAACGCTGCTTATTCTCATACTAGGAAGAATTAGAGAACGCATCTAGTTTGTTTTGGCTGGACTTTTGCTTCTGTTTCTTTTTGTTGCAAGATTTACCTTCTTCTCCCAGTGACAAAATTCTTTAGTGAAAACGTTCTCTTTGTTGCTGGGCAGGTAAATGTATGTGACATTTGTGGAGATGCGGGTCGTGAAGATTTACTTGCTATCTGCAGCAGATGCAGTGATGGTGCAGAACACACGTAAGCCTGCTTCTGTTCATGGGAAAGAAAGATCGTGTACTTTTTGGAGTCCGGGGTACTCTGTCTTTCTGAACCAGTGGCCAATTGCCGTTCAGGATTTATCATTGACGTTCATATTAGTGAAGTTTGTAGTTAATTGTATTATCATATTATTTATAATGCAGCACCTTTTTTTTTGCTAACGATATAGTCTTATTTTCTTATGCTCAGCTATTGCATGCGGGTAATGCTTCAAAAAGTTCCGGAGGGTGATTGGCTTTGTGAGGAATGCAAGTTTGCTGAGGAAGCAGAAAGGCAGAATCTAGGTACAGCTGCGTAATTTATCATACATGATGATATTAGTGCAAAACAATAGCGGAACTTGTTGTAAACTTGGTTTTTCCTTTTTATCTAACGAACTTGAGTTGAAACATGCAGAAAGTAAGAGAAAAAGAGAAATTGAGGCAAATGTGAATAAACAGAGCTCCGGCAAAAGACACATAGATAAACCTGAGGCAGCTCCAGATGCTAAAAGACAGGCAGTTGAGGCTCCAACAGGGTCACCCAAGAGACCTGTTCTCCCCAGAGTGTCCGCCTTATCTCGGCAAACATCAATTAAGGGCTTAGAGAAGACAACGAGAAAGCTAGATCATCACTCATCTTTCAATAGCCACTCCAGTGATGACACAGAAAGCACACGATCTAATGACTCACAGCTCCAATTTCCTAAAGGTAGGATATATGATGAACATCTTCTCAAACACAGTTCTCCCTTGTCTAGTATTTCGTACTTCTGCTGATTTTCGCAGGTGGTATATTATTACCTTGTTATCATTTTGTACAGGCTCCTTTTTCAAGTCCAATTCGTTTAATTCTTCGAGCTCTAGACCAAAAGTGAGATCAGTGGATGATGCTATGCATAAGGAGGGGTTTTCTAAAAATTTAGGCAGATCAATGTCATCTAGATGTATAGACGTAGGAGGCTCTAGTTGCAATGACTCAAAAGTGAAAGGTTCAAATCAACCGAAAGATCGGAGTACAGAAGCTAACCCTTCAGCATCCACAGTCGAGCAAAAGCTAATCTCACGTGGCAATTCGTCCAGTTCATATGCAAACAATACCCGTGATTGGAAAGGTTTAGTGTCTGATGGTAAACAAGGTTGCTTGGCAAAGCAAGCCAGACATCTAAGTCGTACTTATGCAGTCAGGGATACATCTACGAACGAAAAGTGCACTGCAAGTGAAGCAAAACGTAAGAATGAACTGGCAAATGTAGATGGTTTACCCCGGTCGAGGGAACCCAGAGAGGCGGGAGAGAAAAGCAAAGACGCTGTTGGTATTCGCCAAAGGCCTGACCTGTTACCTGGTTTGAAAGGCCTGCCACCTCAAAAAGGTCAGAATTTAGAACCCACTGAGACATCATGTGCCCCTGGAAGCAATCTCTCTACCGCGCGAAATATCAAGGAGGATATTAATAAGGGCAATAGGTTGCGAGCAGCGGTTGATGCTGCTCTGCGGAGAAAATCTTGCTTTGGCAAGAACAGAGGATTGGAGCAATCAGATTTGCCTTCAGTGTCTAATGTGGATTCTAGCTGTGATAAGGCTTTTCAAAATTTGCCCTCGAAGGTGCCGGTCGTGAGAGACTGGCCTGTGGGATTGCAAGGATTGCAAGGAGGGCATCCAAATGTAGGGAAAGACAAGCAGACGATTGCAGTAAATGGAAATCAGATTACACTCGCTGGTGCTGATCCAATGGATGCTTCCCAATCTGTAGAGCCGGAAGTGCGTTTACCTTCTGTAAAACCGGTCATGAAAGATTTGCCTGTGGTCACTCCATCTGTTCTGTCGACAATCTCAGCCATCCCAGAGCATGAATACATTTGGCAGTATGAATTTCATTCCTCTTTTTATTGAGATCTATTTTCTGGTTTTATTGCATGTAGATAAACTTCGATTTTTTTTGTCCAGAGGAGACATGGAGGCGCAGAAAAGCAGAAATCTATCAGCAGTGCATTGTGGAATGCAAGCATATCGATCAACATTATCATCACCTAAGGTTGTTGAAGTGGTGAAGCAGTTTCCAGTAAAATTAACCCTGAATGAAGTACCCAGGCTAAGTACATGGCCGGCACAGTTTCAAGATATAGGTGCTAAGGAACACCATGTGGCTCTTTTCTTCTTTGCCAAGGATATTGAGAGGTAACTGCATATAATTGTATTTTTATTTCACATGGGTATCTGTGTTTTGGTGGGTTCAGTGTTTTATTTCCTAATCCACTGATAATATATGTAAATTGTTACCTGTGACACACAGTTATGAAAAAAGCTATAAACCCCTGGTAGATAACATGATCCAGAAAGATTTAGCCCTTAAAGGAATACTCGAGGGTGTTGAGCTTTTGATTTTTGCGTCCAATCAACTTCCTCGGAACTGCCAGCGTAAGAATGCTAACGAGAACTCTTTCAGATCGTGAACATACGTTTTCTTGCAAGTTTCACTGTTCTCATTAGGAAGTTTTTGGAAACACACATTTTTTACTCCGCTTTCTTACGAAGTTTAATATCTATTTCTTCCATTGCGTTTGCAGGTTGGAACATGTTATATTTCCTTTGGGGTGTATTCCGAGGAAAAAAAGAGAAATGTTCTATTCCACTCAAGAACAAACCTCTCCCGGGCTATAATGTGGGGAAAGCGTCTTATACACATGAGAATCCAAGCAACGGAGAGTCCTCGAATAATCGCGCATCGAGCAGAATGCAATCATGCATGAAGGTTGGTTGTTCTAGTCCTCTATCTAACACCTAGTATCTTACTCTCGCTCTCTATCTCGCCCCCTAGTTATACATTCCTTCTCTGAATTTCTATCTTGCTCTCGGTCTGTTTTAGTTTAGAGTGTTGTAGACAGTTGCTAGGGTTGAAATAAAGAGCGTGCACATATTTGATGGACTCGTGGGTTTGAACAGGAGGAGAATGCTAAAGAGGATGAAGTGGGCGGTGCCGTTGAGAAGGAGAAGGCATGTTGTGTTTCATATGGAGATAGTGGAGCGGTCGAAGAAACCGAGGAAGGAGAGATAGGTGATAGCTTTGGATAATCTGTTTATATATATAAGTATAAAAACAAAACCTTCTTATGGTCTTTTGGGATCCTGAAGAAGAACTCACAGCTTTGTGTACATATAAAGGCGATGGGCAAAAACAGATGAGAAGATGTCTGTTTTGTAGTCTGATCTGGTTAACCTAAAGTGTGTGTTTTTTTCACTATTTCTAATCTTTCTGTGATACTCGTCCATTATATGGATATAGGCATAGAAGCGGTTGACAAATTTACTCATAAATTAATTTTAGAACTTGATTCCCAAGTCAGAGAGAGTCACTTGCCAATTCAGAAAAAGGGTACTAATCGAGTGAATTCAGAAATGATGGGTGTCTTAATAAATAATAACTTCTTGAGGGTGTAAAAAACAAGTAACTCTTTAATGGTAGGGGTATTTTAGAAAACATATATGCAAATCTGTGCGTATTCGTCTTCTACTTCTCTGTTGGGATCAGATCTCTTCATTTTGATGTTCAATGGCGTCCAGCGTAACATCTCCTATTTCTTTCTCAGGTGATTCATCTCTTCTCTAGTGTCTTTTTCATCTTCCTATTTTGGTTTCTCTCCTCCTAAACCTCAATCTGGATGAGATTTACTCAGCTGCTGAGTAAACGGAGAAAGCTTCTCCGATTTTTCACTTGCTTATTCAGTCAAAATGCTCGTCGGAACTTGGATTTAAATTGGGGAAGTTAAGGGATTTAGGAGTAGCGAATGTAGGTTGTTACACGCAATCGAGTTTTAAGATTTTGGTTAGGTTTTAGCATTCGGCGAAAGCTATTGTGACGAAATTTGATACCTGTTCAATTTTTTTAGCAAATCGAACTGAAGCAGATAAGAATATCCAATTGCTAAAGAGCTGAACACATGGTTTGATTTGGAGCTGTGTATTATTTGATGGTGAATGCAAAGTCACTCTTTATCTTTTGCATTGATTGATTCTTAAGAAGTTTGAGATTACTCAAATTGAAACCTAATGGCACAGGTGAGACTCATGTGAAAGCACGCCGTTTGAATTCCACAAGCCTTAATCCGATTCGCAAGAGCTCTGCACTGAGTATCCAAACAAAACCAAACCGCAGTCACAGGCTCTCGGTTTCTGCAGGTCACCGGTATTATTAGTATATATGTAAATCTCTTAGTGTTATCATCATTGATAACCCACCATTTATGGTTGATTATTGCAGTGATGGAAGTGCAACTAGTGATTTTGTTACGGGTTTTCTCCTTGGAAGTGCTGTTTTTGGAACTCTTGCTTATCTCTTTGCTCCACAGGTTCATCTTTTGTTTTTATTTCTGGCTTTCAATAACATGAAACTAGGTATTGATTAAGCTCTTTGATTTTTGGCTTTAGATCCCTTGGGATGATATAGTTGAATTTGAGCTTTGTTCTTCCTGATACAATCAACAACAAATTGACTCTTGTAGTTCCGGTTATCTAACAATGGATCATGTTGGCTTCAGGCATATGAGTCCTTGACTCTTGTAGTTCCGGTTCCTGATACCCGGTGTTATTTCCTCTGCCTAAGATCTATATGAGTCCTTGATTCTGAGCTTTGTTCCTCCGAATGAAATTAACAAACAAATTTACTTGCTACGTTTGCTTTCCCACGTCTTACTTCCATTTGCTGTCATGTATTTGTGAATCAGATCCGAAGATCGTTGCTGAACGAAAATGAGTATGGTTTCAAGAAACCGGAGCAGCCAAGGTACTACGACCAAGGCCTAGAGGTATAGTAAAAGAAAAACTCTGATACTGAAATTATTAGCAAAATCTCTCCTTTCATCAAAAACACTAATTGTTTGGTTTGGTGCATGTATCAGGAGCGAAGAGAGTCACTGAATGAGAAAATCAGCCAACTTAATTCAGCCATTGACAACGTTTCGTCGCGTCTGAGAGGCGGTGGAAGCGGTAGCGGCAAGAACACTTCTTCGCCTTCTGTCCCCGTTGAAACTGACCCAGAAGCAGAAGCTACTGCATGATTATCTACCATCTTAACATTTGTACTCAGTTTCAACGGGATTTTAGAAGTTTATACCCATTTTAACAACTCTATTCCCCGGATAATCGTTACCAAATGTACTAGCGTAGTGGTAAACTTATTAGATTATCATATTTTTCAGATGAATCTGAGGAAATTAAACCGTAACCATTTAACTAGAAAATAAAACCAGAGGATGTAGACCATATATCTCACATTGAACGTAAACCGATCTCACATTGAATGTAAACCGGAATCGTCAAACTTGTTTAGCCGGTTGCCTCTTGTTGCTATCTTCAAAGTTACCCCCAAAACTAAAAGTCAAAAAACTCTCTTCTTCTTAGCGAAAATAAACTGAAAACCAAACAAAAAAAAAAAAAATCAAAGCGAAACCACAGATTCGATTGATATTTTTCTGTTGAAATTCCAACTTTTTTCCTGAGAAAAAAAAAGATTTCAGTATTTCGTCTGCCATTAGTTTGATTTTTCTGAGGAAAATGTTAAAAAGAAAAATCTGCAGTCCTTTTTAGTGTTTTTATTCTTCGATTAGTATGTATGAAGAGATTCTTCCTCTGTTCGTCTCTGCATCAGATGGAAGATAGCAATTCTCCCAAGGTAATAAAAAATTGGAGTCTTTTTTTTTTATTATCACTGATGATTACTGGGTTTGATTTCGATATCGTTGTTCTGGGATTCAATCTTGTTGTGATGTAAAAGTTCAGATTTTTTTGTGGGGAAACTATTGGAAATTCGTGGAATTTTGGCGAGTGAAACGAAATGAAGTTCAGAGATGATTCGTTATTGTTATGGAATGAATCGTTCTTACTATTCTATTGAGTGGTTTATTATTAGATGGTTGAAGGGTTTGATTTTGTTTTAATCTGGTGATTCTTTTCTCTTATGTTACTTTTTAGTTTGTGTGTGTTTATAGCTTCTTGAATTGGAACTGGCTTCCACTCTTTAATAAACGATTCGATTGTTTTTGGGAGTTTTGAGTGATCCATTACTAGTATATGAATCTGATTTTTTTACTCTTTTTGTTTTTTTTAAGGATTACTATAAGATTCTAGAAGTTGATTATGATGCTACTGAGGAGATGATCAAACTGAACTATCGGAAGCTTGCATTGGTTAGTGATTACAAAAACTCAGAATTAGTAATTTTGGTGACGAACGTGTGTTTTTGAGATGGTTTCCATATGGCAGAAGTGGCATCCTGATAAGCACAATGGTGAAACTGTGGCTACTTCAAAATTTCAGGAGATAAATGAAGCTTACAGTGGTAAAGTCTTTGCATAAACAGGTTCCACATGAATAGAGATTCAAGTAGAATTGTGATGTTTCTTACCAAAACTTGTCTTGTTCTTGCGCAGTGCTAATGGACCCTGGTTTACGTTTTGAGTATGATTTGACCGGTATATACGAGATTCACAAGTACACTCTGCGGGTAATATGAAATGTTGCTTTGAGCATTCGAAAATCGATCGCATGGTATTGAGAAATGTGGGGGTATAAACGCAGGAATATCTGGCTAGATTCAAAGGAATGATACTCACTTGCAATGGACTGGGCATCAGTCACTCCTCATCACCATGGTTACCTCTCTTGAACCGAAATCAAACCTGAATGTAGCCAGTGAAACGAGAAGTTGGTCTTTACTAACCAGCAATGCCTTGAAAATTGCAGGACACAGCAATTGGCGGAAAGCATTAATAACACGGCAGATGAACCAGGTTTCGATCCGGTTTACTCCTTGTTTTTGCACTAAACCGATTCTCGTCACCTCTCTCTATTGCCAATCAAAGTACATGGTGCAGTTCTGTCTCACTTCCCTCTCTTTTTTTTTTAATTACAGGATACTGTATAAACTGAAGCAGAAACAGAGGTATGCGACATTTGATCTGAAACTCAATAGGCATTATTATTTGGCCTCTCCGGATTGTTACCAGAAGCTGGAAATACAGCGTTATTATGCCTAATGTTTCGCCCCCATTCGACGATATAACAGCTTTTGTAGGATGTTGTATGTTTTTGAAAGTTGAGGTTACAATAAGAAGCAACATTGCGTCTGTTCAATGCTTAAATTTCACAGATTGTGAGAGCCTTTACTGTGTTGTAATGTCATACTATTGTCATTCATAAGTCACACTTAGAGTACACATAAAAGTGAAACAATAGGTAATAGCTCCTACATTTGGATATCTGTTGTACGTTCAATCTATTTATGTTGTTTAATGACTTTTTACGCATATCAGGAAAAAAGTAGTAAACTGTTCATTAGTATTATGTAACAGTGTATTTCTCTGATTAAGTATAAATTAACTAATATAGATTTTAGAAATTAAAGTCTGCATTGTGAAACAACATTTATCATAAATGGAAAGAGTATAATGAAATGATGGATCGAATCACTAAACGAAAAGTGTAAAGGTTTTCCAAAAAAGCAACTTTTGTGTTCATCGTCACTTCGTCCATTGAATGTGCTTAAAAGTTTTGATGAGTCATGCTTTGTGTCCACCACTGAATGTGCTTCACAGTTCACTTCACACTCTGTTCTTTTTATTCCATTGTGATTTTACATGAAAACAAGTATATGCAAGCCAACCCTTAGATCTTTCACAGAATAGTTCCCCAATTTTAGAAAACCCATGTACCAACAGGTTTACACAATAGACTAGACTCTGTAAATACCAGTCGAGAGAAAATCACAAATGTCTACATTTAAACGTCTAACCATATAAACACCTGGTTATTATATTCTTTCTTGTTTCAATATTAACATTTGAAAATAAATGAAAAGAACACAAAAAGAATAAAAGTAAATTTGTAGGTGAACTATATTACGGCCAGATTAGTCTAATCGTCTAATCGTCTAATCGTCTAATCGTCAAGGCTGCAGCATTGTGTTAAAAAAGTTGTTAAAGTACTTTTGGTTTTCTTTTTACCAAGTTTTTTTATACTATTTTATTTTACTTGTCAGCTTTTAGAAGTTAAAGCAGAATTTGTTCAGGGTGGGTAAAAAGAAGTACGGTGCAATTGTACAACAGCCACGGAACAAAAATCCAAAGGGAAGAAAACAAATTACTTTTAGCGTTTCTTTGTGTTTTGTCATTCTCTAATCTCTCTTCGTCTTCGCTTTGTCAACCAAACAAGTATTTCCGTGCCTTTTTTCTTTCATTTATGTGAATATATAATAAGTTTGTATATTCTCAAAACATTCAAAAGAATTCATCAATATTCTATATTTCAAAAATCAAATAAAAAAAACTAACAAATGTGTTTATATTTTATTTTCTTAGTGAACTGGCTAGTGTATTATCCACCCTATAAATAATAAGATTTAAATTTGTTTTATTATAATTTGGAAATTGAAAAGGTTGATTTGTTTAAGGAACTTTTTTAAATATTTATCTTTTGTTTAAATAATTTCCAAATAAAGGTTAAATAAAGAACGGCAACTTGGCTGTAATGTGTGGTGGTGCAGCATTCCGCATCTACACGTAACTTTTCACGCCAAATATTATTGTTATATTTTTGTTTTATATGCCACGAAAAAATAAAGAATAGGTGAAAGAAATGTTAAAACTAACATTTTATTTACGACAATATTTTGTTTGTCAACCTTATCATATTATATGTTGTATGATGTATATGATACGACGTTTGCCTGTACTTGTCCATTTAGTGAGCCAAGTGTTACCTCCTCTGATTACAAACTTGGGGGTCATCACTCTTTGTCATTTCAATTATGGTAACCATTTTTTTTCTTCTTTTAACTCCCCACTAATCACAATTTTGAGAAAGAATTTGGTGTAATTTTATGGAAAACGTTTGATATGTAATATCTATAAAGTGCTGATATATATAAATCAAAAATTATGAACTGTGATTTACCAGTTATTAAAACGAATTAAGAAAAAAATAGTCATAAAATATTAATATTACCTCAACCACAGTATAGTTTTGATTATTTTGTAAAAGAAAAGAAAAGTAGGGAATAAAAAGATAAAATAATAAGCTCAGCAGACGAAATCCACCACTATATAAACGAGTCATCGGCATAACCCAAATTTCACGCCCTTAAAATCAGAGATTCCAGTTTTCATATTTCTCTCTCTATCTGCGATTCTGATTCTATTTTCTCACCAACCATACAAATTTCTCCTCAGATCTCTTCTCCTTCCCTATCAATTTTTTTTGGTTTGTTTGTCTCTACCATGGGCCACGAAACAATGGCGACGGCGAACACCACCATCACCACGAAGACGACGCTCGTCTTCACGTACGGAACTCTGAAGAGAGGATTCTCCAATCACGTCCTGATGCAAGATCTGATCCGATCTGGCGACGCCTCTTTCAAAGGAGTTTATCAAACCCTAGAAAAATATCCCCTCGTCTGCGGACCCTACCGAGTCCCTTTCCTCCTCAACAAGCCTGGATCCGGCCATCGCGTCGCCGGCGAGCTTTACGCGGTTTCTCCCCGCGGTCTCTCGCGTCTCGACGAGCTCGAAGGGATCAGCCGAGGCCATTACGTCCGGCAGCCGATCCGCCTCGCCACGAAGGAGGATGAGGGAGGAGATCTGGAAACAGAGCAGTCGTCGTCGTCGTGCGTGGTGGAGGCGTATTACGCGCACAAGAGCTACGAGGAGGAGCTATGGGAGAGGAATCGAGGGAGATCGTTCGGCGCGTACACGGAAAACGAAGCGCGTGGATACGTCAAGCGCAACGATCGGCCTCAGCATCTTAGCTTCTTGGACCATATCCGCATTTTCGTTTCTTCTCCATGTGACTGATTTTGATTTTTCCCTCTCTCACCGCTTTTTTTTTCCCCTCGGGAAAATGAAAAAGAAACACCACTAGTTTCACACCTATTCTAATGGTCCCACCAGTACGTCGTATCCGTACGGTACAACGATTGTTGCTATCCATGAAAGTTTGATTAGGCTTCTGTGATTGTTGGATGTAAAACAAATAATTCGTTGGTTCCCACCTGAATAATTGATCAGGGTCGTTAGATTCAGGTGATGCTTTACAATCGCCTATCCGAATCCAATCTTTCTTTGCTTATTATCCTATAAAACATAAATTGTTCTGCCACAAAAATGAGAAGAACAAATTATATCAAGATGACAAGTTGTAAGAAAGAACAAAAGAAGAACATAGTTCAAATTATTTTTGTTGTCATCAAGCACCAACATACAAGATGGTCGTATCTTTTTAACTAGACTATGGGTAACGTCCCTCCGTGACTCAGGACGCTACGGCACCATTCCAATTTTAATAATATGAGCCCAATTATTTGAATTTAATTAATCATTTTTTAATTCAACCATTTGCATTTTCTTATGCATTAAAACATTACAATACTCCAAATTCCAAAGATTTCACATAGTCAAGAAACAACTAGCCATGGTTATGTCACTAAGAACAATGTAAAGGAAAAAAAAGCTGAAAATTTTTGTTTGACAATTATTTCAAAAGTGCATAGAATTTTAGCAGGTTTGACCTTTTTTAAACCCTTGAACAGCTCCAGTGGACACGTTTAGCATGCTCGAGCCTAGTTCAGGTTGTAATGTAATTCATTATTAACCCCGATGCTGCTAAATGATATTTGTTATCTATTTTTCGTTCAAAGAAGAATAACCGTATAAGTTTTTTGGTGCTTAGATAAATGACTACTGAAAATAACGGTCCATCACAAAAATTGGCTATGTTGGGGACTTAAAAGCTGGGCCGACTCGGTTACCATCCCTGAAGACAATGGCCCAGTCCAACATTATTTTTATGGTGGTAGAAAGTTTCCCGATTCAAATTCGATATGTAGTTATCATATGACGGGAATGATTTTGATTGAAATTTTAGATTGGTTTTTACGAAATCCAAAAGCTATTAGGTAGATTAATAGTCTTAAAGCTAATGTCGTACCTTAGGGCCAATACAAAAGGCTTTATAACTTTGGAGGAGGATTGAAATGTGAGAAATAAATCGATTTTCATCATCCATTTGCGGCTGATCTGAAGCAAGACTCGTCCGTAGTCGAGTACACACAGCCATCGTTTGCGAGCTGTTCTAACGCATCCCTGCCATAGAAATGTACAGAGACCAAACAGTTATAGTCAATATAGTTTCCGTTTTTATATTGTAACGTTTTTGAGAGGAAACAGAGATAGAGAGAGGAAGAATGAGAGAGATTTACTTGAGTTTATGTGCCGGAATCCTGAGGTCACGCCCAATCACATCACAATGAACTCCAGTGTCAGATGAACTGACGTAGATCCAACATATATAAAACCAAATATCAAACTTGTGCTTTTAGATGAGTGAGAGAGAGAGAGAGAGAGAGGGAGAGAGAGTAAGACAATCCAATCAAACAATAAGACAATAACATTAATCTTCTGCCATAACTTATTTCAAACTGCGACATGGCTTTTTAGCTACAACTTAACCAAAGTTGGCTCTTGGAGGCTTTAGTGGTTGATTTTATTCCTTTCTTAACTATAAAGTTTGATCAAGAGTATTGAAAGCTGTATGAATGATATAAAAAGGGATCTTTTGGGGATTTTGGATGAACTTACAGGTGCATAGGTTGATTCAAGTAATTAATGACCGCCTGCTTTACCCCGTGCATTGGATCATTGAATTGGTTTGGGAACTGAAAAAAAATTGTTTAATAACTTAAGAGGGTCACAAAAGAGCATGTAAAGATTTGAAATCTAGATTAGATATGCCTTTTACCTGATTAGATGGACCAGTTTGGTATGGATTTGCAGGGGTTGGCATTGTTGAATACGGCATTTGGGGCCTAGCAGTAGCAGTAGCAGTAGCTTGAGTAACAGAGCCACCCTGAAGTAGACTGAGGTAAGTAAAGTATATAACATGAAGCTGTGAAACAAAGTTCAAAATAGCGGTGAAGAATAGGCTTATACCCGTGACTTAGTGTTGTACATGTGGACATAGATACACTCGGTAAAGTGGTGTACAATCTCGTTGAAGTCAGTGACAGGCCTGGAATCACAATATTAGACTTGAGTATATATCTTTCAGATGCAGCAAGTTCATTCACTCGGAGAAGAAAAATAGAGGATGTATCATGTTAAGTCACGGAGAAATATCATAGATCAGATAGAAACTTTAAATCTAGAAAGCCGATTGGAATTGGTTCGCTGCAAGTACATCATAGACAGATCAATATAGTAATTACGTCAAGGAAACAAAGGTACCTGATTGAGAAAACATTCACAGATCGCTTCCCCTGGAAACTTTTTAAGTGTCCATGTAGGCGAACATACATTCCCAGCCTGTAGCAGATGTAGACTATTAAAATGAGAAACTATACTTAATCAACGAATTTACAAATGTTCTGCCGAAACATACCTGACTGCTTCCATTTCTTCAGTTTCTTGACGTTCATGACACCTGCAGATTATTGCTCATAATGAATTAGCACGATATAGTTGAGCTCTTACGACAGCATTTTCATATTGTGCTTCTATTAGAATCAGAAGAAAGAATGAAGAACTTACCATCTGACACATTCAACGCAGCCTGTACCATCATCTACAACAAAGTCTACCTGGGTGATTCTGTTCTCCATTCTAGCAACTCGTCCAACAATTGCAACCTAAACACAGACACAACACAAAGCTCAAATGCTTAACTCAATAGACATCAAATCTGTAGCTGGCATACTACTTGACACCAAGCTCATGATCAGATATAATACCAAAGTAAAGAATCTAAAGATGTACGACAAAACCATACTTGACTCAATAGACTTCAAAACAGTAAGAGGGCAAAATATATCAGCAAACAAGAGTAACTGCTGAAGAAAAAAGAGCTTACAGTGTTAATGTCAACGCCGTCTATGGAGAAGTTTGATTCACCATTGGTTGATACGCTATTCAACTGCTTCAGTGTCAGGGGAAGCAAGGTGCGTACATCGCGGTTCTGCAAAACAGTGGTGAAAAGTGAGAACTCACAAAATGTAAAATGCTGCTCAATATACGGTGTCTATATCCAGATTCACGACTCCACGAACATATAAGTATTGTATAGACATTCATAGATTTGTGATAAGATGCAAGAGTCACGGACAAATCTACATTTCCAGATCTCACTCGTCGGCAATTTGTTCTTTGATACTTCAGTCATGTGAAATTGCCTAGAAAAATCGAGCGGAACAATCATGATTCTTCTGCTAATTTCCCCTAGAAACGACTTGAAATCGAGAGAATCGGATGCATAATACAAACAAAAAGCGCGAAAGTAAGAGAGAACTTAGGTAGAATCTGAATCGCGATAGATAGATTTTCAATAGCACAGAAACGCGGAAATGATTTATCAAATTCCTCGATGGCGAAGAGAGGCCAAACCTTGGAGGACGATGCGAAGTCAGGCGCTTGCGTAGTTGCCTGTGAAGGCATGAAACCGCCGCCGGCGAAAGCAGCGTTGCCGTCAAACTCGCCTCCGTACATGTTTAAATTCCCTCTCTGGTTGCTGCCGATCGAAACCCTAATGGAACGCCCGTCGCTTCAACGGAAGTAAATTCGATAAAGCGCCTCAAGGTTCTGGAAACGTCGCTGGATTGAAGAAGCTAGAGAGTGTTAAATAATTATTAACTAATATTATAAAATATGCTTTTAAAACTAATATAGAGATACAAAATCCCACTTTTCGTATACCAAGTTATTAATACTGTAATACTAGTTCCCGCCAAAACTCTCGCCCATTTTCCCGCGACAAGTTTTAACATTTTCCAAGTGGGATGTTGTTTTCAAAAGCATTTTTGATTATTTGTCTAATATCCTGAAATATATCCTCTATATAGTAGTTTCATTGGAAAATAAAATATACATGTTTTGGGATCCAATTAGTATGAGTATAATATAGTTTCAACAATAGTATACAAGACACGATCAATGAAATTGTTATTGTGATAAGAAAAACAATTGGTTAGATGCGGTTCGGATGAAATGATTATGATGGATTTGATTAGGTGATTAGTAGGACTACCAGTTACGGTTAGAGGTTACGTATTTTAGTGGTTAACAATTACTCCCTTCATTTTATAATAGATGATGTTTTAGTTCTTACACAGTTTTTAAGATATTTTATTTTTTAGTTTTTTTTTTATTTCCCAACATAATTATACTAATAGAATTAAAGTAAAAACAATATTTAATTAATTAAAAGTTAAAACATCAAATTTTAAAAAATAAGTAAAAATTTTAAAACATCATACGTTAGAAAACGGAGAGAGTATTACTAAGACGGTTGATTTTTGCAGCTTGTGAATTTAGGTGGTTGAACTAATATCAGATAACAGTTTAAAATTGCCGGTTGGCATTTTTTTTTTTTTTGGGTTGGCATTTTCTTACTTGAATCTTTTGTGTGTGTGTTTTTAGGTGGCTTATGATTTCTTAAAATATAATATCAGTGAAACGCTAATACGGTTCTCAATAAAAAGATCCAAGTCGTTAGTATCTGATTGCTGCCTAATATTTATCTATTTTAATCGCATCATCTTTTTCGCAAGCTTATTGGAAGTCGATAGTATAATTAATAAATTGATACCTTGAGAAACAAAAATAAGAAATTTGCGTGAGTTGAATAATGTTCATTGAAAACCGCATTTGAATCGGGACTAACGATACTTTCATGTTTAATCTCACGTTTTAGTTTATGATTTAATCGATTATTTATTGTTTTATACGTTATTTTTTTGGTCGTAATCGTTTGCGTTTATCTCGTAGGATCGGAATGCGAATCGGAATTTTTGTTTATATTATTCTAATCTAATCTATTTATATGCTTTTGGCTTTTTCACAAGTGTGGCCACTCTGGAGACAAACCTCACCAACTTGTATCATTCTCTCTGTTGGTTCACCAGTCGCTTCCTTAATCCGATGAACCAAATCATTCTCTCTCTCTCTCTTGATCTGTACTCAAACATGGAATCCCAATCTGAGCAAATTTGAGTTTCCAGGTTCAAGATTTTCACAAGTTTATCACTGTTACATCTGCGTCACTTTCAGTTTCAGTTCGGCGGCAGCATAGTGAGACTGTGTGGCTATGGCTTCTAAGATCAAGTAAGCGTCTCCCATCCTTTTGTCTCTCTTCAAAATGATGTCTTTTTGTCGGTGTTCAATTTCGTCGTTTCAAATTCCGATCTGAGTTTATCTTTTCCCTTCCGAAACAGAGTTTCTCTGAGGTTTCTTCGTTGCTTGGAGATTGTCCATGATCGAGTAGATCTAATAATGGCTCTGGGTCTAGGGTTTTGATCTTGTATTTGTTTCTATAAGGAATGTATTGTAGGGCATGCTCATTATTTATTCGTCTGATTTGTCCCCGTTCTGTAATTTTTAAAAATCTTATTAAACTGATGCACTTATACTATTTTAATCATGATTCCATGGCGAGTTCTTATCCTCCTGATCTTTATTTGTCTCTCTGTTCTGCTTTCTAAATTTGTCCTTTTAAGCCTCCGTTGATTTGGCTGGTTTAACATGAGACTTCACTAGAGTGAGAGTGAGAGAGAGCCACGAACTCTAGTTCTTGACTGAATCCAGATGCACAGAGCTAGAAAAATTTACACTTTTGGATTGTGTTTTACTTTGTTCTTGGAAAAGGTTCTATCTTTAGCTACAAGCATTGATTAACTCAGGATGCTTGTATAGTTACTGTGATATGTTTCCTGTGGCCTGAGATTTTCAGAAATTGAGATATGTATGCAGAGGTTCATATGAAAGAGTCGCTGGCTCTGAAATTGTATATGATTTGATGGACTCTAAATGTGTATTCTGTTTACTAAACTCACTAGCATTGACTTTGGACTATTGAAGTTTTTGTGTGTGTATTGAGAAATTTTGTTTTTTTCTCATGATTTTTGCAAGCTTAGTTAATTCTTACCTTTGTCTCCTTTTGTTTGCCTGATGAGACTTGGTTGTTTTCTGAAACAGAACTGGTCTATCCGAAACGACACTTGGCAAATCATCTCCAGGAACTCTAAGAGTGTCTAAACTGAGTCGGATAATGACTAGATCTGAACCTAATTCTCCTTCACCGACTCAACATTCACGGCTTTCGCTCGACCGCTCTTCTGCTAACTCAAAGCCTTCTGCTGAAAAGAGGTCTCCCAAGATTCCAACCCCACCAGAAGTAAGTGTGTCAGCGCGATATAATCCTTTGTGGTCTTATTTTGGGGGTTTGTATCGCAACACTTATGCTGTCGAGTGTTGTTGTCTGATGATTGTTTGCAGAAAACTCAAACACGGGCTGCGAAAGGATCAGAACCACAACCTCGGTTGATCCAATTAAAGGAAGATCTGAGGAAAGCGAATGAGGTGATAGCATCCCTTGAGAATGAAAAGGCTAAAGCACTTGGTGAACTTGAACAAGTGCGCAAAGAGGCATCCGAGAAACTGGATGAGGCTTTCAAAGCTCATAAAAAGGTTGAGGAGAGTTTCGAGATTGAGAAATTTGAGGCCGTTGAGGCAGGGATTGAGGCAGGGATTGAGGCATTTCGGAGAAAGGAAGAAGAATTGAGGAAAGAACTCGAGAATGTCAAGAACCAACATGCTTCAGATTCGGCTGCTCTTCTTTCGGTGACCAGGGAGCTGGAGAAAGTCAATCAAGAGTTGGTCGCAGCTACTGATGCCAAGAGGAAGGTTATGAGCCGAGCAGATGATGCTAGCAAGATGGCTTTGATTCATGCAGAGAAAGTTGAAATCTTGTCGTCGGAGCTGATACGGTTAAAGGCTCTGCTTGATTCAACCCGAGAGAAGGAAACCATCTCCAACAAGGAGATTGCTTCTAAATTAGGAGGGGAGATAATGGCTTTAAAAAGAGAGGTTGAGGATGCGAGAAGTCTTAAAGCAGAGGTCAAGGAGCGAGAGAAGGTCATTGAGAGGCTTAAGGTTGACTTAGAAGCTGCGAAAATGGCAGAGTCTTACGCGCGTGACTCTGCTGACGAGTGGCATAACAGAGCCAAAGAATTGGAGGAACAGTTAGATGAAGCTAACAATCTGATGAGAGCTGCCTCGGCTTCTCTGGTATCTGTGACGAAGCAGCTGGAAGGAAGCAATGACAGATTGCATGCTACGGAGTCTGAAATTACTGATCTCAAGGAGAAAATCGGGTTGTTGGAGACGGCATTCGCTAGACAAAAGGAGGATCTTGAAGAATCTGAACAACGGCTAGGTATTGCAGAAGAGGAATTATCAAAGGTCGAAAAAGAGGCAGGGAAACTGAAGAACGAGCTTGAAACTGCGAAGGAGGAAAAGTATCAGACATTAAAGAAGGAACAAGATGCTACTTCAAGTGTTCAAAGGCTCCTGGAAGAGAAAAACAAGATCTTGTCAGAGCTGGAGAGGTCGAAAGAGGAAGAGGAGAAGAGTAAGAAAGCTATGGAGAGTTTAGCTTCGGCATTGCACGAGGTGTCGAGTGAAGCACGCGAGCTGAAAGAAAAGCTGCTGAGTCAAGGTGATGATGAGGATTATGAAACACAGGTAGAAGATCTGAAGTTGGCCATCAAAGCAACGAACGAGAAGTACGAGAATATGCTTGACGAGGCGAGACATGAGATCGATGTTCTTGTCAGTGCTGTGGAACAAACCAAGAAACAGTTCGAGAGCTCAATGGTGGATTGGGAGACGAGAGAAGCCGGTTTGGTGAATCACGTGAAGAAATTTGATGAAGAAGTTTCTGCAATGGGGAAAGAGATGACCAGGTTGGGTAATTTGGTTAAAAGGACAAAGGAAGAAGCTGATGCAGCGTGGAAGAAAGAATCTCAGATGAGAGATAGTCTTAAAGAGGTGGAAGATGAGGTGATTTATCTTCAGGAAACTCTCAGGGAAGCAAGAGCCGAAAGCTTGAAACTGAATGAGAAAATGTTGGATAAAGAAACCGAGTTTCAAAGCGTTGTTCATGAGAACGATTTACTCAGAGTGAAACAGGATGATTCTCTGAAGAAGATCAAGGAGCTATCCAAGTTACTCGAGGAAGCATTGGCCAAGAAACACACAGTAGAGAACGGTGAGCTCAGCGAAAGTGAAAAAGACTACGATTTGCTTCCAAAGGTGGTTGAGTTTTCTGAGGAGAACGGTCATAGAAGTACAGAAGAGACGTGTTCTAAAGTAGAAACCCTCGACATGAAGCAGCTCGAGGAGGACAGAGAGAAGAAAGATGATTCTCCAGATGGTAATGATGATGACACAGTTAAAGTTGAACTTAAAATGTGGGAAAGTTGTCAGATTGAGAAGAAAGAAGCTGTCGACAAGGGAAACCCAGAGCAAGAGTCGAACATGATAGACGAAAGCGAGAAAACCTCACCAGAAAACATGAAAGAAACTGGAAATGGATTAACCGGAGAAGATCAACTGGTGAATGAGAAAGAGAAGAAGAAGAAGAAGACACTGTTTGGGAAAGTTGGGAATCTTCTCAAGAAGAAAGGACCCGCGAATCAGAAATAAAACATCTCTTGAGTGCTACACTGCGAAATCTGGCTTTTTACATATACAGATGATACACATCTCTCTTCATCATTTTGAGTTCTAATATATATATCTTTTTGGTAATGGCTTCTGAAAAGTTGTAGTGATTCTTTTCGTCTTTCGATTTTTGGGCTTACTCTGTTCTTCGTTCTTACGTCATCAGTAAACCCAGGAACAAAATCTCTGTGTATGTACAGTTTACTGCTCGTTAGATATCCAGGAATAAGACACCTTTTTGCAATACTATAGTATCATTCACATAAACGTAAGCACATGAAGGTTCGGGATATGACCATATAAAAAAGTTAATTACTTTTTTTATTTAACCGTGAGAAACTTGTAAGTTCTGCACCGTAAAAAATAGGCTAAGATACGAGTAGAACTTACAAGTTCTCACTTCTCACGGTTAAAAATAATTAACTTTTTATATGGTCATATATAACCTTCAGAAATTGCAAGGAAGTCTGATTAACATGCATATGTCATAATTTTTTTTTTTTTTTTTTTTTGTGAAAGATGTTTCATAATCTTTGACTTTTAAACGGATAACAAAGTCGAGAAAGGTAAAATCTTCGATTCAAAAATAGGCAAGACTCTAGTTTAACGAGACCTTTGTTTACTAACCAAAGTATACGTAGAAGGTAAAAGAGAAATGATAGACCGGAACATTTTGGTTACATATTTTATGGATCTTTTTTAATTCATTTACAATATAAAGCTGGACTGAATTATCGTTGACGTTGCGTAAATAAATCAGATACATATTTTGCTAACTTTTTTAAAAAAATCTGTCATAACTCTTTGAGCTCCACCAAAAAGCAATAGACGAGTACGGTAACTAAGGGCAAACGGTTAGCTAGAAAGAGTATATAGTGGACGACCTATTTTTTCAAAAAAACTTTAGGAATGAATGGATTTTTACTAATTTAGTAATTTTTGTTTTGTTTATGCGCTTCGGATTTAGTATTGTATTCACGGGTTTCGCTAGAACGTCCAACTAAATCCAATGGCGAGCAAAGGTTTTGGTAAAGAGTTTCCCACAATAACATCATATATAGAACTCATGACCGAAGTCCAAGTGATTCCGAGATGTAATGAGAATTTAGGTCCTTTGTGTCATAAAAGCCAATATCAAGCAAAAAGGTAACCACTAGCTAGATAGTATGACTAAAATCAATTTGAGGGTGTTTGAGCGTAAATAATATTGATTAAAACTTATCATTGTCGGTTAATGAACTATAATAATCATTTTAAGATTTCAATTAATTGCTTATGAGTTAATATATATATATATTTGAATCAGATACCAAAACATAAGCGTCATAAGATTCAATCTGGTTTTGTCCACTAGTGAGAGTGCATGAAAAAAATGGTTCTCTAACGTGACGTTACATTGCATGGCTCGTAAGAGATAATAGCATTTTATGATTAATTAAGTTAATTAATTACTACTTAAGTTATGTTGGGGTTATGCTTTGGGAACTACGAGTATTGTAGCAAAATACAGTCAGATTATAGCATGCGTGAGTGTATTATATAGTAGTATTTCTTTTTGTCTTTTAGCAAATATTGAAGGTTTAATTATAAGAGTACGTATATAATAATACACAATTGTACTTGATTCTATTATATATGCCGTGTACATGTACGTATTTTCAACGCACATAAAAAGGATTAACGTCCGTATTTACAATTTTCTGGCGTTGGTTAGTGCATTAAGGAGAAAATTACTCTATGGATCAGGATAATTTAGTTTTGTCCTTCTATTAATTTGAGGAGATTTTAACTTAAGCATTAATACTTTCGGAAATATTTTTCTTTAAGAATTACTAAGGGTATTAGCTTCAGAGCTTACTGTCTAGTTTCAGCGTACAAGGCTTAATCACCTACATTTTGAAAATAATTGAACTGTATTATGTTAAAACTAGATTAACCTCCATGATCAAAAGCCGGTACATATTACGCTTAATTACGATGCACATTCGATTTGATTAATTTGTTTTTTCAGAGATATTTTAACAAATAGCTGAACCGAAATTTAATTAAAGTGAACTTGAAAACTGTTTTAATGTAAGATTTTCTTTTTAAGTTACATGAAGATCCGAATCAGATTAATTAAGTAAAAATCAAACAACCAATCCATTAATTCAATTTTAGAGTGCGGTGTATCGTGTATGTATGTATTATTATAGGCCTGTTCATATTCAAAACTGATGTCAGCAGAATATATATATATAAAAGCGTTCGTACTAATATCAAGAAAGAAATTTAGTAGTTAGAAAAGGTTAGGGTTTTGGGGGGTCCCATGAGCTTATATGATCTCTAACAAAAAGTTTGCGTGTCTTGATGTGCTTAAAACTAGATTTATACCAATAATGAACAACCTTATCGAGACTTGATTAAATTTATTCTAAACTAACAAAAATCACATATATGTAATGTTTTTAAGCATCGAATATATTTAATTATGTATGTATGCTACATGAATATAAGAAAACTAATATAAAAATTCAAAAACAAACAACTGGTATACTGCAAAATATCGGTACAAAAACATTCTATGAAAAACCTGTTAAACATTATATTAATTTGTTTCACAAAAAGTTTTCACATTTAATTTCATGGAAATTTTTAGTTTTATCATTTTTAATGAAGTTTAGGAATTATATATAACACTGTTCAAATAATTAAACAACATGTCTTTATGTTTAATTTGATGTGTATATATAGCTCAGATGTGTCATTAGTTGAACAATGAGCACTAATCCATACCATTCTATAGACACGGCCTGTCCGTCTCTCTTATGCACTATGTTTTCATAAAAAGTTGGGTCAATGTAATATTATAAATTACATTTTGAAAATCTAAAGTAACTATAATTCCGGTAGCGCATAAACATACACGACCACAGCTCAAGTTCCATTCCTATATAATGTGCTACTCTTCATAAATTATTTGACAACAAATCGAAAAATAATAATAATAATTTAGGACATGTTTTCTCATGGAAACCTACTCGAGATGCTTTATTTTAGGACATGTTCGGACTGAGTTCCACGCAAATTAACAGGGTGACACAAAACTTATTGCATGAAAAATAGTAGAATATATGATAGATATCAACATGATATAGCGATAGCATGAGTGAAAATAACATGTACTATATATACAAGGTATTTATTTTTATCTTGGAATTCCTTTTTTTCTTGCCAGAATACAAACCAGCGACGATAATTACAGTGAGATTGTAAAAATAAGGAGTGGAATGTAAAACAAAATGCAAATAAAAATATCGATGACATTTATACCGATTCTTTTTGTAGTTCAGTGTATATATTTTATATTAAATCCTTACGTTCTTTTATATAGATATTGTAATTTAAACCAATATATACGAGAGTTCACTATTTGTATATTTAGCTCTTGTAAGTAACTAACTTTTGTATTCTGAATTTTTTTTAAGTTTGTGAAGCTTTATATTGTCAACATGAATTAGTTGCAGCAACTTTTATTCCACACATTGCTTCACAAACTTGAACATCTTTTTCTTCTCTTCCTCAATTTTTTTCTAGTTTTCATCAAGGTCGTTTCCGTCATATCACTTATTTGATAGGGTTAAAGTCAAAAGGACACGTCACAAAAGCCAACTAAGATCTCCTTGTTCCGACAAGACGCAAGACAAAGACGAAAGACTCTTATATGTTTCTATATATAACGCAAAGAACAAAACACTTGGCCTCATTAACTAAGATCTTGCCTTCAGCACAATTCTCTCTCCTTCTCACAGGTATATTAGATATGTATATACTTATAATAATCTCCTATGTAATCATAAATCCGACTATCTTACTAGAATCGTGTTTACTAGTATGTTATGATATAAAGGATATATACTTTTCTTTTGAAGCAATTTTTTTCTGTGACTCGGTGGTTATCTAATTTATGTCAAAAACATTTTCATATAATAGATGCAATAGTAAAATGGGAAGATCACCGTGTTGCGATGAGAGCGGGTTAAAGAAAGGGCCATGGACGCCAGAAGAAGATCAAAAGCTGATAAATCACATAAGAAAGCACGGTCATGGGAGCTGGAGAGCTCTTCCAAAACAAGCCGGATTAAACCGGTGTGGGAAGAGTTGCAGATTGAGATGGACTAACTACTTGAGACCAGACATAAAAAGAGGAAACTTCACTGCTGAGGAAGAGCAAACCATCATCAACCTTCATTCACTTCTTGGAAACAAGTAATTAAGTTTTGGAAAAAAATGATTTTCTCAAGTACTTTAATCCTTTAATTATCATATTAATTATAGATCAAGAGCAAAACAAACAAAAATAGATCAAATTTTCTATACTAACGAGTTTTTAAAAAATTAATTAATTATTATTGCGTTTTATACGTTATTGCTGCTTATTTATTGGGGCTAGAACTATTAGATTCTGAAAAATATCTGTTAAAAAAACCAAATTAAAAGAGAAATAAAGAAGAAAATTACATGTAAAATATGGCAATGTTTAACTACATAAACTGTAGGACTTTTTCTTATAACATTTCTTTCATCATGTATAAATTATACAATTTAAATTCAGTTTTAATGTTCCTAAAATCTTAGATCTTTTTTCACCAGTCTTTTATATAGTCTAAAAGCGTATGCTTATGTATATAGAGAGATTTTGGTTCGTTGAGGTATAAAAGAATATCTATAAAAAACCTACTACACTGGATTTTTCTAGGTGCATGCATACACGTACTCGTCAATGTTCAATATTTTCAAGTGTATAGATTAATTATTTTAGTGTAGCTTGAAAACACGTATAAGGCTTAACTAACCCACCAAATAATTATATCAATTTAACTGATTTTTTTGTGTGTATTTCATAAAGGTGGTCGTCAATAGCTGGTCATCTTTCGGGAAGAACGGACAATGAAATAAAGAACTATTGGAACACGCATATTAGAAAGAAACTTATTCAGATGGGGATCGATCCGGTGACCCACAGGCCGAGAACCGACCATTTAAACGTTCTAGCCGCTCTACCACAACTTCTAGCTGCCGCAAATTTCAATAACCTCTTGTCTCTAAACCAAAATATACAACTGGATGCAACAAGTATTGCAAAAGCCCAATTGTTACAGAGTATGATTCAAGTCCTCAACACCAACAACAATACCTCTTCTTCTTCCTTTGACATTCATCACACCAACAATAATATCTTTGGCCAATCTTCTTTCCAACCAAATATTAGTGAAAATCTTTATGATCCAATCCCAAGCCTCTCTCACATTGATCATCAGCCTCTGGATTCATTTTCTAGCCCGATTCGAGTAGCTTCTCATCAAGATGGTCAAGATATGATTCCTCCATTGATTTCGGTCTCTCCTGATGAGTCTAAGCAAACCCAAATGATGATCAAGAACAAGGGGATTTTGAATCATAATGATCATACTTCAAATCCATCATCGACCTCAACATTCACACAAGACCATCATCAACCATGGTGTGACATAATTGATGATGAAGCAAGTGATTCTTATTGGAAAGAAATCATAGAGTAAGTTAAAGAACTTAAACATTTTCACGCACATATACTTAATAATTTAATTGTTGAATTTCGACGAGTTCTTAAGTTTGTTTTTTTCTCTTTGCAGGCAAACTTGTTCGGAGCCTTGGCCATTTCGTGATTAGAGACGAAAGAAAAATATTAGCATTACTTTTTCTGTAGATATAGATATATACATGTGTATTGTTAATTAACTTTCATACAGTCTGTGTTTTATTTTTTCTTTCGTTTTTTGTCGACCATGCATTGATACTGTACAAAACTTATTGTCATACATTTGTATTATTTTTTCTGTAACTTTTATTTATTTTGGACATATATATTGATTAATTAGTAATAGTTCTCCGCGTATAAGAGCATATAACTCCAGATTATATAAGATAAGTTAATTCATAATCCAAATAGTTATTTCTGTGGATTAAGTTATATACTTCTTCTTTTTCCTTTTAAATATTTAAGATTCAAATTTAGTTGGGGATGGTTAAGAAGAGGTTAACTAATAGAGAGTCTCGATCGAAAGTGACACAGCCTTATATTTATTTGACTTTAAGAGGAGACAAAAGAGATGCATAAGTATAATAAATAGAGGGTAGCATTTAAACATCATTGTAAATCTTACACTCCTGGCCACATTTATATCACACGCTAGATTCACTGTCACTGTGATTTAAAATTATAAATAAATGTGTATATACACAAGTATTTTAAAATGATAGCAAAATTAACTTCAACTAATCACTGAAACCGTGTTGACATGTGGATTTCTTAGCTTCCAAGTGTCGTTTTTGGTTTAAGAGAATCAGGTCAAAGTTGATTTCAGTTTGGTTTTAATTTGGGATTACTGAATTTCTGTGCGAGTAAATTAAGCAAATTTATATAGTTAAATACGTTAATTTTCAGTTTGATTCAGTTAAGAAAATTTGCTCTGCATCACCAAAATGTATCGCATTTTCTCTCAAAAAGCTGCTATCTGATTTTGTTGAGTAAGGTGGTATTTTAGGATATAAATGTAACAAAAAATGTTAATTTAAAATTTTAAAGTGAAAACTTTATAGTCAAAGCAAAAAGATGACATTAGAATTCCTAGTTCAAATTAAACACTCAAAAGTTATTTTTAGTGTTAGGATTGTGACACGAGAGACATAAGTAAATAACCGAGAAACGTGTGTTAATATACAAACACTAATGCTGCTCAAATATTCTCAAGAAAATAGAAACCTACATTTGGACTATAAAGCCTATTTGGCTAGCCGGTCGCATTATTTTTTTTATTAATAATTAGTTATTTCCAAAAATCAACACTAAGCTTTGCTTGTGGATGACGATTTGAAGGAAATATGAAATATTCAGTCACACTTGTAAGAAAAATTCTCGAGAACAAAAATAGAAACCGCACCATACAAAATTAGACTGCATCTGAAACACCAAAAATGATAAATCCAATCCATAATTTAAGATCGGTCAAACCGAAACCTTTCGAGTTATTATACTATAGTATAAAACACTTGAGATTCTTTTTTTTTTTTTTTGGGCAAAAAAAACACTTGAGATTCATGATAAATAATTAAATTGATTTTATCATATACCAAAATTCTACGATTTAAATTTAGCTCCTATAATTCTTAAACTGAATGATCCAAATCGACAATCGATTAGCACTCCTAATATATCGCGGAGAAAAATGCATTTGCCGCCATCAACAATTTTCAAATATTTGAGTCAGAGCTATGACTGTGTTTTAGAGATTGTATAACATTCACGCATGTTATAGAGGAGAAACGACCAACTTTCTAATAATTCACCTCAGTTTATTTGAGTCAGTTCAATCTCGGGTTTGAATAAAGAATTATTAGCTCATTACATTACCGATAATTGGTAATTTACACACATAAAAATCATTATCAGTGGAGATTTATTAGCCAGTTTTAAGCTTAGATCTGCAAATTTTAAAGAAACAACCTCTGTTTATCTCAGTTCTTCGACCCCGAAATCACGGGTAAACCGAAAACATAAGTTGGGATCACCGCAGTTTCGGTTTAAGTAGGCATATCGGAAACCGGAAACAGATGACAATTTGACAAAGTAGACACTTGAGACAGTGAAGGTTTCTTCTTACAAAGTATCCAAATTTGGAGTTAATCCACATACATGGCCTCGGTTACGTTCCTCTGATCTTCCAACGCTGTCCGAATTTCATCCACTATACTCTTCTGCTCATCTTCCATTGTGTTCTGCAACTCATCCACCTGCGCCCAGAACAATGTTCACAATCACAAACTCAAAACTCAAATAGAATATATATATGCAAACTAAAAGGCTCGGCTTTTGACATTACCACATGCAACAGCAGAGCAAACTGCTTCTTCCTAAGCTCAAGCAATCTCCAGCTTGCAGTGTTCTCTGCTTCGAGCTCCGCGATCTCTTTCTTCAATTCATATATGACTTTCTCTGTCTCCGACCTCGGCGGTTGGGCAGAAATCAGTTTCCGTATCGTCTCACACTCTACCTTATGCTTCCTCTCTATTTTACTCTCCTCGAGCTGCTTCTTCAGATCTTCAATCTCAGCTTTCGCCTGCATTATCTGCCTTTCCGTCTCATCTTTCACCTCGTTGAAGCTCTCTTTCTCCCTAAGGTTTGCTTCTACAACCGCTTGGCTCTTCAGAAGCGGGATCTCGAAAGTAGACAGTTCCTGTAAGAAAGCCTTTGCGAGCCTCCCGCACTCGTTATAGTTCTCTTCTTCTTTGTCCACCTCGAGTACAAAAGAAGTGAACTTCTTCTGAAGCTTCTTCAATGGAGGTTCGCCTCGAGTGGTCGTGGTTCGGGTAAGAAGCCGGTTTCTTATGATTTTGTCGTCGTCCACCGGATCAAATGCATAATTAGCCTTTGCTACTACACTCTCTAATCTACCAGAAACCCTCCTTGCTTTAACTGACATCTTCAAAACTCTTAGTTCAACCCTGCAAAGGAGAGATGCACACAGAACACTCAAATTCGCCAAATTGCGTTTTATAAAGCTTCGGAACCTAAATTCGTTACTCAACCAGAAACAAAGCTAATGGACACAAGATTAATAGCTCAAATCTGATGAACAGAACCGAAACATAAACTATTACGATTTACGCAATTTCTCCTCGTCTTCTAAAACTTCCAATTATCAATCTACTTAAATTGGAGTTTTATGATTCAATTCTTATTCATTATCTCATCGATCCGTAAGCAGTTTCTCCATCGTACCATTTAAGATGTACTGGACCGAACTTTCCGGTGCGAGATTTTATCAGGATTGATAGAAAAAAAAAGCAAAAGGTAGTCTCTTTACTTACTTGAAGTGAACCCAAGATCCAGATACGTCTTCTGCAATCAGAACAGGCTCCCTTTATACAGTGGAAAAGAGATGCCTCAAATTCCGATGAACCCTAAATCGAAACAAATCTTCCCCTTTTTCTTTCTGAGGTAAATGCAAATAGCACTCTCAATTTATAATATATTACAAAATAAACCTCAATCTCTCTAAATATAAAAATAAACCCCAATCTCTTTTCTTTTATTGAAATCACAATCTTTTAAGATACAAAATAAACCCTTACATTTGTTTTAACAATAGTACGCCCCGCTCGTTCTAGAACTACCATAATCTTTTTTTTTTTTTTTGACAACTAGCTTCTTGTAAGTTCAGCTCGACCAAATCATTGAACCAAAATAGATCAAAAACCATTTATTCTAATAATAGAAACACCAAATTTACGTAAAACAAATGACATTCAAAATTGAATTGGACTCAAACGATCAAATCTACTATAAGATATGATCGAACACGAATGTGTAACATATCAGAACCATATAATATTAACTCAAGACTACTCTGAGTTTACGAGTAAAAATCACATGATCGAACACGAATGTACATTTTCGTCGCTAAAAATTTGAGAGGGGTAATTATGTTGGGCTGAATATTGAGGAGGGTAACTAAAGATTTTGTTTCCATCACTGTCTTCTTCGTTATTGTTGATGTTCTTGCTATTCTTGTCTCTGTCTTTATTCCCTTTGTCTTTCTTTTCTTTCTCTTTATTCTCTTTGTCTTTATCATCGTTGCCTTTCTCTATTTTTTGACTTAGAAGCTCAGTATGTCTCCCAAGTTTTTTCTTAATTTGTTCCACAAGTATTGGAGGATCCATGACTCCTCGTACCACCACCGTTGACTTTGACCGGTCTGGTTCCGCCGTTTGAATACCTTAATATTTGCACAAAATAAAGTTGGTTTTCAACTAGATATTGGAATTACTCCCTGCGTTTTGTATTTTCTATATGTTACATTATATTTGCTAGTACCTTTCATTTTCTCAATGCCTCTTTTGATTTCATCAACACATCCTTCACAGTGCATGTTCATCTTTAAAGTTGCAGTTTTTATCTGCGGAGTACTCTGAAATCAAACAGGAAAGCTAATGATTAATGATATTGGTTTTGTATTTATCAAATAAATCTTCTATCTAGAGTTTAATGTGTATAAATGAGAGTAGATAAATCGAACGTTACCTCTTTCTTTTGTTGTGGCTCCTTCTTCTTATCTTGAATAGGGTTGGGTTTTGGGGTAATTAACTCAGCATTTTTACTGAATTTCTTTTGCACTCTTCGTAATATCTTCATTGGGTCATCGAATTCCCCAGACACAACGACTTTATTGTCTCCAATCTCTGTCTTGATTTGCTGAACTCCTAAAAAGCAATAAGATCTACACTTAATTAGAATCATTTCCGAGTATGAAAAAACGGTAACATGCATCCAGATCTTAATGATTTTATAAAGAAATAGATTTATGAGAGACTATCGGTTAGGCCGTTATATGGGAGCTGAAGACTACTCAATATGTATTTAAAAGCATATTATTTGATAGAGAACAAACTATATATACAAATCAAAATAGAAATATAATAAAACTTGATACGTTCTTGATGGAGTTTTAGTTTACAATTACCTTTATATCCCTCTAAACAATGGGAAACTTGTGAAGAGCATCCTTCACAGTGCATGTAAACCTTCAAAACAATTTCTTTACATTGATTATTCTTATCAGAGTTATTGGAATCGGAATCTCCAATTTTCTGATTCTTCTTCTCAGACTTCTTGTCTGATTCTCCATTAGGCTTGTTCTTTAGCACAAAGCAAAAGCAAAATATAAGTTCACATATTATACTTAGAAAATTATTAGAATCACCGAAGACGAAATGCACATACCTTTCCCATATCAATGTTGACTCCTTTGTACGAGAAAGTGCAATGAAGAAGTTGAACAGTGAGGCTTTGTATATATAAGGGCAGAGAAGTTTTACGGTTTAATTCATTATATATTTAGTAACATACAACAAATTATTTGTTTCTCTGTTTGGATGATCCCCCCCATTTATTAACAATGAAAAATAGAATTGCAATCACTATATGGACTAAATCAACTATAGTATGAGCATTTTAAGACATTATTCATTATTTGAATTTCTCGAATCATGAATACAGTTACATCTTTACTAAATCATAAATTTTCTAAATGCCTCACATAATTTAGTTAACGCGAACATCGGTCAAACTCCAATTGTGTATGTATGTTGAATATTTTCAATAACAAATATATATCGATCCTTTATAAATTTCAAGCTTTAAGAAGTTCAATTTTGCCAAAAGGATGAAAACTGATTAACATACAGTATAATAATAACGGTTACATAGGAGTCCAGCAAGATTTGGTCTTAGGGTCCCAAACAGAAGGAATCAAGAATTTCAAGTGGTTGATTCCGTGTGAATTAAAAGCTCCACCAGTTACCGGGTCAACCCGGATTTTTCCAGTAAAACCCGGAAAAGCTCCGGATCCGAAAACCCGAGTGCACTTGGTTGCAGGGTCCGCTATATACAAATTCGAAGAGCTGAGGTTTCCTTCGACGCTGTACGGTGGCTCAGATTTGAATAAGGATTCGGTTAAAGCTGGATTGGTGGCGGAGTCGGCTAAACCGGTGGCTAGCTGAATGATCAATGCGTCGGCTCCGATTTCGCCACTTGGCGGTTGATAAATCATGCCATGTGGACCTTTGTCGGCCATGTGGAAAGGCCAGGCACACTCTCCGGGACATTGCACCTCCGGGTCGCTCACCATTATGTACGGTTGTTGTTTTTTTGGACCTGGATGCCATTTACGTAATTACGTCAATGGTTTTCATTATTGATTTTACAATAGTCATTTTCTCATGGGTCAAATAGATTACTTCTCCAATATAATGCAAGTAACGAGGAGAAATTCAAACCTTTAAGGGCGTAGTGTTGGCAAGTTGCGTTACAAAACCCTACGCCATGAGCCCTAACTTGCGAGGCAAGTAATACCACGGGAATCACTTTGGACATATTTCCGATGGCCGTCTCAACCAGTTTCTCACCATTATCGATTGTCAGTTCCTTTCCAAACTTCATCTTCTCATCCACGTAACTCCGGACAATCTTCACCTTAATCCTCGGAGCTACGGTTCTGCTACTCTTCTTCTTCTTATTCTGTCGGTAAATCTCCTTCAGCTCATACCTCTCTTGATAACTCTCCACCACTTTCCACCACGAAGATACCTTCGGATCAAGACCTTCCTTGCCGTCGAAGTTAAGCGATTCTATGAAATCGTGAACCCTCTCTTTTTGGACCGGCGTGAATTGTCCGTACCAGAGCAAAGAGAGATCTAAGGTTCCGTTCGGGATTTGCAAAGGTGATTCACGTGACAAACAGAGAGGCGCCAAGAGGAGGAAGGTAATGACGGATAAGGAGGAGGAGGAAGAAGAAGACGCCATTGCCACAGCGTTAACAACTTTTTCTTTTCTTTTGGCCTTGGATGGGTTTTTCTTACGCTTATTTTTGGGGCAAGTAAATAAATTTATTGTTTAAGCTATTTTTTGACATCAAAAGGTGGTTTCTTTTCTTCTGGATAATCGCCAATGAAGCAACAGAGCTATTTTCAACAAAGCTAACTATTTTAAAACGGGTGGTGAAAAACTCCAAGAACTTTCAGCACTCTATTAACACGTAAGGATGATGACTAAGAGCATATAAAACCGAACCGAAGAAAATCCAGACTGAAATTAACCCACAATTGATGCAAGTATGCAACCAGACCCAATCAGCTGTAATTCACAAATCATTTCTCAGATTTTTCTATATGATTTATATTCAATGAATAAATGGATTTAAATTTCTTCTACTTATTCGAAGTCAACAGAAACTGAACCGAAAATTATGCAAAACCCATTTCTTCCTAACCGAAACCTTTTGAAAACAATGGTCAAAAGTCAAAACCGAATCGAATGCCAATCCCTAACAAAAAAAGCGAGATCATTTGTACATTTTTAGGACTTTGCGTCTTTTATTACACAGAAATCAAATGAATCGAAATTACAGTTTCAATTAAATGAATTCGTAGCCGGATGATGATCCGTGGTTAGGTTTGGTTTGCGTGGGCAACACACAATCTGTGTCTTTGCAAATCAGCCATTTCAAGCCTTTCTCCTCCTTCTTCGCCAGCTTGGAGGCCGCAGACTTGATTCCACTCTTCATATAATTCACAACAAACATTGCAACCTCTCTGCAAAATGGCCCATTTCCCAGATTGTTTCAAACCATTATATTATCTAACTATGATCATTACTGTATTACCAAAATGCTGACTTGTGTTTGTGTGTGTACACTTACAAGGGTGAGCAAGGAGATCGAGAACCGTTGATGAAGTAGACAAACAAGAACGCATCAAAATGCTGTCGTTTGATTAGGTAGAATCCGTTTAGTCTCCGCACGCATCTGAACATCAATCTTTTGTACAAACAGATTGCGGGATTGTTGTGTGCAATCACATGAAGGTAAACTCCTCGGCACATTGATAATCCAGAAGCATATTTTATCACCTCACTGATCAGTGACATTGCTGACACAAATAAAAAGATAAGGAAAAAATTGCAGAAACGTCAGAAATCATATAAGACCAATTAAGCGACAAAACGGGTTTCATGTTTGATTATACGAGTCATACCGATTCCATGGTTTCTGTATGTTTCTACAACTCCGAGTGTCAAGATGTAGATCAAAGTCTCCTCTCCTTTCGAGGAATCGTAACATATTAGATCATCTATCTGTGCAAGACACAGAAACCATCTGCCAGCTGATGAAGATAGATATAAGAAGATAAAAAAACAGCACTTGACTCGTTTGCATTACCGATGAATTGATTATCGATTAGTAGAATACACCCAAAAACCCCATGAATCAAAAGATTTTCACAACTGAATCCGTTTGTAAAAATACCCATTTAGTGAAAAAGATAACGAACTAAGCTAAAACCATAAACCCTCATGAACTAATTCATCATTCGAAATCTACAAATTACAAGAATTTGCAAGATCGTTGCTTATAATCACATATTTCCTGTGCAACAAACAACCCAAAAAGCTTAGGGGACCGAGACAATCTAAAAAGACCCGTTTAGTTAACAGGACCACGAATCAACCTAATACCATAAACATTATGAACCATTTCAACATTCAAGATATAAACTTTACAGGGCGTTGTAAGATCATTGATTGTAATCACTACATTCCTGTCCATAAATCCAAAGCTTTACAGAACAAAGAGAAATCTAAAAATGACCCATCTCGTGAATAGAATCACAAAACAAGCTGATACCAAAAACATTGTGAACTATTTCACCATCCAAGATCTAAACTTTACAGAACCTTGCAAGCTCGTTGCTTGTAGTTACAAATTTTTCTTTACACAAAAAGAAGAATCAAAACTCACCTCGCTTTCTTTGGCAAGCACGAATTTGGCAGTAACAAAACCAATAAGTTCATCACTATGACCATCAGGCCGGCTCCGATCAACAGCAGCCCATGAGACGATACCAACTCCGTTCACGACACACTGGAAAAACTCAGACTCATACCTGATAAACCAAAGATCAATGCTTTGGTCTTTTTATTACAAGACACAAAAAATAGGAAAAACTGAATCTCAAATAAACAAAACCACCCAAAACGGAAGTAGATGCATACTTGATGGGGAAGATGTCGCGATGGATTTGCTCTAAACGATCTAGATCATCAGGGTTTATTGGTCTGTAGTGGATACTTGGGCGAAGAGAGATTCCTGGATCCTCCATTGATGAAGAGAAAGGCGACATTGTTGTGGGATGCGAAGAACCTGAAAATTCATAGCGTACACGACCAGGCAATCGTCGAACACTTTTCCATTTGGAAGTGCCAGATCACAGGATCCGACCCGTTGACCTACTCGGATCCGGGTAGATTTTGCGAATCTTGATCCGTGTAGGGTTGAATTTGATTGGCTAATCTGAATTTGCTTCGCGAGAAGGAATCAAGGAACGAGTTTCGAGTTTCGAGCGAAGGGAAACAAAAGGTCCTTACTTTACCCTCTCCTTTGCCTCTTGGGGACCTTCTCGATTAAAGCGAAGCATCTTGGCTCACGTGTTTTGCCACAGACAATCACGTGCGTAGTAATGTTATGTAATGAAACATTCTCTGGATCCATATAGTACACAATTCTATTAAGTCCAGCAAAGAAAAACTAATCCTACATTTTGGAGTCATATAGTTCTATGATTAGTTGTGGAGGTCTATAAATCGAGAGATGCTTGTGTCTTTGTTGAATTAGTGAACCGATGTTAAGTTTAAATAAAATCCTCCAACATAAATTCAAACTGAAGAACAAAAAGATTCAACATCAAAAGCAAAAGTAAATGTTATTGAATTTTTTAGAAAAAAAAAAAGTAAATGTTATTGAAGTAATCCATAAATCCATAACGATGAACGAACATTCGATGTTAATTTCATTTATTGCATATTTGTTTTTAATTCATGTTAATGAGGCCAATAATGTTGCTGTGTGTTTTCGTCTTAAGTTTTTTGAAATTTTATTCATAAAATTAGATATTTATTTGTGGTTATATAAATATAAAAAGGGGTGGTTATATAAATATTTTTAAAATTTAGTATTGGCCGCCTTCCACGGCTGCAAGCAGTAGCAGAGCAAAACGCAAAACGCAGAAGGATCAAAACGTCATGCGACCGGATTGCCCCAATAATTCAACGCGAGTCCAGTGCCACGTATGAAAAAGCCTAGGGCCAGATACGTTCTAAAGAAAAAAGACCAGGTACGTTAATGACTAAAAAAATTCCAAGTCTGCTTGTCAGTGGCCCACGTGGTATTTCTTATCTTAAAATAAATAATTTAATAAAAGGAAAAATCGGACGGTAAAGAGAAAATCAGATCGACGGTAAGAAATAGTGACACGTTGTGGCACTCCTGCGAAACTCCACCGCTTTCTGGAATAAGAAATTTCAGTATAAATAAAAGAAGCAGAGGAAAAGCATTTTGCAGACTTAAAATAAGTGTAGAACATTTTCTCTTCCTCGCTAAGAGAAGATCCTTGAATTTCTCTCTCAAGAGTTTTTTGAGCTTGCGAAGAACGAAGCAGCGATCTCTCGAATCGCGGAATCGATCAAATCAATTTACCTTTTTTCAGTGAGTAGATTTTGGGTTTTAACTTTTGGGATAGAAATGGGATCGATTTGCGAATCTGCACCGACGGCGAACTCTTCGTCTGCATCTACGGCGGTGATGAGCTCGATTCCGCCATTTCTGAGCAAAACCTACGACATGGTTGACGATCCATCGACCAACGACGTGGTGTCTTGGAGCAGCGGGAGCAACAGCTTCGTCGTCTGGAACGTGCCTGAGTTCGCCAAACAGTTTCTGCCCAAGTACTTCAAGCACAACAATTTCTCCAGTTTTGTCAGGCAGCTCAATACTTATGTGAGCATCCATCGATTCCTTTTAATTTTGTCATTTTATTCATTCCGTATTTTTCTTAGTTCGATTTAGGGAAATCTTGCTTTGTGTGCTTTCATCTTCTCTCTTGTATTGTGTTGTGTTATGTTTAGTTTCAGTACTTGTGTCTTTGTTAAAGAGAGTGGATCTATATTTTACATATCTGTTATTATCCTTGTTTTTTGCAGATATCCTTCAGTAGTACTGTGTACATGTATATACTGCGTGGCGTGCAGACATGTATTCTTATTTGTTTTCTAAGTCTGTGAGGCTGCAATGAAATTTCTCATCCCATCTTTTCTTAGGTCAAACAAAACCATGAAGCGGATACTCTTTACATAGCTTTTTTTTTTCCTCTTCTTTGCTTTTCTTAACTTACCAAAAGGTTCCACGAACTTTGCAGGCTTGTTTGGACATGTGCTCATATGTGTCTGAAGATTTGGTTGCCTCAGCAGTTCCATTTCTGCCCAGTAGCTCTAACTCACAAAACAAAATTTCTATCAGTTGTCCCTCGTTAGCTTTCCATTCGTTTGTATTTGTTCGTCCAGGTACATGCCGATACACTAAGAACTATTAGTTTCGTTGAACCAATGGTAGTTTTGGTGCTGCGGTTAGACGCAGTGGTTAGATTTTACCATATTGTACCATCTCTAGAATAGTAGCTATTGAAGTATCTAATAGTCTTTATGTTTATACCTCTATATAAAACTCCTTCTGTGCTGGCTTCCTATTTCAATGGAATCCAAGTAACTTCATGTGGTTGATGACTGTTCCATTCTTCATGTATCCATTTTTTTTCAGGGTTTCAGAAAAGTCGATCCAGATCGCTGGGAATTTGCAAATGAGGGATTTTTAAGAGGCCAAAAGCAATTGCTAAAGAGTATTGTCCGGCGAAAACCTGCTCAAGTGCAGCCTCAACAGCAGCCTCAAGTTCAGCACTCGTCTGTTGGTGCGTGCGTTGAAGTGGGGAAGTTTGGACTCGAAGAAGAAGTGGAGAGACTCCAGAGGGATAAGAACGTCCTCATGCAAGAACTTGTGAGGTTAAGGCAGCAACAACAGGTCACCGAACATCACCTGCAAAACGTGGGGCAGAAAGTTCATGTGATGGAGCAGAGGCAGCAGCAAATGATGTCGTTTCTAGCAAAGGCTGTCCAGAGTCCAGGTTTCTTAAACCAGTTTGCGCAGCAGAACAGTGACGCAAACCAAAACATATCCGAGGGCAACAAAAAGAGGAGGCTTCCTGTTGAGGATCAGACGAGTTCCGGCAGCCACGGGGTTAATGGTCTTAGCCGCCAGATTGTGAGATATCAGTCATCGATGAACGAAGCCGCAAACACTATGCTCCAACAGATACAAGACGTGAGCAACTCACATAGCCGCCACGAATCCTTTCCCAACCATCACGGTAGCTTTCTTTTGGGCGATGTTCCAAATCCTAACCTCTCAGACAATGGGAGCTCCTCAAATGGAGCATCTGGAGTTACATTGGCTGATGTTTCATCCAATCCTGCACGCTCATACCCAGCAACCAAGTATCACGACCCTTGTGAAGCAAATCAAGTCCTGGAGGCCAATTTTCCTTATTCTCAAGCTGATCTGTTAGCTCCGAAGCAAGGAGCAACAGCTTCAGGGAGCCCAAATTCGGACATAGTTGGATGCGAGACAGATAATGGAGAGTGTCTGGATCCAATAATGGCTGTTCTGGATGGGTCAATGGGACTTGAAGCCGATGGCATAAATGAGTTGCTTCCTGGAGTCCAAGATTCGTTGTGGGAACAGTTCTTTGGTGAGAGCCAAGTGATTGGTGGTGACACGGATGAGCTAATCTCAGGATCAGTGGAAAATGGACTGATAATGGAGCAGCTAGAATTACAAGCCAACCTGAGGAATGTGTTGAGCAACAATCAACAAATGAACCATCTTACTGAACAGATGGGACTTCTCACATCAGACGCGCTGAGAAAATGAGATACACCCACAAAATCATCATCTTCCCTCACGAGGTAATCCATAGTATTTCTTTACTAATGAGTTAAAATATATATATATATATATATATATATATATATATATATATATTCACACAATTAATAAACGACTTGTTCTCGCAGATGTACAAGATGATGGGTTAAAGATTTTAGGGAGTCGCAGCAACTAAAGGATATGATGACGAAAGGAAGGATGTAGTGTATGTATGTATCAAACTGGTGTAACTCTCATTCTTGTCAATGTGTAATAAAATAAGAGAAATGTGGCCTTGTGATTTTTGCATTATATATATATATGTACTTTGGAGAGAAATCACTGATCTTGTTCGATAATACACTTAATTGGAACGTGAAATCAAACGGAAAAGCTCATACTCGATTCGAAAGTTACTACACTCCGCAAACAAAAAGAAACCAATAGGAAAGAGAAAAAGAAGAAGAGAGGTTGCAATACTCGTTCGTTGCAAGCGGCTCTTTGACTTTCATTGCTAATCTTTTAGGTATTATTTTAAGGCTCTCATACGGTCATCTATAACAAAATGATCTTCTATTTTATATATTTAGTTGATTGATATGATAGATACCAAGCAGTTAAAATCATTGGCGATAGAAAAAACACTTATTCATAATCATAACGATTGAAATTTTACAATACGGAAACTGAGAGAGAAAAAAAAAATATTAAAACTCAAATTCCTCTATCTCATCAGTTTTCCACTGCTTATCCCAAAAGCTGCGATACTCGGGCGTAGGAGACCGATAAACTATCGTATATTTCCATACATTTTCGCAAATCGTGCAGTTCGAACAACACACGATAATTTTTTCAAGCTTCTCAGCTCCGAATTTTACGAGTTCTTGCTTATATTTCATGTCTGCTGCCCTGTCGCAGTAGCGCGTTTCCGTTAATATACAATGTGAGAGATTAAGAATCTTGAGGTTCGGGAGGCCGATGACGAGCGAAATAACTGCTACTCCACATATAGTAGCGCAACGAAAGCTTAGTCTCTCGACGTTTGGAAGCTTACGAACAATTATTTTGGCTAATTCTTTGTCCAAAATATAAGTGAATTTTATGGTGGTAAGATTTCTACAGTTGTCTGCTATGGTTCTAAACTCAAAGTTCAAGGCGCCGCCACTTCGCATAAATTGGGCAATAATCAACGTTTGGAGATTCTTCCATTTACTAAAAGCTGACTGAATTGATTTCAGCTTTAGAGTACGCCATGTTGGTAACGCAAGTTTTCTGATGTTTGGCAACCTTTTTATAAAAAAAAAGAAAAATATATATATATAGTATTAGATTTATCTGGTTTAAGGTGGGGAATTCAGTAATGATTAATGAAACAAATGATAAGAATGGAAATAGTTTTACCCCGTAGAAATGATGGCGAGATCCTCTTCTAGTACATTGCAATGTACGCTGAAGAAAAAGTTTATCGGGGCAGTACGGCCGAATTTATTGATCTCTATCAAGATCTCCCTTCGTTGCTTTTCTCTATACGTGTCCTCAAAAGAGCCCCAATCAAGATCGTTGAGTTTGATGGTGTTCCATAGAGATTTATTGTGAGAGGCAAGGAACCATGTGATGCACACTCGTGATGCTCCCGTGATAACGTCCACTACGTCAAGCTTCTTCAAAATGGTTGAAAGTACCTCTCTATCCAAATTTTCCCACCTCAGAACATTTCCTGATGACCCCTCTTGACTCTCCATTAGTTTCAATGCAATTAGTGTGGACAAATAATAATTAACGGCTAAATGTTTAGGATATTTATAGGGTATGATGAACATTTGACTGCTGAGATTTGTACCCATTTCAAATCAGTTAGCCATTAATGAAGGAGATTTGGTATAGGGTCTTGTCTAGATATGCTACTTAAAAAGCTTTAGATTATGTCTTGTTGCAATTTATTTTAGTATTTACTTACATTAAATACATATTTTGCTAATGACGGTATATATTACCATTAATGACGGTATATATTACTATTCAATTAGACATTGCTAAAACTCATATTTTGTATGAGATACTATGTTATGTGGGTTTTGTTTTTGTTTTTCTTTCTGAAATGGTTGAAAAATAAATGGGTAATTATTTATCATTATTAAAAGATAGGGGTTTCTGCAAAAAAGAAAATCCTCAAGCGATTTTGTTTTTGCAATTCCATCTTCATTTGCAAAAAAAATGCAAGTCAAATTCATCCACTATATAACTTTTTAAATATAATCACCGTGTCTCTTTTAGCAGCGTCCTTTGACATCAAAATTTTAAACAAATAAAATAAAACAGAGCACCTTCGAACCCTGCACCTCATAAACACAAAACACTCTACATGGTCACCTGAACCAGTTGGATATGCTGAATACCACGTCTGACAGCTTAGCAAAACGGGCCTTGGCCCAGTGTAATACATTCTCCTTTTGAGGTTTTTTAATCAAAACAAAGTTGGCCCAAAAAAAAAAAGAGATAATAAAAGTATTTTGTATACATTTATAATACTATGCATAAAACCTTATATAAAGTAATAAGATTAGTTTTTTTATGGTTGGCTTTTAATAATTTTGAAAATCGAAGTTATTATTATTATTTTTTTTTGTTAAAGTTAATTATATGGAACAAATTAAATAGGTTTTACTCAGCTGCAATTTGCATGATTAGTCACAACATAAAATTTATTGTGGACGCGCTGTAGACTGAAAGTGTGAATGACGGTGTAAAGTATTTGTCAGCGACTCTTTTTCGATTGTTTTTAAGCCGAAAATATTTATCTTATAGCAAAATTTTAGTAGGCTTTTTTCATAAAGGTTAAAAATTGGAAAAGGGAAGACGAGGTCATATATCTATATCACCATATGATGACTCGTACCGTCGTACCTAACCCAAACATCCTTTTTTGTTGAAGCAGGACCCACATAACTGCTCAGATTCGCGTAGTTCATCAGTATTGTCTTCTTGTGCTCCAATATACATTACAGTCGGTATAACTGTATGTACTTTTTCTTTGTGGTCGCGAGAAAATCATATTTATTACAAACCATTGTCCTAATTATAGTGAAGAGATATATTATGAATTCTCGTGTATATTATTTTACACCATATTCGAAAACTACAAAAAAATAGGAACATATACAGTATATGCATATATATTTTGTTTTTATGTATTAGTCGCCGTCGCCGTCAAAGCTGTTACGGCAGTTGGTTTCTCCGTACATGACTCCACAACAACAAGATCAACATTTTTTTAGTCCTTGTTACCGTACGTGTCAAGTGGTACACTGGTAACAAGCAGCACGTGACGCCACCTTCACCTTAATTTAACATTGTACCATGTGTATTTCAATAATGCTTAATTTTTAGTTAAAAGTCATTTTTTTAGTTCAAAGTTAAAATCCTCAAAAGACGTTTTCATGATCAACAAACACATAAATAAAACGGATTTGATATCTGTCAGCATAAAAAAAAACATAAAATTTACAAAATAAGTTTCTTAATCTCTCACATAATAGATTCTTAATCTCACATTGTAGCTAACATTGTAAAGCAACACTTTTTTTATAATCATGAAAAGTTGAAAACCGACCTAAAAATATCGTAATCCGCAATGTGAATCGACCTAAAAAAATATCTACACAAGAGAACAACATCGCTTACACCGCTTACACTTCCTAACCCAAGAGAATTAGACTACTATCCTTGAAACCCTACTTTCTGTTTCATACCAAAAAAACCCTATTTTCCGCTTTATTCTACACCGATGAAAAATGCTGTATGAAGTACAGTGAGACCCTATTTACTCGTTTATGAATGTTTACTCGTTCATATAGCTTCAATCAAAACAGGAATATTTTTTTTTCATCTGACCACTACTACAGAATTCAGAGACCTCATTTACTTCCAACACATAAAACATTCATATATAAACTTTGAGAGAAAAACAAGTTACAAAAAAAACACTTTGAGAGAAAAACAAATGTTCAGGAAGATCGAGTTGAAAACCAAAGACATGATATCGATTGTATCATTGTAGATTGATAAGAACAACTGTACCGTGCGTGGTGGTAAACATGAACCACCAGATTTATTTAACTAAAAATTCGTTAAAAAATTACAACTTTAAAACTTTTTACCAAAAAAATAACATTAAGAACAACTTAAAAAGCTCACAACGACTTCGGTGACAATAAAATCAAATGTGGTAGGAAAAACGAATATTTAATAAATGACTACATGTCTGCATGGGTACATAAAAAGAAACAAGGTGAAACAAACGGTAATTAATTACGCGTAATAATCTACGACTTATCTAAAATGATAAGATTAGATTTTAAGAACAACTTAAAAAAGCTCACAACGACTTCGATGACCATAAAATCAAATGTGGTAAGAAAAACGAATATTTAATAAATGACTACATGTGCATGGGTACGTAAAAAGAAATAATGTGGTTAATTACGCGTGATATTATAAATTCAGCATAAAAAAACATAAACTTGAACAAAGTAAGCTCACCGAACCTCAAGGTTCTTAATCTCTCCCATTATAGATTCTTAATCTCTCACATTGTAGATTAACATTGTAAAGCAACACTTTTTTTATAATCATGAAAACCGACCTAAAAATATCGTAATCCGCAATGTGAATCGACTTAAAAATTATCTACACGAGAGAACAACATCGCTTACACTTCCTAACCCCAGAGAAATGGACTACTATCCTTGAAACACTGTTTTATTCTAAACCGAAGAAAAATGCTGAATGAAGTACATAGAGACCCTATTACTTTTATGAAGGTTTACTCGTTCATATAGCTTCAATCAAAACAAGGAATATTTTTTCTTCATCTGACCACTACTACATAATTTAGAGACCTCATTAATTCCCAACACATAAAACATTCATAAACTTTGAGAGAAAAACAAATGTTCAAGAAGATCGATATGAAAACCGAAGACATGATATATATTGTATAATTGTAGCTTGATAAGAAAAATTGTATCATGCGTGCATTTGAAACTTGTTACCAAAAAAATACTAATAAGAACAACTTCTAAAAACTCACAGCGACTTCGATGACAATAAAATCAAACGTGGTAAGAAAAACGAATATTTAATAAATGACTACATGTGCATGGGTACGTAAAAAGAAACAAGGTGAAACAAACGGTGGTTAATGACGCGTAATAATTTACGATTTATCTAAAGTAATTTCAAAAACAAAAGAATAATTAGGAACATGGTTTTTATCTGACCACTATATAAACCGAAGGTACATACTACATAGCTCCATTACACACCAAACTTCGAGAGAATAAAATGTTTAGGAAACACTTGAAAGCTAAGAATGAACCATCTCCAGATTCATACGTGGTTCGTATAATCCGAGCCTGGGGTCCCTCTGTCAACAGCGGCGAACGCTTCTATCGTGTTCATGTCCGACCGGATAACGTAGAGACGATGTCAGTGGCGACAAAGTGGGTAAAGAACGAGGTTGGTGGTGACCCCGTTTTCGATCAAGTGCTCACTTTCCACCACCCGTCTTCTCCATCTACCCTATGGGTCTCCCTCGAGATGGCCGCACGAGATACCAAGGTGAGCGGCAAGATGAGCGGATATGTGAACCACGAGACTGTTGGCACTGGTTGGTTCCCGTTGCCAACCGTAGTGCGCAATCCGGTGGAGAACAACGTAACAATCTTCGACAAAAACCAGGAACCCAGAGGAACCATCGAGGTGTCTTTCGCCAAAACTAAGCTGGAGCACTTGAGCGAAAGCAAAACTAAGCTGCAGTAATCAAAACCCATAAATATATATGAATAAATCATGATGCGTGCTTTTCTAGCCGTCGTCAATCAAGTACCCTATTAAAATACATTATGATGTGGTAAATCATGCTGTGATAAATTCATGTATTTACTTTTTTATTTTATTTGACGTCGTCACGTCATTCATATCTATTATATAACCAATGTCCTAAACTCCTAATAATAAATCGTTACACATTCTGAATTTTCGTGTATATCTTTTTTACATCATACTCAAAAACAAAAGAATATATAGGAACATAGAACTGTTATTTATTTATTTATTCATCGAATGTTGCGATTTGTGTCTGAATTTTTTTTTTAATGCCAATCTTCAAAGATGGGGTATACTGTATCTTAAAAAAGAGAGTATATTGTTATATATATATATATATATATATATATTTCTAATATCTGATTTAAATAAATTAAAGCTATTTATAAATCAATCTGTGCTCGTTCGAAATCTAATCACATACCTGTCGTTGACTTGTCAAAAAAGAAACAGATATCAATCTAAAATCCTTTTTTCCGCAAACGAGGAAAAAAACAATGTTGTTCATCGAAATCGAAGCTTGACCGAACTCAAAATCAGATCCGAGATTCGGCTGCTTGAAAGAAAGGAGAAAGATGAGCGGCGACGGAGACAAGCCTTCGCCGGCGCCGGGGAAACTAGGTGACGAGCAATTAGCAGAGCTCCGGGAGATTTTCCGATCATTTGACCAGAACAAGGATGGAAGTTTGACGGAGCTCGAGTTAGCATCGCTTCTCAGATCTCTCGGTCTAAAGCCGAGTCAAGACCAACTCGACACTCTGATCCAGAAAGCCGATCGGAATAACAACGGGATGATCGAGTTCTCCGAGTTCGTCGCCCTCGTCGAGCCAGATCTGGTCAAGTGTCCTTACACGGACGAGCAGCTTAAAGCCATCTTCAAAATGTTCGATCGCGACGGAAACGGCTACATAACGGCGGCGGAGCTAGCTCACTCGATGGCCAAGCTAGGTCACGCGTTGACGGCAGAGGAGTTAACGGGGATGATCAAGGAAGCAGATCGTGACGGTGACGGTTGTATCGACTTCCAAGAATTCGTTCAAGCGATTACTTCAGCAGCGTTTGACAATGCTTGGGGATAAAGAAGAAGAAGAAGAACGGTACATAATTTGAATTTTCTGCTTCGTCTGGAGATTTCTTTGTCTCTAGAAGATTCCTATGAGCTTTTTGCATATTCTGTTTTGAAAGTATGGGTTTAGTAGGTGTTTGATTGCATACAAATATTGTGAGATACTTACTGTTTCATATATTCTTTTCATGAAAATTTGATTGCTTGAAGAGAAAGTTATCATTGTTGGTTTGATCATTAGGGCATTTTTGCTTAGCTATGCGTGGGTCTGAAACAACAAACCGCTTAAGACAAACACGATGAAACAAAACCACTTTATGGACAAAAAGTCTTATATACGCAAAACAAAAGAAAGCATCAAACCTGACTCTTTATCTTCTAATGTTTGGGATTAACAACAAATACTATCATGTGATCATCTCCTAGTAAGGCGTCATGTAAAATCGAGTAGTTAACTCGAAAATGCAGTCTTTTCTCGTTGAACTCTCGTTGACAAAAATGTTTAAGAAGAAGGAAAACAGATTTGTCACCGGGAAACGGCGAAAAAAGTAGAGCCAGTTAACATTCTCTCCCTTCTGCTAGATTGTCTCAGTATTGGTTCTAAGAGTTGTTACATAAGCTTTAGTCCACCTGTTACATCATCAACAACATCGACCGGTCCTGCGCAAGTAACAGTTTTATGACATGAACAGAGGAAATAGACTCCAGATTCAATATAACAAATGTTCAAACACAGAGCACTTGTACTGATTACTATATAACTCATCTCTTCTTCTCCAATTTTAGATAACAACTTACCAAGAATAGCCATTACTGTCCTTGAGTCTGGAGAAAAGAATATAACAAGTACATACATTAGACTTTTAATGTTCAGAGCACGATTAAGCCGGATTTGAAATTTGATAGCCGTTTGAATTCCAAATGATAATAGCTATGAAACTCACCCGGAGCGATCTGCGTTTTTCCAGCATCAATGGTGATATGGGTTGGCAGTTTAAGGGACTTTGCTCTTGCCTGTCAATATCAACAACATTGTTAGACTCTCTCTGAAGTTGGAATCATCTAAGCAGTAGTAAATATAAGCTCCTAGATTATTATTTTTCCTATTTTCATGGCCTAAGAAATTCCATTTGTAACTTAAATTTAAGTTCAAGAACTAACAATCTGCAATCTTGCAAACCCCAAGCTCTTTTAACCACAGCAATAACACATGTTTAGTAAACTCACTTGCAAGACTAGCATCTCTTCCTCACTCTCGATTTTGACAACAACTTTTGGCTGGGCACAATATTCCCATCTGCAATAATAATAATTTTAGTAGGTAAGTGAAAAACCAAAAACTGTAGATCCCATCCGTCGCACGATAAAGTAAATGATTTGAGATAGACGATGACATGGTGTAGTGTACCTGTTTAAGGCTTTTGGTGCCCGTTGAACGAGTTTTTGGTATAAACCCAAAGTTGCATGACTACATAATGCAATCCGATAATGGAATCAGTCGTAGAATTTAAAAACTGCTTCACACTAAGAGAAAAGAAAATCGTTAAAAAGTTGATAATCACCTGCATTGAGCTGCAATCTTCCCTTTGCCCATTTTAAGATCATTCCTGACTACCAAAACCTACACAGGCAACAAAAAGGCAAATTTATATCAACTTCTTGTGTCTCAGTACGATACAGAGAGGAATAGCTAAGAGTAAGCCTAAAAAACCATTTTGAATTTTTTGCGGAAATCAGTGAGTTTCTCAATCTCGAGGGGTTCCTTGGACTTGGTCTTCTTATTTCCACTGGACTCGGCGTTTATGGCGACAGGTTTGGAGGGGACAAAGATCCGGCGGGCTTGTCGTAGAGTGCTGATGTAATATCCAATTGCAGCTCCAAGAAGTAAGGCAGTTAAGCACATCAAATCCATCATCCTTTGAGGAATTCGAACAAGAACAGACTCCAATTAGCTCAAACAAAGTTGAATCAATGTGGAAAGTGGAAACCATAAAAACTAAACTCAGCGATTACATTAGAATCAACCTACCAAATTTGGGAATTTGTAGTGAATAAGAAAGTTTTCCCAATTTATACAAGTGAATAAAATCCAAAAACCAGCCACAAAGCTGATGACATAACTAGAAGCTCCAAACTAAGGAACCCAATTCCACAGCTAAATAAAGTTAATTCAATGTGGAAAGCAAATAAAAAACAAAACTTGGGAATTTGTAGTGAATAGAAAAGATTTAGCTAAACCACACAAAAGCTTATTCGATTCTAGGATTCGGTTCACCAATGGGGATTTTCAGAAAACAACTAACTAATAAGCATTTTTTTAATTGTTAAAAACAAATCTACGAGGGACGAGTATTCGAAAATACGTTTTGAATCCGACTAGTTACAGAGTTTTTTTACATTACCGGCGAAGGTGGAATCGTACGGCGGCTGAGCAGTTGAACAGTCTTAACAATCAAGGCGATAGTCTTCTGTTTGGGAATGGGTGTATATATGTCCTTCACATATATTAAATAATTATTTTGCGGTTCCATGTTTTTCACTTTCACTTTTTAAACCGAACCAGACTTTGGAAATAATATAAGTTGAAAAAAACATTGGCTTGGCTTATTCAATTAAACCTTCAGAGATTTTATTTTAACTTCTTTAGATTTTGTTTTAATTTTTTCTCTATAGTAAAAATGTAAAATTTGTATTTTCAAAAAAAAAATGTAAAATCTGAGCTGGGTTAGGTTTTACATTATTAACACGACAAACCTAGCAACGTCTTCCAAATCAAAAGGATCATTCAAAACTTGCTCGAGATAAAGTTATTGTGACAACCAAACACATCCTAACTTTATAGTTAACGCTTTTCTGTACTTTTTCCTTTTTATTTTTCTTACGTCAAACGGCATTGACGTCGACGAAGATTTTCTTCCTTTATTTTCCTTCTTTTTTTTACCAGATCACATCCTCTGTTTCAACTTTGATCATCATCCAGCTTAACTTCTCGTTTCGACCCGTAGTAAAGGTAGCTTCGCTTCTCTCTTCTCGCACTTCTTCGTTCTTAAGTTACTATCTCATGTTGATTTCCGTATATTTCGCTTGACTTCTGGCCTTTTTTTTCCTAATGTTATTGACTGCTTTACAGTTTTTGTTTTCCGTTCTTGCTGATCATCAAAACTATGTATGTTCTGTTTTCTTTTGAATTTCTATCAGTGAAGATTGTTCTCGAATTTTGATTCCCTGATTAAAAACCCTAATTTGATTCTTCAATTCGAAGTTGGTTCTCCGAATCCGATTGCTTAGTGACTTAATTGACTGATTTTGATGGTTTCGAGATGGTTTTTATTTGTGATGGGTGAAATCGAGGCCTCTGTGTAGGGTATACTATAGTAGCTAAGAGTTTGATGAAAACCGGACCAGACATTGAAAATCCTTTTGGGTTTCTGATAAAGTTTACGTTTTGAGATTTCCAGGTTCTTCGTTGAAGATGAGTGACAATCTTATGGACAAAGTTAGCTCATTTAGCGAGCGTCTGATGATTGGAGGCTCTGAGGTGAGCAAGAAAGTGAGTGCTGGTGTGAGCTCGATGAGTTTCAGGGTGAAGGAACTTTTCCAAGGTCCTAACCCAAGCCCAAGCGATAAGCTAGTGGAGGTTGCCACTTCGGAGAACCTAGAGGAACCGGATTGGGCTATGAACTTGGAATTATGCGACATGATCAATCAGGAGAAGATCAACAGCGTTGATTTGATCCGCGGGATCAAGAAGAGGGTAATGATGAAGCAGCCGAGGATCCAGTGCCTTGCCTTGGTTCTGCTTGAGACATGTGTTAAGAACTGCGAGAAAGCCTTCGCTGAGGTTGCTGCTGAAAGAGTCCTCGATGAAATGGTTAAGCTGATTGATGATCCGCTAACCGTCGTGAATAACCGGAATAAAGCCTTGGCTCTGATCGAAGCCTGGGGGGAATCAACCAGTGAACTCCGCTACTTACCAGTTTTCGAAGAAACTTACAAGGTTTGGTCTTCTTAACCAGTTTGGGTTATACTTTATCACTCTACTATCTTGCTAAAGTCTTCCAAATCAGGAGCCTTTTAGCTTGAATTGTTTTTCTGGTAAAGTAAAATGCCTTTGTTGCAATTCTGTAGAGCCTAAAATCAAGAGGTATCCGCTTCCCTGGGCGTGACAACGAGAGCTTGGCGCCTATTTTCACCCCTCCTCGGTCAGAAGTGGACAGCAGTAATGTTGCTGAGCATGCACATGTGCAGTATAGTGCTCCTCCTGTACAAAGCTTCACCGTGGAGGAGACAAAAGAAGCTTTTGATGTTGCGAGGAACAGCATTGAACTTCTTTCAACGGTTTTGTCCTCTTCACCTCATCAGGAAGCTTTACATGTAATCCAACTCTAAAGATTCTATTATGATATGATATTTGCGCAAATAATTCATTTTGATGTGGTAAAGGTTTCCTTTTTTTAGGATGATGACTTGACAATTACACTAGTACAACAATGTCGTCGATCCCAAACCACGGTACAAAGGATTATCGAGACATGTGGAGAAAGCGAAGCACTTTTATTCGAAGCCTTGAATGTAAACGATGAGCTTGTGAAAACGCTTTCCAAGTATGAAGAGTTGAAGAAACCTTGTGCTCCGTTAGCTGCACCAGAGCGAGCTATGATTCCTGTGGCTGATAACTCTGCCAATCACGCAAAAGCTCATGGGAGCGGAAGCAGCAGCGATGACATGATGATGGACGATCTCGATGAGATGATATTTGGTAAGAAAGGATTTGGTCATTCTTCATCTGATGCTGCCACTGGGAGTGACTCGAAGAAGCAGCAGTCGTCCAAAAATGACGATCTCATTCGATTCTGAGATGGTTTATTTTTTCTTAGTGAGAAAACTATAGTGGATTGGTGTTTGATCTTTAGTTAAATTTGAACATATTTTCGATTTATTGGCTCATTAGTTATAATAATTCAAAAGTTTGGTTATGAATCAACCAAGCTAGGAATATATATCTAATATATGTTTATGTACCGACTATTACATACACGTCAATACTTTATTTAGAGGGATAAACTAGTAATATAGTTTTCCTTCTTCTTTTTGTTTTGTTGGAATGATTATATTTTTTTTCCCTTTTCTAACTCATTATTAATCAGTGTGTACATGCGCTTATTCATAAATCATGTATGATCTTTAACCTAAATTAGTTAAATGGTTGTTGCATCTTACTCATGGTAGAAACACTAGTACACTTTTTTGAGTCTGCAAATAAACTTGCTAAAAATACAAAGATAATAAACTAGCGGAATCACTATGATGGATAAATTGAAAACTGAATAAATTCAAAACGCTAAAAAGTTAGTATCTATAAGATGAATGGATTATCCTCTAAACTAGTTATAAATTTAAAACGTGCGGATTAGTTTAGAAAATAGCGTGTTACTTTTCACTTTTCACGTTTAGAAAATAGGGGGTTCATCATCAGGTGGATTTCTTGACATCGATAGTAAACATGTGAAAATGAATACAAGATGAGAGATATACATAGCCACTGGAATTCCTTCTCCGGGTCAAAAACCGGTGGAATATAAAAAAAATGCCTAGAAGCCAAACAATCAACACAAATACTTTAAAAGGATTTTTAAAAAAAAAAATTATAAATCTATTAAAATCCAATAACCAATAATCTCACGTAGACACATTTGATTTAAATAAATTGATCTTAGCCAAAAAGATAACTACTGTATCTTTCTCAAGACAAAACTAAAAGTCTAAAACCATAAATTATATCTCATATATACAATATATGAGTTTTAGCAATTCCTATTAAATTATGTATATATCATCTACAAAATAAATAAAACATATATAGAAACATATTATTATATGTTTTTAAAATTGGAAACAAAAAATAATACTACGTACTATACTTAACTACTTGCAACAATACATAATCTGGAGACTTTAAGTCGCATATCAACACAAGACCCTATAAGGCTGTAACCGATCTCAATGCATTAATGCTTTATGGATTTGAAATGGCTACAAATCTCAACATTAAAAGCTTCATACCCTATAAATATCCTATAAAACATTTGGCCGAATCAAACACTCTTTAAAATTTTTGATTTGAATTGCTCAGAATTATCTCAAGTCAAATATTCTTCGTATGTACTAACCCCATTGAAATTAATGGAGAGGCAAGAGGAGTTAGGAAATGTTCCGAGATGGGAGAAGATGGATAAAGACATACTTTCAAACATTTTCACGAAGCTCGACGTAGTGAACGTTATCATGGGAGCATCACGAGTGTGCATCACTTGGTTCCTTGCCTCTCACAACAAAACCATATGGAACACCATCAAACTCAACGATATTGATTCCATCATTTTTGATAACCCCTATGGGCCTTATATGCAGGATAATGATAGAGAAAGACATCGGTACCAACTTAAGAAGATCTTGATTGAGATCAACAAATTCGGCCGTACTGTCCCGGCAAACTTCTTCTTCAACGTATTTTCCTATGTAGTAGAAGAGGATCTCGCGATCATTTCTAAGGGGTACGTAAAACTCTGTCTATTCTTACAGTAATTCATTTCACTATTGGACTCTCCGTGGAATTAAAAATTTAAAATCCTAAAAATCGCTTTTTTTTTTTTTTTTTTTTTTTAAGGATGCCAAACATCCGAAAACTTGCGTTACCAATGTGGAAAAATCTAAGTCTGAATTCAATTCAGTCAGCATTTAGTAAATGGAAGAATCTCCTCTTATGCCTGTATAGAAGCATCAAAATCGCTCATCATCGGTCTTCCAAACCTCGAGGTTTTTAATCTTTCACATTGTATTTATACGCAACCGAATGGGGCCTGTGACGGTCAGACGTTTGTTGTATTAGGAATGAGACCTAAGGAAGAACTTTTACAAATCGGCACTCATAAGCTCGACAGATTCCTGGTGTGTTGTTCGGACTGCACAATTTGCCAAGATGTGTGGGATCATATGAATAGTCCTAATCGTCGTGACCCCAAGTTTTGCAATATTCGGGAGGAAAAGTGGAAAACTGACGAGATAAAGGAATTAGAGTTTTGAACATTAAAAAAAAAGATTATCTTATACTCCAGCTTTGTTTAAAATAACCAAATGTTTCTTCTTATAAAAACTTCAATGCATTTTGAAATACTTTTTTTTTATTGCAAATGCTTTAAATTGGTTACTACCATATCAATCTATATATAATAACAAACTGAAAAAATGCTAATTACATTTTGAAAAATTATGTCCCTTTAAAATTTATGATTGTGTCTTTTAATTATAAATAGTTGCATATTTTCACAATAAATTGTTGCATTTTTTCACCAACTATAATTTGTGTCTTTTCAAATATATTTATATTGCTCAAAACCACATGAAAAATCATTTGGATCTAACTTTTACTTTTTTACCATAGTGAGTTTTTTTTTGTCGTAAACTTGTTTATTTATCATAATATATTATCAAGATACAAATTGTTTAAAAAACTTGAAAGTTCAGATATTAAATTTGAGTAAAAGATTTTATTTGAAGGTCCAATTTTAGCTAAATGTGAGCAGTTTTATTACAAAATTGTTTTACATTCATTACATCAGAAAAATAAAATCTTCAACTAAAATCTAATGATATTTTTATTATAAAGAAACTATAAGTGTTTTACTTACTGATATATATTATGTTATTTATTTTTTTGTTAACAATCCGAATAAATGCCATTTACACTTTAAAAAGTTGTGTCGTTTCAAAATTTGTGATTGCGTCTTTTCATTATGAATGGTTACATTTTTTCATTACAAATGATTGCATTTTTTCATTACAACTGCTATTTATTTCTTTTCAAAACTATTTAAATTGCACAAAATTACAGAATAAAATTATTTGGGTCTAACTTTTACTTTTTTACTATGGTGAGTTTTTTTTTGTCGTAAACAATCCGAATAAATGCTACTTATACTTTAAAAATTTGTGTCATTTCAAAATTTGTGGTTGTGTCTTTTTATTATAAATGATTGCATCTTTTCATTATAAATGGTTGCGTTTTTTCATCAGACTGTTATTTGTGTTTTTTTCAAAATTACTTATATTGCTCAAAACCACAGAAAAAATTATTTGGATCTAATTTTTATTTTTTTACTATAGTGGGCTTTTTTGTCGTAAACTTATTTATTTATCATGACATATTATCGGGATACAAAGTGTTTAAAAATCCTGGAGGTTCAGATATTGAATTTGAGTAAAAAATTTCATTTGGGAATCTAATTGTGGCTAAAATATGATAAATTTCATTACAAGATTGTTTTATATATATTATATCAGAAAAATAAAATTTATTCAACCAAAATCTAATGATATTTTTATTATAAAGAAATTATATGTATTTTGTTTACTAATATATTATGTTATTTAAATATTTTTGTTAACATCTATATATTTGTAGTTAATTGTGTTATTTTCAAGTTTTAATATTCTTTGTTAGTTGTTTATAAATTTAAAGTACCTAATATTTCGATTCTTTTTTCTAATTTCATAGAAATATATTTATGTATAACAAATTCACATATATTTTATATATGTATTTTTAAGGTATCAAAGTTTTTTTATATATTTTAACTAATATATTTGTAATATACCTTTTTAATATTGCAAATATTTTTAGAAACTGTGGTAGTCTTAGAAAATATATTATAAAATCTCATTACATCATTTTATTATGTATATTTCCTGTAGTATTTTTTTTTTAAAATATCAAAGTTTTATCATAATTCTTTGTTTCTAGCTTTTTAATACTAAATGTATAGTTTTATAAACTATTTTTTGAAAGATTGCCTTATTTATTTTTTACTTTACACTTTTATGCAAATATAAATTTTCAATAATTATACAAATAGAAGATCGCATATTTATATGATATATTTTTATATTGTATATTTTCATATATAACTTTTAAAAACACTTAAAAAGTTGTATATCTTATTACTTTTTAGTTTTTTTATTTGTTCTATTAATAATTAATAATAACAATTGTATGAAAATTTATATATATTTATCATAATTAGTTTGTATATTTCCATTTAGAACTTATTATTAATAATTAAAAAAAATAAAAAATAATTTTTTTATTTTAATAATTATAAATTGTTTTAAATAGTTACATTTTTATTATATATATTTTACTTATAATTATTTTAAATAAATTTCTATTAATTTTTAATATACTGTATATTGACTTCGCGAAGCGGAGATCCTGTTCCTAGTTATACAAATACAAGTTGCGAAACTGTGTGATACGTTTAGGCTTTGTCTATCTTGCGCGCTTGATACTATCTTACGCACTTACTTTCTAACACCTCGTTAGTTGCTATCTTATCCACTCTAATCGTCTGCTATCTTACGCACTCATGACGTGAACGGTTTGATTAGAATCCTCACACTCCCGTTCTGTCTCGGCTGGGAAGAGTTCCATCGGTCGCTGCTATTTTTCCCTCCTCACTCGAACGATTCTCCGAGTAACTGACTAATTGATCGATTTCGGATCGAAGAATCACATCTTTCAATGCCTGGGAAGCTGCACAATCGTCATTCATCCAGCAGATGTAACTTGAGGTTCCCAATTCTCGCTCCCGTCTTCGTCGTCTCTCTTCTCTTCACCTGCTACGCGTTCTTTCCGTCCGCCAGGCCCTCGATTACCTATTCGGACCATACGGCGCGGGCGGAGAGGTCCTTCGTCGCTTCATTGGAGCATTTTTTGACACATAAGGCGCCGAAGCTCTCGTTACCGGTTACAGATGACACGGTGCGTGGTGAGAGTGAGCATCTTGCTAGGGAGCTCGACGATTTGGTGTTTGAGAGAGAGATTCGGTTGTTGAACGAAGATCCCGTGGGGTTCCCGGTTAAGGTCTACGTCTACGAGATGCCGAGGAAGTTTACTTACGATCTTCTTTGGTTGTTTCACAATACTTACAAAGAGACTTGGAATCTCACCTCTAATGGCAGCCCTGTGCATCGCTTAATCGAGCAGGTAACACGGCGTTGAATCATCATCCTGCTTGATTCATTTGGCTGATTAACAACCTTTTCTAAATTGCAGCATTCTATTGATTACTGGCTCTGGGCTGATCTGATTGCTCCTGAATCTGAAAGGCGTTTGAAAAGTGTTGTGAGGGTCCATCAGCAGCAGGATGCGGACGTTTTCTATGTTCCGTTTTTCACTACAATCAGCTTCTTCTTGTTGGAGAAGCAGCAATGCAAAGCACTCTATAGGGTGTGAGTGAGATTCAAGCTACAATTACATTTTCTTTTCGATCGAATGTGTTTTGTTACTTTCTAGTCCTCATCTCCAAGTGCCTTTTTTTTTTCTCTGGAAAATGTTAGGTTGAGCTAGTGTGTTTGAAATCATATTCTTAATCAACTATGAACTTTCTGAAGAAATTTGGTTCCACCCACTGTCCATTGTTTGTAACTCAAATGCTGTTTAGTGATTTGTTACTGACTACTGAAGGTCGATTCAAGTTAAACTTGCCTCAATAATTGCCTTGGAAGAATATGGAATTTGGGTCTTTACTGTTGACGTTTTGGCCATTTATTAACTGTAGGAAGCTCTGAAGTGGATCACTGATCAGCCTGCATGGAAAAGATCTGAGGGAAGGGACCACATATTTCCTATTCACCATCCCTGGTCTTTCAAGTCTGTCCGCAAATATGTGAAAAACGCAATCTGGCTTTTGCCTGATCTGGACTCCACTGGGAACTGGTGATTATAGATTTCCTTCCATACTTTTCTAAGTGATAGAGAATGCTATTTTTAGATATACTTGTCTGATTTCTGTTGAATTTGACAACGTAGGTACAAGCCTGGGCAAGTTTCGCTGGAGAAAGATCTGATTCTTCCTTATGTCCCCAATGTGGATCTTTGCGATGCCAAGTGCCTGTCAGAGAATTCATCAAAGAGGACCACTCTTCTTTTCTTCCGAGGCCGACTTAAGAGGAACGCTGTGAGATTCATGCTATCTCCAGCTCTATCCCTTTTCCTTGCTTAGTATTCTCTATATAAAGTCCACTCCATTTCGTTGGATAGAATTGATGCTTTAAAATTAGGAGTCGCTTTGTTATATCATTCAGGCGATCTTCCTTTTTCATGCTCTGACAATTTTATTGTTTTCCCATTCTAGGAAGATTACTTTGTTAAACGAGGAACCTGATTTATATTCTTAGTTATCCTTAACCTTATTATATGATGTCAATTTATTCTCTGTCTTACTAATGGAGTCGTAGAATGATTTTTGTAGGGAGGGAAAGTGCGTGCCAAACTCGGCGCAGAGTTAAGCAGTGCTAAAGATGTGATCATCACAGAGGGAACTGCTGGAGATGAAGGGAAATTGGCTGCTCAAAAGGGCATGCGCAGGTAAAATCTGAGTCGTTTTGTGATCATTTCTGTGGTTCCTGACATCTCCTTATAACTATGTGTAACTTGTATCAGATCGTTGTTTTGTCTGTGTCCTGCTGGTGACACACCATCTTCTGCGAGGCTGTTTGATGCAATCGTCAGTGGATGCATACCAGTTGTTGTCAGCGATGAGTTGGAGTTACCTTTCGAAGGACTGCTTGACTACAGGAAGGTATGTCTGAAATCTCCCTTACCCTGATGCTGTCTGATACCCGGACTCATGATATCGGTGTTTGTTGCACCATAATGCTTAGGAATCATCATTATTTGTTATCCTGTTTCTCTTACCACCATCGAGAGCAATCTAGAACACACAATTTTTTCCTTGAAAAGTTGTGAAACAGGAAAAAAATTAATGATGACTCCTAGGTATTATTGTGCAACATGTGAGTGTAATTATTGTCTCACCAAAGTCGCATATGTGCTCCACTTTCACATCACATTGGTGTTTGGTAGATGCATATGCTGTGAAGTGGGATCAAACAGCTACCTTTTTTTTGTGTATATGAGAACAAGAGTTTCTATAGCTCTTTTCTCATCTCTCCTTATACTTATCTCTCAGATTGCTGTGATTGTTTCTTCGGGTGATGCTACCCAGCCTGGGTGGCTTTTGAATCATCTGAGAAGTCTTAGTCCCTCCCACATCAAAGGATTACAGAAGAATCTAGCTCAAGTAAGCAAATATTTTTCTTCACCCTTCAACAAAATCCAATTCTGAAAAAAATGTTTGGAACCCGGTTTCATAGCTCCCCACACGGAAAATCCAGTGAAATAAGTTGTTTACATATTGTTTGCAGTACTCGCGGCATTTCCTATATTCGAGCCCTGCTCAGCCTTTAGGTCCAGAGGACTTGACATGGAGAATGGTGTGTAGCTTGTTGACATGATTGTTTTTTGTTAATTTCAAGACAAATTTTTTTTGACGTTGTTGTTGGAAAATTCAGATATCAGGAAAAGTGGTAAACATGAAACTTCACACGAGGAGGTCGCAGCGAATGGTGAAAGGAAGTAGGAGTATTTGCAGATGCGATTGTTGGCAATCCAATTCCACACTCTCCAATCCTTTGACTCATGTCTTATCTTAGAGACCCAATTCAATTTTCCTTTATGTTTTTTTTTCCCGATTTCAACTTTGATTCGAGTTTTGTGGTTAGGAAATACGTATATTATGAGACTTTGTTTACTACATATTGGTTGTTTAGTGATTTATTTTTTAGGATAGGTTTGAAATATACGTATTTCCTTCTGTTTATAAAACAATACTAATATTTGTTTTACCATAACATGATATATCCAAAAATACCCCCAACTTGCGCACCTCTTCTCTCTTCTCTCACTGGAAATTGCCCTAACTTTTTTTTTTTTTTAGTCTTTTGGGCGTGTTTTACCTTCACAGTCCCAAGCCTCCACTTGCTCTTGTTTGTTGGTGGATTCCTATTAGGTTTTGTACAGAGAAGATGGATCTGTTGAGCAGTCTACCAGACGAGGTTCGTTCTCACATATTATCGTTGCTTACCACAAAGGAAGCTGCTTTAACATCGCTTCTCTCAAAGAGGTGGCGCAATCTGTTTGCACTTGTCCCCAATCTCGACATTGACGACTCTGCCTTTCTTCATCCGGAAGAGGGTAAGCTCAAAAGAGACGGAGTTGTGCAGAGCTTCATGGATTTTGTGGATTGAGTATTGGCTCTGCAGGGTGATTCTCCAATCAAGAAATTCTCCCTCAAGTGTAAAGATGGCGTCGATTCAGCAGCGTGGCGTTTCTGAGCTTAATCTTTCCATGGATTTCCCTGCGTATTATTATTACACTCTGCCTGAAGAGTTGTCCGTCAGCAGTAGGCTAGTGAAGCTGAAACTAGCTAGTGGATTTGATGTTCATTGGTGGGCTAGATGTGAAAGCACTTGCTTACCAATGCTCAAAAGCCTTTGCATCCAGTCGGAGAGGGTTTTCTTCGAGGACGAGATTGAGATGCTTCTTCCTTGTCTCCCTGTGCTCGAGGAACTAGAAATCGCTAATATGGAACGGATGGATTTGGATGTAACCGTGTCAAGTGCAACACTCACCAAGCTAGTTTTCGTCGTCGTCGGCGCCAAGAGCTATCGAAATCCAAAGCGCGTTTGTTTTGATACTCCAAAATCCAAATCTGCTTTCCTTAGCCTACTCTGATTTATTTGCGGAGGACTATCCATTAGTTAATATGGAAAAACTAGTCGAGGCTCGAGTCGCCCTTCGAGCTAATGATGATCAGATCAAGCGAGTAAGAGCGCCAAGCAATGATGATGTTGTTCTCTAGTTTGGCAATGTTGTGAAGCTCATGAATGGCGTACGAAATGTTGAGAGACTTATCTTGTGTGCTGCTACTTTCGAGGTCAGTTTTTTGTATTTTCTTCGTTATAGCTAAATCTGTGATGTGACAAAATAACTGTCTTGATTTTCAGGTGCTTTCTCTATGCTGTGAATCGGTGCCCCTGTTCAACAACCTCAGAACGTTAGTTGTTCACAGTGAAGAGTGTCGAGGATGGCAAGCAATGCCAGTTCTTTTGAGGAATTGTCCACATTTACAAACTCTAACCACCGAGGTGGGATTAATGAACCATGTAAGTACACGTTTTCAAAGATGCACTTGAAATAATACTTATTGTCTCTCGTTTCTGCTTTCAGAGTCTCGTGCACCATGTCACAGATAAATGCGGGGATGCTTGTGACTGCATCTACCGCAAGGACAAAGGCCCGCGCGCTCGCGTCTTGCCCAGTAAAAGAGTTAGTGATTACAGGGTTTACAGGGACAATGAGGGAGGTGAACATGATAGAGCATTTCTTGGACTATTTTCCGTGTTTGAAGGAGGTGAAGTTCTATATTGAAGAGAATGTTCCTGTAGAGCTTCTAAACGACGCTGCGGGTATCCTGGAGATGATACAAGAGTACAACAGCTCATATAGTTGCAATGTCAGGCTCTTTCTTGGTTAGGACGTGGACTGGACAATCAAAGTCTCTGAAATCACCCAGGTTCTACATGCTCAACTTCACCCAACCTACGAGTTTCTTGGTCATATATTGTCAAGTCTCAAAGGCTGTTGACTTGTTCTTGTTAATGTTAAGTTCGATTTTCATTTATGTACATATCGGTTCGACCAAGTCGTTTAGTGGTTTGTTCGCTAGTACATTTCCTTCTGATTTTTTGTTTATCATCTTAAACTATATTTAATTGGTGTTTACTTGCTCCCCATGACACTTGCGTGATTGACGTTTTTGACGGACGGTGTATATAGAAGAACGGGTACACGCTAATTCAACCTAATATTGCGACCACAAAAAAACTTTTAACATAAATATATAATTCTATTGACAATAACCAAAATACCCCTGACTTCCGCGTTCATCATCCCATGAATTTCCCAAAATATCCTCCTCTTCCCCTTTTTTTCCTTCTTTTAACAATTACATCGAACGCGTTACATATATATAAACTTTTTTTTGTTCAACGCGTTACATAAATAAATACTAATTTCTAACATATTTTCTTAATTTTCTCTTACCTTGTCCGAAAACCTCACAGCTCAAAAAAGAATACCAAAAGGTAAAAAGAAAATCAATCTCCGCCGGTTTCCTCTCTCGCCGGGGTTTTGACAGTCGTCGTCACTGTTACAGCCTCGAAACCTTACTATTTCAGTAAAAAAAAAAAAAATCAAGGAACAGAGATCTTTCGATCTTCATCCATTCTCTCTTCTCCATTTTTGATGTGTATATATATATATATTTTTTTAATTTCTGTAAGATCTCTGAATAAAAAAATGAGGTCGTCGTTGCCATCATAACGTGTATTCGTAAAGCAGTAGTAGTGCTGATGTATTTGGTCACGACTAAGTCCCTTCCTCGTCTCTTCTTCTTCTTCTTCTTCTCCTTCCTTCTCTGACTCTCTCAAATGCCCATAACCAGTTTGGGCAACACGATTCCTTGAGAGAAGATTTGTTAAATTAACAAAGCGTTTTCTTCTCCTGCTAAACCATCTGGGGAAGATCTGAAGCTTACCCTTCCTCTGTTACAGACTCTCAGGTAACATAACATCCTCGATTCATTGTTATCCTTGTATCAGTTTGTCTTACAATCAGGAATGAGAAAGCGTCAGAGTTCGATTTCTGAGATTTGGATTTTGATTTTGATGGGAAGAAATATCTTTGGGAAAATGAGTGTTTATAAATATTTCTGATTTTGAAAGTTTGAAATTGAGCTAGTGAGTTAGATTTTCCCTCTTTTAGCTTCAGATTCTCTTTTGGTGGGGTTATGAAACAATGATCATTGTCTTTTTGATGATATATGTAAAATTATGATCTGTTCAAGCCTAGATCTAGTGAAGATCTCTTTAATTTTTTGATTATGCTCGAGTTAATATTCAGAAAGCTGTGTGATCTGTGAGGGTATGACTTGAAGATTTAACCATTATTACTTTTGCTTTTTTTTTTCTCTCAGGGATCTGCCGGCTACAAGTCCGGTGGATATTGATATTTATTAGACGATGACGTCTAATAATCATTTCACAAACAGTCGATCCAATCTATCAACAAACTCCGATGCTGCTGAAGCCGGGAGGCACCAGCAAGCTGTGCCTCCCTCCGTGACATTTGCCCGGAGGACTTCCTCTGGACGCTATGTCAATTACTCTCGAGATGATCTCGATAGCGAACTCGGAAGTGTTGACTTCACAAACTACACGGTCCACATTCCGCCAACTCCGGATAACCAGCCCATGGATCCGTCCATCTCTCAAAAGGTGGAGGAGCAGTACGTGTCGAGCTCCTTGTTCACAGGCGGCTTCAACAGCGTGACTCGTGCTCATCTTATGGACAAAGTGATTGACTCGGAGACCAGCCACCCGCAGATGGCGGGCGCGAAAGGCTCGTCCTGCGCGATCCCGGGCTGCGATGTGAAGGTGATGAGCGACGAGAGAGGCCAAGATCTTCTTCCTTGTGAATGCGATTTCAAAATCTGTAGGGATTGCTTTGTGGATGCCGTGAAAACGGGCGGCGGTCTGTGCCCCGGGTGCAAGGAGCCTTACAGGAACACGGATTTGACGGACTTGGCTGACAACAACAAGCAGCAGCAACGGCCTATGCTCCCTCCACCGTCGGGTGGCTCAAAGATGGAGAGAAGACTGTCGTTGATGAAGTCGACTAAGTCCGGTTTGATGAGGAGCCAAACCGGGGATTTTGATCACAACAGGTGGTTGTTTGAGACCAGTGGGACTTATGGCTACGGAAATGCTTTCTGGACAAAAGACGGGAATTTCGGGAGTGAGAAGGACGGTGGTGGCCACGGCATGGGGCCGCAGGATCTGATGAGCAGACCCTGGAGACCGCTTACTCGGAAACTGCAGATTCCTGCAGCTGTTATTAGTCCTTACAGGTGACAAAGCTTGTTCATTATTCAAAAAATGCCGTAATTTTTTTTTCAAAAACTTTCACTCACACACATTTGAATTTTTCTGGTGCAGGCTTCTGATATTTATCCGAATTGTTGTTCTTGCGCTGTTCTTGATGTGGAGGATTAAGCACAAAAACCAAGATGCGATATGGCTGTGGGGGATGTCTGTTGTTTGTGAGCTTTGGTTCGCCTTTTCATGGCTACTTGATCAGCTTCCAAAGCTTTGCCCGATTAACCGAGCTACGGATCTCAATGTTCTTAAAGAAAAATTCGAGACGCCTACTCCGAGCAACCCCACCGGGAAATCTGATCTCCCGGGACTCGATATGTTTGTATCCACAGCAGATCCGGAGAAAGAACCTCCTCTTGTCACTTCCAACACCATTCTATCGATTCTCGCTGCTGACTACCCTGTCGAAAAGCTTGCTTGCTATGTTTCAGACGATGGAGGAGCGCTCTTGACATTTGAAGCCATGGCTGAAGCGGCGAGTTTTGCAAACATGTGGGTTCCTTTCTGTCGCAAACACAATATCGAGCCGAGGAATCCGGACTCATACTTCAGTCTGAAAAGAGATCCTTACAAGAACAAGGTGAAGGCTGACTTCGTCAAGGATCGGAGACGGGTGAAGCGTGAGTATGATGAGTTCAAGGTTAGGATCAACAGCTTGCCTGACTCGATCAGGCGCCGTTCTGATGCTTATCACGCCAGGGAAGAGATTAAGGCCATGAAGCTGCAGAGACAGAACAGAGACGATGAGATTGTAGAGCCAGTCAAGATTCCTAAAGCTACATGGATGGCTGATGGTACTCATTGGCCTGGAACTTGGATAAATTCTGGTCCTGATCATTCTCGTAGTGACCATGCCGGTATCATTCAGGTACCTTTCGGTTCAGCTCATATTTGTTTGGTTTGGAGCATTCACTCTATTCATAACTGAATTGGAACCGGACTATGATTCGGTTTTGGTTTGGCAAATTTTGGCTTGGTTCAGTTTATATGCCAGCTCTAAGATCAATGTTTTTTAAAATTTTGATGAATGCAGGTGATGTTGAAGCCGCCGAGTGATGAGCCGTTACATGGAGTATCTGAAGGGTTCTTAGATCTTACAGATGTGGACATTCGTCTTCCGCTTCTTGTCTATGTTTCGCGTGAGAAGCGACCTGGTTATGATCATAACAAGAAAGCAGGAGCCATGAATGCGCTGGTCCGAGCTTCTGCAATCATGTCCAACGGTCCATTTATACTGAATCTTGACTGTGATCATTACATCTACAACTCTCAGGCTTTGAGAGAAGGAATGTGTTTCATGATGGATCGAGGCGGTGACCGGCTTTGCTACGTTCAGTTCCCGCAACGGTTCGAAGGTATTGACCCATCGGATCGGTATGCTAATCACAACACTGTCTTCTTTGATGTGAACATGAGAGCTCTTGATGGTTTGATGGGTCCGGTCTATGTGGGAACTGGTTGTCTCTTCAGAAGAATCGCCTTGTACGGATTCGACCCGCCTCGGTCTAAAGAACACCATCCCGGATGCTGCAGCTGCTGCTTCCCTCGCAAGAAGAAGAAGAGCCGTGTTCCCGAAGAAAACCGATCTTTGAGAATGGGTGGTGACTCGGATGATGATGAAGAGATGAATCTTTCTTTGGTTCCGAAGAAATTTGGAAACTCCACTTTCCTCATCGATTCAATCCCCGTCGCCGAGTTCCAAGGTCGCCCTCTTGCGGATCACCCGGCTGTGCAGAACGGGAGACCTCCGGGCGCTCTCACCATTCCTCGCGAGCTTCTCGATGCATCCACCGTGGCAGAAGCCATTGCTGTCATCTCCTGTTGGTATGAGGATAAAACCGAGTGGGGATCTCGGATCGGTTGGATTTATGGTTCTGTAACGGAGGATGTGGTCACAGGCTATAGAATGCATAACCGAGGCTGGAAATCGGTTTACTGCGTGACGAAACGGGACGCATTCCGTGGCACAGCTCCGATCAACTTGACGGATAGGCTTCACCAGGTCCTCCGATGGGCCACTGGCTCGGTGGAGATCTTCTTCTCGAGAAACAACGCCTTCCTCGCAAGCCCGAGGATGAAAATCCTCCAGAGAATCGCTTACCTAAACGTTGGAATCTACCCTTTCACGTCCATCTTCCTCATCGTCTACTGCTTCCTCCCCGCGCTCTCCCTCTTCTCAGGCCAGTTCATAGTGCAAACACTCAATGTCACATTCCTCATCTACCTCTTAATCATCTCCATCACGCTCTGCTTGCTCGCTCTCCTCGAGATCAAATGGTCAGGAATCTCACTCGAGGAATGGTGGCGAAACGAGCAGTTCTGGCTCATTGGAGGAACAAGCGCTCATCTAGCCGCGGTTATCCAAGGACTGCTCAAAGTGGTCGCCGGGATCGAGATCTCGTTCACACTGACGTCTAAATCCGGAGGAGACGATGTAGACGACGAATTCGCGGATCTCTACATTGTGAAGTGGACATCGCTTATGATCCCACCCATCACAATCATGATGGTGAATCTAATCGCGATCGCGGTCGGGTTCAGCAGGACCATTTACAGTGTGATTCCGCAGTGGAGTAAGTTGATCGGAGGAGTGTTCTTCAGTTTCTGGGTTTTGGCTCATCTTTATCCTTTTGCTAAAGGGCTTATGGGGAGAAGAGGAAGGACTCCGACCATTGTCTATGTCTGGTCCGGACTTGTTGCCATCACCATTTCTCTGCTTTGGGTCGCCATTAATCCTCCTGCTGGTTCTACTCAGATTGGAGGATCTTTCACTTTCCCATGATTATATAGGTTTGGTTTCTCAAAAAATTTATAATCTTTGGATATCAAAAACTCAAATCTCTACATAATGTATTGTTTACATTTGTTTGTAAGATTCTTTCCTCGGTCCACAGATGTGAGTCTTGCAAGAGACTGATAGATTTAAAAAGCTGGAGACAGAGATCGGCCAAGAACACAAAGTATAGTTGAGTCAAACATAGGGCAAGTCAAGAACTTCTCTCAGTATTTTCTTTTCTTTTCTTTTTTTTGCTGGAAAAGGACATTTTTTTATGTGTCTTTATAATTTTGTAATCTTTGATATGTTGATGGAATTATTTATGCTTCTACTGTTAATCTATGGTATTCCATTTTTATTCATCTAATTGGACCAGTCTTTTTTTCATTTCCACCAACTGCTTTAGATAGATATCTGAGAGGATTACAAAATTAAAATACATAGCGCATTAAACGGGTCGGGTTTTCGGGTTACATATCCAAAGTCGACCCGTAACCTAACTCCGTAAATTAGCCCATTATATTTTTGTCCCGCCGAAACCCTACCAAAACCTTGACATTTGAGAAGCTTCTCTCTACGGGGTTTCTATGGCAACAGATATCTCGGCTTGGAATTTCTTCTTCTCCAAGCCAATTTCTTCTACATAATTCAATTTTTACTCGCTGCATTCTCGAATCCGGAAGAATCCTAAAGTCTCGTCATGGCTCAGAAATGTGCGATTGGTTTAATTTCAGCCCTAGCCGCTTCGGCTTCTCTTTCGCAATCGAAAGTCGCTGCTGCAGACGGTACTTTCACTTTCCCTGGATTTTCTACTTCTCCTTCGCCTTCGCCTTCTGCGAATCCTCAGCAGCAGGCTGCTTCTCCTCCGCCGTCGACGGCTGGTACTGAAGCTTCTGCTCCTCCGCGGGCTCGGAATGATAACCCGAGGACGAGTTCCGGTGGTTTCGATCCGGAGGCGCTGGAGCGAGGAGCTAAAGCCTTGAAGGAGATCAACAAATCCTCTTACGCCAAAAAGGTGTTCGTGTTTTCCTTATGTAGTTAGGGATTTTGTGTTTGATCTTCTCTGAAACAATCGCTTAGATTTAGGAAACGCTACATAGGAATTTCTCTACCAGATAAGAGTTATATCTACTGAATCTTCGTTTAGGGGAGGAAAAGCTGGTAAAATGGATTCTCTCTAGGTTATAAATGATTAAGCTAATAGAGCTGGGTTTGAGCTTGGAGGTTTTTAATAGCAGATCCCTCTGTCGAATCTCAGAATCGTTCTCCTTCTGTGTTTTTATAAGTTGTGCTTGGCTCACAGTTGATTTGTGTGTTTGTTTCTTTCAGGTTTTTGAAAGTATCAAGCAGCAAGAAGAGACAAAGCAAACTGAGTTTGCAGCCAAGGCGCAGGAGTTTAAAGCTTTGCTAGCCCAATCTGAAACTGTGAGAACTACAAACTTTATAGCTTATTATCCGATGTTTATATGATTTTGTGGGCGTTACAACTATGGCTACCTAATAGAAATTAGTTAGCAAATGCAGCGTACAGATTAGCAAAGCCGAAAATAGTGTCCTGTGTAAAAAACTGCTTCCACTACTACAGCCATTAGTGATCACTATGAGACACTTTGTATGCACCAGTTCATTATTCGGGTTAGATGTTTCTTGGCAGCAAAATTGTGTGCCTTACATTTTCCATTTTTGCAGGAGAGGCATAAGGTCATATATGATGAACAGAAGAAACTTGCTCAGCACCAAGCACAGACGAAATCGCAGATGGCCCGTTATGAAGATGATTTGGCAAGAAAGAGGATGCAGGCATGCGACTTTCATTACAATCTTATAGAACATATGGAGTTTCTTTTATTAGTTCTAACAACTTTTGTTGTGTATATCGTTTTACAGGCTGAGAATGAGTTTCATAGAGCAAGAAATCAAGAACTTGTCAAAATGCAAGAAGAATCGGCAATCAGGCAGGAACAAGCTCGACGAGCTAGTGAGGAACAGATCCAGGCACAGAGGCGACAAACTGAGAGGGAGAAGGCTGAGATTGAACGTGAGACAATCAGGGTTAAAGCTATAGCAGAAGCGGAAGGAAGAGCCCATGAAGCAAGGCTTGCTGAAGATGTAAACAGGAGAATGCTTGTTGATCGTGCAAATGCAGAAAGAGAGAAATGGGTTGCTGCCATAAACACTACATTCGACCATATTGGAGGTGTGAGATTTAATTCCATACATGCTGTCTCTGTCGTCGAGTCCCTGTGCATAGCTTGATGCAAAACCAGATAGCACCCATTTTCAGTTTAAATGCTCGTGTGCCATGAATTAGTGATTGATATAGATGTCTGACCTCATAATCTATACACATTGCATTAACATATGGAAGTTCTACATATTTTATTAGGTGTTTGACACTTTAATCTTTTTTCCTAGGCGGGTTGCGTGCAATTCTAACGGATCAAAATAAACTGATTGTTGCTGTTGGGGGTGCCACCGCTCTCGCAGCTGGAATCTACACAACGAGGTAAAGACTTGATATTTTTTCCCTAGGTTGTTGCTGGATAGTTGAGGAAGCAGCTGGGAAATTTCATGATCAGTCAATTGTTCTGCAATATTGAAATCTGATCTTTTTGCCGACCGCTTAATTACCTGTTGCAGAGAAGGTGCAAAGGTTATCTGGAGCTATGTGGACAGAATATTAGGACAACCATCTTTGATCCGAGAATCGTCAAGGGGCAAGTACCCTTGGTCTGGTTCGCTCTCTCGTGCAATGTCCTCATTACGCGGAAAGGAGTCAGCAACCAAAAATGGAAAAGGGTTTGGTGATGTTATTTTGCATCCTTCCCTACAGAAGAGAATTGAACAGCTTGCTAATGCAACCGCCAACACAAAATCGCACCAGGCTCCTTTCCGAAATATGCTTTTCTATGGTCCTCCAGGAACAGGAAAAACAATGGCTGCCAGAGAGCTTGCTCGTAAATCTGTAAGTATTCTTTTTATATTTGTGTGTAAGTTATTGCTAAAAAAAATTATATCATACGACACCCAAATGGACACTGGAGTCTCTAGGATATAAAGTTATGGTGGTCGAGCAGAAGTTGGTTGTTGCTGATTGCATATTGGATTCTCGGGTTTTGTTCCTTGGTCTATTCTTGTTATTCTAACGCTTGTAATTCTTGTAGGGTCTGGATTATGCACTGATGACTGGTGGAGATGTTGCTCCCCTTGGATCTCAGGCGGTTACAAAGATTCACCAACTGTTTGACTGGGGGAAAAAGTCTAAGAGAGGCTTATTGCTCTTCATTGATGAAGCCGATGCATTTTTGTGCGAGTAAGTGTTATGTAACTCGTATCATCATAGTACATGATCTGATAATTTCAGCACTTTGGTTTATGGTATTCATCGCAATTTAAAACAGGAGGAACAAAACGTACATGAGCGAAGCCCAGAGGAGTGCACTAAATGCTCTTCTCTTCCGTACGGGTGATCAGTCCAAAGACATAGTCTTAGCACTTGCCACAAACAGACCTGGTGACCTAGACTCCGCTGTGGCTGACCGTGTCGATGAGGTTCTTGAATTCCCGTTACCCGGAGAAGAAGAGCGATTCAAGCTTCTAAGCCTCTATCTAGAAAAGTACATAGCTCAAGCTGGTCCAAGAAAGCCAGGCTTGTTCGACCGCCTCTTCAAGAAAGAGCAGCAGAAGATCGAAATAAAGGGTGTTACTGAAGAGCTCTTAAAGGAAGCGGCTGCAAAAACCGAAGGGTTTTCAGGTAGAGAGATTGCGAAACTGATGGCGAGTGTTCAGGCAGCTGTTTATGGAAGCGAGGACTGTGTGTTGGACTCCATGCTGTTTAGAGAGGTTGTGGATTACAAAGTTGCAGAGCATCAACAGAGAAGAAAATTGGCTGGAACCGATTCGAAGTGAGATTTAGATACAAGCTAATCAGGTTGGTCTCCTCTTCACACTTTCGGAAAGAGGCAAACAGAAACTGTCCAGTTGTTTCGGAAGTTTAGGCAGAGATTTGAATCCTATTGTTTCTCCTTTTTCGTTAAGGAGAGAGAGGTTTTGTACTGTGTTACTGCTCAGATTTACTTATTTAGCAGAGCCCAAACTATATAACTCGAATAAAACACCCGCCTCACGTTACATTCTGTTTCCCGAAGGCCATACTAACGGGCTTTTGTGGGGCCGATATTATTCACTGTAAAAGTCTTGTTGGGCTCATGATTTGATTTGTTAAGGCCATATTAATTCGAACTAAGCCCAGTAATATCAGTTGTTGGGCTCAAATTTTGATTCGGTTAGCCCAAACAAGTGGGCTTTTGTGGGCCACAAATTTTGATTGGGTAAGCCCAAACTAGTGGGCATTTGTGGGCCGAAACTATTCAAACTAAGCCCAGTAAAATCTTATTGGGCTCGAAATTTGATTAGACAAGCCCAAACTTGTGGGCTTTTTTGGGCCCAAAATTATTCGAACTAAGCCCAGTATAATCTTATTGGGCCAAACTTGTGGGTTTTTGGCCCCAAATTATTCGAACTAAGCCCAGTATAATCTTATTGGGCCAAACTTGTGGGCTTTTTTGGGCCCCAAATTATTCGAACTAAGCCCAGTATAATCTTATTGGGCCAAACTTGTGGGCTTTTTTGGGCCCCAAATTATTCGAACTAAGCCCAGTATAATCTTATTGGGCCAAACTTGTGGGCTTTTGTAGGGCCAAAATTATTCGAACTAAGCCCAGTAAAATCTTATTGGGCTTAAAATTTGGTTGGGTGAGCCCAAATTTGTGGGACTTTATGGGCCTAAAATTATTCGAACTAAGCCCAGTGAAATCAATTTTGGGCTGAAAGTTTGATTGGGTAAGCCCAAACTATGGGCTTTTGTGGGCCCCTAATTATTCGAATTAAGAACAATATAATCTTTTGTTGGAGTCATAATTTGATTTATTTAAGGCCGGCCATGTACTTGCGTACTTTTGTGGGCCCGCAATTATTCAAACCAAGCCCAGAAAAGCCATTACTAAAAGTTAAGAAAAACAGAGCCAAGTCCATTTTTTAAGCTGAGTGGCATGGAAAAGACAGTGAATAGATATAGCCTGATACAACCTGACGCGAGAGAGAGGAGATCAAAACAAGATCACACTTACCTGGCTTTGGTGAAATCTTTTATTACATATGATAGCTGAAGATGACCGAGCATCACAAAAGCGAATACATAAACTTGAAAATGGAATAAAAAGGGGAGAGAGACCAGAGACTTCACATTTAGAATTTGTCTTAGTGATGGTGATCTTGAACGTAACGAAGGCCACAGTACTTGCAAATCGCAGGCTCATCTAGGTCAAGGCATATGAACTCGATTGGATGACCGAGGGCCGGATTGGTGTCTGCAAATTATATCAAAATCATTTTATATATCAATCCCCAGTTTGTGATAATCACAGAATCAAATATCGCGAGCAACTGATGGAAGAGGATAGAAACCTCCTTCACAAGCAGCAATCCTGCCATCAACTTTGATTGGTGGAACCTCATTGATCAGTTCCATTGGTGACTTCTTGCTTCTATCCTGTACAGATAAGTTCCTTCACCATGTTAGTTAAAATTAACACCAGAAAATACATAACACTGCCATAGAGCCTATGCAATGTATACATTTTAATTTCACCAAACAACAAACCACAAGAAATCCCGTTGACACGGGTGCATTCAACTAAGCAGAGCTAGTTGATCTGCTTTTTCACACAAACAAAAAAACCTGATAGCAAAGAGAATTGAAAGCATAAAGGAGAGAACTCAAACGAAGCTGGTGACTAACAAATTTAAAGCTAATTTTAAACTAACGTGGGCAAGTTTTTACCTCACAGTATTCATTAGTGACCAAGACCGTATGATATTAACCTAATGATTTTGATGAGCGAAATGCCATGTAATCGTTAAATGATCTTTTCACTTATCAGACTTGGGAGTTGCAGACTGAGATCACAACAGCATATAATACCACAAATTATTGCACCAGATGTCAAGATAAGTTTCTTCACCATCTTAGGTAAAGAAAAATGTGATCCGCAAATTTCCTAATTTACCACTACTATTTAGCCTATGCAATGCATATCCAGGTTTGAAATTCTCACCAAACAACTAAAATTCTCTAGAAAGGATCAGTTTTCCATGAGAGCAGAGATTCCATCTTTAACTAGGAATAGTATGTGATGAACCATCTCGTTGTAAGCACCCACAAGAAACTCCTATGACACGGGTGCATTCAGCTAACCATGATGTGATTTTTAACACAAACAAAACTTAAAGCTAATTGTAAACTAACATGGGCAATTTTTGACCTCGAAAAATTCATCAGTGAAAGGAACTAATTTCAAGACCGTAGGCTATTAAGCTTATGATTGTGATGATTGAAGTAATGGATAAGGAAAATGCCATGCAATCGTTGAATTATAATTTCACTTACTAGACTCGAGAGTTGCAGAATTCAATCGCAATAGCATATAATACCACAAATTACTGCATCATATTTCAAGCTGATTCCCAAACAATAAGCCATCAAAGATAGTAGACGTTATTGCTCTTCGTTGATGAAGATCCACAAACTATTGCAACAGATGTCAAGGAAGCATGAGAACATTTTCTACTCATATGAAAGCTATCTCGATTGCCTAATTTCATTCTGCTCTAACCCCTTTGGATAATTTATTGTTGTAGCAGTGTAATATGATTAAAAGAGGTCCCAACGAGAATATCTTAGCACATATAGTTTTGATCCATCAACAACATACTCTCCGGGTAAAAACAAAGAAGACGCAGTAATACTGTAGAACAAAAAAAAAGCCCAATGTCCTCAGAATTCAAACAACTTTTAAGCAGATTAAAACAGATATCATGCCTCTATGAATTATGATCCAACATCGGAAAACTTAAATCTTCACTGAATCAAACGACTCACACTAATTGAATGCCAGTAACATCAGTTTCGTGAAACACGAAACCGTGACGAAATTTCAGAGACTACCAATAACGGACGAGCAAATCGTAAACATGCCAAATCGCGATCTAACCCTAGGGGAGATGATCAAGAACAATTCACGCAAATTAGGCCGTTCGCGAAAGAAAAAGAAAACCTAAGTCTCGGAGCAACGAAACTAGGGCTAAAAAAACACCCAAAATCGCCCAGAGTACCTGCATCCATTTGGCGGTGTGATTGCCGACTAGATCGTCTGTTGGAATGCCGAGCTGTGTGGTTGCCACACTAAAATTCCTCCTCGAAGCCGGAAGAATCTGCGATCGGATCAGAGCTTTCAGGAGATTCGACGCCATTTGCTCCTCCAACACCCAAATAATCTGAGCAAGTCTCTGGGAAGACGGATACAACCCGACAGAGAGAGAGGGAGAGTGGTTTGTGAATCCCGAAACAACAACAACGCCTTAAATTGGGCTTCAGTGATAAACCATAAAACCCACATTTTCTGGAAAAAATAAAGGCCCGTTTATTATTTCCCGAGACCCTTGTTTTTTTTTTGTTCTTGAAAGATGATGATTAACTAATGCCTGCCTAATTATTATTGGTTGATTCTTGGAAAACAATAAAATACATAAGAAAAAAGTTTTGTTGGGTTTTCTTATAACCACAAAATGTCACATGAATGATCGAATATTAATTAGTACTTTTGTGATTAAAGCAACAAAAACCGCGAATTTGAATAATTATGTGATAGATTCAAAATTGTTATTTGGCCAAATACCAACCAAAACAACATAACAATAGCCAGAAACGCACGAGCCTTTATTTGCAAAAAAGAAAAACGAGTGAAATGTAGAGTGCTTCCGAAACAACTACAAGAGAATCATTCTCATCTCCACCGCAGTTCAACAACAGAATTTGCCTCTGACAATTTTTTCCTGTTATCATTAGATTGGTTATCAAGATATCAACGGGCTCGACTTTTAGTCTTTGAACAACCAGAGACGACCATATTAACATGCCACGTGGAAGGAAAACACAACGAAGAACTGAACTCGAATCTGCTTGTGGAGATCAAATCAGCCACTGATGAATCAAAGACAGAGGCAAAGCCAGGCATGCGAGTAAAGCAATGGAGAGTCGTGGAGTAAAGAAGGCTGCATGATACAGTAGTGTAGTAGGAGTAGAGGGAATACATTATACATAGCTAGTGTCATTAATTGGTAACAAATCGAGGCAAAACCTCTAGTTTTATACTGGGGAACACAAAAAGGCTACAAGTCGCAAATTAAGAAGAAACAGCCAAAAATCAGCATAATATGTATATGCACACATTGAGGTGTGACAATTTTCAAAAGTGACTTAAGAATTTTACCTCTCTATATGGTAAATTATTTTGAAGAGAGTTGCTACTACCTTCTCTCAGACCTTGCAGACATAGATGCAATGTTCTCTGGAAACTATCTGCAACACAATTGAGTTTGCCTTGAGTCAAATCTCCTGCCGCAGAACCGTTGACTTCCACTGTACGACTCACTCTCTGTTTACATTTCTCCCAAACAAGCTCGACCTCCATGGCTTCCTTCCATTCCAAGAAACGTCACGCTGGGGTTTTTCCCCAAACGTATACCTTAACCTAAACCGATACACAGTAAGGCGCTCCTCCGGCTGCGTTTATGTGCGCAGGATCAAGAACGACGGTCAACGCAAAGTCGACGATATTGTTAGGCCGGTCGTAGTAGATGTTGCTTTTAGCTGCACAACTGTTGTCTACATCCGCAGCATTCGCCGTCAAGGTTGTGCCTCGGTTTAGCTAGGTTTTAACTTTTGAGATTCAGCTTTTTCCTGGTTTCTCGTGGTTTAGTCCTGGTTATCTGGTTTTAGGTTATCTTTGGGCTAAGTCCCAACAGTATATGCGAACATTATAAACTTTCCGGGCTTTGGGTCTTAAAAAGACCGAAGACCATACGTGTCCTCCGCCTAGAAATATCAGGAATCAGCGACAGCGAAACCTAATTTCCGACCATGCCGCCGAATATGAGATCGGTCGTTACGCACGTAAATCGAAAATCAGATTGTCGGGCTTTCTCTGTTCTTTTTCTTCGATCGATTGATGAAAGAAAAGTATTTACAGTTATTCCGGGCAGGGAGATCGATTGAATCCCGCCGCTATTTCTCCTCACCGCCTGGTAGCAGCGGTAACGTTTCCTGTTCCTCTCGTTAGATATATATTTTAGATGCGTTTTTTGTACTCGGAGGGGAAACAAAAATCTTTGATCTGTGATTGTAGGGTCGAATGGAACAAAAATCACGTTAGATATGTGGTTGTACGACATACGTCGAGCTGGGGCATTTGGTGTGGGATATATCATTGGTATGGAGAGAGATAGAGAGAGATTTTTACTTATTATTCCCTTAATATATTTCCAATGAATAATGGGTTTGTGATTTTTGTTGTTGTGTAAAGGTGCTGTTTTATACGGCGGTACTGCTTCGCAATTGGAGGAACAACGGCTAGAGGTAAAAAAAAAAAAAAAACAAAAGCCAGGAAGCACATTTGACTCATTGCTATATATTTCATCTTAATCGTATCTTTTGTGTTATCAGGATCGGAGGGAGATCAGAGTAACTGGGCGCTGAGCTTATTTGGTGTCTAATGGAAAATCCTACTTATCTTAAAGCTTCGTATTCGGTCATTGTGCGGAATTAGCTTTGCTTTTGTTCAAATGTATGGAACTGATTGTTATGGAGATAAAAAATACCTACTTAGATGATACTTGACATAGAATTGTGATTACAAAACGTGTGGTGGTGGTGCTCTGTTCCATCTTTCCCTCCTCTCTCCTCCTCCCAACTTTCCCTCTCCTTGTGCATTATCTCTACTGTTTTACGTTTCGTATTTCGCAATTTACTTCTCTCCTCTTCCAATTTTGTACTTTCGCCTTCTGTTCTGCGTCTCTCTATTTCCATGAGACTTTACTTGTTGTCCCTGACGAGAGCTAGCTACGCCATTTTCCTCTGAACTCGTCGGGAGATTGTAAGAAACATTTTCTTGAACCCGTTCATCTGAAATAATGTTCTTGCGCTGTCATTAGATTGATATTGCCCAAAGCAGTCTGTTTTAGACAAATATCAGTATACAAATTTTGAGCTTTTTGGCTATATTGCTGTTAAACTGTTTTAGTGTGCTATGCAAAGAAAGAAAAAATGATATCTGGCTGGATTCTTTATATCTCATAATGGTTCATTGTTTGCCATTGGAATTTGATTTCTCATTCTAAGGGAAGTTCCCGAGGGATCATGTATGATTGGTAGAAGGATGGGCATTCATGGGCATCATCCACTTGAAATCCAAGTTAGTGACCAAAAATTTATCTCGCATGGAGATTTTAGTAGCTAGGGTTTTGCTTTTTGCAACTGATATAATAAACGGTCAAGACGAATGGCGAATTATCACTGGCGAGTACCTTTTTTTTTTTTGAACCTTGATCTCTGTTTTCATACGTGTTAATGCAGGCCTTGGTTAAATCATAATAGCGGATCCTGGCCAACTCTCCTCAGGCAGGTACAAACAAACATATATCATCTCTCTATTACCTGTCAGATTCAAGCAGTTGCTGTAGCGGAGAAAAAGCTCAAGGAAGATGCGTGGCCTGAGTATTATGACACAAGAAGCGGGAGGTTTCTTGGCTTCTAAGAAACTCAGGGAAGAACCAGAGAAAGCATCACTCTTGTTCTGGCAAAAGGACTATCAGCTGCTCGAGACTTGTGTCTGTGGCCTCAGCAAAAGCCAGCGAAAGGAAGAAGAACAAATCTTGTTGTTTCATACCTCCAACATATCTTTGCTTTTTTTTTTTTTAATGAAACCCTATGTCAATATATGGTCATAACTCGTGAACTATACAAATCCTTTTCAATCAGCTTTCTTCACCTGTGAACATTTTTATATATTTTTTTATGTAGATATACGAGTTATATATACCCTCAGCCCTCAGGCTTACTGGCGTGATAAGTGTGTGTGACTTTACGAACCAAGCTCCTTTTATTATCATAAAGCAAAATTTATTGCAAATTATGACGCTGGATCAGGTTGCTAACGAAAATTAGATATTGTTTTTTATTAAGTTAAGTTACTAATAAGGGGTGATCCGAGATTAGAGAAAACGATACTCCGAAGATTCCTCAGCGAAAAAGTACGGTAACTCATCATCAGTAAACCCGTAGAAACTTGGGCTAAGGCCCAGCAGTATAACTCTCGAGTAATAATGTTGAGATTATTATTTGAGATTATTCGTTTATTTTATCGAGTATATATCTATGCAAAGTATAATTTTGTGACAAAAGACTCAAATGTATTTATCGAGTATATATAATATACTATCAAATCTCTATTTATTATATAGGTAACAATTTCTGAAACGATGTATTATTAAACCGGAATTCCGGTTTACATAGTATCCCATCTCCTACTAAATTATATAATTACGTGGTGAAACTGAAATACGGTAACCCACCATCAGTAAACCCGTAAAACTTGGGCTAAGGCCCAGCAGTATAAGCGGGTAAACTATCGGGACTTTTAAGACTATACGTTTGGTCGCCCTAGAAAGATCCGAAATCAGAGAGCGAAACCTAATTGCCACCGAATATGAGATCGGTCGTCGCGCAGGTAAATCGATTATCCGATTGTCTCTCTTCTTTTTCTGTCTGCGATTGATTGACGAGAGAAATATATTTACAGTTATGCCGGGTAGGGAGATCGATTGGATCTCGCCGCAATTTCTCTTCACCGCCGCCTGATTTCATCAGTAACTTTTTCTGTTCCTCCCGTCAGATCAGATCTGTGAGAGCCTGGGGTTTCGATGTGTTTTGTATTAATAGTTGTGATGGTTCTTGCAGGGAATGAAAGTACCATCAGGGCCTTGGAGAGGTCTGGTTTAATGCCATGGATTTTTTCTGGAACTGCGTTTTACTATTTGTGGGGGTAATAATGTTGAGATTATTATTTGAGATTATTCGTTTATTTTAGAGGGAGAGAAGAAAACCAAAAAACATTCGTGATTCCTTTTTCTTTTTCTCGTTCCTCAGAGATGTATAATATACGTCAATTCCTTCAAAGGCAGGCTAGAGATTTGGAAGAATATGAACTCCGGAGTGTACAACTTAAACGTGAACCTGAAGACTAGCTCTGATTTCACGCTTTCAGCCATCAAAATAGCAGCATGATTGATAGTATGAAGACGAGCTCCCTTGTACCTTACTTGATAATCAGAGTCTCTTATGTGATTAGAGATATTTGCATTTTACTTATGTAATTTGCAGCAACATGCACTAGAGATATTTAAGGTCGTTTCATAAAGGTGGATTTAACTGAATTACTTTTAAATTGTCAAAATCGATTCTCAACTGATGATTAAACAGCATCAAATACACGAACTCCAGAACCCAATTGTTCAGCTTTAGATCCAAAATAGCTTATTATTACTCACACAAAAAAACAAACCACTCGGAGAGATTCTCAAAGTGCATAAACCACAAATGGCTTTCTTCTTACTTGGTCTTGGTGGGTACCCATGGTTGGTACCGAGTCCAGTTCTTTTGCCCTGGGTTCAAGGTGTGTCCCTTAGAATGGTAAATGTATGCATCACCTTCTCCAGAGAAGTTCTCTTTATGCTCAATCCCATACCGTTTTGGTTTCTGACTCAGTAGCTTCAAACACAGAGAGAGACATTGGATTTATATTTTTCCAAAGTTAGGAAGCAACGTATTTACATAACCATAGTGGAGAGAGCATATTTGAAGTGGGTTTTAATTATACCTCATCTCCAGTGTGATCGGTGATGAAATGAAGCCATCCGTGCCATTCGGCTGGTACTTGAGATGCGTTGTAACGATCCTTCGATGCGTACTCTACCCATCTGTGTCTACCTGTTAGCAAACGACTCTGTGTTTCAATCCCTATTGACTAAACACATTCTATAGAAATGCATTTATAGTTTGACCACAACATCTTTTAACAGTTAAAGATCCTTTTAAGGGAGAAGTTGACCACATATTTCCTCAAAACTATCATATAGATTGGATTTGATTTTGCTTCGATAACATCTTGGGCGTTCCCTAGACAGGGCTATACAAAACTCTGGTGAACTAGGTTAAAAGGCGCAATTTCTCTTACTCCGACTCAATTGAGTCATCAAAATTATGGTGTGATCTAGTAATTAAATAACATATATTGGTTCGATAAAGAGTTCCATGGTTAAACCAAATGCTACAATTCAGAGTACACAAGACACCTGAAGTCAATTATATAAAGTTTATTGGATGAGCGATATTTCAAGAATATATAGTAATTGGTATCGCGAATTCTACAATGGCATCAGTATTTTAGCAAAAGCATGATTTTAAATAGGCTGTTATTAAGTTATTAAAAAAAAGAACGGCGTACCGTATTGAGTATCACCCAGCTTCTGGTAGTATTTGTTGCCGAACTTGTCGACACCAATAAGAGTTGCTCCTATGTTGTGTATTTTAGTTTGCCTTAATCAAAGAGATAAAACTTATATTGATCAGAAAGTGATCGACAGCAAGGTGAAATATAAAGGAGGGCTATAGATATAACACAATATTCGAGCATATTATATGATAGACTAACATCCGGAATGAGCAAATAAGCAGAAGATAGATATCCTGATGTTTCGCAAAAGCAAGATTTGTATATAATCATAATTCTCCATAAACGCAGAATATCAAGGAGTAGATACTTACAAGAGGTTCCCATCTGGTAGGCATCTCCTGTAATGAGGGGAAAACAAATTGAAAGAAGCAATTAGAAAATGGCTTAGGCTCGGAAGAAATATAAAAGCAATAAGATCTTAAAATTATTAACAACCGGAAACATTTGAGCCAAATTTCAATAATCACCATCACGACTAAAACAGATGTTCACCAAAACACACAGTGTTAATTTTCCATTTCACATTAGGAAGATTTGAACATATGGGTGAAAAAAAAACATGCGAGAACGATAAACATTCACAGTATAGATCAATAGGCAGATAAGCAGAGACAATAGCGGGCGTTCATCTAGAAAAAAAATGAAAGACTGTTGAAACATTTTGCCAAATTGCTGGCTTTTACGGATCTAAATCAAACCCAAAGAGATCCCCAGATTAAAATAAGCAGGGAAGAGGACGAGAGAATCGATAAGAGAGACGAGGAAGAACTTACAGGAAGCCTTCTTCTCGGATCATCCGGAGGAAACCGCCGAGACCTTTCTCTCTAATCGCCTCCAACGCAGTCTTCGCCACCGTCAAAGCCATCGTCGTCCTCTCTATCTCTCTCCCTCGGAATGTAAGCCTTTGAGGGATTCGATTTCGATGTCCAAAGTCGAAACAACAAGCGACAGATACGATAGATATATATTTCCTAAAACGCACCGTTTTATTTTCTTACTCTTTTGTATTCGCATAGGATCGATGTTCATGGGCCGCTGATTTGCTGCGGCCTTAATCTTATGGCCTGAATCCTATGACCCTTGTTTTTTTTTTTCTGTTGTTCTTGAGAGATGATGATTAACTAATGCCTGCCAAATTATTGGTTGTTTCTTGGAAAACAATAAAATACATAAGAAAAGTGTATTGTTGGGTTTTCTTACGTAGACAAGACTGTAACCTTATAAGAACCTTCTCATCGATATTACTCTAGGGATACAAACAAAAAAAATAACTACAAAATGTCACATGAATGATCGAATATTAATTAGTACTTCTGTCATTAAAGCAACATAATATCCTGACATAAACAGCGAATTTGAATAATTATGTTATAGATTCAAAATTGTCATTTGGCCAAATATCAATCAAAACAACATAACAATAGCCAAAATCGCACGAGGTTTTATTTGCATAAAAAGAAAAACGAGTGAAATGTAGAGTCTTCCGAAACAACTACAAGAGAATGTCAATGGGGCTTAAAAACAGATGTCAACGTCTCATTCACTCAGGACTCACCACTATGAGCTGTTTGCCAACGTTCTTACCGTGGAAGAGTCCAATCAAAGCAGCAGGTCCGTTCTCGAGGCCTTGGACAATATCCTCAACGTAAGTGATCTTCCCTTCTCTAATACAGGGAAGCACAAAATCCAGATACTGCAAGTATTTGTGGAAGTAATCGGAGACCACGAAACCTTGAACCCGAAGCCGCTTGTAGATGACTGTTGCTAGGTTGTGCACACCTTCTTGCACCTCGAGGTTGTACTGTGAGATCATTCCACATACCGCGATACGGCCGTGTAGCTTCATGTTCAGGAGCACTGCATCTAACAGTTCGCCTCCTACGTTCTCAAAGTATATGTCGATGCCTTCCGGGAAGAACCTGATGAGAAAAACGTCTCATAGCTTTTGAGTCAAACTCTCTGTTCCACGAGGCTATTATTAGATGTCGGTATGAAGACAGGTGATTACTGACCTCTTCAGGGTACCATAAAGGTCTTTCTCTTCTTTGTAATTGAAAGCGTCATGAAACCCAAACTTATTCTTGAGAAGATCAACCTACGACAAAGAAGCGAACAAGTCACTCTCCCGATAGACACGAAAGAAACCAATCGAAATTAAGTATAGTCTACCTTTTCATTACTGCCGGCACTTCCAACGACATAACAGCCCATAATCTTTGCAAACTGTCCCACGAGCTGACCAACTGCACCAGATGCAGCTGACACGAAGACAGCCTCTCCTTTCTTAGGAGAACAGATCTCATGAAACCCGGCGTAGGCAGTCATACCGGCCATACCTGTCAGAAACAGAGCATTGTTGCATGCATCATACTCCAAGTCCAGACCATATGTATATGACCAATGCATCATGACAATAATCATAGAGAGAAGCACATCAAGCATTGCATCAAGTCCACATTTTCTCTGAAATGACCAAAGTGAATTCACATGCATGGGCAAAAGAGAAGCCGAGACAACATACCGAGAAGTCCAGTGTAGTAAGATAAGGGAATATCGGTGTGTTGGATCTTGAAATGTGAAAAATTTGGAGTTATGAGACTGTACTCCTCCCATCCTACTATTCCCCAAATTAAGTCTCCCTTTGTGTAATCTGGGTGCCCAGAATCTATCACTCTAGACACTCCAAACGCATAGATTGGCTGCAAAAAAAAAGCAAATACAGATTCAGATTACGATTTCAAGGAGACGAGCAAGCCATAAAATTAACATCGCATTTCTTTTTAATGATGTTCATTAAGAGACATCGTACTGTTCATAGAATAGAATAATGTTCCTGAATTTTAAAATAATTGTTCTATTGTTTCCAAAAACGTTAAAGAGGGAATGTATTCTTGTATTAAAAAAAGAAGGATCTACGAAATGCGTAAAGAATACCTCGCCGGGATTGTAAGACTGAGCGAGGGCAGCAGTGGCGGGATCGGGCTTTCCCATGCGAATGCGCATGTAAGGATCGCAAGACAAATATATATTCTTCAACAGAACCGTCTTGGATCCCGCAGGAACCTTCAAAACGACGGTGGTGTCGTTGAAGATGAGGTCTGATTCCGTCGGGAAACCGATTACGTAGTCTCGCAATATGACCTGCTTGTTGGTCGCCGTCGCCGCTTCGCCACCTGTGGTCGCCATTTTATCTGATTTAGGCTTTGGTAACAAATGTTATTTTACTTGTATTTTTTTTTTCTGCTTCACAGGAACGTCTGAATGTATAGGCTTTGTGGATCGTGTGATCATCATAATCCCCACAAACCGCTAAAAAGGGAGAAAAAATCTCGTTTTCTTTCCTTTTTGACGTAACACTACTGTGTTTGTCATTTGTTTAATAATTAGTGACGTTGCATTTTTTTATATGTATACGTAAAAAAATGTGTTTGTCAACTGTGTTTGACGTTACATATTTACGTAAAACCAAGTATTGTATATGTAACAGACAGAAGGGACACGAACAAATTGCAATAGAGCAAAAATTTGAATGGGTGAGTTATTACACTTTAAGTAATCATATTAAGAAAACATTCGAATTAAAAAAGTTGTCCAACGCACCAAACTTTTGCCGCGAGCTGCACTGCCCCCAATTCTTTTTGACCAAACAGTTAAATTCCGCTGTAAAATAGCGACGCCACCTGCGGTTGCTGCGTTTGCCATTCAGAGCCTCAAGCAATAAGGCAAATGGAGCTAACGTGAGAAACCTTTTTAAAGACATTTGGCTTCAATTTCTTCAAGAGTGAGACCCTTTGTCTCAGGCACAATGAAGTATATGAAGAAGAGAGACAGTACACATATCACTCCAAATCCACAGAACAATACTCCAGCTCCTAACAGCTCCTGCAGAAAAACACCAGGTGAGCTAAAACCTCTGTAATTTAATAATTTCAAGGACAACAAGAAGAAGATAGGGAACTAACAAGATATATGTATGCGTACACAGTTAAAATCAATAGCAACAGTCAAAACAAAAATAGTGGATTTCAGAGAAGGAGCTTCTTGGTTCCGGAATTTTTACCTTCAGAGGTGAGAAAGCGAATGTCACAAGCGCGTTCGTGCCGAAATTCACAAGCACTGCTATGCTGATTCCTCGACCTCTTAATTTTAATGGAAATATCTCTGAAATCATCAGCCAACCTATAGGACCAAAAGATATCTGCACGATTGATGGCAAATAGTTTGAGTCTGTATCATATATTTTAAAAGAAAATATCAACAACCAAACGTTTCCGAGAATGGAAACTAACCTGGTAACAGCCCACATACAGTAGCAATGCAACGACAGCAACAGCTGGTACAGTATTATAAAGGATGTAGTAGGACCCCAGGAGGAACAATGAGATCACCTGTTACACAATTAAAATAAGATGCTAAATTTCTTAATTGTTTAGGTTTCTGTCTCATGTAATCGATAACACAAACAAAAGAAAGAAAGAGAAAAGACTGAAGAATTCGGAGAGCAGACCATGCCACTAACACCACCAAGAAGTAAAGGCCTCCTTCCAAGTCTATCAATAACTATAACAGCAACTCCAGTCATAACCAACTGCAACAGTAAAGGACTGCGTCAAGTCTTGGAAAGGAAAAATACAATTAACTCCATTCATATGCTTATTATTACTTCTAACATTGGTGCCAGAGATTGTACTGAAAAGCGTATCAATCCTCCAATATATCATAGATAAAAGGATCAGTCATGTCAAAGCAGATGGAAGAAAATGAATACCTTCAATAAACCAAGCAGAATTGAGATCCGAGTTGCATCAGTCGCAGCAGAAAAGCCGGCAGTCTATCAGGTAAGGTAACGTTAGTGGTAAAAAGAAAAAAGTTAAGATTTTTGTCACGAGATTCCTGCTAGTGCAACAAAAGCCAACATAATAACAGGTGAAAAGAGAACCTGTAGTATTGATGCTGCATAATAAAGTACACTTGGTTGTCCCGTTATCTGCAATTTCAAAAGTAAACATATTATATATTTAGCTATTGTTTGTTATCCTCAGGACATTTGATAAAAATTGACTGCACCAACCTGTTGAAACAAGACTAACCCTCCTGCTATAGTGAGAGCTTTCAAACACTTGCCTTGAAATAATTCACCAAGTGTAGCTTCTTTATCCTCACCCACAGAGGAAAGTTCAACTAAGATCTCGTTTACTTGTTCAGCGGCTGAGTCAGCTACGACCGACCCTCTAAGGCGGCGAAGTGACCTGATTGCAGCCTGTTGAAGGTTCTCTACATTCCCTTTTCCCTGGAGAGAGCGCAGTAAAAGCCACCTAGGAGATGCTGGTAGACAGCACATTCCAATTCCCATGATAACTGGCAAAGGGACAATTGTTGCGTACATGTAACGCCAACCAGATATAACCGTAACCCAAAAGCTACCGATTCCATAACCTCCCTTCACCACAAAATTCTATGTATCAGTTTAACTTGGTGGAAAAAAGATTTCAGAACAGAGAGAATCAATTCTGTAACTTCAAACTGAGCAATATATTTCCAAAAGTCCTCAGAGCTTCGAGAACTTACAACCATCCCAAGGACAGTGGAGAATTCCTTTAGTGATATCATCCGTCCACGTATCTGACTTGGAGCAGTCTCCGCAATGTACATTGGCGCCGCGTGCATTGTCTAAATATAAGGGAACATATCAACTTTCATGTTAAGAACTAAGAAGAATGCTAAAAAAAGTGTACTCCATAGCTACATGGATTCATACATGATAGAAAAACATCTTAGTTTGAACGGTTAACAGAAGAATGCGAAGAATTCTATCTCAAGCTTTCTTGATATAGGTGCATACTCGGTTCCGAATTCCACCAACCAATCAAATGTATACAAGAATGCATACAATGCCATGTTGGTCTACGTGTAGTTGCATGTGGATGCATTGCATAATGACACATGCTCAGCAACAGAGGGAAGCATATATACACCACGTAGCTATCTTGGGAAAGTTTTGACTTTTTTATTGATAACACGGTCAAATGCATACACGTGTTTAGCAGGGAAACACTAAAGGTGCATGATCTATCTTACCAGTCCAATCCCGATGCCATATATAACCCGTCCAATTATCAGGACGGAAAAGACAGGTGCTATTGCAGTCACTATGGCTCCAACAAGATATAAGAATGCAGCCAAAATCAACTCCTTTCTTCTTCCTTGAAATATATCAATCCAACAATTGAATTACTTCAGATGGGGAAAATTAATACATAACCAGATGAAGAAATTCGAAAGGAAACCAACCAATATTGTCGGCAACAGTAAATGCCACAATTGAGCCAAGTAAGGCACCATAGAGTGAGCCGCTAGTCTGCACAAAATTCCAAACTTACATTAAGCAAATTCCTTTTCCTTCAACAAGAAATATCACGGCTCCAGTAGGAAGGAAACAAGAACAAAAAAAATGCAATAACCGATACGTAGAAGAACCAAGAAAGGTGAATAACAGACTCACAAATATACCAACATCCACTGAAGACAAGTTGTACCATGAAACTCCACTTAGTGTAGGCGACTGTGAAGGAGGCAAAAGCGAAGTATAATTAGGGAATCAGTTATTTTAAAGCAGCTTAGACAATCGAACAAATACACATGCATAACAAATATGTAGGAAAGATCCAAGGGAGCACAATGGCATAGCTTCATGATATATAAGCTTGGAAACAGCAGCTTTTAAGACTCAGGAAACCTAGAAAAGTCGAACTTGAGTACCTAGGCACAGTTTTAGACAAGCTTAAGCCATCATTACCTTAATAGAAATGGTTGCACAAGATGTTGCACCAATCTCGTAACCAAACAGCAAAGCTCCAAGAGCTGGAAAGAGAAACCTGCAATAAATGACTTCTTAGCATGCTATTAGACAAATGTCAGCACACCCAACAGATTCCCACTTGCTTTTTAGCAGAAATACATTGGTCATAAAATCAAAATCTTTTCTGGGTCCACAGTTTTATTAGTTGGTATTAAATGACTACCAAACAAGGGAAAGCGACAGAGAAATCTCACGGGGGAATGGCTGCAAGAACAGAGTAGTTTTCTGGGCAGTGCTTCTCCTTAATTAGAGGTTCCTTTACTGAGATAATCCCACCTGAAGAAGAATCACCAGCCTACAGAGGAATGTAGTTTCAGAAATTCGCAATAGGAATTGAATTACCAAATTTGAGAGAGTTCGGATACAGGATTCGTAAATTCGCTATCCCAAATCCAGAAGCTATGGTCTAAGTTCACGCTTACAAATGAGACTCCAATTTCAAAAGTTCTACACATTACAGATGAATCAAGCCCAACCCTGACCTATATATATATTGCATGTATAGCTCTCTCAAGCCCTTAATTTGACCGGAGAATAATCAAACAAACAAAACCCAGTACAATTTTTTCTCGACGACCAAAACCAAACGGAGAAGAGGAACAGAAAAATATCAGAAGAAGATGTATAACGAGAAGTTCGAAACCTGTCCAACAGAAGAGATCGATTGCTTCTCGGAATCAAACCCCATGGCTACGGAAGCTTGATATGGAGCCCGGGATTCGTGAGTGTGGTTTGTTCAAGGAGATGCAGATAAAGATCTCGCTCTGGGTTTCTACAATTGACTTCTTTGGTTTGAGTTCAACGAGCTTCGAATTCGCAGAGGAGAGAAATGTGAGGAAGAGAGACGACAATCATGCCAGAGGTGATAATAACTGGAAACGGGACAGACAATGAATCAAGCTTTAAATAGCAGATCTTAATTTCGAATTAGGATACTAATTTTCCAATTAAAAATAAAATACTTGTATATTACATGTTTTGGTACGCATTGTCATTGATATATATAGTACTTTAGCGTAAATAAAAGCAAACTAAAAAATAAAAATTGATATTTGATCTATATCTGTAATCAAATTGCAATTTCGATTTTCTGATTGAGAAATTACAAACAGAAACGACAAGGAAAAGTTGACCAAAAACGACAATAGAGGAGGAAAAACATTTTAATTTTATAATTTCATCTAAGACATGTTTTTCTGCTGAAATATATATATATATATATATATTTTTTTTTTTTTTTTGTAAAGCCAGCAAATGCATGCCGTTTGTTTTATAGTAGAATATCCCCCGTTTTGGAGGAAATATATAAAATATCTCATTCTGCTATACAGATTTGATGGAAGATATTTTTCTGTGTGTAGACTAGAATTTCTATAGTTGACGTTTGTTATTATATAAAAATTATTTGCAATGCACCTCTACATTCTTGTCGCTGAAGTGCATGTTCATTGGATCATTTATCATTTCATCCAGATGATCCATCCAAATGTATTTGTTTTTTTTTTTTGGGTTATTTATCTAAATAGTTTATATGGATGGAACTCTATTTAGATGATCAGTTTAATTGTAAATTTAAATGAGCCATCCAGATAATTCAATAAAAATGACTTTTTGCCCATACTATAAAAATCTTTTATGATCAAATGAGATTGTTGATTGTTGATTTAAAACTACGATTTCAAACATATATATAAAAGAATACATATATCAACAACGACACAACGTCTCAATTCATATACCAATCAAAAGATTACAAACATATACTATAAATAAAGATCCAAAGTATGAACGAGGAAGACATTGAGAGCAAGAACAGGACTGTATCCTTGAGAGACTCTTTGATAGAAAGCTTTTAATTTCAGGTACCTTCCACTACATCAGTACGAGGAGGTGCCTAAAATTAATACAAACAGCAATTTCAGAGACCTGACTTGTTCATACAACAAGCTTAAAAGCTTTAAATTTGATTCGAGATGGTTCTCTCTCTCTTAGCATTACCAAAGATCCAACAACTACTGCTAGATAAAAGCTATCACACAAAATTAAAAACCGAGATATACAATCACTCCAAATTTGCTATACAATCCATCATAGCATTTGTAGCAAATGAGATTCTTATACAAGTTACAAGAAAAACAGAAAGCCATATTGAATACTATTGACAGCATAAGTAAGACAACAAAAAACAAATCAATTGCGATACAGTTTAATAATGTGTTGTTTATGCCAAGAATATGGTAGACATAATTGTATCCATAGCACGATACCACCTATTGACTATTTTACATGAATGCATACCATTTAATCAAAAACTTTCCTTATGATTCCTTTGACAAAATGAAAAACAACTTCTTATGATTTAAAGTAAAAAATCTTTCAGTAGAGCGTATACATTACATTTACAAACCATACGGCGGTCAACGGAAAAGAAAACAAACAATTAAAAAAAAAAAAGAAGAAAACAAAAACCTCTAGAAGTCACTCCCTTTTCTCTCCCGTCCCTGCGTCAATCTCAGGCCGCTTTCAAAAACCTCTCTCGATATTTATAAAACTGCCTCCCATGCGCTCTGCAAAACCTCTCGCCACAAATTTGTTTTCCCTAGTTTTTCGTCCTCCATTGATTCAGTCTCGTGCCGAGCCCATCTTTTAATTGAACTGGAATTTCCGCATCCTCTCCGCCATGGCTGCCGAGAAGTTGAGGGACTTGAGTCAGCCTATTGACGTCGTTTTACTCGATGCCACGGTCGAGGCTTTTTACGCTACCGGATCTAAGGAAGAAGTGAGTCGATTGTTAATGGCTCCTCGGAGATTTTAAAACGATGGTCGAGTTTATGGTCTGTTAATGCGTCTTGGCCCTCTTGGGCGTTAGTCTTCTTTTCCAAAATAGGAATGTGTTCTGATACTCCTTGTAAGGTGGCAGAATAATTGGATGAGTTCTGGTTAAATTTGTTTTCTGGGTTGCATATTGTTTTAGGGCCGTGGCTTTGGTTGTTTTTGATTGCTCTTGTGCCCTGGAAAACTACTGCAGTAGATGCTCTGATAAGCCTCTGATGCTTTGGAGTATTGGATACTTTCTTTTCGTTAGAACTATTAGCATTTGCGCGTTTTCCATGAATTTTTTTTTAATGTTTCTGTGTTAAACATCATTCAGAGGGCTTCTGCGGATAATATCTTGCGGGATTTGAAAGCCAATCCTGATACTTGGCTTCAAGTAGTTCACATTCTACAAAGCACCAGGAGTACACATACCAAATATTTCGCCCTCCAGGTAAGTTTGTTTATCCAACTTTCAAATAAGGTTTGTTTTTGAGAAAAAAAGTTCTTATGAATTCCACTTTCAGGTGCTAGAAGGTGTTATAAAATATAGGTGGAATGCATTACCCGTTGAACAACGGGATGGAATGAAAAATTATATATCTGAAGTCATTGTGCAGGTATATATTTGACTATTTGAGAGACATTAGTTTTTTCTCGTGTGTGGTTAAAACTAAGATTCTAGGATAACTGATATAATGAATTTATCCTGTAGCTTTCAAGGGATGAAGCATCTTTCAGATCGGAAAGGCTTTATGTCAACAAGTTAAACGTCATCCTGGTTCAGGTATCTTTTCAGGGTTATTTGCATTTGTCCCCTTCTTGTGTGTTTACTATCTATTTCTTTGTGATGTTTTCTCTGGTAAGGCTTTGCTGAAGCCACTCCTGAAGATTGTAAAAAAGTTTGTTTAGTCTTTGGGAATAACACACATATTGTGATGCGTGTACAGATCGTGAAACATGAGTGGCCGGTGAAGTGGAGAAGCTTTATTCCCGATCTAGTTAAAGCTGCTAAAACTAGCGAAACTATCTGTGAGAATTGCATGACTATTTTGAAAGTAAGTACTGTCTAAGTTAAGTGCCTTTACATTATTAAGTTCGTGACGTACTTAAATAACATTCCTTCTTTTCCTTAGCTCCTGAGTGAAGAGGTCTTTGATTTCTCAAGAGGAGAGATGACTCAGCAAAAGATAAAAGAGCTGAAACAGTCTCTAAACAGGCAAGTTAGACTTTTCATGAAATTTAATTTAGTCTTGCCAAAATTTGCAACTGATGGTTTTTCCATGCTCTACTTATCTATTCTGCTTTCTTATTTGCAGCGAGTTTCAACTCGTTCACGAGTTATGCCTATATGTTCTCTCAGCTTCCCAAAGACCAGAGCTTATACGTGCAACACTCTCTGCATTGCATGCCTATCTTTCTTGGATTCCGTTGGGATATATTTTCGAGTCACCCTTGGTAATATATTTGGATTTAAGCTGACTAAGAGGGGTTAAACAAGTCTCACAATTCCGATATCCCCATTACTGATCTCGTTGTTTTCAGCTGGAGACCCTCCTTAAATTCTTCCCTGTGTCAGCATATAGGAATCTCACTCTTCAATGTCTGTCAGAGGTATGCCATCTATAGTCCGAATTTCCTGCTGTCACTGTTTTACTGTCATTATCTAATGACTTGTGTTTTTCTGGCAGGTTGCAGCTCTTAATTTTGGGAACGGCTACAATGCGCAATATGTCCAGATGTACACCATCCTCATGAATCAGTTGCAGGTTAGTGCTTGTTATCTTTGTTTTCTTGGTTTTGGTTAACTGATTATCTTACCATAGAGTTTCACTTTTAGTTGGTTAATGTACTCTCTTTGGTCCCTTATCGGTTCTTCACTCTATCAGATTGACTTTCATGTTACCTTGGCTTTTTGATTGATGCCTTTTCATGTCTATAGGCAGTGCTTCCTTTAAATTTAAATATCCCGGAGGCATATTCAGCAGGAAGTAGCGAAGAACAGGCAAGTCTTTTCTGTGCATTAAGTTCCGGCCATCCCATATTTTTTCTCTAACATTTTGTGATAATGACTGACTGTATATGTATATCTTCTTTACCTCTAGGATTTTATCCAGAACTTGGCATTGTTTTTCACATCGTTTTTCAAGGTAATTTCTTTTCTTTGTCGAGTAAGATGTGTCATGTGGAATTTCCTGGAATTTTAGGCTTTAGATGTGTAACCGAGGAATGTCTAGCCTTTTTTTCTTTCATATATTTTATGCATTTCAAGAATAATAGTTTACTCTATTTTCTTCGTTTGCAGTTACATATAAAAGTCCTAGAATCTACACCCGAAAATATTTCTTTACTACTTGCGGGTCTGGGATATCTCATTGGCATTTCATATGTTGATGACACTGAAGTATTCAAGGTATGTGAATTACCGTTGTTAATACTGGTTGCAGTTTAAAAGGAATGGTCTCATGTTATTTGTCAATGCTTTGGAAACTGACAGCTTTTTTATTACTTACGAGTGAACAGGTTTGTTTAGACTATTGGAATTCATTAGTTTTGGAGTTGTTTGGGTCGCATCATCATGTCGGTCACCCTGCACTAACTCCAAGTCTGTTTGGATATGGATTGCAAGTATGGCTTCTTTATATTCTTTTAAAAGATGGAAATTAGGTTTGTATGTTTTGCTGGTTGAACTTGTGTTACGTAGATCACTTACCGTTGGTCTTGATTTGCCTATTGTCAGATGGCTTTCCTTCCTCGTACAGTTGATGGCATCAAATTTGAAGCCACAGAGCGGCAAAAGCTTTATTCTGACCCAATGTCAAAATTAAGAGGGCTCATGATTAGTCGCATGGCTAAGCCTGAGGAAGTGCTAATCGTTGAAGACGAAAATGGGAACATTGTCCGTGAAACAATGAAGGATAATGATGTTCTTGTCCAGTATAAGGTACCAACTGTACATATGGCTTGGATTTTTACATAGTTATCAACCAACATATATTTATGAATTTTTAGCTATTTCCAATTACTGTGAAATATAATTATTATATTATTAATTTATAAACTGCATATATTCATGATTGTTAAAACTTCTCAAGTTTTGATTTAGTTATTACATCTTGTCTACTAACATACTTCTCAACTTTAATGCAAAAAAACTTAACAAAGTAACTATAAATGAATGTTTGTTAAGATTCTGAATTAATTTATATATTAAATAAACTCTATTCGACAGTCGAAACCAGTAGTGTTATGATAAAATCAGAAGGAAGTTATATTTATACAGATATAGATATATATACATATATATAGATCCTACTTTGGGTTTCAGTTATGAAGGTATTCTCATTTCACAGTTTACACTGTTGCAGATAATGCGGGAGACATTAATCTACCTCTCACACCTTGATCATGATGATACCGAAAGACAGGTACTTATTATGAGGGATGTCAGATTATCCTTATTATGTGGAATAATTCTTTTCAAAATTCAGTTTTACGTTCTTTACTGTAGTTATACGTATTAATGGTTGTATATGATGTGAAATATATTGAGGATTATGATAAAGTATAGTGCCTACGAAGTTATCCCTTTGTTTAGAGGTGAAGACCAGTAGAGTATCTCTCATTTCTACTGTTTACAAGAAGAAGTGTTAATAAATGCTAACATGCGGAGTAGCCGTATCTTGTAAGGTTGGAGTCTTGGCTGACCCTGTTGTATTGATGTCAACTTTTTGTTGTTCCTGCAAAGATGTTGAGTAAGCTAAGCAAACAGTTAAGCGGGGAGGAATGGACGTGGAACAATCTGAACACTTTATGCTGGGCGATTGGGTCTATTTCTGGTTCCATGGATGTCGAGCAGGTAATATCTTCCATGAACAACAGTTGAGATTTTTGTTTGTAATCCAGTAGCAAATACATAGTTAGCTCGAGGCATTTGTTAGCATCTTAATGCTCTGTATTGGCCTCCCACTGGTTTATGGTCGATTTATGTTAGATTGGTTCCACCAGTGCTTTCCAATTGTCCTTTACTGAATCATAAACTCCGTGTTTTTTTTTTCTTCCAGGAAAACAGATTTCTAGTGATGGTTATTCGTGATTTGTTAAGTTTATGTGAAATCGTCAAGGGGAAAGACAATAAAGCTGTTATTGCAAGCAACATCATGTAAGTTTGTTTGTACATCATGGATGCTAATATTGAAAACTATAGTGTGTTAGTTTTTGGCTTGGATTGTTGGTACTTCGGTAGCGTGAGATTTTCACTAGAAATGGTTCACTTGTTTCATGCATGATTAGTTTGAGTTTTTGACCTTTGTCTTCTTGTACATACGTTTTAGGTATGTTGTTGGGCAGTATTCAAGATTCTTAAGGGCCCACTGGAAGTTTCTGAAGACAGTTGTTCATAAGTTGTTTGAATTCATGCATGAGACGCATCCTGGTGTTCAGGTAATTCTTCCATTGTTCAAGTTGGACTTTAGAAATCCTGCAGGAGTTACAGTTTCTTGGTTGAATCCTTCATATGAAGTTGGATAGATTGGGAAATTTGTTTTCATTACCATCCATGTACTATCATTTATGACATCTCAGTATTCATAAGAAGTTATTGCTCACTTTGTTTTCCCCGTGGTCTGGTTTATCTAAAATATGCTTAAGCTAATCCTACATTTTCCTTACAGGACATGGCTTGTGATACGTTCCTAAAAATTGTTCAGAAGTGCAAGCGCAAATTCGTTATTGTTCAGGTATGTACTGGTTCGCTCAATGCACCTTTTATTACTTTATCATCTAAAATGAGGTCTTCTGTGCTTTTCAGGTCGGGGAAAATGAGCCATTTGTATCTGAACTTCTATCAGGCCTTGCTACAATTGTTGGAGATCTTGAGCCTCATCAGATTCACACTTTTTATGAATCTGTATGTATTTTCAGCCGTGTCTCTTTATGGAGATGGGAAGCAATTTCTTGCCGTGATCTCACTCCCTCTGTCTATCTCTCTTTAGGTTGGTACCATGATCCAGGCAGAATCAGATCCTGAGAAGAGGGGTGAATACATCCAGAGGTTGATGGCTCTCCCAAATCAGGTTTGTTAATAAGTAAGGTACTGCGCAGGTTTTGTTTTCCATAGCTGGCTAAAGGATTTTTTTCCTTCAATGTAGAAATGGGCAGAAATTATAGGACAAGCACGTCAGAGTGCAGATACCCTCAAGGACCCAGATATGATACGTACTGTGCTTAATATCCTCCAGGTCTGATATCTTACGTTGGAATTCTTTTTAATTGATCTTGTATGAGCTTAGTTAGGCTTCTTTTTCATTTTTTGAATGCATTAGAATTTCTTACATAACTTATATTTGTGTGCAGACAAATACGAGAGTTGCAACATCATTAGGAACACACTTCTTGTCTCAAATTTCGTTGATCTTCTTGGATATGCTGAATGTTTACAGGTAAATTCTTTATACTTAATGTATACAAATGTTTTTGCTTCTTATCTCTCTTTTTTTTTCTTCGACATAATAGTAATAATTGACTTTATTTTCCTCTTATGCATCAGAATGTACAGTGAACTCGTGTCAAGCAACATTGCTAATGGTGGCCCATATGCGTCAAGGACATCGGTTGTTAAACTTCTAAGGTAGGACGACTTTATGTACCAAATAAAATTCACAGATTGTGATGCCCCTATATTACAAACTTGAATAACATATTACATCTTTATGCTTCATGGAACAGGTCTGTTAAGAGGGAAATCCTTAAGCTGATAGAAACGTTTCTAGACAAAGCTGAAAATCAGCAACACATTGGAAAACAGTTTGTTCCACCAATGATGGATCCAGTACTTGGTGACTATGCAAGAAATGTTCCCGATGCAAGGGAATCAGAAGTTCTGTCACTCTTTGCGACAATAATAAACAAGTATGTCTCTTGTCTGTTGATTCCTGCTTTAGCAAAAGAAGTCTTATTGCAAGATGTAACATGGAAATCTACTACCTTCTAAGCCAGCAACTTGTTGATGTGTTTGCGTAGGTACAAGAATGTAATGCAAAATGAGGTGCCTCGCATTTTTGAAGCTGTTTTCCAGTGCACTTTGGAGGTAAAAGACCCTTTAGTCCATTGAAAATACTTCCACATGTGTATTTCTATGTTGTCGCTCCACCGTACAACTACAAGTTTAACATAAACTTTGAAAGTATTATTTTTCTTGATATTTATGGAAGCAGAAGGGATGGAGTAAATTAGTAGGGTTTAAGCTGTCTTTTGGTTTGATATTCAAAGCAGTAGAGTTATGCATACATGGAAGTGACTAAGTGAGGGTTAATCCTTTTTTTCATGTATTTATGCAGATGATCACTAAGAATTTTGAAGATTATCCAGAGCACCGCCTCAAGTTTTTCTCGTTACTTCGTGCTATTGCTACATTTTGCTTCCCTGCCTTGATACAGTTGTCAAGTGAGGTTGGTGATTAGGGTCTTGATTTAGTTTCGTTGGCGTGATCTTAGAAACCTATTAACTCTTTCTTGTATATTAATAGTTTTCTAGCAATCCCTAAGTTTTCTTGTTTTATGTCTCTTTCTTGATAATAATCATCAGCAACTGAAGCTAGTGATGGATTCAGTCATCTGGGCATTTAGACATACTGAAAGAAATATCGCTGAAACTGGGCTGAACCTCTTGATCGAGATGCTGAGAAAGTTTCAGGTTTTTCCTTCGTCTGTTGACTTTTTCGCTTTTAGTCCCATTTGGTTGTGGCTTCATGTACCTGATCAAACATGTTCTCTCTGATTGTCACAGAAATCTGGCTTCTCGAACCAATTCTACCGGACATACTTTATGCAAATTGAGCAAGAAATATTTGCCGTCTTGACCGACACCTTCCATAAGCCTGGGTTCAAGTTGCATGTGCTGGTGCTACAACATCTATTTTCCCTGGTAAATATATATATATATATATATATTATAGAATATAAATCTAGGATTGGCTAGTCTCTGTGGATTTAAAAGTGAGGTCGATTATAAACTTATCAGGTTGAGAGCGGTTCTTTGACGGAACCTTTGTGGGATGCTACAACGGTACCTCATCAATATCCAAATAATGCTGCCTTTGTTCGTGAATACACTATCAAGCTTCTAGGCTCATCATTCCCCAACATGACTGCATCAGAGGTAACTAACTAACTTAAACCATAGGATTTGCTCTTTCGTTCTATGTGATTCTGTTGCCACTTATCTTTCAAAATACTACAAAACAGGTGACACAATTTGTGAATGGGCTTTACGAATCAAGAAGCGACCTTGCCAGATTTAAAAATAAGATACGAGACTTCCTTGTACAGTCCAAGGAATTTTCTGCTCAGGTATTAATATATTGATTAAACATTTCATTAGACCACATTTTTTTCATTTCAATTCTGCTGAACTGATTTCTTTTTTTCCAGGATAACAAAGATTTATATGCTGAAGAAGCCGCTGCTCAAGTGGAGAGCGAGCGGCAAAGAATGCTTTCGATTCCTGGACTTGTTGCTCCCAACGAGATTCAAGACGAGATGGCTGATTCATAAAATACTTCTTAGCAAGAATTTTTCAGTGAAATTTGATATTTTGGGTTCTTTTTTAGATAAGCATAAGCTTCAAAAACAGTATTTCAGTTTCTTTTTGTAGAGCTGCTTCCTCATTACCTCAATAGAAAAGAGAAGTGTTAGGGTGGGCTTGGGCTTTGTGCAGCTTTTTGCATTACGATCTAGAACTTGTCTAGTATTCTTCTTCTCTGGATGGTTTTATTCTCATCAATGAAATCTTTTTCGGAGCTCAAAATTACTAATTTTTTTTTAATAAATGGCTTTATATAGCAATTTCCAAACTCAATTCCCTCCTTTTATCCTAACCGGTTTTAAACCGGTCATAATTGATTTAAGTTTTGTAAACCGAATTAAAATCGAATTCCAAGCCGAATCTAAGACGACTGGAATCTCTTGTACCGAAAACGCTACCTCCTTCTCTCCCCCTTTCTTTCTCGGAAATATCTTATTCATTCGTGTTTCTGGAAATCGATCGTCTTCGTTTGATTCTCTCTCTATTTCCTTCAACTTCATTATCACTTTGGTATCGAAAAGAGATAGTAATACTGTGGGATCATAGCTTTTGCTGTTGACATGGGTCAAACTTTTCGCAAGCTTTTCGATACTTTCTTCGGCAATCAGGAAATGAGGGTACACTTTTTTCTCTCAATCTCATGTTTAATTTTAGTCTCAACTCTCATATAATTGTCGAATGTTACGATCGTTTATTAGGTTCTTCCTTCTCTGACGGAATCGCGTGTTACCCATCGTTAACCTATTGAGTTTTGGTCATAACTGAGCTATAACGATCATTCGTCGTTTGTTGCTATTTTCGAAGAAAAAATCATGAACTGGCTTTATATCGTCTTGTGCAGCTCGCTGATCGATTCTTATATGTTCTGAGAGTTACTTGGTTGTTTTCTTTGCCCTTAATTGACTCAATCTATTGATATACAAGTGTACGATTGATCTTGCTCTACTTTCACCTGTTTCTGAATCAAATAAGTGCTGCTAGCACAAAATGCTATTAGCTAGAACATTCAATTAGCAATTATCTAGTTTTACAAATTAGGGTTTCTGTCAATTGAGTGTTTACTTCTGGTATCAGAAATTGTTTTAAAATAGAATTGTTCAGTTGCAGCTCTTTAGCTTTTACAAATTGTGGTTTGTTTTTGCTTCTGAAAATGCGTCTTGTTAGAATAATCAAATGCAGTTTCTGTTTATTAAGGTAAAGTGTATGTATATTGTAATCCAATGTGGTAAAGCTGAAAATTCACTTGCTACTACTTAAAGGTTATGCATCATTTTCATAATGCGTTTCACTTCTACACTCTTACTCCCTGAAGATGGGTGTTCCCTTCTACTTTCATGTAGTACCTGCACGATTGAGAATCTTAATGTAGCCAATCCACTTGGATATCCATGTAAATATGCATAGAAGCTACTAGCAGAAGATATGATATTGTTGTAATCCGGCTTTTGTTTTTGTGTATTGATTGATGATCTTGCTCAAATCTAGACCCAGCTTGTTAGTTATCAGTGCAATTATTTTAACTAGTCTGTGGTGCTAAGATTTTTGTGGTGTTCTTCTTGATTGACTAATCTGTGTAGTGTGGTTGCTTACTGTGCATAATACGATGAATGGGTTATTTACATGTGGTGATTTTCTTGTTGTGTTTTTGTTTGGAGACTCCAGGTCGTTATGCTGGGACTAGATGCGGCTGGGAAAACAACGATACTGTACAAGCTCCACATAGGAGAAGTTCTTTCAACTGTTCCCACAATCGGTGAGTTAGATTGCTGAAGCATTTAGATTCGGACTCTGTGCGTTTTCTGATTCATCTTACAACTCAGCACAATCTATGTTCGTGCCGTGTCTGTCATGTCATGTACTGCAGTTATAATGCCGGATATTGTACTTATTTGCTGAGGATTTGAACTTTCTTACACAGGTTTCAATGTTGAGAAAGTTCAGTACAAGAATGTGATGTTCACAGTTTGGGACGTTGGTGGCCAAGAAAAGCTGAGGCCCTTGTGGAGGCATTACTTCAATAATACTGATGGACTTGTAAGTCTGTACTTCTTACGCTTCAGATGAGAACATATGATTTCCTCATGTTGTGTTGGGATATTCTCTGATTTGTATTGTTCGATGCGCTTGCAGATATACGTGGTAGACTCCTTGGATCGAGAGAGAATTGGTAAAGCTAAGCAAGAATTTCAGGTTGTGCGATCCCCTTAGATAATTTGCACAAACTTTTGGTAAAATTAGTCTGTGCAGAGTTTCTAACCTCTGCCAACTTATCTTGTTCAGGAGATCATAAGAGACCCATTCATGCTCAACAGTGTCATTCTTGTGTTTGCAAACAAACAAGACATGGTGAAAGTTCAAAGCTTTAGTTTTTCCTTGAATCTTTTTCATGTACCAAAATATTAATGTAAACTCTTTGTGAATGTCAGAGAGGAGCCATGTCTCCTCGAGAAGTATGTGAAGGACTGGGCTTATTAGATCTCAAGAACAGGAAATGGCATATACAAGGCACATGTGCTCTTCAAGGAGATGGGCTCTATGAAGGCTTAGACTGGTTATCCTCTACGCTCAAAGAGGTTAAAGCTGCTGGTTACTCATCGGTTGGTCCCTCCTTTTAACTCAGTCCATTTGGGGAAAAAGAAAACCCAATTAGCTAAATCGACATACGAAAAATACCAAATCAAGCCAATGGTGTTTCAGTTTATCCACCATTATAGATACTTTTGATCCATCGCCAAAGTCTTCTTCTTGGCCTCTGATATGTAATATCACAAAATCAAACCCTCTTTTAAGTCTTTTGTAATTTAAGTGTTTTTCTCTCACATGGATCTGCTTCTGAAAGCAGCTAATGTTAGTATCCATTTAGGCTCCTATTTGCATGATATGACATTGGAGCTTCATTGTAAATTCTGATTGAAAATGAATGTATAATCTGCAAAATTCTCTTTGGATACCAGGGTCCCCTTTAAGCTAACTTGGTACATCGAGATTTTAGAAAGTTTTTTTGTGTGATAAATTAGGTTTTACTTCGAGATTTTGGAAAGTAGAGAACAAAGACGTATGAAACTATTAAACTAGAATTGATTAGAAATCCTGTTTGGGTTTCTTAAAAAAAGAAAAATAGAAGCCAATGAAAAAAAAAACATTTTGTTCCCAGAGAAAAGGAAACGATATCAAAAAGGCTATAAGAGTTTCTCCTCTACTCTAAGCACTTGTGTTGTTGCTTGCTCTTAATAGTAAATTCTTTCACCATCTTTGTTAGTTGCCTCATGCTTACGTCCTTGAGGCTCTCTTCATCGATCGTCTTCTTCTTCTTCTTATCCTCGGCTTCTACTTTTCTCTCTCCATTGTTGTTAAGAACCGTCTCCTCAGCATTCTCCTTGTTCATGTTGTCTGCAACAGAGGCCGCCTCTAGAGCTGATTTGTTTGGATCTGAGAATGATCCTTTACCGGCAAGAGTTGAAGATGAAGCTGGAATCTTCTTGTCTGAAACAGGAGCCTCTTCTGATTCAGAATCAATCAGTTCTTCAGAACCGCAGCTGTTTTCCTCCGTCTCGGATATATCAATCTCAAAATCAGACCATTCATCGCTGTCTGATTCGTGATATTTCCTATCCAGAGGTAAAGTTGAAGAGGAAGCTTGAGTCTTCGTCTTGTCTGAAACCGGAGGCACCTCTGATTCATGGTCCATCGGTTCTTCAGGCTTGAAACTTTCTTCTGAGTCGTTATCTGATTCGAGTTCCTCCGATTCATCAGCCATCAGAACTGTTGGAACAGAGTCCACCTTACTCGCATCATCACTAGCAGTGACTTTAGACCCAAATGCCTCCTGGTTTGTGTCGACAACACCACCAGAATCATCATCTTCGACTTGAACAAAACTATCCGAAGCTGGAACGGTGTTGGACTCTGCAAAGAAGAAAATAATGAAGAAATGCAAACAAGATAATAGTGAAGAAAAACAATGTTGATGGGTATGCTTGTGTGTGTGTATTACCTGTTCCATTCATCTGCTCCTTACTGGTTGCATCAGAGAAAGTGATATCACCAAGATCGCCATATAAAACATCAAGATCTGGATCACTCTTTGAACCATCCCATTCCTTCTCCAACGAATAATTTAAATCTCTCACTGAGATAACTTCAGCCTCCTCGGTTTTTTCAGAGTTGTCATCAGATTTTGCCTGGAAGTTGGAACCTGCATATTACACAATTGAACTTGATTACAAAACTCAACAGTAGACAAAACATAGCTTTGTAAGAACATGGCATTCATCTGTTATGCATACCTGCTGGCAAATCTTCTCTTTCAGCATCTTCGTGCTTCTTAGCAGGTACATTTAGGGATTCATTAGTCTTCAAACTGAGGTCAGCCATGGATTCTTCTAGTAATTTGACTGACCTTCTAGTGCTGTACACTCGCTGGACCGACTCATCCTTCTTAGACGATGCAGCTGCCTGAGCCCTCCTTGTGCTTCGCGGCGCTGGAGTTTTGCTCACATTGGTTTCAGGCTTCAGATCGGTAGCCCCCAGATCTATAGCAATCGAGGTAACTGCTGCTCCTCTACGGCCTTGAGGTACCGATGGATTCTGGAGCACGTTCGCGTCTCTGTTTTCTTGTTCCAGTTCTCCAGCTAGGGACTTGGTCGTCACATTGCAAGAACGGGTCACCAAATCTGATGATTGAGTTTCATCTTTGGTCTTTCTTCGAGTTGTTCTAGCTGCAGTACGAGCAGCACTTGGTAGATTCTTTGCTACGCTTGTCGGAGATTGATTCGCAAACTCTTCAATACCTTCAACCTATTCAATCAGATAGAGATACATAATGGTAAGCTATCTAAACTCAGGAACAACATTTCTGATAAGCTATTTGAACCAAGCAAAACCACAAAGGTTCACAAAGAAATGTTAAGATCAAACACATCTGGTCCAGAAAATCGAGACAAATATACGAGACACATCTGGTCCAGACATTCAATTTTGTTTGATTTAGCAGATATTAAATATGATTCCGATGAAATCACTGGATCCATCTGAATGTATTAAGCATAGAGATATGTTCCGAATTCATAACCGCACTATCAAATAGTCCAACAAACATCTCAAAATTCCAAGCAATTTCAATAGTAAATCTTGCAGAAATAGATGAATCTATAAACAACAACACGTTCTGGAAATCTATAAGATGTCGATCCCAAATCATTTTGCAGGTTATTGAGACGGCGTGAGAGCGGAAATAAAAAGTAAATGCTTTACCATTAAATTGGAAGAAAATAGAGGCACAACTTACAATCTCAAGAGCTTTGAGAGCATCAGCCATGGCGACATTGGTCATATTAGCCGGGATTTTGTTCTTCTTACAGAAAAACTGGAGATCTCTTCTGGGAAGGCTGTCGAAATCCATCGCGACAAGGTAGAGAAAGAACAAGAAACCGAAAGTTTCTCTCTAATTTGATTGGTGAGAAAAATGACAGTTGAAAAACGAGAAGTTTCTGCTATGAATCTGAAGGTCCGAAGATGAAGGATATATATACATTAGTCGAAGATAAACCCTAACTCCCTTAAGCGGAAGTGACCGTTGGGGGGTAAAATTCGAATTTTAAATATCTTGAAAATAACATTTTATTATTAAGAAATCGTTATTTATGGCAATGTTGTCCATACGTATTTTTTGGCGAGAAAAGACGTCAATGAAAGTATATTAAAATGATCGCTTTCCTTAAAAAAACTATTTTGGTGGGCCAGCAAAAATAGGAAGCCCATAGTTTGCGTCAATGGGCCTATAATTCGAAAACGTAGAAAACACGCGCTTTTCAGAGGCGCGTGTTAATTCAAGGAACTGCGCGGCTCGCAATCACCATCCGGAGGAGAGAGAGAAGGCGAAAGAGAGACGGAGTCACGGAGGAGACAGAGAGAGAAAGAGACGAGGACGCGGAGGTTTCAGAGAGAAAGAGAGAGATACTCACTTACATAGGTTATAGACAGACGGTGGAGAGCAGAGAGGAAGGTTTAACCTAATTTGCGGAAAGCGTAGGGTTATGGGAATTGTCCAAATCTGAATGGAAAGCTTAGTCCTTGCCGAATTCACTTGGTTCCCTTCCGTTTGTTTCAGTTGGTCTTGGATCCGCCGGGTTTCGCCTATATTACCGGCGGCTGAGCTGATTTTCAGGTAGATCAATACATATGACCATAGAAGAAATTGTTTGTTTCTGGAGAATGGTAGACTTTTGAGGCCTGTTTCTGGTAGTGACATAGAAGAAATCCGTAGCAAAAGTCTGATCTTGAGTGTAGAGATTGAAAGAGAGAGTGAGAGAAGGATGGGTAGCCCAGGGTTAGGTGCGGTGGATTGGACGGTGGGTTCGATTGTGTGGGTCAGGAGGAGGAACGGCTCGTGGTGGCCGGGGAAGATACTTGGGCAGGACGATCTTGACTCTACGCATATCACGTCGCCACGATCTGGAACTCCGGTGAAACTCCTCGGGAGAGAGGATGCAAGTGTGTAAGTCTCTTCTCTTTTATCTGTGTTAACTTTCCAGTTCATTTGGGTTGATACTGAAAGCATTTTTGTTCATCTTTTAATGTGCTAAGGGATTGGTACAATTTAGAGAAATCCAAGCGGGTTAAGCCATTTCGGTGTGGCGATTTTGATGACTGCATTGAGAGGGTAGAATCTTCGCAAGGGCTGACAATAAGGAAGCGAGAGAAGTATGCTCGTAGAGAAGATGCGATTCTCCATGCTCTTGAACTTGAAAAGGAAATACTGAAAAAGGATGGGAAACTTGCCCTTGAAAAGCCTAGAGATAACTCTCCTGATGCAGCCAAGGACAGAATGGTTATATACAAGGCCCAGGATATCTCTAATGGGATACGAGAATCTACTGATAGTCGTGGGCGTAACCATGTTGCTGATGTTATGCATTTGCAAAAAGATAAAGAGGAAGATCAGCCAAGTTGTGAGGACGAGGCTGTGCCTCGAATGAGAGGCTTGCAGGACTTTGGGCTAAGAACCACCACTTCGAAGCGAAAGTTTTCATGTTCCAATGGTCCTGATACTTCCTTAAAGTCTCTTGCCAGAAGCAACTCGTCAGCTTCTTCTAGTGGTGATCATAGCTTGGAGAGGCCCAGTTATACCCTCGGTAAGTTGGTTTTGGAAACTTCCTAATGTGTAATTCCAAAATGGTTGGACACTAAAGACTTCTGGCTCCTTTTCACATATTATTCTTATGAAATTCTGGCTCTGTTTCAGGAAAGGAGAAGATTAGGAGTATGATGGAGGCTAAAAGGACGAAATATATGTTTGCACCAAATGAATCTAATGATGTTTTAGACCTGCATGAGAGTTTGCTAAGCCACAGGGATGCAATGCATTCCTCCTTTGCTGGTGGCGATTCTCGTTATTCGCTTTCTGAATATGACCCTCCTGATTTTTTGGAAGATATTGAATCTGATTCTTCTGAATCTGAAACTGATTCTTCTGATATAGAGGAGGATACTGATGATGACATTCCCTTGCTATCAGGTGAAGCTTCTCTGGGCGGCTAAAAGCTAGTTTCTTATCACATATATGTTTTCTCCCTTTGCGAAAAAACGATACTCATTTCTGATTCTTCTTTTTATGGCATTGGTGTCAAGCCCACAGCTATCTATGTGTCGCGTAGTTTTTAGTTATTCCCTAACTAGAGTTTGAAATCTTCTCCTTCCAGGAGCTGGGCGTCATTCAGAGCGACATAATACATTTAGTAGGCATATGTCAGCAGAAGATGAAAGCACCAGCAGTGAGGAAGATCATTATGAGTCATCCATTTCTGGCGACTCTTCTTACCTTTATTCTCACAATCCGGATAATGAAGCTGGAACGGTTTCCAAGTGGCAGCTCAAGGGAAAAAGAAACATGCGTAATCTTCCAAGAAGGTCTGCACGTAAGAAAGACTTGCATCGTAATCGTCTGGAAGATGGCAGATACTGTGAATATAAGAGAAGAGCATTTGGCCAGAAGCCTATGGGTTATGGATTGGATTTTAATGGGACAAATGATATGAGTGATGGAACTGATGACACTGATCCCAACGACAGGCAGTTCGGGGACAGAATGATTGGACCAGGTGATGATGATTATCAGCTCTCAACTATGGCTGCATCTCGATGTAAGAACATCTACAGCCATGACATGCTGGACTGGGATGATGATCCTTGGGAAAGCCAGATTGGTATGAAGAAGCAATGGGAGGAAAAAATTGAAGGTTTAGGTCAGGAGTTTGATGCTTCTCATCGACATTTTGGCAGAAAACCGTATTCTCCATTGATGGATGTGAATTTAGAAGTGCGAGGAAGCTATCAGAAAGGGCCTGTCCCAATCGTCTCCCTTATGAGTAAGCTCAATGGCAGAGCAATAATTGGACATCCAGTCGAAATTGAAGTCTTAGCAGATGGTTCCTCCGAGTCATATATGCAGACAACTGATTACTTTGGTAATGAAACAACATACCATGACAAACCCTTTCTACTTCCCCCTGCTTGGAAGACTGCTAGAAGAAGTAATTCACGGGTTCCACGGCTGCATCCATTATCATCATCACTCGAAGCCGATGCTGAGGATCACTCTCCGGCAGATCAGGGACGAAAACCGCTGTTGAAGAGACCTGGTTTGGGAAATGTTAGTAATGATGATAACTTGGTGAGGAGAAGCAATCTAATGCGTATTCCACGGCCACCTGGAGAGAGAAAGCAGCAGCAAAAGAAGTTGCTGAAGAGCACAAACGCAACCCCTAGTCAAAAGACAAGGGCACTCTCGTCATTCAGCAGCGAACAAGCACACAACGGGATGAAGGCGTTTCGGGACCGGACTCACGAGCTCTCTAACAGACGGGTATTACCGGGACCACCAACCGTGGCCTGCATACCGGTCAAACTAGTATTTAGCAGATTACTGGAGAAGATAAATAGACCGCCATCAAAGCCAATTGCGAAAGCCATTCACGAGAGGAGAAGAGATCATTAACAAGAGCTCTACTCTACAGGTTCAAAACATATAAACCATTTCTTGTCTCAGGTTTTCGTAGATTGGGAATCACGTTTAGGCCATTCAAAATTCTGGGGTGATGTGTCTTTTTGAGCAACCATCAGAGGCTTTTAGGCTTTTATTATGTGATGATTCTGAGGGAAAGTTAGTCGTAGGGAGAACAATTTACGTAGAGAGACTCTGCTTACTTATTGGTACAGATCAGGTGAAGAGGTAGAACAATATACCACTGGTTCGTCTTGTATATTTTTCACTCGTGAGAAAGCTTTATGTTTCTTTGATTTATTGATTTAGTTCCAACTTTAGATTTATTAAAAGTCTTTTTCAGAGTTTTTTTTTTCTAAAGTGTTGAATCTTTGCTGGCTAATTAATTAATATACACGCATCATATCGATTTTGTTCTTCATGGATTTGATAATATGTCGTTGGGTCAAGTGAAGGCTTGATAAATTTGATTACAATTTTGTATATCTGTGTTTTTCAAAACCGGTTTGGTTCAGCTAATAGGAAAATCCTATTTTGCTCTAGTTTAATTTATTGGTCTACAGACTGAAAGAAAACTTGTCAAAATCTAACCAAGCTCGTTTAGATTTTGTATAATACCGCTTCAATCATTTTGGTTTTATTATACTGGCTCGACCTCTTCTCTGGTTGATTGATTGATTATGTTCGCTTGAACAAATTCACTTAAACATAAAACCTTCAGACATCCTTGACCAACAAAAAAGAAAGGAACACTGAGGCATACAACAGAACTTGGAAGAGTTTTTTCAGGACACCACTTCACATACAGTTTGTCTACTTGGAGATTTATTACAGCATTACATCAGATGAGACAACAAACCAAACGAGAGCGCGGGAGACTTAAACATGGTGAGTCTTGTCCGAGTCCTCGAGACTTATAGGACGAAACCAAGCAGTCTCCTCCAGTACCGCCGAGTCCTGGCGAGCAGCCTCCGCGGCCGGACTGTGCTCAGCTGTGGAGGGACCAAAGACTCCGGTTTGAGGATGAGGAGACCAATATTGATCAGAATCTGGCTTTATGACGTCATCAGGTACTGCACTTGCATGCAACTCATCCTCCACATTCTTGTCATACGCCGAGGAATGACCATTCCTGCTGTTGAGAATTAAGATAAACAAAAGTCGTTCATGTATATAACACGTTATTTCTAATAAAACATGAAACGTTTACACGGATTCTATGTCTATCGATATTGGTCACACCCACAAGCTTTGATATATGTATAAATAAAAATATCCGATCTTTATTTATCAACTAAAAGTTCAATCCAATTTGATTAAAAAAAAAACTTTAAAACAATTTCCTGTTGGGTGGGAGATTATTGCTGGGTAGGTGAGAAATTGCCACCACAGAATACCCACACCAAGCCAAAAAAAAGAATGAATTTTTACGCAGAAGTCGTTATATAGATTTTCCTCTGGTCTTTGTATATTTATTAAAGATGGAAAGTTTTGTGTTCATTTTCTGAAAAGGTGAACCGAAAAAATATTTATATAAATATAAATTAAGTAATGTCAAATATGTCATAGTCAGCCCATCAAAGTTTCTTTCAATTTACAGCTTCAAAGCTGTCGGTCCAATTCTTATCTTATAATCTCACGATATTAAATAATCAGCCACGTCACGTCTACTCATCTAACTAATGTGTTTTTGTTTCAATGGACTTATGCAAATAGGTTTTGGAATTAAACGAATTAATTGCGACAAAGAAAAATAGAAGACTCAAACTATTATCAAACATGGGAAAATCCCTTTATTTGGATACAATTTTGAGCTTATAACTTATGTGAACGCCTGAACGATTAAAAAACTACAAAATGTTGTTATTTGTCAGGGGTAGGGATGTCAATTCATCAACGGCACGTGTCAAACCGTGAAGTAGATTGGCTTTGGTATTATCCATATAAGCCAATTGGCATATGCCATTTTTCGTGCACTGTACAGTGTACATTGCTTGCGCTTTCTGTACCCTATTTTTATTATTCAAGAAATGAAGAGAAAATGTAACAATATTTGTAAAAATATATGTATGTAAAAGGATTTTCTCACTTTAAAGACTTTAATACACTTGTACGAAAACCACATGATTCTTTTCGGATCCATTTAACGTTTGGAAAAAGAGGCATTATATATATGACATTGAAAATATAAAAAATACACAAATGTTAGTATTATTTAATTTATCAAGATCCTTAGATATCTGAACTTTCTAGATCTAGGAATAGTAGTATCTTGAATTTAACGAAGTGGAAGATTATAAATGGTTGGACCAACGAATCAACGATAACACGCAGAGAATAATCAAACACCAAAACCTCTATCACGTTTGACGTCAGGAAATTTAAAAACTTGTGTAATGTTTTTATCAGTTTCATTATAGTGTCCATTTGTTGGATAAAATACATATTTCCACAGAAAAATGTAGAGTCTTTTTTGTCTGTTTGCCATCATTGTAAATTTTGTTTGCTTAGGATGAAAGAAGAAAAATAGACATAGAAAGAGAGAATGTTTGGTACCGTGAAGCCAAGAGAGTTGAGGCGGAAACTGTAGCGCGTGGGGAAGCGCGTGGAAAGTTGGCATCAACGAGATGCTTCCTTAAGCCGGTGATCAACTGAAAGCTCTTCGATTTAGTTGCCATACTACTCTGTTTCTTCGCCGGAGATTAGAGAGAGAGAGAGAGAGAGAGAGAGAGAGAGAGAGAGTTTTTTTTATATTCTTTACTTTGTAATAGTGAGTATTTGATTCAGCACCGTTTGTCCGTTTATTGTGTGCGTATGTATATATGCTTCGAAAGAGATGGGATTAGGAGACAAAGCACAATCTGATCCGCGTGTCTTACCTACCAAACGTTGCCGTTTCGCTTTCTTCTGACGCCGTTACTTGACGGATGGACGGCGTGTGCTTCTATACCTATTTGGGCTTTAAATTAAAGGCCCGTTAAAGTCTCAGTTATATATATCTTCGTTTTTTGTAATTATTTAGGCTGAATATAAGCTAGGCCCATTTAAAGCCTTCTCCCTCTCAAACGACGTGCGACACGCGTACACCGCCACGTTTTTCACGTTCCTTAACCTCCTTCCTTTTTCTTCCCCAAGAGAAACAAAAAAAAAGTCCTGAAAATTGAAAATTCAAGCTGCTAAGAACAGACTCAGATCTAACTTGATACGTCGACTCTAGATCGGTGAGAATGGCTCTCGAATGGGTTGTTTTAGGCTACGCAGCGGCGGCTGAAGCGATCATGGTCGTGCTTTTGACGATGCCGGGACTTGATGGACTCCGCAAGGGATTGGTCGCCGTCACGCGTAATCTCCTGAAACCTTTTCTCTCCATTGTCCCTTTCTGTCTCTTCCTCTTGATGGACATCTACTGGAAGTACGAGACGATGCCTTCGTGCGACGGAGATTCCTGCACACCGTCGGAGCACCTCCGTCACCAGAAATCGATGATGAAATCCCAGCGAAACGCGCTTCTCATCGCGGCTGCACTTGTGTTCTACTGGATCCTCTACTCCGTAACCCATTTGGTCGTTAAGATCGAGCAGCTCAACCAGCGGGTCGAGAGGCTCAAGAACAAGGATTGATCGTCTCGTCTCTCAGGTCCAATTAGTGAAAATGCCTTTTTGGTTTTCGAGTATTATCCTATTTCATTAGATTTTTACTGTTTTCCTGTTTCAAGGCTTCTGATTTGTGCGTTTATCTTCTGGACATTGGTGGATCTAATGATCCTACTTTTCTATGCGTGGTTTTTTTTGTATCTGTTACCCGTTTGCTTAACCGGATTGAGATTGAATTTGGATTGACTCATAATCGTCTCTTCAGTCACATACGTTGATTGACACATAAATGATTCGATGATTTACTGAATTTCTGCATTGCTTGATACAGATTTGGTAATCAGGTAAGAACCTTTTGTTTAGTTGTGTTCAATGTCTAGTTTCTGATTTCGCGGTGAAATAAAAACTGTCTCCTATGTGTATTTAGTGCATCCGAAGTCTTAAGTAGTAGTGTGTGCTTAATATGCTTCATATGCTTGATAGACTCAAGAATCGACCATGAGCTCTAGATTGACCAATACTCAACAATCGACATTCCTTGGAAGATGATAGATAGCGTAGAATGGAGTAATCATCATCAGTGGTGGTTCTTGATAGGTAGTGTAGGAATGAAAACTGTTGGTTCATGTATTTGCTTCTCCATTGATCTTGTTGTGAAAAGACTTCGTTTTTTGGCTTTCAATTATTTGAGTTACCTTTTTAAATGTTTGAATTTTGGCCACTGTTACGTTCCAAATGTATTGACTGCTGCTCCAAGATATAAGGATTCGTCCAAGATATATAGAAAAAAGATCTTACTGAGAATAACTCAACATAGAGCGATACTATAGGCCTGAGTGCATGCATAGCTTGGAGTTTTTTCCCTTCGTTTACAGTTTTCATTGATACCACCGTTTTTTTTTGCTATTTCATGAAACATTTTTCTTCAAACACAATGATGGAATGGTAAAACAACTTGTATATTTGTCTTAATGTTTATAATCTGAGAAGATGATTGGTCAAAGATTATTATAATGATAATGATCTCTGTAATACCGTAACATAAACATAATATCTTCGCATGCTTAGATTTCATACATAAACCCAACAGTTTTAGTATTGCATTTGTTAAATGACTCCTTTAGTTGATTCGATTTGCGTAGCTCATAAATTCGTTTTGTTATTTTTATTTCTGTTTTTTGAAAAATGATCATGTGCTTGAAACCCCGTAGAAACGGTCCATAAATACTACTAAAATAAAGTTTGTTAATCAATCATGGGTCTCTGAATCTATTCAACTAGTTCGACACGTATCGTTAGGTTCGTCACACAGAGATTCTCGATGACCTCGTTGTTCGAGCCATCTGTTTCCACCCACCACGTAACATGCATCCAATCTCCGTCCATCTCTACTCTTTCCACGTGTCACAATCGGGCACAACCATTCTCAAAATATCTTATCCCGACCAGGAAACACTATTATAAAACGACCGCAAAACCAGAACCCATGTTCATGGGCGTGAACATGTTGCTTTGAGAAACAGAATTGATAAGATAATGTTTAAAATTCGAATATTCATTACGTAACTCTCAGAATTAGATAGAAATATGCCTTTTTAAAAAGATTTACCCCCAAAGTGTACTTACAGCTATCACTTAATTTTAATTATGGGCCGACTATATATACACATTCGTCATCATCATTATAAATTGTTTGTATAAAAAAGGCACTGTTTCTGTTCTCAAGTCTTGATCAATTAGAGGCGGCTTTGCAGAAAAAAAATGCACTATCAAGAACAAATGGAGTCTCTTATGTTGGGTGAAGAGCGCAGACGCGGAAACTACGTTAGGGACGCAGACGCGGACACAGATGAAGGTTTTAACTCTCCGTCTTCTTTCCCCAACTCTCCTGACGATTCGGACCGTCGCAGTTCTTCTTCTTCTTCGAGGTAAGGACAATCAAGGAGTTTTCGTTTCCGTCCCTGAATTTAGATCTTGTTACAATAAAACCCAATATTAAGGGTCTTTTAAGAAATCTTATAGTTTAATTAAGGGGTATAATACGAAATTCTTGAACTTCAGGGCGTTTCAGCGAAACAAGATCGATAAGTGATTTATGAAAACCTCTGAAGTTTTTGTATATTTGTTAATTTACCCCAAATTTATGTTTCGGAAATATTTCACAACAGGAGAGGATTGTCAAAACACTACAAAGGTAAATCACAGTCGTTCACATCGTTGTCTGAAGCGCTAACCTTAGAGGATCTCGCGAAACCCGAGAATCCTTTCAACGCAAAGCTGAAGCAGCGACGGGAGAACTCTCACTGTCGACGATCCTCCGGATGTGGTGGCTCATCGGAACGAAATTTAGGTGGTCACGACGTTTTTCTCGTCGGAAACAATAGGCCGCCGCGACTTCCCGGTAACAGACCGCCTATGAGAGCTCAGACGCTATCGGCGGCTCATATATCGGCTTTGCTCACTCGAACCTAAACCTGAAAGCCTTAGTTTTTTCCTTTTCTAAACCGGACGGAACCGGGTTTCGTTTGGGACGATGTTCTTTTCGAGCTTCCGTCTTCTAAATTATGTGTGAATGTTTAAGTTGCAAGTATTTTGACCATTGATAATTTTGTAACTTTCAGTTTTATCTAGAATTAGCTCAAGCTTACATTTAACCATATATACAGGAGAGAGGTTTGGAGAATTTTTGAAAATACCTAGCACTAGTTTGGTAGTTGTTTACCAAAAACAGTTTTTGTGAATAGAAGAAATGTTGGGCAGGTCTGAGAGTATTATAAGACAAAAGAAATTTGGTAAAATAAGCTCCCGGTAAGCTTGTTACATAAACAAATTTCTGTGACACTTTTATAATTAGAAGGAATCAGGGGAGGTTTTATAAATACCAAAAACTCAGGGTCATTTAGTAAATATATAAAGTTTAGTAGATACCAAAACTTAATTTTAAACATATAAATTTTAATTATTATTTCAAATCTCTGAATTTTTTAAAAATTAAGTATTTCTATTTTGAATATGATCATTTTAAAATCAACTATAAATTCAAATATGTAAGTAAATACGTAGGATTAAACAATACATTATGTATATTAATATTTATATATTATAAATCCAATAGCATAAAAATTTGAACGTAGATTCTAAAATCATATAACTAGGAATATCAGATCTAGTTTGGATTTCCAAACTACATATACCAATATTATTCACCATTTTAGTTACAAAAAAAGAAAAACATTATAACAGAAAAACCAAGAATACCAAGTAAAAGCACGTTTCATCTCCTCACCTACTCACGGGTGAAGCGGATTTTGGAGTTTTGTTATAATTTGTGGCCTATAAAATGCACACATACCCTATTCGCTTATCCTTTCTTCTAAGAGTATTCGTATTGTAGAAATCATGTACTAAAAAAGTAACATTTTATCCAATATCGTTATTTATAAATCATATCAATAGCTACATATTTGAAAATGGTGGTCAAACTATATGGGCAAATAAAAGCAGCTAATCCACAGAGAGTGTTGCTCTGTTTTCTGGAAAAAGGCATCGAGTTTGAAGTTATACATATCGATCTCGATACATTTGAGCAGAAAAAACCAGAACATCTTCTTCGTCAGGTTGAAAATTATAGCATAATATATTAATTATTATCATAGAAAACATATTACTATAGTCTATTTACGTAATTCGATCTTGCGTTGTATACTTGTGTTAGCCGTTTGGTCAAGTTCCAGCTATTGAAGATGGAGATCTGAAGCTTTTTGGTAAGATAAATTCTCCAAATTTTAAATTAAAACTAAAAGGTTTTCCTTCGGTAACTTTCTAAATCGTAAAAGTTTCTGAATCGTATGCTATTTCATTATTCTTTCTTACAATAAACTAATGTCAAGAAAAAAATACACATATGTTTGATTTTTGGTTTCAAGAATCGCGAGCCATATCAAGGTACTACGCGACCAAGTATGCGGACCAAGGAACAGACCTATTAGGGAAGACCTTGGAGCAACGAGCCATCGTGGAACAGTGGATGGAAGTTGAGGCTAACTATTTCAACGTTGTTGTTCTACCTTTGGTTATCAATATCGTGTTTAAGCCCAAGTTTGGTGAGTGCGACGTCGCTTTGGTCGAAGAGTTAAAGGCCAAGTTCGGGAAGATCCTCGATGTGTATGAGAACCGGTTAGCTACGAACCGGTACTTAGCCGGTGCTGAGTTCACATTGGCTGATTTGACTCATATGCCCGGTTTGAGGTATATAATGAATGAAGCTGGTTTGAGCGACATGGTTACGTCTCGAGAGAATGTTAACCGGTGGTGGGCTGAGATTTCGGCTAGACCGGCTTGGAAGAAACTCATGGAAATGGCTGCTTATTAAATTAGTACTACTTTATCGTCATTGATGATGATGCTGAAGTGGTACTTGGACAAATAAGTTCAAACAGTTTCTCGCCGTTAAGAAAATAAGTTTCTAATAAGTCTCCGTTTCTTTTTTCCCATATAAAGTTAAATCTCACGTGTTAGTGTCTTTCTTCATAGAACACTGTTATTTTCTAGTCAATTTTCTAATTCACACGGCCTTCCAAAAAAAGATGAAAAGTTCTCCTGATCAGTTATGATCGTTAAGTTGGGTAGTTTTAATAGCATGTAATCCATATTTGTTATTAGATACTTCATAAGAAATACTTTCAATAGTAATACATAACAAGAATTAATGATGACATCGATATATGTTAGTATATATGTAGTATACAGAGACGCCCTTTTTTTTCAAAGCGTATATAAAATCAATAATTTAAAAAATCAGAAAAAAATCGCAAGGCATCTGTAATATTGCTGAGCCATTAAACTCACAAGAGTTAATTTGCTTTTCGTGATCTTCTCAGCTCTTTGTAACCAAGAATCTTTGTCCTCTTCAATGAACAATGTTCTCTCTTCCACATTGTGATTAGTAGGATTGATGTGAACTTTCAACGTGTGAGAAGGTACGACTTGGTGATATAGAATATTCGTTGTTTGATATGTCGAGATGAGCATTTGGTTGTTAAACCTAGTTTCTTCTTCAACCACCTCAAATCCCGATGAATCAAGGGTTTCATTTGTATTCACGTCGTCTTCATTGCCTTCTATTCGATTTACGTTTTCCTCGTTATATATATCAAACGAGAAGAAATCATCTATATCTATGTTGTTATTGTTGTTTCCTGCAAATTAAACAGTTTGTATTTGTCGTTAGATAAGAAAGCACCTAAACAGTTTTAAATGTGAAACAAAATTATATATCATACTCACCATGAAATTCAAGATCTTGGTCAATACCGTGCGATATGATCTTCTGCTCTTCTAGATAACCCTTTTTAGTATCAAAGCAAAAATATCTTATATTAGGTATAAATATAAATTTTTACGTAATTATATGTTTAAATATTTTAATACCTGGTTCATATGATGATTTGACATTATTGATGGTTCATCATAATTGCCTATGTGGATCACTTGATCACCGACACTATTAAAATGGTTGGAGTTACTTGCAACGAAAGTTAAGTCCTCCAAAACGCCATGATTGTTGTTGTGAGTCATACTCGTAAAGAAATCGCAATCGCTGACCACAGAGTTCTCTACACGCAACAGTGGTAGAGATATATTGTGTTGTAACATTGAGCATTCGAGCTCATGATTGTTAACCTACATGAACATATATACATATTTGCTACTTATATCCATCATAAAAAAAAATGTATATACTTTTGATGGATGTATAAACTTTTGGTATATTAATTAGTTATACCTTATATGAAGTAGGGAACGGTGCGTAAGAAGAGCCGTAGTATTGCGACCAGTCTTCGTTACTGATTGCGTTTGAATTAAAAAGTCCGTTTCCAAATCGCGGTTGGAATGCATTTTGAACTTGATGAGTAGTTGAACTGATCTCTAGATCCGAACAAGCGTCAAAATTCGAAGTGCCACTCGCATTCGACATCGCGTGGACGTAAGGCCGATGCTGATCTCTTGGCTTAGCTTCAATCACAATCTTTTTAAACACGCGACAAAGTGCATATGCGTCCTGAAAAAAAAGAGATACGTTTAGATTATATATATACATAATGAAAATGATTAGTCAATAAAATAGATAGCCGACGAACCTGCATGCCGTATGCAGAAGGCTCGCATTCATTTTCATCGAGTCGATATTCATGCATGACCCAACCGGTTCGGATACCGTGTGGCGCGCGCCCACGGTAGTACACCAATGTCTTCTTGGTTCCAATGGCTCGGTCTCTCCAACTAACCCGGCGGTCTTTACCCGTCGCTTTCCAGTACCCGCCTTTGGTTGCTCGGTTCGTCCTTGAACCGTTGGGATACTTCCGGTCCCGTGGACTGAAGAAGTACCATTCTTGGTCTTTGCTTGGAAGCAAGGACTTACCTATCATTGAATTTATTATTGATTATTATTTTAACCATCGTATAGTGTGTAGACAGAAAAATTCTATAATACTAATTTGCCAAAACGTGTATATTTAATCAAAAATGTAATAATATCTGAATTGAATTCATGGCATGTTTCTCAAACTTATTTTATAAAAAAAGTTATTTGAAATAACAACGAATGAATAAAATAACTCTCTTAGCAACTAATACCGTTTAAACTCAAATTACGATATAGTTTTTAGAAATTTTAGGTGAAATAATAACAAATGAATTAAATATGTAAAGAACATGTATACAGTATTTCTCCTGTCAAAAATTAAAGTATATTTAGGGTTTCTTCATCGATGTTATATTCTTATTCTTTTCTTCAGCCTCTCTTGCTTCTATTGGTTATAGACAAAAAGAAAAGAAACCAATTCTCAATTACAAAGGTTGTGAATCTAATCCAAATAAGATTTGTCGAATTTTGAAAAGTATTGTATAATCGAGTATTGTTTTTTTATTAAAATGAAAATATCATCCTATTTTGTAAAAGAAATTAAATTCATGCATATTTGAAGAAGATCTAACAATACCTGGTAAGTCCCATGGCTCACACTTGTAGAGATCAACTTCAGCGATAACCTCAAGTTCGATTTCCAGACCGTTGATTTTTCGTTTTAGATAGTAAGTAATTAGTTCCTCATCCGTTGGATGAAATCTGAAACCTGGAGGTAATGAGACAGGGGCCATATGTATTTCAAGTTATTCTCGAAATTATTTTGTGTGTTGATAAATTTCAAGAGAGAGAGAGGGAGACTCTAGAGGAAGAAAAAGATTTCAGAGAATAGAAATGTTTTTGACTTCGTTGAGGGTTTGGAGAGGAAGGTTGTATATATAGAAGGAAAAGATAGAAGGAATGAGAAAAGGAGAGGCAAAAGTGAATAAAGGGAAGGTCCCCATCCCAAAACAACAAATAACATATTAAGAATTAAGTTACCATTTTAAAATTAGTCAAATTTTATATTTTTTGGTCCGACGCATAATGTGGTAACTCTTAAGTTTCCCTATTACATAGTTTTATATACACACAACAAGAAGTTCTCACTTCTGAGCCGTATGTTCTTCATATGCATTAGCCTTCAACTTAAAAATTTAATCAGAACATAAATATGACTTTAAAGTGTATTTAAATGTACTTTTTATTAACGAGCGATATAAATTTTTCTGCATGAATGTAGAGCCTCGTACTTATCAATGTTACAAAACAAATGATGAATAAATAAAAAGTATGTTGTTGATCAACAGGAATAATTAATCAATCGTTTTTTATAAATAAAAAAAATCTGATTAGGATTCACGAGGCGATTACGTAGCTAACCGGAATAGAATTAATCAAAAATTGCCGCCCTAAATGCAAAACCGTGTTTCTTCATCAAGTGGTCTCAATTTATCCCAAGCTTCTTCAAGTGTGGTCGGTCTGGAATAAAAGCATACGTGTCTGAACTCTATTGGTTGCATGGGAGATCGAATATTTGGTTACCCCAAAAATGTTGCAATCTCTCTTTTTTTTTCTTTTTGTTATTTGGCGGCACTTCTAACTGAAATAACTGTCTCTTTTGTACCCACTTGCGAATCCTTTGTATTTCTTCTCATTGCCACCTATCTACGTTCATAGACCTTCTTTTCAAAATAAATAGTGTTTTCATTTATTTGGGTGCTCTTCATTTTCTCATTTATATATATATATATATATATATGATATATCAGCTTCATATACCCTTTTCATATATAGAACCAGCTCACCAGCTTCATATACAGTACATCATAGTTTATACATGGCTCGCACTAGAAAAAAATAAGTCACTTTATTGGTTAATTATCCACCAAAATCCTATGTATATTTTGTAGAATACGAGATTAGTTGTTAATTCCTTTCTCGCCATTTGTTGGTTGATCCAAGTTGTTGGTTCAAAATTCAAATAGCAAAAAAACAATTGATCGAAAGTCCAAAATTTTATATGGTTATATGACACTATATATTATTTTATTTGATGTAATCATTTCTTATGAATATATTCACGTTTGGTACGGGCAATTAAGAAACCATAATTTAACTAGATTCGACATATGAGATCCGACTAATTACATAAAAAACGAAGAAGACCGAAAAGCATATATATATATGAAATATGATCATGTGGGTCCATCGGTTGTGAACATGTGAATAAATCCTTGGAAGCTATTGATGGGCCAACCATGGAGAATCACTTCTCAGCCTTTCTCATCATCGTCATAACCTTTTTTCTCTCCTTATTCCAATTCAATATTCTCTTTCTATGTATCATGATATATATACATGTACATTATGATACACACATATGTTAAATATATCTCATATATACAAAGACAATGTGTACATACCCCTCTTGACACATTTCCCTCACATGAATCCATCTTTTGGTTCTTTACTTCTTTCTTGCTGGCGTTCACACACATATCCATAAACTAATAGATTTGATTAGTCATCTGATAAACCCTACCTTGAGATACGTACGGTGGTGTATACATGAAGGCATCAATATATAGATTTATTGAGCCACAGTAGAATGAGGAATTCATCAAATGAAACTGAAACTATATTCTGAGATTTGGGAGATTTTACGGGATAACGGGACCTATTAAAGAACGAGAAATATATTGACGAAAGAAATTGTGGAACGCTATTGATGCCTTAGAGAACGGATTGCATTGATCCATTTTAACATGTTTGTTCCTTGATCTGAAGAGAATGTTAAAAAAGAAAACATCATAAATGACAACTATATTTTATCTTGGAATTATTTCAATGAAAATGAACTTATAAGGAACTCAAGGTTTACACAATCCATACAAAATTTGCAAATTTGACCCGTGCGTCATTTTTATTACAAACCACAGGAACAATCGAGTTTATAAAAAGTTTAGGAATATTAAACGAACTTTTTTTTAACTCGTGGGGTATTTACGAAATTCCCGATGAATGTCTAAACGGCGACGTATTGTCTATGAAAACAATAACATGGATTATTGTAAAAGGAACTGATAATAATAAAAAGGTAAAATACTCACAGTAGTATATTGTAGGGGTGGGCACAAAAACTATAACCAAAAAAACCAAACCATATCGAACCGAAAAAGTGATATGGTTTGGTTATGGTTAAACCTAAAAATCCAGTTGGTTATTAATTTTTTATAGTTTTGGTTTGGTTAAAAACCGTCAAACCAAAAAGTTTTTTTGGTTTTTAAACTAAATTTTAAATAATTAATATTTTTCTAGTTTTTTAATTTAGTTTAGGTGTATATTTTATTATTTGGCTTAGTTATCTTTATAATTTACCAACTTAACTCATAAATTTAAAATATACTCCCTCTGTTTCAAAATAAGTGTCATTTTGACACTTTTCACACAAATTAAGAAAATCATTAAAAGTTCTGTTTTACCATTTGTTCACACACAAAATAACATTCTCTTTCTAATTAATACATTAATATAATAAGGTTAAACCATGATTTTTGTTTAGAAAATTGCATTGAAAATACAAAACGACACTCTTTGTGAAACAAAAAAAAAACTCTAAAACGACATTTATTTTGAAACGGAGAGAGTAATATTTATAAAAAATATCTACATATAAATAATAAAGTAAACCTTAATTTTTCAATAAAGAAAAACGTGATTAACTCTTTTTTCTTCACATTCAAATCTTCTAGTTCTAGTTCCAAGGTTATAGGTATTAAATTTTAATCTAGATTTGTTTATTGTTTTATACTCCCTCCATTTCAAATTAAGTGTCGTTTTAGAGTTTTTTGTTTTGTTTCACAAAGAGTGTCGTTTTGTATTTCCAATGCATTTTTCTAAACAAAAATCTTGTTTTAATCTTATTATATTAATGTATTAATTAGAAAGAGAATGTTATTTTATGTGTACAAAGGGTAAAACAGAACTTTTAATGCTTTTCTTAATTTGTGTGAAAAGTGTCAAAATGACACTTATTTTGAAACAGAGGGAGTAATTATTAATTATGAAAGATTTGATAATTTGTTTGTTTCTTTGGTTTGAAATCTGTCCTTATTGATGAATTTTTTATGATTTAAATTCTATTTTTCGAATTTATTGTTTTATTTCACTCATATCTATTATTATTATTTTCATTAGTGTGAATCAAAAACTTTCGTGATAGTATAATTCAAAAAAACCGAAACTAAACCATATCAAACCGAACCGTAAAAAACCAAACTATACTGAATCGAAATATATATAACTTTTATATGGTTTGAATTTTCGTAAAACCGATAAATCGTAAAATCGAAGAAACCGAACCGAAACCAAACTAAAAATCGAAGTGCCCACCTCTAGTATATTGTTTCTTGATAATTAATGGTGCTAAGATCTGAATATTCGAAATTAATTACCTCTGCCTTCTAAAAGTTTAAAATCTGATAAAATTTATGGTTAAGCTAAGGGGCTCTATTGTCATTTCGGTAACATATAAAGCGGTCACGTGCTATCCAGCGCAGAGCGCATGTTAGAGTAGTTCACAGTTCCGATTGAGGGCTAAGGTGAGCCGAACAATGTCTGAGATCATAAATTATGGAGATCTTACAAAAATGGAAAGTTAATAATCGAACGAAGAAGCCTACGGTTGTTCTGTTCCTTTCAATCTCCTAAGCTCACCAAATTTTCATCTTCGCCTTCAATTTTTGTTTCAATCTGATGGAATCTCCTCACCAAACCAAATTCGCAACCCTAGCTTTTTAATTGGAGAAAAAAAAAAAAAAATAAAGTTCGAAAATCCCACCTTCGAATCTGGATGAAATTCGTTTTGTCTGAAGGAGAAACCTAGATGTGTCTGGTTCCGAAATCTGAAGTCGAAGAGAGATGCTAGGGTCGATTCATCTCGGAGTATTAGCAGCTTGCTTCGTCCTCTTCGTTCCCATGGCTATGGCGGGTTGGCATCTGAGCAGGAACAAGATGCTCTTCTTTAGTGGCGCTTTGTTCATCTCCCTCGCGGTTTGTGTTCATCTCACACCGTACTTCCCTTCCGTCTCCGACATCGTAGCTTCCATGTCGTCTGTTGTTGTCTACGATCACCGCATCTCCTGTATCAACGAGGTGAATCAGGTTGTCTGGGATGTTAAGCCGAGGCCGAATCCGGAGTCTGTTCGTAGGAATAACGGCTCGAAGCTTGATTACTTCGAGAAGAATTGGGATTGGGTGAAATCTAGGAAAGTTTTGAGTTGTGAGTTTCAGAAATTGGATAAATTCGATGTCTCGGAGTTGTTGAATGGATCGTGGGTCGTTGTTGCTGGCGATTCTCAGGCGAGATTCGTGGCTTTGTCGTTGTTGAATCTGGTTCTGGGTTCGGATTCGGAAGCCATGGATTCGGTTAAAGGTGATCTGTTTAGGAGACATAGTGATTACAGCATTGTGGTTAAGGAGATTGGGATGAAACTGGATTTTGTGTGGGCTCCTTATGAGAAAGATCTGGATGATCTTGTGGTATCGTACAAGGAGAAGAGCAAGTATCCGGATGTTGTGATAATGGGAAGTGGGCTATGGCATATGCTTCATGTGAACAACGCTTCTGATTTCGGATTTCGGTTGAAGCAATTGAGCAGTCATGTGGAGTCTCTTGTGCCCTTTGCGCCAAAGGAGCAAGAAGGAGGCGGGTCGGTTTCAAGTAGATCCATGCATCTGTTCTGGATCGGGATGCCGGTTTTGATCAACGGGATGTTGAATACGGAAGAGAAGAAGGTGAAGATGGGTGATACGATGTGGCATGAGTACGATAAATCGCTCGGGGAGAGTAAGATCTTGCGCCAAATGGGCGGTCCGCTTATCCTGCTTGATATCCAGTCCTTCACTTGGAACTGTGGACCGCAATGTACACTCGACGGTATGCATTATGACTCTGCGGTCTATGACGCGGCTGTTCATGTCATGCTCAACGCACTGCTTATCGAGTCTCATCAAACTTTGTGAGTCGAGGTGTCTTTTTTTTCTTTCTTTGTTTCTTTCCCTTTTTTTGTTTGGAGTTTTCTTGTAGAGTTATAAGAGAAGTGGGATATTTATAGGAATTTTTACGACACACAGTGATCCTTTTGGTCTAAATGATCTTCACATTGGAAGCAAGTGAACTTACATTCTTGGCAAATAGATTCAAATAATATCTTTTCACTTTGAAGTTATATAAACCTTCAGTTATTCTTTACCTTCTCTGATTCTGCTTCTGGTACAAAACCGGAACAAATAAGATACACTAGTGGTTTTGGTCATCATCAGCTTCAAGCATAAGCTTTTGCTCCTTAGTAATGTAAACAAATAGATACAATAGTGATGTTTGTGTGATCACTGTTCTTAGTACATAAGGTTGACTTTTGGTACCTATTCGTGGGAGAGTAAAAACTATGAAATGCAAAAGGAACATGCTTTTGTTGTTGCTGGAACCTGTTTCTTCCTTTTCAACACTAAAGATAACCTTAGACCAAGATACATATACTTCCATCAAAAAAATTCTCACCCGAAATCAAAAGAATCACGAGATATTTGAATATACCCGGGTCTTGTGTCTCTCAAGGAGTCTCAAACTGTTTCCCTTCAAAGGTTTGTCCGTAATCCCAGTTTCGAGGAGCGACGTTGTAAGCTGTCACGGTTGATCTGTCACTAGCAGTTACTTCAAAAGAGAGAGCTTGGTTCTTGAGATCGGCATTGATATGCCAATTTTGTCCCCAATTACGACCCATTGGTAACCACCCGGTTCTCGACCCTTTGATCTTCACAGCGGCTATGTCACCGGATCCCGCAACATTGGTGATCAGAACCGAAATGAAAATACCTCCACCATCTACTGTAAACCGAATGCTCCCTTCCCTTCTACAGTTGATCCTATTATAACCATCAACAATGAAGATATACGATCACTCACAAAACATTACACAAACCAGTAAGGATCCAATAAAACACTAAAGCTGTGATCGCCCTAGTGCCTAGAAAGTTTCCAAAACAACTTTAGCACCCGAAAACGAAGATGAAGACATAATTTAACATCAAGGAAGTGAAGCAATCAGTTTCAGTCCTATGCTATTGATTTCCACTCTTCTTCCTCTCATGGATCCATAAACTAATCCTCCAAGCAAAGCTACTCAACACATGATGAGCAAATACTCTTCAGATTTGCTACAATACTTAAGCATATTTGAATTTTGTCAAACACCAGTCTCAGGGGCAATAAAGTCAATTGCTAATTCGGGACAGCATTTAGGGCAACCTACCCAGCTCATGTAAAGCACACGATTATCGAAGAAGACGGAAAAACAAAAGCAAAAGCATCATCACTTGAATTGTTTTAAAAAAATTCAAATTGCAAAGAAGTAGTAAGAAAAAGAAAAGCAGAACCGCGTTCCCACCACCGCAAACGCATTTCTCGAGAAACGCGAACAAAATTGGGAGAACACAAAAAATGTGCGAGCGAGGAGAGAAGTCGAGAAAACGCACCTGCGATACTGCACCGGCATGTTCCCAGCTTTCCAGATAGCGATCTTCTCAAACGCCTCGATCGGCAGCACGAAATGTTTGTTCGGTGGGTTGCAGTGGCCACCACCGTCGGGATCAAATCCGTAATTAGGAGCGCAGAAATTGGTAGCGGTGAGGATGATTGAAGTTCCAGGGATACACCAACGAAGATCATCGACACATCTGAGCTCGAAACAAGCACCACAGATCTGACCGCGCTCAAACAGAGTCTCGCTCAGACCGACCGTAGCCATACCGTACCCAGATTTAACGAGATCTCCGTATCCACACGCACCGCCCACTGCGTCTCGAGGATTCGAAGCGGCGTAGTAGGTGGCTCGAGCGGGACGCCATTCGGAGGCGTCGGAAGAGACGGAGGAAGAAGAAGGAGAAGAGGTTGAGGAAGAGTAATGGGAAGCCACCGGCGGCGATGATGCGACGAGGAGGAGGAGGAGGAGTAAAGATAGAAACAGTTGCATCTCCGGAGGAGAGAGTCGAGAGAGAAAGTGCGAAATGTAGAGATTTGATGATTAATTTTGTTCTCTTTATGTTAGTCTTACTATTTAGTGGGAAAAACCTTTGCTTTTACCGGTCTGTCGGCTTCTTGAAATGACAAAACTACCCTCGACCGGAGCAAGGCTAAGCTCAAATCACATCCAAATGTAGACATGTTTAAGAACATTTCTCGGTCAACTATAATCTTTCATGTGTTATCATCATGCTCTAAATGGGCAGACGAGAAAATTTTGATTTTTTTATTTATTTATGATACGTTTTGTTCAGCTCAAGTATACTGAATGAAAATTTATTAGCAATGCAAAACCGCATTTTTGCTATTTAAAATTCATAAACTGAAAGCAATTCTGCAGTGAAAAATCTAAAGAAGAACAAGAGAAATGAGAAAGGGTGGAAAACAGAAAAAAAAAATTAACGCATTTTTCTATGCACAAGCATATACAAATTTCTATCAAAATATATTTTGTATACTATTAGGCATACAATATTAATATTTGATTATTTTCTCAAACTTATACTAGATACAAACTTCGTAAGAGGTTTTGTTTTCTTTATTACTTCTCACTCTTTATTCAGTACAAGCGGCTTTGATAATGGCTTCGAAATGCTGTTTCTCATGGATCATCCAGTGTCCAGCATTAGGGACCTCATGGAGCTTCATCCATGGCAGCTTATCACATATATAGATTAGAACATCTCGCAAAATTTGTTTGTCGTCGAGTGCACACCACATATGAACTGATCCTTTGTTACTATCCGAAAACGGGTTGCTCAATTCGGTTGGATCAAATTCCCAGTTTTCGTAACCCGCGATGATGTCTCGCTGTGTACTCACGTATTCACCTTGTTGTAAAGCATACTCCTGTAGTTTATACATATCAATAGCTTTCATGAGTGTATTTTCTAAAAGAATGAATACTAGTAGATAACAAATTCATTATAACATAAATAGAAAAACAGCTTACAACTACATATTAAAAATACCAACAAAAAGCTACACAAAACTCTAAAATCATCTTAGTTACAACTACACGACTAGTTAAACCAAACAATATATACATACCTTGAGTGATTGTTTTGAATGTTCTTCGGCAAGTTCCATATCGCGTTCGGTCAAAGTTTCTTTGGGATCTCGACTATTTGGAAACCATTTCTGAGTCATCCACCAATATAACAGCCATGGAAAGTAGTGTGCGATTCGAATTGTTAATCGAAACCCAAATGGTAATTTCTTGATCGCTGCATTCAACAAGTTTTGAGGCACACGCCTCCACCAAAAGTTCACTAATGGAACCACCAATGAAGCTCCACTTAGCCTATACGATACATGATTGGAAAACATTCACGTACGTTTAATTTTTTACTTTTTTGTTTGTTAATATATATAATATATCCATTATGAGAATTCGGATAGACTGACTGCTAGCTATATTGTATTTTTCAAAGTTAGTCATATAGTATAACTTCCCTTTTGGTAACTAAACGCTGGGACGAGGGAAAAAAATATATTTGAGAAAACATTATCCCAACTGCTATATATATATTCATATCTTTAGTCGTTACTCTATGACCTATACTTTTATCGCTGTCAAAACAAGGAAAAAAATACTTTTTTTTTTATCTCTAACTTTTTTTAACTATCAAACCCGATATTTTAATAATAAAAAAGTATAAACAAATGTATTTCATGCAAATGTGAAGCTATACTATAAGCGTTATAGTTTTGATAAACACTGAGAACAGTGAGAAGTGACGATCACAAATAATATTTCAACTTTTTTTATTAGTCTTTAAATAAAAACCTATAGATATATTACCTATGAGGAATGTATTTGAGGCAACCGTAAACCGGATAAGCTCCAAGTGACATCCCCAGTACATGGAACTTTGGACCAATTTGCAACTTGTCAGCAAGTTCTTCGATATCGTATGTATCAGTTTTAAGCGTTCGTGATGGATTGGGATCGCTTTCTCCATAACCAGCTCTATCAAATGTTAAAAAGTAAATCTTGAATTCGTCGATCATTTCCTGAAAAAGCCAGAGAAGTATTGTAGTTGCAAATATTATGACAATACAGTTATTAAATGATAAAATTAACCATTAATTTAATCCATACGTTAGTATACCTGTGTGGTGTATAAATCGACCTCTTTGGAATTTGCGTTTCCGTGGACAATTATTATTTTGTTTTTGGCTTCGTCTTTTGGAAATCCTAACTCTTTGTAGGCTAAATGTCTGCCATCATTAAGCTTGATTCTTGGAGATTTCTTAGAAGCATTTTCCGGCAATGGAATCGGCGGTGGTGGTACTATCGACTTGTAGACATAATAGCTTATTAACACCACAAGCGCAAGTATACATACAAGCAACATTATTTGGCCTATAGACAATACCTAATGTAACATTGCAAAGAAAACTTTAGTTTATCTTGTGAGAATAAGATGCGTAAACATATATATACATATGAATATCATATATAAAACTTTCAATGCCACTTCTAAATACTAGCGATGGTCGTCACCGATTTGTAAGTCTCAGAAGCAAATCAAAAGAGACTATAAATTCTTTAAATAAAAATGAGAGAAGGTGGAATGGAACTTAGATATGGGAGAGAAAACCAACCTGATGATTTAGGAGATGGTTAGTAATTGTGATGTAATGGTATCTCTTCTGTCCCAAACAACTTAAATAATGATAACTCTTTTGGTGTGTGGCATGCTGACCTCTTTGCATTATTATTATTTAATTTGGTTGTCCTTTTGCATTTATCAGCAATTGTATTTTTTCCACTCAATTATATTGCATATCTATATATTTTTTCAGTTTGTATTTATCATCTATTTTTTACAATCTATTTTTTTGTCAAACACATCAATAGTATAATCTCCCCTCAATTATATTGCATATCTACAAAATTTTACTATAGAATAAAAATTGCTTTGTTTAAGGGTTAATTTGTTGAGAACTCTTTGTAAAAAGGTTTGTTCACGCCAGAATTAGTCAGACAATTCAAAAAAGTCTTAAATTTGGTGCCAAATCTAAAAAAAGGAGCTTTAACGTATTTTACATTACCAATGAATTTGGTTGTCATTTTGCTTTGCTTGTTTTACTATGAATTATGTAACTCCCATCATTTTATATTGCTTTAATTTTCAAATATTTTTAATTTTATTATAATAAATGACAAAACTTTTCTTCAAAAAATATTGATATAGTTGTTCAGATGTAAACAGGTGTGTGTTATCCGTCATCTGGAGTAATATTAAAACATCATGGTTAACTTCTTTTCATGTAAATGCGCAGTAGAGAAAATTTTGATTTTTTATTTATGATATCTATGATACGTATTATTCAGCTCAAGGCTCAAGTAGACTAAATTGATTAACGAAACTTTCTTAGCAATGCAAAACCGCATCTTTTTTTTTTTTTTTTTAATTTCCTTAAACTGAAAGCTCCGAACCAATTCTTGACTGAAAATTCTAAAGAAGAGCAAGAGAAATGAAAAAGGATGGAAAAGAGAAAAATTTAACGCAATTTTCCAGCATTAGGGACCTCATGGAGCATTAGGGATGCTGCTTCTCATGGACCTCATGGAGCTTTATCCATGGCAGCTTATCACATATGTAGACTAGAACCTCGCGCAAAATTTGTTTGTCTTCAAGTGCACACCACATATGAACTGATCCTTTGTTATTATCCGAAAACGGATTGCTCAATTCGGTTGGATCAAATTCCCAGATTCCGTAACCCGTGATGATGTCTCGCTGTAAACTCACGTATTCACCTTGCTTTAAAGCATAATCCTGTACTTATACATATTAATAGCTTTCATGAGTGTATTTTCTAAAGAAATGTATATATAGTATATAACAAAATTCAATATAAATTAATAAAAAATCGCCTAGAACTACATCAAGAGTACACATATTAAAAAACACACGACTAGTTAAACAAAACAATATATACATACCTGGAGTGATTGTTTTGAATGTTTTTTCGGCGAGTTCCATATCGCGTTCGGTCAAAGTTTTTTTGGGATCTCGAGTATTTGGAAACCATTTCTGAGTCATCCACCAATATAACAACCATGGAAAGTAGTGTGCGATTCGAATTGTTAATCGAAACTCAAATGGTAATTTCTTGATCGCTGCATTCAACAAGTTTTGAGGCACACGTCTCCACCAAAAGTTCACTAATGGAACCACCAATGAAGCTCCACTTAGCCTATACAACATATAAATAGAAACATTCACATATGTCTAGGTTTCTTATTTTTCTTTTTGTTGTGTTGTGTAACTGTGTTGTGTAACTATACTACATAATTAAGCGTTATAGTTTTGATAAACATTGAGAAGAAGTGACGATCACAAATAATATTTCAACTTTTTGATAATTTTCTTTAAATAAAAACCCATAGATATATTACCTATGAGGAATGTAATTGAGGCAACCGTAAACTGGATAAGCACCAAGTGACATCCCCAGTACATGGAACTTTGGACCGATTTGCAATTTGTCAGCAAGTTCTTCGATATCGAATGTATCAGTTTCAAGCGTTCGTGATGGATTGGGATCGCTTTCTCCATAACCAGCTCTATCAAATGTTAAAAAGTAAATCTTGAATTCGTCGATCATTTCCTGAAAAAGCCAGAGAAGTATTGTAGTTGCGAATATTATGACAATACAGCATTAAATAATAAAATGAACCATTAATTGAATCCTTACTTTTACGGTAGTTGCAACTATAATTAATACCAAACATCATTAAATGATTAAAACGAATTAATCCTTGCGTTTATACCTGTGTGGTGTATAAATCGACCTCTTTGGAAGTTTTATATCCGTGGACGATTATTATTTTGTTATTGGCTTCGTCTTTTGGATATCCTAATTCTTTGTAGGCTAAATGTCTGCCATCACTAAGCTTGATTCTCGGAGATTTATTTTCCGGCAACGGAATCGGCGGTGGTGGTACTATCCACTTGTAGACGTAATAGCTTATTAATACCACAAGCCCAAGTATACCCAGAAGCAACATTATGTGGCCTATAGACATAAGGTAACATTGCAAAGAAAACTTTAGTTTATCTTGTGAGAATAAGATGCGTAATATATATAGATATATTGAACCCAAAAAAGTTGACATATCCATTTTCGGGACATGATATATAAAACTTTCAAAGCCTATAGATTAGCGAAAGCGATGGTCGTTATTGATTAGTAAGACTCGAACCCAAAAAATGGAAGAAGTTGAAACTTAGATATGGGAGAGAAAAACCGACCTGATGCTTTAGGAGATGGCTAGTTACTGTGATGTAATGGTATTCCTAATTCTGCCCCAAACAACTTAACTAATAATAACTTTTTTTATTCTTGTGTGGTAAGCTGACTATTACTGAATTTGTTTGTCCTTTTGCATTTATCATCAGTTGTATAATCTCCCCTCAATTATATTGCATATCTACATTTTTTTTTTGTTTTGTAGTATTTATCATCAATTGTGTAATATCCCCCAATTATTGCATATCAAAATTTTCTATTTACTTGTTTATCGTCAATTATATTGCATATCTACATTTTTCGTTAAGTATTTATCACAGATTTTAATTACTAAAATTAGCTACTTAGTCCTTCTTATTTTTTTACTATAGAATATGAAACATTAACTGATTTGTTCAAGGGTTTGTTGACAACTCTTTGTTAAAAGGTTTCCTCACGCCAAAATTAGTCAGACAATTCAACAAAAGTCTTACAGTTTGGTGCTACTTGACTTGGGTGAAATCTTTGATATTTTTTATGGATATCATTTTCTAGCGTTTGTTGGAATTTTTATGTTATTTTTTTCAATGAAACTGAGAATTTTGCATTAAATATTAATGTCATATCAAACATATACTAGTATCTCTGATCAAATCCATTCAGCATAGACGACCATTGATCGTGTTTTTTTTATTTGTTTTACTTTTTTTTGTTCATTTAACTACATGCGGCTTTGATAATATTTTCAAAATGCTGCTTATCATGGATAATAAGATGTCCAGCGTTAGGGACCTCGTGGAGTTTTACCCATGGCAGCTTATCGCACATATAAAGTAAAACCTCGCGAGAAATTTGTTTGTCTTCGAGTGCACACCAAACGTGAACCGACCCTTTGTTATCATCTGAAAATGGATTAAGCAATTCGGTTGGATCAAAACCCCAATTCCCGAAAGACGCAATGATGTCTCGATGCATGCTCACATATTGGCCTTGTCGTAGAGCAGATTCCTTGACCGGGTAAAAGTAATTGGGGATCTAATTGGATATCATCAAGTTCATTAGATATACGCAAAATTAAAAATGATTTTAAACTCCACATTAACATTGCATATTTTAATACGAACTAACCATCTAAAACTAGACAAACCTATAGAAACATCAGCGGAAACATGCTTACCTTGATATATGCCTGTTTCGAATGAGTACTCGCGAGTTCTATGTCACGGTCGGTCATAGTTTCTCTTGGATTTTGACTAAACGGTGAGAACCATTTCTGAGTCATCCACCAATAAAACAACCATGGCAAGTAGTGTGCAACTCGAAATGTCCGTTGGTTTTGAATTGGTAATTTTTTGAGCGCCGAACTCAACAAGTCTTGAGGCATACGACTCCACCAATAATTCAGCAACGGGACCACCAACGTTGCTCCACTTAGTCTATATATTTTTTATTTTATTTCAAAATCTCAGATATTAATTAATTTTAAGAGATTGATGAGATATTGTCATATGATATACCTATGAGGAATGTATTTGAGGCAGCCGTAAACTGGATAAGCCCCGAGTGACATTCCTAAGACATGGAACTTTGGACCGATTTGCAATTTGTCAGCGAGTTCTTCGATATCGTATGTATCCGTTTTCAGTGTTCGTGATGGAAGAGGGTCGCTTTCTCCATAACCAGCTCTATCGAAGAGCAAGAAGTATATCTCGAATTCCTCAATCATTTCCTGGAAGCCAGAGGAGAATTGTGATATATATGAGAAAAAATCATTAAAAGAAAAATATGAATCTTATATTATTAACTTAATCTTTGTATCAATATTAACTTAATCTTCGTATCAATACCTGTGTGATTTTCAAATCAACTAGCTTGGAACTTCCATATCCGTGGAGAATGATTATTTTGTTTTTGGCTTTATCTTTTGGAAACCCTAATTCCCTGTAGGCTAAGTATCTCCCATCATTGAGCTTGACTCTTGGACATATCTCAGAAACATTCTCCGGCAGCGGAATTGGTGGCGGTGGTTTTATGGACTTGTAGACATGGTAGCCTATTAAACCGACAGCCACAACTAGAACTAGAAGCAAGATCATTTTACCTGTAGATAATATATGAGGGAGAATTAGAATGACAATAATTTATATATTTTTATTTATTGCTAAGTTCATTAGGAAAATGAGCGGGTTTGTAATTTATAAAACGGATTAACCAGCTGATAATGATATCTATGAAACTAGCGATAGTGATCATCGTCATCATTTTGTAAGTTCCCAAAAGTTTTTTGTATAGAAATTCTTAATGGAAAATGAAAGAGGAAGCTTAAAAATGATATATGCGTAACAAAGGTGTCAGTAGAGAGAAAACCGACCTGATGGTTTGAGATATTCCTAAGTTTTGTTGATACGTAGCAATACTTATACTAACCACAAGATAAAGGCTAAAACAATAAAATACATGTCACTTTTTTTTGGTCAAAACAAAACACATGTCATTATAGTATCTATAATCTTAATATTCTTACATAGTTGACCAGTTATATAGGTAAATGATAATAAATAATTCAAAATTAAGTAATTAGGAAACTTACATATATCTATGATTATATGCATGGTTGACCGGCTATTTAGGTAAATCGAGTAATAGGATTATTCAAACAAAACTAATTAGAAGACTAATATGTATCCATGATTTTAATATATATACTAGGTGAGTATGATTTTTTTAATAGATATAATTAGTTATAATATTTAAGTATTGATTAATTTTCTTAGACATTATATAAATATATATTTTAAATATAAATATACATAAATCTTGTATATATATATTTTTCTTAACTTTCTGATAAGTAAACCAAAATGAATTTGACCATCTTTACTTATCTTAAGAGCGAATAGATGGTTGATCCGCATATTAGTACATAGAAACCATCTCACCACTTTTAAAACATATAATGATTTTTAAAAAAATATAAATTATTTAATAATTAAAATTAAAACTAGACTGTAATCAAGTTTAACAAAATGCTTGCCCAGAAAGTTCGTATGCAACTTCGACTTTTGCACAATCAATATTTATATCCATACGTATATTTGTGGAAAAAATGAAGTATGACTTTTATGTGTAAGAAAATAATAACAAAGTATATATTTTGTAATATAGATTTTTATAATGTATAGTGGATTTTTTTTAAAAAAATAGATACATATATTTATATATGTAAGTATGAGTTAGAAATAAGTGAATTGTAATATTTATGTGTTTGTTAGTTTTTTTGATATTTTCTCAAAAGTAATGTTTTTACATGATGTAGTTTTTGACGTTTACAACAATCACGAAAATAGTTTCTATCATTTTATATTTAATCAAAAAAAAATATTTGATATGATTTCAAATTAAAAGTTATTAAATATTAACAAAATTATGAATTTTAAAAATCAAAACTTAATATTTGACTTTATCATGAAAATAAATGTAGTACATTGGATAATCTATTATTACTTTTCCTTTTTAATAAAAATTATAATCAAAATTTGTTATAAATATTTTAAAATCATTTTTATAAAATTCTTTTGGCTCACATATAATAAATCTATAAATGTTGTGGAATTTAGTTAATTAATTGATTACGCATTGGGTGAAATCTTTGATATTTTTTATGAATATAAATTTCCAGCTAGCGTTTATTAGAATTTTTATTTTATTTTTCAATGATGCAGAGAATTTTACATCAAATATTAATGTCATATCAAATATATATCTATTATCAAATCCATTCAGCACAGACCATTGATGGGGTTTTTTTGTTTGTTTTCCATTTAACTACATGCGGCTTTGATAATATCTTCAAAATGCTGCTTCTCATGGATAATAAGATGTCCAGCTTCAGGGACTTGATGAAGTTTTACCCATGGCAGCTTATCGCACATATAGAGTAAAACCTCGCGAGAAATTTGCTTGTCTTCGAGTGCACACCAAATGTGAACCGACCCTTTGTTATCATCTGAAAATGGATTGAGCAATTCGGTTGGATCAAACTCCCAATTCATGAAACCCGCAATGATGTCTCGATGCATGCTCACATATTCGCCTTGTCGTAGAGCAGATTCCTGGACCACGTAAAAGTAATTGGATATTATGTTCATTAGATATACGCAAAATTAAATGATTTATAAACACCACATTAACATTGCATATTTTCATACGACCTAACAATCTAAAATTAGATGCTTACCTTGATATAGGCGTGTTTCGTATGCTTATCCGCGAGTTCTATGTCGCGGTCGGTCATAGTCTCTCTTGGATTCTGACTAAACGGTGAGAACCATTTCTGAGTCATCCACCAATAAAACAACCATGGCAAGTAGTGTGCAACTCGAAATGTCCGTTGGTTTTGAATTGGTAATTTCTTAAGCGCCGAACTCAACAAGTCTTGAGGCATACGACTCCACCAATAATTCAGTAACGGGACCACCAACGTTGCTCCACTTAGTCTATATATATTTATATTTTTTCAAAATCTTAGATATTAATTAATTTTTAGAGATTGATGAGATATTATAATACGATTTTATACCTATGAGGAATGTATTTGAGGCAGCCGTAAACTGGATAAGCCCCGAGTGACATTCCTAAGACATGGAACTTTGGACCGATTTGCAATTTGTCAGCGAGTTCTTCGATATCGTATGTATCCGTTTTCAGTGTTCGTGATGGAAGAGGATCGCTTTCTCCATAACCAGCTCTATCGAAGAGCAAGAAGTATATCTCGAATTCCTCAATCATTTCCTGGAAGCCAGAGGAGAATTATGATATGAGAACAAAATCATCAAAAGAAAAATGAATCTTATATCATAAACTTAATCTTCGTATCGGTACCTGTGTGATTTTCAAATCGACTAGCTTGGAACTTCCATATCCGTGGAGAATGATTATTTTGTTTTTGGCTTTATCTTTTGGAAACCCTAATTCTCTGTAGGCTAAATATCTCCCATCATTGAGCTTGACTCTTGGGCATATCTCTGAAACATTCTCCGGCAGCGGAATTGGTGGCGGTGGTTTTATGGACTTGTACACATAAGAGCCTATTAAACTGACAGCCACAACTAGAACTAGAAGCAAGATCATTTTACCTGTATATAATATATGAGAGGAAATATTAGAATTTCAATAATTTAGATATCTTTCTTTTTTGTAAAGTTCATTAGGAAAATGAGCAGGCCAGCTGATAAATGACATCTATGAAACTAGCGATGGTGATCATCTTCATCATTATGTAAGTTCCCAAAAGTTTTTTTTATAGAAATTCTTAAAGGAAAATGAAAGAAGAACAAGAAGCTTAAAAATGATATATTATGCGTAACAAAGGTGTCGTAGAGATAAAACCGACCTGATGGTTTGAGATTCCTAAGTTTTGTTGAAACGTAGCAATACTTATACTAACCGCAAGATAAAGGCTAAAACAATTTCAACAAATTAAGAAGAAAGGCAATTTACGCATTTAGATTTGAACATTGATGGAAGAAAAAAACACATGTCACAATTTCTTTTTTCTATTTTTCATTTTTTGGTCAAAACAAAACACATGTCATTATAGTATATCTGTGACTTTAATATTCTTACATGGTTGACCAGTTATTTGGGTAAATGATCATAAATAATTCATAATTAAGTAATTAGGAAACTTACATTTATCTATGATATTAATATATATGCATGTTTGACCAGTTATTTAAGTAAATGGAGTATTAGGATTATTCAAACAAAAGTAATTAGAAGAATTTATCTATGATGTTAATATATGTATAATATATTAACTCAAATTAGTTCTTTTTCTTTAGATAACATCAGTACATCAGTATAGAGAGAGAAAAATAGATGTACATTTGTTAATATCTTGTGAGTATAAGATGATTAAAGATGTATTTCATTTTTGGGACATCAGCATCTAGAACATTTTATATGATGTACATATCTCTGTAAGACTTCATACGTACAAAGTATATATGATGAACAATAACGACTGTATTCAGAGCCGTGACTATGAACAAATATTTGAAACATTGGCTTAGGGCATCTGTTTATAATGTAAATTGAAGGGGCATATTTACAAAAATATTATTTGTTATGGTTCATTGCCTCACTGATAATAACATCTTTTTGTTAAGTTTTTTTTAACTTAAATCTAGATCATTATTAATATTCTTAGGATTTCTTTTCTATAATTACTTAAAATCAGTTACCTACATGTATATATCTATAATTTTTTTTAGAAAATTTTGGATTCCTTTTTTGTTTATTAATATTATTTTCCTGTAAAATAAGTGTTCTGATAGAAAATATATTCTTAAACTTAAATTATATTATTAATATTTTTGAGATTACTTTCTCTTTGTCTATTATTATTATTATTCTAAAGTTATAAAATAAAGTAATAAACTTGTACTAGAAAATTTAGAATAAATATTATTTGTATTAAAGGCTATATTTGTATGGTACAATTTTATTTTGAAAATTAAATATAATATAATAAAAAAAGTATTTTTGGTAAAAATTTCTATTTAGACATATTTCACAAAAAATCATTACTCTGTGTATTAACTAACAAATAATTGAATAAAATAATTATAAATATTATTTGTATTTGACATAGGGCATCAAAAAGTCTGGGCACGGCTCTGACTGTATTGGATTCATATATTGTATATTGTATGTATTTGATTCAGAGTACGGTACTGTATAGTTATTTTTACTTCAGATTTCTAAGTTTCATAAGGGATACAATGTATGTGATTTTCAAATGTATGTGTATATATATTTTATTTATTTTTGAATGAGATATATGTGTATATTTATGTATACATTGCATTATTGGATGATATATTACTGACTATATTTCTGTCTTTAAAGGATACGTCAGTTTTCTACAATGCTGGTGTGTTGCTATTAGAACGTTATTGGCTTCACAACAAGTCTACAAAAATCGTCCGCTAATAGAATGTTTATTGGCCGAAGCTTCATATTATGTAAATTGCTGTACTAAAACTTTTCAATCAAGAGCATCCAAAAATTTTGATTGGGGAAAGAAACCAGAATTGTCATACTCAAACTTAATTGTCGTTTGTTTTGGAGAGTTTAAAGAGCAAAATGAATTAAAGTCCAAGGTGGAAAAGACTTTGCTAAGCGCAAAAAGAAAACATCATTTATTCTTTCTTTCTTTATAAACTTACTGCGACTCTCGGAACTTTTCACAACAAAGAGTATCACGATGTGTCTTCCACGAGAAAGGGAAGAAGACTCTCAACTTTTCTTAATTCACAGGTCCTCGGGACCATTGATGTCCTGCAAAGGACAAAGGAGACATTTTGATTTTCAAATCTCCAAATAAGAGTTCAGTTTAACGAAAAACGTGGAATGCCCACTTCGGTTTAGCTGAACCAGATAAAATTCTTAAAATCAATCCTAATTTTAAACTTTGGTCATTCCGGTTTGGTCAATTTTTTTAATAGCTGAAGAATCCGTAACTAAAATCGCAGTTTAAATGAACAATCAAATAAAATTCAGTCTGAAAATCTATCAATTTTGGAAGACAAATTTTTTGAAAATCATAACCGTACCAAGCTAAATCATTCTAATTATGTTCCAACAAAAAAAAACCGTATTGAACATTTTTGGAATTAAACCAAAAATGAAACGGCATTGTACTTTTACCTTTTCTACATCTAATCACACAGTAACCATAAGTTATGGTCCATAACTGTCCCCGAAGGAAAACGACTGAATAAAACCTAATTTGCGTTGAAAAATCTTCAAATAATCTAATCGAACCAAACCATACGGTTCCCCATATATCATCAATCAAAAACCAAGCTCAAAATCGGATTAAACACCCCTAAAATTATATAACACCTTTTAAAAGTTCGTTAGTTTACCTTGTTCTCGACCACAGCACCGTCGGGGATTTCCACCTTTACCCCAGATTTTGCTGTCACAGTCACCTTGCCCTTCAATAACCAAAAGGAACCATTGTGAGTATTTATTAATGTCAAATACCGCCTCGGGAACTGATGTGTTATGGATTGTAGACGTATATACATACCTTGAGAACAACGGAAGAGCCAAAGGACACATCACCAGACACCTTAAGGCTGTCGAGCTCGACTATACTAGGGATGGACTTAAAACGGCTCAAGAAATTAGCCACCTGTTAATAAGATATAGATACACTAAGACACTGTTTAGATAAAGGAACAAGACTTGTCAGGACAACTTTCTTCTTCTTTTACCTTTTTGAACTCGGGTCCCAATTCAATTGACGGGTTCGAGGGGTTAGTTCTAGCACTGTTTCGGGTGACGAAGCCATCAACTAGGGTGTAGAGATCAGACTGTGGAAGAAAGAAAACTTGAATCATTTATGTCTCAAAAGATGTCTCTACTACTCTGTTTCACTTTAATATTGGTGAACGTGTGTTTACCTGGACGAGCAGCAAGTCTGAAGTTGCCTTCACTGGCAAGAACCGTGAGCGAGGTACATTAACACCGATGGCATTGTCAAAGAACTGTTTCAAAACAGAGAATAGCACAGCAAAAAGGAGTTAGAAGAAGATTGCAGTTCACGCTATATATTTTGAATTCTGGCACCAAGACATGCATATTACCCTTATTGCAGCACCTGCTGCAGTTTCCAATTGAAGAACTTTAACTCCATCGACTTCCTAGAATTTTTAGTCTTTTACCGGTTAGATACTCATGAAAAACTGTAAAAATTATAAACTATTAAATAGGCCAGACATGCACCTTTGGGTTTGGAATGATCTCCATTTTAAGTGCATCAGCTTCCACAAGCTTTTTGATAGCCTTCAAGTTAACCCATCTGTAAGCTTACAAAGTTAAAAGTCTACAAATACGTTTATATCTTCTGAGAAGTTTAGGGAAATGATCTACTTACAGGTTGTTTGTGTTGAATATCTTGAACTTCTCAATTGATTTGAACTCATTGACCTACCACAAGGATCAAAACATGAGCGCAGTAGCTCTTCTAAACAATGGGAGCAAGCGGAAAGAAGGTAAAAACAAAAATCTACAGTTTTCCCCTTTCATAAGAACAATCTCATGCAGATAGGAGGGAGAAAGGGCTTTTGAAGAGCCTCAAGCAAAATATTCTGAAAACCAAGCTCATTTTACCAACTTTCCCAACATCTCTAATGAAATATGCTACCAGAATTTCAAACAAACTCTAAGAAAATGAAATGCAAACGGTAACTGGAAGGAAAACAAAAAAAGAAGTATCGACTTACATGTTCATCTGGAACCTGGGCGATCTCCAGAAGCTGGAATAAACCATAAAAATCAATTTTAGAGGTCCAGAAAACGAATTATGTTCCTCAACAGCACAATAGAATTGTAGCACTAAGAAGATCACGAGTTGCAAAGAGTTTTGTGAAAGTTTGTTATATATTATGAACCTATTAGACATGCATATCTATACACATTTTTTTTTACTTTTGCGATAAACAATCATCAACAGAATCCAATAATCAACCGTAGATATTTTAAATAATTGATGCATAAGAGAAAGTACATTCTAAACAAGAAGAGACAAAATTAAGAGCTTACCTGAACTTTCCCTTCATAAGAAATGAGAGTTCCTCCCTTTACATCAGCTAAGGTCTTGGGTGTAACTTCCATACAATATTCGTTCTTGTTCAGGATCAAGTGCTTCAGGATTTCTGCAGCGAACAGACCAAGTACGAGGCAAGTAAGACAGTTAGCATGGGATTTTGATGCAATTTTTCTGATTAAGTATATAAAACTATGTGTGAACAAGAACGAGCAAACTACTAAGAGGACATACTTAAGTCAACGATGGCACCCAAGTTGTCTGAATTGGCAACGAACACATATTCCTTACCCTGCGAGACCCAGAGAACAAAAAATTCAATAAACATGGACACCAATATTAAATGCTGCGGAAAACAGTAGTCGACTGCATTAAAGAATGAACCTGTGATAAGAAAGCATCGAGCTTTCCACTGTTCATGAGTGATGGGAATACATCACCATGACCGGGAGGGTACCTTCACAGAGATAAATCATTAATAGGCGATTAACCAGTTCCACCTTGCATAAGAAGATCTAATGTGACTTAATATGAACAGGAACAAAAACCAACTTAAGTATCAAGATTAAGGTTAACATGAAATTGTTCTGTGCGAGTCTGTTTCCTGTTTTTGTTCAGTATTTAAGTGCAGATTGAATCGTTTAAATCGTTTTGATGTAGTTGAAAAACTTGAGTAATAATGAAGCACAAGAAGGCCAAACAAAGAAAAAACCAGTGGATACTACTGTGTGATTTGAATAGTATGACAAAATGAAAAATCATACCAGCCATCTTTGTCGGTCTTTCCCTTGCTGGGCCATGGCACAAACTCATCTGCCACAACACGGGGATATTTGCTCTAGAAAATCCAAGTAAACCTTATTAGTTGCAGATTTGATGCAGTTTTTTCACACAAACAAAATTTTAATTTGCTAATTAGCATTGCATCCACACCACAAACCTGGTTAAAAGTGTGAATGTCAACATTTGAGTTGGTGTACTTTTCCACAATCTGAATATGACAAAAAGAGTTAGCCGAAGAGAATAACATAAACTTAAAAGTGAAGGAAATGTGATCCACTGACGTACCTTTTGTGTGTCATCATGTGTATTAAACGAGTTCATGAGAACCAACGGAACCTTGCACCCATACTTGTTGTTGAGATTCTGTGTGGGAGCAATATATTGGGCATTAAAATTAGGAAGCATTAAGCAGGTACTGGACCAGAGTAATAAGGAAAATGACAAACCTCAATCTGGATAACGATCAGATCAAGAAAAGTTAAACCATCACGAACTTCGATAACAGACCTGCACAGAAAAAAGTAAGATATGATTTCACTTCCTGAATCTTGAAATGACTACTACTACATGACATGCTAAAATTTCACAGAGGATTGTTCACCAGTTTCACTTTGAATGTTAGCAATGAAAACTAATTACTGCAGAACAAGAACAGACAACTAGAGAGTCCAAACACAAGGATGACATGGAAAATAAATCTCCAGACAAGGAATAGTGCCGAGGACAAAAGGCAAAAGCAATTTCATATTGAGCACTGAAATTGAAATCTCAAAGAGACTAGGGCAACTACGCAAGGGAAATAAACGCAATTGAATTGGAAAATGAGAATGAAAACAGATTAAAAAAAAGAAAGGCCTACTTGGGGCCAGTGCATCCCATTGTTGTCCCAAGACCTCCATTAAGCTTTAACACAACAAGTTTGTCCAACAGATTCTTGGTCTCGGAAACATCTACATCATTTGTAAAACATCGTTTTAGTATCACAGAGAAGCTGCAAGAATATGCTACAAAGAAACGTGTAAACAGATCCGTAGGGAAATACCTTCGGAGACAGAGGCCATCTTCTCGTAGGGAACAACGATTTCATCAGTAGGTGTTTGGATCTTACTCCACTCAATGTGTTGGGCCTCACCGCTTCAAATTCATATGAAAACAGTGGCCGGAAACTAATTAGTCTACAGTTACGCCAACCCAGATCTGTATACAGATCCCATCGGAATTTACGGTCTAAGTTTTAATCGTTTCAAACCCAATCGGTGATATCACCGAGATTCAAAAGTAACCGAAAAGCTGAGAAAATACGAGAAATATCGATTGATCATCACAGATTCAAGACAAAATCAAACACGAATGGGTCGATATACGGAAGTACACATCCACGATTACAAGATTGGAAGCGATATAAGAGAAAGGCGAACCTCAGGTAGCGTGAAACGAGGTTGATGAATCCGCTCCTCTCATTCTCACTGAAACAAGCGGAAACAGTAACACAAACAAATCAGTCGAAATAATCACGAAAATCTAGATCTAGGATTCTGTAGCCATAAGGATCCAACAATCAGGGTAAACGATAAGAGAGTAACAACAAATCAAGGAAGCAAAAAAAGGAAAAGCAATCGAATCCGAACGCGAACCTCATCTCAGTAAGGCCATCGACGGCGGATTTGAGCTGGGGGAGATTCTCGGTAGTGGCAGCCATTTTCGATTATCGATTAGAGCTCTCGATCCAGAATACGGAAACAAAAAGAAAGGATTGCAAAAATGAATGAGGATGATGGAAATTAGAAGCAGAGATATATTTATAGGCGTAAGGGAGTTTGTTCTGGGAGGAGTAGTGGTGATGAAGTGACGATGCGTGTTGTTACCGCATTTATATACATTGTCTTCTCGTTGCCAATTACACATCTACACGTAGCACATTGCATGTCCGTCTTCTATCATACCGTCAATCTTTTTCATCATTCAGTATTTTTCTATAATTTTGTTCGTTATTTGAACAAAAGTAAATTGATAGTCTCATTCGACGTTTTTATACTATTATACATCTAAGTCTTTTTTTTTGGGTGCATACATCTAAGTCTTCAAATGTTTTTATTTCACCTTTTTATTTATATTTATCAAATGGTTAATTTTTTCTACGATTTACATCATCATATATATAATTATTTATCATCTATCCTGAATAGTGAATACCACCCAAAAAAACATATATCCTTCAAATTATAGGAAAATATTATTATAACCAAACAAAATATCCAAAATATTAAAAAACTTTAAATTCTCTCTAATAATTATGTCCTTAAAAACCCATGATAACCAATCCAAATAATCCAAAAGCAAATAAAAATAAAAATATCTTTAATAACAACAACAAAAGGGAAGAGAATCATCTGGAGAATATTCCCTCACTCAAACATGATCAGGACAGTTGAGCAAGAGCTTGATCTTTCGAATAGTAGAGCTGACTAAAGCACTCACTATAGCCACCGACTTCTCATTCACCTCTTTCGTCCTGTCGATTCTACCAGAGATGAGGATCTGAAAAACCAGCGAGAGTAAAGTCCCACCGTCTTCAGCCTCTATGGATCGCTGGCCGTCGCTTGAGATTGTGAAACCAGATGGAAGGATTTGAATTCCAGCAGGGTCAACTTTGCCGGAGGCAGCGATATTCATTGTAGTCAAGTCGAGAGGAGCGTATGCTATCACGCCTCCTAGTGCATCCATGTAACAGTCTTGTAGCATCACCATGTCGCCCTTGAGTGAGAATTGTGCCATAGATATGCCACTGTTCTCTATTTTCTGAGGCTAAAATTGTATATATACAAGTAAATATTATTTCAGTTATGTAACTTAAGATTTAATTATTAGTAGGCCGTTAAGGAAATGTATGCATACCCGGAGGATGGTGAGGTGGTTAGTTTCACTTGATCCGGTGAAAACGCGAGCGATCTCAGAGACTCTGTTTCCATTGCAAAGAACATCCCACTGTTACATGCAAATGTGGTTTGTTATTGCAAAGCAACTTAAGACAACAATCAGAGATTCAGAGAGGTAAAAAAAATGTAGAAACTTTTTAAATATCCATGTATGTTTCTTTTTTTGGAATTTCATTTCAATTCCATAATGATGCATGCATGTCAAAAAGAAAAACCTCGTGACGAGTGTCGCTGCTTCGTAATGCGTTGAAGACTTGCAAGGGAGTGCGAGGGATTGAGAGACAAGTCGCAGCACTAACAACTAAACCGTGTGGTTGACCGGCCTCATTGTTCACCCGGAGTGAGATTCTGACTCCACATTTGGAGTGTTGAGGAAAGTCGACTTTCCCGGACATGGTCAACATTTCGTTGAATTGCTTCAACATTCTTTCCCCTAATTTCATTACACTCCTTCTTCCTTCTATTGTCTTTATAACTGCTACAAACATTGTAACTTTATCAAAAACATCATAATTTCATTAATGATTTAAGATAGTTAGACTAAAATTCGGAGACTATACGAACTGATCCAGGAACTAGGTCTCATACGTAACGTACATATATCTTTGATCAAATAACATTATACGTGGTACAGTCAAATTTAAATGATCAATGTATAGTACATTAGTTGTGTTAGCCAAAGTTATATGGTTAGTCCAGTTGCATATCCTATGGTTGGAATGTAGAGAAAAAAGAAAAATTATTCCACCATCTTAACAATATTGTGATAAAAAAATCATAAACAATGTTACGTACTAGTTGTTTAAATTAATAATAAGTGAGCATAACAATAACATTGTTTATGAAATTTTAAATCAAAAAAATTCAATTATCAAAAATATATATTTAAATAGAAACAGATAATATAAACTTTTTTCTTTTTTTTGATTTTTGACCAGTACAGTATATTCATTTTTGAAGATAAATACTTTCCTTTATCTATTATTTTTAGATTTGCAACTTTTTTTCTAGACAAATTTAATACAAAATAAACAAAAACATTGACTAGCAATTTTGATTTCTATCTTTCATTTTCTGCCAAAACAAAAAGAAAATTTGCTGGCAAACCAAATTGCAATTATCATCAAACTCATTCAAAATGCCATTCAACTCATATGATAAAAATGATACTTTTTCGCTATCAAACATTTGAATATGGATTAATAAAGTTAGTCACAGATGATACGTACCTTCGCTCCAGTCAGTAGCGGGAATGGTTAAGATGGAGGAGAGAGCCATCCTCTCACACATCCTCTCTAGCGTGACGATCCAACGTTTAGCGCCATAACCTGATGAGCCGCCACATAAAAGCTCTCTATACATCCGATGTGTTTCGGGTTTGTGGTCCACTTCCACATGCTCTATCCACGTTACCTGCAATATTTAATAAGTTCAAAAATGTATAATGTATACATTTATGAGAATAAGTAGACATTTCTGAGATTGGTATAGGGGCAATGGAGACACCTCAGAGTGAGCATTGGGCAGAGTTCGTATGAGACAACCAGAAGGACGTTTGTAACATGAAGGATTGTCTTTGTCCAAATCAAGAACGCTTTGTGACACATCCGCTATGATCCAGACCCCTTCATCGATCTGTTGGCAGCACCTAACAATAATATACACTCTTGGTGGCACTAGCGGTGACAAGATGTGTAGTTGCTCCCATATCTATCAATTTCAGTCACATTCAAGAATATATCATGCATATATACTAAGATGGAATAAGATTTTAAGTACTTCATTGGCCAAAAGACTCTATTAATTTAATGTGAGTCTAACTTCGAAAACACTCACAAAAGGATACTTAGACCTAAAAAGAGCATAACTCGAATTAATATATATATATATATATATATTCAACATAAGATTATATTGTCTCAAACCTAAACTTGAATTGAAAATCTCTAAATTGAATGACACAGTACGATAAGTATTCCGCAATGAAAATACTTCTTACCACTTGCAAGACATTGCAGTTTTCTTTTATGGGAAGCTCGGATCCAAGCATATGAATTGTCGTGGCCTTGTTCACGATAGATGGAAAGAGGTTTTTCCATTTCTCCTACAATAAACAAGTACATGTTCATAATTAATTAATTATATCCAACCCTTAATTTAGAAAAAAAACTGGTGTCTGCTAAGTTACAACCAGCATGTCTCAAAAAAAAAAAAAAAAAAAAAACCAGCATGTCTAATAACCAGCATGTCTCAAAAGTTAGAAACAAAATGTAATAACTTCTTCCAAAATCTAATTAAGCTATTTGAATTAAAAATATATAAATCTAAGTTTAAAATATATTCTAAATGATATAATTAACAGAAACAATATATGTGAAAATCAAATATCAAATGCAAATGCACCACTTAATTTCACCCCTAATTCTAATATATTTTATGATGTGTGATAGAATACATACCGAATCTAAGAACATTTCGATCAAATTTGTTGCTTCTATAGGAACCACAGTGACATCTTTGGAAGACTCGACGCGAGCACTCAAGCTCCTGAAATGTTTGATCGCATGCGAGAACTTCTCATAGCTCTCTTGATCAATCACATATGTTCCGTCGATAGACGACTTAACCCAAAAAGCTTCCTCGGTAAAAAACAGGCGCTTGAGTTCTTCAACCGCACTTGCCACGGTTTCAGTCAGTTGCGTTATGTCCATTTCAGATAGTGGTTGTGGTTGGATGGTTTGAGAAGTTGGTGGTCGTAATGAGTTAGTTGGCTCGAACGAGAGATTGCTTGGATTAGCTCCATACGAGTTGTCAGTTTCAACGATTTGCTGTCTCTCAGCAGAAGCGGATGAGCCCACCATTGTTTCTTGGAGCTTGTTCTTGGATATAAAGTTTGCGAGTTTGTCACGCTAACAAAAACAAAAAAAAAACATTTAGTATGGATTACTTATCTTTTTTTTGCATTTTTCATTGTTGATGTTTTACTCCATCGTTTTACTATTATAGTGGTTTACTGTCTACTTATCTGATATGTATATTTACAATCAAAACACAATATATTTGTACTACATATCATTTTATTTCAAATGTAGATGTATGTCATCTTGTTTGTAAATTAAATGACAAACTTGATGATAGATGAAACAAATATCCCAAAAATATAGAAAACATTATTCAAAATAACCTACAATGAGAAAATATTATAAAATCAAGCTCTTTTAAAGTATATTTGATAAATACTAGCCTTATCGTTCTAATTATTTTTCTAAGCAAACTAATAAATTAATAGTAGATTATTTCATTATATAACTGAAAGTAGACTAAATATAGATCAATAGCAGACTAAAGGTAAACTAATTGCAGACTAACGCTATACTGATAATATATTAGTCAACCTCTCTTACAATTATTACTATGGAAGATCCCGTATTTACATTAAAATTTATAAATAAACTATTTAAACAAATGATTCGAAAATATAATAGTGAAATAATTTTAGATAAATGGAAATAAAAGATTTACCTCCTCTTTGAGGATGGCGTTTTTTAGACGCAGTTTATGGAGATTGCGTTCTCGTTCGTCTCTATCAAAAGGAGGACCTCCACAGTCTGGACAACTCACATTCTTTAAAACCTCTAGCATTGCTTCATTCTCACATCGGATCTTATCGTTTTCTCCACGAAGTAATATGTTAGAAGATCTCTCATCTTGAACCTATATAGCATATCAAAACATTATTTTAGAAAAATATCAATTCGTTGAGATAAATTATTTTTTATAAGGATTTGCGTAGATTTATACTTTGCTTTGAGTTCTTTTGTTTTGAAACCAAAATTTGATCTGGTCCAGCTCGAGATTTAGCTCTTTGCATAACTTGTGTCGCTGTAATTCCCCCGGATGAGGACATTCTTTGAAATAACTTTATTCATTTTTAAAAATTAAAAAATAATCAGTTATAATCCAAAATCGTAATAGTTTTTTGAAATTAATACTGCTAATAAAAATTTTACGCTTCAAGTCTCTGGATCTGTTGAGGAGTGTGGCGATGACAAATCCTCTTCTCTCTTTTCTTGGCATCTACCGAAGTATGTTGTTTGCTGCCTGAGCTTCCACCACCATCACAATCCATTTTGTTCTTCACAAAAAAAAACTAGATTTGTTTTTGTAATGATGTTGTCCTTTTTTTGTTAATTCACAAGCTAATTAGCATTTATATAGAAAAATGTGGTATAAGGATAATTAAAAAATTGTTCATAAGAAGGAAATAAAGGAAAAATATGGATATTTACTATTGGAGTGTATGTTAAAAGGTAAGTTTTTATTTTGTTCAATTCAAATATGTATCAGAGTCAAAGATATAAATTAGCATTTTTGTTGTGTACAAATGTATTAAGGTTGAACAAAAACTATATATGTAAATATAGCAAAAACTAATTTATTGAGGGGAGATTTATTTTCTATTTTATAGTTGGTGTAATTATGTTTTTTATAGTTGGTGTAATTATGTTTGGGATGAACTCAATCCAATATAATAAACATCCTTTTCTTTTAGTTTACAATTAATTTAAAATACTATAGATTTTACAAAATTAAAATAAACATAAAAATTAATAAATTTCAATATCTACCTAATAACAAAAATAATTATTTCATATATAATAAATCTATTAATTTTATTATCATGCTTTAGTTTTAAAACCAATAGTTAGACAGTATCTAATATTATTATTATTATTTATTTATTATATGGAAATATTTTTTAAAAATAACTGTCACATAGTCAACTTTCTATTAAAATTTTAGTATAATATTAATTACAAAAGTTTGAGATAATCATTAATATCTTTCTTTGGTAAAATAGTATAAAATAAAAGATTGGTTAGTTTATTATTACTATATATATTATACAGTTCATTCCATAAATCTAAATACTAAAACTTTTAATGTAAATAAATATAAATTTGAAAGAAAATTAATTATTTAAAGATATGCTTCAAAAAGAAAAAAATCTATTACAAAATATCTAAAATAAATATTATATTTTCATTTATCTATAAACTTGCAAAACTCTGTGGACGGTGTTACTAGTTAGTGATGTTACAAATGGTCGGACTACAATAGTAGCATATGAGTTAATGAACCGATTTTAGGCGAACCAGATTGTCAACAACTAAATTAACACTGATTTAGTTTGAAAAAAATATGAATTTAAAAAAAAATTATCAAAAAAAAATATGTTTCAATGTAAACTAAACTAACCTGATTAGTTCATAATAGAATTCAATGACTATAGAATTTTAATCTCAGCTATGAGTAAATTTACTGTTTATCAACTTTGATCAATTTATTATTAAACTAATTATGATTATTAGATCTATTTTGATTTGGTCTGCTAAAATTAATTTAGGATCCAATCCACAGATTCATATAAACATTATGAATTATCTCATCAACAATAGTCTTATCTGACCGAATTAACATTTAATGTTAAAATCTTGTCTTTTTCGAATTTACACCCAACGGCTAATTTTATATTTGGATTAGTCAAAATCAATTAGAAATCATCCGATCACATCCAATCAAATTAACGATCAAATTTATTTTTCTTCACCAAAGTTCAAGCTTAATAGTTCTTTTCATCTTTTGTTCTTTTGTTCTAGATTGGCCAATTCATAACTAAATACATCCAACTCATACTTTTAATCTTGATGATGAGGACACTTAAAAGGGTGTATTACAACAAAAATTAGATTAAAATAATCAATTATGTGTTATGTAAAAATAAATTTTTTAAACTATTTTTCAAATATAGTGTTAGCGAGCTATTTTTTTTAAGGCTTACACCCAACGTCTAATGGCATGTTCGAATAATTGAATTAGTTAAAATCATCCCATCAACCACTATTCAATCAAAACAACGATTGAACTTGTTTCATTTAAGTTCAATATATAGTTTTCCAATTTATATATTAATATACACAAATATATATCCTAAAGATCAGTTAATGTACACAAACATTAATTCTTCTTCCTATTATTTTTAACTAGATGCCGTCATGTGGACGTTCCAGTGTATTCTATTTTGATCGGTTGTATTAGAGAGGTTCTGGAGGGTTCTAGAACCTAAGGATAAGGATGTCGTTATATTGATATATTGAGATCGTAGATATGTATCTTACTTAGATATACATGCATATATTATCATCCTTATCTGTAAGTATGTATAAATAGGCGATTGCCAATGTGAATACAATCATCCGGTTTACACAGTTTTACCAAAGTTATACCCGTGTTTACATAGTAGCATTACATAGTAGCAGAGCTAGGTCAAATCAAATCATAAAGTTTTTACGTTCTCTTTGCTCTTTGCTCTTCGTTCTCTTCTTTCTACGTTCCCTTCGTTTTCTTACGGTTTCTCATCATGGTCAACACTGATGACTTACCCGATCCTAGAACAGAGGAAGAAGCAATCACAGCAGAGTTAAAGGTGGTCTCTCCTTACGAATTGTCACCTTCTGACAACCCCGGCACGGCAATTTCCCCTGTTCAGTTAACAGGTGATAATTATGCCGAATGGGCATCGGAATTGGAGAATGCCTTTCGAGCTAAGCGAAAGTCTGGATTTATTAATAGTACTCTTGTCCAGCCGGTTGGCAAACCAAGAGAACTAGAAGCATGGAATACCATGAATTCCATGAATGTGGGGTGGATCCGAGCTTCCATCTCTCCTAAAATCAGGTCGACAGTAACGTTTACTTCCGATGCCCACAAGTTGTGGAGCGATCTCTTGAAGCGTTACTCGATCGGTAATGGGGTCCGTATTCATCAACTCAAAGCTGAGCTTGCGTCGTGCCGTCAAGACGGGATGAGCGTGATGGATTACTTTGGTAAGTTGTCTTCTCAATGGGAGGAACTACTCAATTACAAGCCACTTCCTCGTTGTACCTGCGAATGGCGTGCCAATTTCCTCCGTGACTATGAAGAAGAACGCGTTCATCAATTCCTTATGGGATTAGATGAGGCTCGATTTGGAAACGTGGTCACAAACATCATTGGTTTGGAACCATTGCCTGAATTGAATACGGTTTATCAGAAAGTGGTTTTGGAGGAGCGAAGACTGAGTGCATCTCGTGGTGACGTTAAACAAGAGGCTGTGGGATTCACGGCTATCACACCAGAAGGTACTCGATCTGCGGATTCTTCAACCGTAACAGCGGCGGCTGCACGAGCTGGGCCAGTGGCAGTGTGCTCTCATTGTGGTCGCAACGGGCACGAAAAAAAAGATTGTTGGCAGCTCGTCGGGTTTCCAGATTGGTGGCTCGAAAAAAATCAAAACAAAGACAGAGGTGGTCGTGGTAATAGTACACGGGGCAGAGGAGGATACTCTTCTGGTCGTGGTCGTGGTGGCTCCTCACAGCAACAACAATATCAACAACAGTACCGTTCGAATGCAGCTCAGGCTCCACAACAACAATCCGGGGGGTTTCCGTCGTTCACTCCTGAGCAGTGGGCAGCATTGTCTCAACTGATTGAGCAACAGAAACCATCACCAGTCTCAGATCGTTTATCCGGTAATGTTCAAACTGGGGAAGTTATACTCGATACAGGGGCCTCGCACCATATGACGGGTGACAAACGCATACTCACTCAACTGAAAACAATTTTACCTTGCCCTGTTTCTTTTGCCGATGGCAGTAGAGTATATGCAACACAATGTGGATGCTTGCGCTTATCTGACAAAATCGTGTTACCACATGTCTTATTAGTGCCTAATCTCAACTGTACTTTGCTTTCGGTGGCAAAGCTTCTAAAGCAAACAGGTTGTTTTGCTATCTTTACTGACACGTTGTGCGTGCTGCAGGACCGTTTTACGAGGACCCTGATTGGAGCCGGTGAGGAACGGGATGGTGTTTATCTTTATCGGGACGTTACTATCGCTAGAGGGCACAGATTTAAGGCAGCTGAAGACAAGGCTTTGTGGCATAGACGATTAGGACATCTTTCTTTTGGTGCTTTGGATTTTTTACCTTTTCTTGCTGGTGTTAAGCATCCTTCGGATAAGTTTGGTGGATGTGAGATTTGTTTTAAGTCAAAACAGACACGAGAAGTGTTCTTTGAGAGTTCTAATAAAACTTTGGATTGTTTTCAACTTATACATTGTGATCTATGGGGACCATACCGGATTCCATCATCTTGTGGGGCAAAATATTTCTTAACGATAGTGGACGATTACTCTCGTGCGGTCTGGATATATTTACTACTTGAAAAAAGTAAAGTCAAGACTGTTATACCATCTTTCTGTGCTATGACGGATCGACAATATGGGAAACACGTAAAAGTAGTACGAAGCGACAACGGTGCGGAGTTTCTCGCCTTGTCCAACTTCTTCAATGTCAATGGCATCTTCCATCAAACTTCGTGTGTTTACACACCCCAACAAAACGGCCGAGTAGAACAAAAGCACAGACATCTGCTTAATGTGTCTCGCTCTCTCCTATTTCAGGCAAATCTTCCTGTTAAGTTTTGGGGCAAGAGTGTTCTGGCTGCAGCTCATGTGATCAATCGTACACCCTCAACAGTGTTGAAAGGTCAGACTCCGTATGCGATGTTATTTGGTGAGCCACCATCGTATGCATCTATTAAGACATTTGGCTCTTTGTGTTACGCTCATCGGCAATCACGCACAAAGGATAAATTTGCTGAGAGAAGCTGCAAGTGTGTGTTTATGGATTATCTGTTTGGAAAAAAAGGCTGGCGTCTATACGACATAGAAAGCAATGAGTTCTTTGTCTCCTGCGATGTCGTTTTTGATAAAACAAAATTTCCATACCAGTCGTCTGCAGTTCACGTTGTTGAATCACAAACAGCTTCTGTTGTTTTGCCTCAACTAGATTTTGGCGACCCGTTATTCAGTTATATGGACAACAGGGGAGTAATCAGACGTCAGGGAATGCAGGTTGCGATGATTCCCCTTCTGCGGTGCCGGCCGGCGCTGCAGTCCCCACCGTTTCTCCTCCGGTGGTTGCTGCAGAAATCCCTTCCTCTGGCCCAGAAGTTATCGTTGCAGAAACAGAACTTGAAACAAAGGATTCGACCCTTGGCAGAGGTCATTGTGACAAAGTCAGATCTGTGAAATTAAAAGACTTTGTCACATACAATGCTCAGTGTTATAAAGATAAACATCTCGTTCCCATTGCTCCATCTACGGTCTTTCCTACGGTCCAAGGTAATAACTTTTATCCCATTCAAGACTACCTTAGTGATGACATCTTCTCTTCCAACTATCGTGCCTTCTTAGCTGCTGTTACAGCAGGAGTTGAGCCAAAATCTTACAAAGAGGCGATTCTGGATGAATTATGGCGTAACTCCATGTCAAGTGAGGTTGGTTCTCTTAAGCTAGCTGGAACGTGGGATTTAGCAGACTTGCTGCCAGGAAAAACAGCGCTTGCTTGTAAATGGATCTACAAACTTAAGTATAATGCAGACGGCACCATTAACAGACATAAATCTCGTCTTGTTGTCTGTGGGAATCGTCAAGTGGAGTGTGAAGACTATGATGAAACTTTTGCACCGATGGTTAAACACACAACTATTCGAACAGTTTTCAAGGTGGCTGCAGCAAAAGGATGGGAGGTTCATCAGATGGATGTTCAAAACGCCTTTCTTCACGGCGATTTGGAGGAAGAAGTGTACATGAAACTTCCTCCTGGTTTCAAAACGAGTGATTCAAATAAAGTGTGCCGGCTTTGCAAATCTCTCTACGGTTTGAAACAAGCCCCGCGATGCTGGTTCTCGAAGTTATCAAAAGCTCTTCTCCAATTCGGATTTGTTCAGTCTTACGCTGATTATTATATGTTCACATACATCAAGGGGGAGATTCAATTGCGTGTTCTGGTGTACGTCGATGACTTGATTCTCTGCTGCAATAATCTACCAATGCTCGAGAAGTTTAAGAGATATCTAAGTGAATGTTTTCGAATGAAAGACCTCGGGAAAGCTAAGTATTTTCTGGGCATAGAGGTTGCGCGGGGTCCGTTAGGCTTCTTTCTCTCGCAACGAAAGTATGCCCTCGACATTGTCACAGAGATGGGGTTGCTCGGGTGTCAGCCTCTGTCTATTCCGGTGGAACAAAACCATAAATTACTCGCCGATCAGGATCCTTTGTATAAGGATCCAGCCAAATTTCGACGTCTTGTTGGCCGGTTAGTCTACTTAACCATCACACGCCCAGACTTGTCTTACACCATTCACGTCTTGTCGCAAGTAATACATGAGCCTCGCGATGCACATTGGGAGGCAGCAGTTCGAGTTGTCCGATACATTAAGGGAACTTGTGGTCAAGGTATAATGTTACGAGCGGATGGCAATCTCCGAGTCCAGGTGTACTGCGATTCAGATTGGGCTTCTTGTCCCCGCACACGCCGTTCGCTTTCCGTGTTTGTTGTTCATTTGGGTGGTTCACCGGTTTCCTGGAAGACCAAGAAGCAAGACACGGTGTCTCATTCCTCAGCTGAAACAAAGTACAGGGCAATGTCTGAAGCATTACGTGAACTTAAATGGATGAAACACTTGCTCGCTGATCTTGGTCTTCCGCGAAATGGGCCAATGGATATGTTCTGCGACAGCCAGTCAGCCATTCACATTGCTGCCAATCCGGTATTCCATGAGCGAACTAAACACATTGAAGCGGATTGTCACAGCGTACGTGATGCTGTGAGAGATGGCCTCATTGCAACAAAACACGTTCGTACTACAGAACAATTGGCAGACGTCATGACAAAAGCATTGTGGAAATCGAGTTTTTATTACTTATTATCCAAGTTGGGAGTTTACAATTTACACTCACCAACTTGAAGAGGAGTGTTAGAGAGGTTCTGGAAGGTTCTAGAACCTAAGGATAAGGATGTCGTTATATTGATATATTGAAATCGTAGATATGTATCTTACTTAGATATACATGCATATATTATCATCCTTATATGTAAGTATATATAAATAGGTGATTGCCAATGTGAATACAATCATCCGGTTTACACAGTTTTACCAAAGTTATATCCGTGTTTACAGGTTGTTTTCCGACTTATCTGTCTATCAGCAGAAGTGAAGTAAGAAAAAAGTAACTAAAATTCTTTTTCAAAAAAAAAAAAGTAACTAAAATTTGTCTTTCTTCTTGAATCTTTCGTTCATAAAAATAAAACGGAAGAAAAGTAGAATATTCTAATTTCTCTCTACAAATATGCTTGTTATTTAATTAATTTCTCACTCTATAAAACAACAATTTCACTTAATTTTAATTTAGTGAAAGAGTAGTGTATGAGTACCACATGTAAGTCGTAACAACTGAAATTAGATGGGTCCAACTTTTAAAGAACAAGGGACTTTAATTGGCCTTAACAACAGTGACTGGACATGTTGCATTTGTCACCACATGATTGCTCACACTACCCAGCAAAATCCTACAAAAAGAACAAATATAAAACATTAGTTATACCAAAAACATATACAAATATCCAAACAAAGAAAGTAACCCAAAAGCTAAAACTGAATATGATCTAGACTACACGGGTTTAGTCGGCTTTTAATGGAGGTGGAACCAAATGGGAAAGAAGAAAAAACGAACACAAACTTGAGCATATATCTTTTTGGAAAAATGTCACTAACGAAAGTTGCATTCAAATGTAAAATAGAAAATCAAGCCGAATCAAAACTATAGCAGATGAGACGAATTAGATTTAGTTCTCTAGTCCTCTATACAATGAAAATACGAAAAACGTCAAACCAAATCATACCAAAACTAGACTATATGAATACATTACCTTTTGAGAGGACCCAAACCTCGACTGCCAAGAACAATGGAATCAAGTTTTAGATTTTCGACTGCATCGCAAAGTTTCTCCCTTGGATCTCCCCAATACACTTTTGCAACCACCTTCACCTTTAATTAAGAAAACCATTTTTTTTTTTCAAAAACCTTAAATGACGAACAAAATCAATGGAAACGATAGTTGTAAGACTGCGAAGGAGAAAATACCTTCTTAGCCTTGGAGAGAGTATCAAGAACATCAAGAACCTCAGGATCATAAGCAAGTCCATACTGTTTAGAGAAATTAACCTCTCTAAATTCTTCCAAAGGGACTAACGCTGCAATAAATAATTAACTTATCTATATGATCAGAACCAATCCAAAATTTTTTTTTTTTAAAAAACATGAAAATATAGTAACTTTTTTACATACGTGAACCAGTTTCCTCAAATAAGATTTTGCGGGTGTGATCGGCGTTTTGGGGTTGAACATGAATCAAGATGACGGTGTCACCGTCATCAAGGAGATTCTCCGCCGTCCACCGGAGAGCCGATTTGCTCGTCGGTGAATAGTCCATTCCCACACCCACAGTACGTACCTTTCCCATTTCTGTTCTTTCTCGATGATTTCTAAGTGGAGATTTATTATGCTGGTCTCATAATCTTTATAGTAGTATGGTTTGATGGTTTGGAGAATAATAACGCACACAGAATTCGAGATATTTAATGATTGTCTTTTTCTTTTGACTGTTTTTGGATTATGATGGGGAGATTCTTGAAGCTACTAGGTCTCTCTCTTGCTTACTTTTCGTAAAGAGATAGGAACCGGAATTTTCCATTAACTTTCTTTTTATTCCTTCTCTTTTCAAGAACCCTTTTCATATAATTTGTTTTCTTTCCTATAACCTATAAAAAAAGGAAATCTGATTCCTGGCAGGAGCGTTTTAAAGTCGTGTAATTCATGTAGATTTCAAATGAAAATTTAATAAACTTGATATTGGATATTTCATTTTATCGTGATGTGAGCAAGTGTGTGTAATGTGTAACTACTAAGATTTTTGGCCACTCTAAGCGCAGAATTATGTCTTTGTAAATATTTCAAATTTTAGTTTTTTTTTAAAAAATCTAGTTTATTTGATATAATATTTAGAATTTATCCCTGCTATAAAGAATTGTTATAGTATATTTGTTTTATGATATTATTGGAATTAAAGATGTTTTATTATTTGTTTGACAAAAAAAAATATTTTATTATTTATAGAGCGTAATTTGTTTTCTGAATGTAAGAACCATCTTTTATTTTAAGATACTATTTTTTATATATACAGTAACTTATTTTACAATAGTCAGTTTATTTTACGTTGAACGACATATTTTATAAATGTTAACTTATAATTTAGGTTGGTTGATTTATTTTACAACAGTTTATTTATTTTTAGTCAATCAATTAATTTTATAATAATCAACTTATATTTTGGGTTAATCTACTTATTTTGTAATAGACGACTAATTTTAAGTTGGTAGACTTAATTTATAATATTCGGCTTATATACAGTGTTAATCGATTTATTTTACAATGTTTGTTTTATTTTACAATTATTTACTTATTTTGGTTTGATAAACTTATTTTACAATAGTTGATTTATATTTTCGGCTGATTAACTTATTTTATCACCATTTACTTATTTTGGATTGGTCAACTTATATAATAACAATCGATTTATATTTTGGATTAATCAACTTATTTTACAGCAATCAATTTATTTTGAGTTGGTTGACTTATTTTACAACAATCAACTTATTTTATATTAGTCAATTTATTTTATAACAATATCGACTTATTTTACGACAATCAGAGTTTGTTAACTTATTTTACAATAATTATCTTATATATATTGGATTAGTGAACTTATTTTGCAAAATAAATTGATTGCTGTAATTCTCTTTATGTCACTTGCTCTCCAAGAAAATAATATTCATTGTCAACTTCAGCAAAGGCAAACTTTATTCTTCAACTTTTCTTGGTTTATAAGTTTTATTTATCTATTGATTGAATGGAACTTGATACCAACATATCAAAACTAACTTTATTCTTTTTCTTTACAGCAACTAACTTTATTCTTTAAATTTTATATAAAAGTAGTAGTCGTTGATGGACATGAAGTATTAGATTAGATGGAAGAGGTTATTGGAAAATGGATTTAAAATATTTAAATTATAGGTTTATAAATTCTTAAAATTTTAATAAAATTTATTGTTATTGGTTAAGTGATTTTAAAATTCCTTCCAAAAATTTTTGTTATTCAAAAAGGTGATTTTTAAAAAATCATATAATTCTATTAAAACCTTTTGTTATTGTAACATGGATTTTAAACAAATTAACTCATAAAGAAAAATTTAATACAACTTACATGGTTTAAATTTTCAAAGTCATTATAATAAAATAGTATGATAGATTTTCTAAATATACAAACTCTTTGTAAATTTAAAGCTTTTTTTTACAAATTTAATAAATCTAAATCCTAAAATCAATCAAAACTTTATAACTTCATCCAAATTTTCTTTATTAATCGAAAATGCTTTTTTACAGGTTTATAAATTATTTTATTTTAAAATTACTCATAAGTGGGCTTCAAGCTTTTAGCAGAACCCAATTTGTTGGGGCTTGATTACGGCGGAAAAGCGGGCTTCAAGCTGTAACATTATGGTTACAGTTTATACAGAAATATCCCTTACTAAAATGTTTAACAAAAAGAACATCAATCAAAAAGAAAAACACACTACTAAAGATCATGCATGATTTGACCCCAAACAATTGTAGATCAATTATTGATGTAAGAGCAAAATTGCTTGACGGAAGTACTAAAGAAAGAATTGCTAAATGGTTTGAACAGGGCTTGTGTACAGTCTTCATCAATCTCAACAATGGCCTTGCAACATTCCGGTCCTATCGTAATTTGACGGTTAAAGAATGACCCGAAGATCTCCGCCATGCAGGCCTCTCCGTCTCCTAGGTCAGGGAAGCACCTCCTAGCTAGCTCGCTATCAATGGCATTACCGATACTTCCACCGAAGATGGACGGGAGCGAAAATGGAAGTGGAAACGGAAACGGGAACAATGAGAACGCCGTCGCGGTTTGAGAAGCAAAAGAGGATGAGAGGAGAAGAACGACGATGAGAGAAACTGATTTCATTATGAGGAAGCAGATATTACTAATCAAACAAATGTGAGTGATCTTGGTGATGACTTAAACAAGGATTTCAGTATTTATAAGAGAAAAAGGGAATAAAAATCTTAGATAATAGGAACATCTTTTAGTTACACCAAACTATGAAATAGATCTGTTCACCAAAAAAAAAAAAAAACTATGAAATAGATCTTCTAGTTAGGATTCTAGCGTTTAATTCGTTTAATTTGAGCTATATTACGTTAACTAATTTTCAAACGTGACGAGTTGTTTATACTTTTATATAACCGAAAATATTACAGGCTGTGGTGAAAACGAAATGAATCTTACTCTACGAATTTATTCGGTCCGTTAAAAACGATACGGTTCACTTATAAAATGTAATTAACAAATTACTAGATTATCTATCAATTTAATACGACGATAGTCCGTAACACGATCTCGTTAGGGTAATAAAGAGAAACACGTATATCTGTGTTACATTGAAGTTTGAATTTGGCAATCAATTCAAAAATAATGGAGTACTACTGTTAGTTAGTTAAAAAAAAAAGAAGGTTAGGCCTTCAGCAATTATCTCATGTATAACCGAACCGTCGCATCTTTAAAGTCAAAGGTTTCTCAATATATCAAACCGAAAGTACCGGTGTTCATGGAGCAAGTTTTTGTAAAATGTTGAATTAATTAACTTAATCATTGTATTAAGAAAAATATTAAGAAGATTTGCGTCTTTCCTTCCACACTTTGAGTTTGAGCCTCTAATAATTTCCTGTTGACAAACTGACATTATAATGTTAGTATTTTATTAGATGTCGTGAGTCGTCACCGTCTCTTCGCAATGTATGAAATGATAGTACTAGCGTTGACTCAGCGGATTATAAATATATATTGCATCTGCGTCCGCATCAAAGATTTTAATTGTTTCAGAAGCTTATCAAAATATTTCAATTAATATTCGTTTGAAGTTCTACCATCAGCAACACTGAATACTAAAACCATAGATTAAATTTGACCTGTTAAAAAAAGAAAACAATTCGATAAGACTTTATACGCGGAGCAAACATTGGCATAAACTTCTGAAAATACGGCTGAATATATGTTAGTATAATGTAATAATAACGCGGATTCAACTATCCAATGTCAAACCTTTATTTGTAAAGCTGTCCATCTTCCACATCTATATTTTAATTATGTACATATAAAATATTCAAAATCATTCTCTGGTGCTTAAATATAAACTTCATTTGTCTTCTTCGATCCTCTCAAAATCAATATTCTCATCTTACACTCATAATCTTTTGATCTCTTGATTAATAATAATAACAACCAACAATGGGCAACTACGTTTCATGCGCTCTAAGCAAACCGACATCATCCGAGTCGTCATCATCATCACCGGCTGCGAAAGTGGTTCTCCCGGACGGTGGGGTGCGTGACATCCACGCGCCGACGAAAGCAGCCGAGCTCATGATGGAGATGCCAAGCCATTTCCTTGTCGACGCCAAATCGTTGAAATTAGGCCGGAGATTCACCCCACTCGCAGCCGACGATGATCTCGACCTCGTAGGCTGCCACGTGTACGTCGCATTCCCGATGGCGCGTGTCTCTACCGCAGCCAACGCCTCCGACATGGCTCGGCTCTTCCTTGCCGGCAAGAAACGCGTAAGAAGCTGCGACAATAGGAGAGTGTCTCCGGAGGAGGAGGAAGAGGATGACGTCAGACTGACGTCGGGAATGAAGCTAAATCTTGAAGACATAGAAAATTTCTCGGCGGCGGAGTTTATTCACCGGATCTCTGTTTCCAAATCAAAGAAGCCACCGTTGGAGACAATAGTAGAAGAAATCGTGTCGTAAAACAACAAGCCGTCCATTTTTTTAAAAAAATTTCTCTTTACGAATTTGCCTCTCTTTTGTGATGGTATTAATGCACGAAATGAGACATTAGTCGACAAATTAGTTTGTGTGAATACATTTTTTTTTTTTTTTTTAAATTGTGTGAATACTTTCTTTTCCCGTACGTAAATGCATTTTTTCGGAGGTTAATACTGATGTGAATGGAATCATCGGTAATGCAACTTGACTAAAATTAATAAGAACTACATTTGATTTCCCATGAACAAAAACATAACTTATTTTTTCTTGAACAAAGTGTTTTCGAGTGTAACTTGTCAACCGCTTCTTTGTAAAAAACAGAATCAAAAGTCAAATTTTATGAAAATAAGCAAGTTTCAATGGAAACTGGAAGTGGTTTTACTTGCATTAAATGTACGTTGCCTTGAAACCAGACGTTGACCATATTTATGGGAAATCCCAATTTGCCCTTATGATTCTTAACGGCTAAAAATGCTCTGTTTCGACGTCTCTCCATAAATAATACATTCGTGTTTTCTCCTTCATTACCAAACCTTGACGTTCTCTAGACAACTAGTTAACCTTCTCTTCATCTACAATGTCGGAATCACTACGAAACCGAGCAAGATCAGATTCAGAACCACAGATGTACGAATTGAGCGATGGTGATTTCACCAACGAGCCTCTCTCCGATCTGTTTTCAACTACGCTTAAGAATTCTCATCTCCCAGATCAGAGGGTTTCTGTTGAATACCTCCCACAGCATCAGAAACTGAAGATCCCAGCTGCAATGGTAATGCCATGGATACCAACGAGCTCGAAGATCTGCGAAGCAAATCAAACTCTCTGTTCAAGGTTATCGAAGGTCGCGTCAATGTCCTACACCGAAATCGAGTCTCTCGTGAAGACGACGGCCACTGGTGAGGCGGTCCGTGAAGCAATCGACGGTCGTGAAAAGTCGACACATGTTTCCGAGAGACCTAACCGGTGGGAGACGACGGAAGCAGGTTCCGATGAAACGTTTGGTGACCTAAGCAGGATGCTTCAGTTTAACTGCGACATCAGAGATTTTGGATATCTTCTTACTGAGAATGCCACCGTTACTGACACTGCTTGGTCGAACGGTGTTGAGAATGTTCCTCAAATCCGTATCCAGAACAAGCTGAAACCGTACACTCTGCATATGATTGCTGCTCTTAACCATGGCTGCGTTGGGAGTTATCCACTTGGAGCTTGGGTTCGTGCTTGGGGTTGGGATTTATCCTGCTCGAGGAAGCCGGTTTAAGTCGGAGGCAGTTTACACTACTAAGATGCCTTCTGCGGTTGATGAAAACCTCTGTTCTAGCGTTTAAACAGAGCCACGGAGAGATTCTTGCGAACCTATGCCTCAATATCTTGGCGGTTTTCAGGTTATTGCACTTGAGCAAGGACAAGACTTATGATGGAGGAGATGAAAACATGAATCGGATTGGAAACTCTTACTTGGAAACCTTGAAGACTCCGGATATGGTGAATAATATGATTATGATGATGACAAGGCACAAGGAGTGTCTTCTACGTATTGCTCCTCATCCTTTTGGTCTTGCGCAAACGTTTTGGCTTGCAGAGGTTATGCGTAAGCATGAGCTTCTGATGCCATCGTTAGCTGCTCGGTTTCATCACGCTACTCCACCTCCGGTTCAGAGGATCATGGTGATACTTGAAGCTGCTAGAGAGTGGGAGATTCTGCCTGGGGGGATTGGGAGAGATGTTTTGGAAATGTTTAGCGATAATCTTTCTCGTTTGAAGACTCAGGAGATGGCGATTAAGGCAGCTGGATGTGAAGAGAAGATGGAGATAACAGGTAGGGTATGGGATGGTGATGTTAAAGCTTTGATGCCTGCTACTTACGGCTTTGCGATGGTTGCACATGTGTCCAAGGACGGGAAGAAGAAGGATGGTATTGCTCTGGCTCGTTGTCTCAAGAGTGTCGAACGTGATATGAAGACAGTCGGTAACTTCTGGAAGAAGTTATGGAGAAATAAGTTGCAATCGTCCTCTCAGTAAGAGAAGATGTAAAACATGAACGAGAGAGGTTTTAAGAATTAAGAAGCAAGTGAACGTGTGTTGCATTAATCAGATCTTTCCAATTCAATAAAAGATTTGTTACAACTCATTTGGTTTTGTCCTTAAATTCGGACTAATATATTTTAATGGTAGGCACGTCCTATGAACAACTCTTTTGTGATTTAATTTCCTCGCACGTATGTATTATATTAGGATAATGTATGTTAGAATCAAGATTCGTAGGAGAACATGGCCAGATCGCTCAAGAAATCAGTCAAGCTGAGCCTAAGACATGTTCGGATCCGGTCTTCAACAATCAGGTTCAAACAAGACTCTAGTTCCATAGAAAGAGATCAGAGAACCGAGTTTCTCGGAGTTGGAGAAGAGGAAAACGATGCCGCCGAAAGTGGTAGCGAGTATGAAGAATTTGAAGATGAGGGAGTAGAAGGAGGAGAAGGAGAAGAAGAGGGACAAGATGATGGCAAAAGCGTTGTAAGCGGCGGCAAAAGTGAACGCAAAGAGGCAGAAGTGGAGGTTGAAGCGGCAGAGGCGGAGATCATAGAGGCAGGGAATAGGGTGATGGTGGTGGTGGATAAAGTGATTGCTTCAACCGGAGCTCTTGAATGGGCTTTGAAGCACACGTTACAATCACACGACTATCTTTTTCTCTTATATTTCTCCAAACCCTTTACAAAAGGTTCTCTCTTTCATTTCAATCATATATTATTTGAATTCTAATCAAAATGTTGGATCTTTAGTGTTTGACTTTCTAAAGATTTTAAAGGCAAAAGGAAGAACCGGAAACGTGAAGTAAAGACGGACGAACTCGTCCACACGCTAAAGAAACTCTGCCAAACAAAGCGACCAGGGGTGAGTCCAAATTCTAAAAAAATAAGCGTCTTCAGCGTTTCAAAACGCTAAAATGTGATTATGTCTATATAATAATAACAGATAGAGGTAGAGATAAGAAGACTAGAAGGAAAAGAGAAAGAGAAAGGAGAGAAGATAGTGGAAGAAGCTAAAGAACAAGAAGTGAGCCTCTTAGTAGTCGGAGAAGAGAAGAAACCGCCGGTTTGGAGAATGGTGAAGCGATGGGGATGGAAGAAACGGCGTGGCCGAGCCGGAGTTCTCAAGTATTGCCTAGAGAAGGCTTCATGTATGACCATTGCGGTTAAACCAAAGAGCCGTAAGCTTGGTGGCTACTTGATCACAACCAAACGTCACAAGAACTTTTGGCTCCTAGCTTGAACTAATTTAAGCCATTTTTAGGCGGGTTTTTTTTTGTTCTTGCTCTCTCTCTCTCTCTTTGCATATGATTTTCCCAATTCTGACCGAAGGAAAGATAAGAGCTCTATTGATTTGAAGTCTTTTTAGACTACAGTAAAAAGTGAATAAAATGGTTTATATTATGTAAAATATATATGTTATTAATAAATGATATAAAAGAATAAACTGAAAATAAAGTTTGTTAAAGATTTTTAAAAAGACACATCATGAGCTATTTATAGCATTCTAACATAATCAGAAGATAAGGACAACAAACTTTAGCAAAAAAAATATGCCAAATACAATTGGTTGCTAATATATAAAGATTTTACTATACATAAAACTTGCAAAAACAAGCAATGAATCTGACCGAAATTAATAATAACAAACAATGAACTAACAAAAAAGTAAAAAAAAAAAAAAAATTAGGAGAAACAGTTTTGTTTGAGATACTTTGCTAACTCATGAGAAACTTATGCACCACTTATCTCTTTCTTAGTGGTCAATTCTTCTTTGCTGTCAACAAAAACATAAATTCTTTTTTTATAAAATTAAAATATTAATATAATAATTTTAAGCAAGCGTTAATGATGCTCTAAATCCCTCGTTGTTATCGTTTGAGACGACGACGAGTCCTCCCTCTGCTCGGCTAAGACTTTCGAACTCATGTAAGATTTTTTTCAGTGGCCATTTCCGTTGATATTTAATGGTCAATCCTAACTGAATCTGTAAGCTGTTAAGTTATGGTAAATTACATTTATTTATAATCAGCTGGTCTTAGTTTGGTTTCAGCTGTGCCTTGAGGAAAAAAAAATGATTGGTCACAAATGTGTTGTTGCGGAGAGTCAGAACGATGAAGTGATGGCTAAGTCTCTGGAGGCATTGACGCAGGATGAGGTGAGAGAGGTCCCAATACAATAAGAAGACGACATCTTTTAAGGCTACCTTTCCTTTTCGGTTTTTCTTTGTTTACACAATGCAACACTTTGGTTCCCACAACACAATACAAGTGATGATGAGTTATCAAGCAACAATTGAATTAAAGAAATGAGCGTTTGCAAGAAAAGAGACAAGACTTGGCCATTCATTCTTTGGGTTTGGTTTCTTGAAACGCACAGGTTCGACCTCACCAGAGTCAGCCTCAGGAAGAAGTAGCCAAGGAGAACGTAGAAAAGAACAAAGAGGAAGAACCAGCGAAACCTGATTCCCCAACGCAGGAGGATCAGAAAGATGAGGCCAAAGATGACCGAAAGAGGAAAACGAGGAAGGAAACTGAGAACAAAGACGAGAAGAAACTGGCTCCAAGAGCTAAGAAAGCCCGATCGACCAGACCACAGGAAGAGCCTGAGTACTTGGAGGAGAAGCGTAATCTGGTATGCTTTCTTAACCTCATACTGCTTAAGATTCATCAACACTTGGAGGAATTTGTTTATTTGTTTGGTGGGGATCTCTCTTATAACTTACACCCATTCTTGTTTTCATAAATTGTAACTTAAAAACATACATGGGGATTGTTTTCTTTTCTTGTTGCTGCCGTGTGAGTGGCAAATTCACATGTGCGCTTGTTTTTAATTATGTTTCAGCAAGATTTGTGGAAGACTGCATCTCCAGTGGGATTTGAGGTATATATTATTATTGATTTGGCTACAACATCTCGCGTTTACTATCTCCATTAATGGTTGTTAAATTGTGTTGGCAGTGGGAACTGTTAGATTCAATTTATGAACCTAATTGGGATTTCAAACATTTTGAAGTAAGTTGTTCGGATTGTATTCCCCATTTCTCGCTGTCTATTGTTAGGTCAAAAAAGATTTACTCTTCATTCTGGTATTTATATGCTTAGGAAGCATTGGAGGAAGGAGGAATGCTCTATGGGAAGAAAGTGTTTGTTTTTGTCAATGCAGAACGTAAAGATTTTTCTGAGATTTTTGCTAGTTTTTTTGGCTTAAGTATGCTCTCTTCCTTTTGATTAACACGTCCTGTTTCATTTTCTCTTTCTATATTAACAGCTCAATTTGTCAGCTACAAAGATGTAATCAAGGTTATCCTTGTCCCCATAGTTGTTGCTGTAAGTTGTTGTTTCAATCTCCATCAACGGTCTGCTTGCTGTCACTGATCATATACATAATATGGATTTTGTCTGATATCTACATGTATAACATTCTATATAATGTAGGTGGAATCACCCTCTCCGCCTTCTGATAAGGTAGCAATCGCATCGATTCAGGGGGTAATGGAGGAGACCGTTCCAATGAAGCAGATGAAAATGGACTGGGTTCCTTACATTCCGCTTGATAAAAGGTACCTTGAGTTCCACGTCAACATGTGTCGGATGACACGGCATGTTGCTAATAGCTTTTGCTGATGTTCTTGTTGCAGAGGAAGACAAGTTGAGAGGATGAAGTTTCAGATTTTTATCCTCGTCTGTAGGCAGAGGAGGTAAGAAACATTATTACATGTAGTAATTGTTTTAATGATCTACCAGTTTCAGTTTAGCTTTGTGCATTATCTGCAGAGCTGCCCTCAAGGACGAGCGTGCTAGGGAGTTCCTATATTGTCTTCCTTGTGAGTTTTATTCCTCTACTAGTGAACCATTTAGGTATGTTTACGTACGTGGTACGCAAAATCTGACATTCCTTTTTTTGTTGGCTTTGCAGATTTCTATGACCCATTTAAGGAAGATGAAGTTGAAGATAGTACTGAGGTCGACATTATTTTCCCATCTAAACAGCTGGTAAGTTTTGTGGCATGCAGTGAATATGTTGATTGTTTTTGGTATAAACAAGCTTTAATCTCCTGTTTGTGCAGATCAAACGTGACTTTGACTGGAAGTTTAGCAGACTTGAGGTGTGCGTTTGGCTTTTCTGTAACCATAAAACTTAAATTACTTGTGAAATTCATTGTATTGCTGAAGCTTTGAGATGGCCTTTGTGTACATTTCATCTCAGGAATTTGCTGATGACCTGATTGAAGAAGAAGAATTATCTGCAGAACAAAAGGATGAATTCAAAGTAATTAGTATTTGAGCTGTAACACACAAAATTTTGTCACTTTTAAGTATAATATATATTTGCGCTAATTATTATTAATTTGTTTGCACAGGAATTTGTCAAAGAGCAGGTTCGAGCAGCAAAGAAAGCAAGGCATGAGGTAAAAAATGGTAACCCTGGCTGAGATAATGCATGCATGCATGTATGTGAAGGTGAGTGAAAACTGTTCGGTAAAAAATTACCCTGCAGGCAAAAGCTGCTCGAATGAAAGCAAGAGAAGAAGTGAGCGAAGAAGATAGGAAAGCCTATGAAAGCATCAAGTTTTACAAATTCTACCCTAAGCCTCCACCAGAGGTCTCAGGACTCGGCAAGGTAATTAGTAGAAACGTAAATCATTTTAAGATACCAAAATTAAGTCTTTTTGTTTGCAAAGCTTTTGAATATGTGAATCTTTTTTAAATGCAGTATCCCTACATTAACCGATACTACCGGAATGCTCATCATGTCTTTTGATCTTGGAATCTTCCATAACAATCCAATGTTTTCCTTCTTAAAGTTGCCATGCCATTCTCATTCTCGATGGAGATGGTGTACTATCATACATACCTGTTTGGTACAAAAAATAATTTAATAATTTGCATATGAAGATTGAAAATATATGTTCTCTGGAAGAAGATAACATCATAATTTGTTGCAATATAATTCAACAAGAATAAGAAATCTAGGAGTCAAGATGATTCTTAAGCGAGTTCAAGACTTCTTTGTAAGCCAATTTCTTGGCCATTTTCTTGTCAGAAGCCTTTGATGTGTGAGCAAAACTCATTTCCTTAGATTTCACTTCAACTGTGAAATAAGCTTCACCATTCTTGTAACCTTTGGCTTTGCTCAACTCCAACTGCTCTTTCTGGCACAATTCTGTCAACTCTCTCACAGGATGCAGCTTCACGGTTTCTGGAGTTATCATACAACCCAACAGCGGCTTTATACTCGCAAACACTACTTCCTTGTTGTAACCCGAGTCGACAAATATCGCTCCAGCTAAAGACTCTATCACATCTCCAAGAACCTGGCAATGACAAAGCCACCAAGACATTAAGGCCTCGTGTTCAGAGTTCCGAGTAGAGTAGATAAAAACGTGTTTTTTTACCTTTGGGAAAGATATATCGGATTCCCAACCAAAAGTGGATTGCAAAGACGTCCGTTCAAGCTCACTGACTGTTCTAGAGATGTGCTTGTGGAGATCATGAGAGGCATGGAGAATGTGCTTGTGCAGGTTTGATTTCACCGCCACTAGTGCATAACATTCATTGTTCACGGAAGCAGAGCGCATGTCGGTTAGTAGTCCAGGAGAAAGATTAGGATATTCACCGTACAAATACTTTGTTATGAGATAATCCAACACTGAGTCACCGAGGAACTCCAGCCGCTGCAGAAGAGTTTAACATTTGATTCATTAACCGAAACAATACAGAAAAATAAATAAAAAAGTTAGATGATTTGACTTTTATGGAGAAGAGACTGAAACCTGATAGCATCTTGGAATGTCAGGAATCATGTATGAACCATGAGTCAGTGCCTCGACTAGAAGAGACTTATCCTCAAACTTATAGTTCAACAGCGACTCCATATAGCCTACATTCACAAGCCTCTCAGCTTGTATTGAGAAGTCTCTTTGGATCATCGTAGCTGTGAAGTCGACCTTTATTCCAACCCAATTCATGAACATCAAAGCTGCAACTTCACCTCCCTCGCTGAGATATGCACCAATAAGCGATTCTACAACATCAGCCACACTCTTGCGTTTCAAATTCCTCCTCCTAGCAATGTATATGTTCCTTGAACCAGGAAGAAGATCATTAACAAGAGTATAAGCTGCAGCTGTTTGACCAGGAACCATCCAACCTTTAGGTTCAAAACACTCGTCGCGGATAAATCCCTGTAATCAAAGAATAACCAATGTAATTATTTGACAAGTCCATCTGCTGCGAATTTAACATTTCTATAGAACCAGAGGATTACTGAAGAGTGTTTACCTGAATCTTCTGCTGGCATCCAAATTCGCAGAGCATGACATTTGAAATCATTGCATCTTTCTTCGTGCTGAGAAGACCCTCATGATGACTACGAAACTCTTGGAATAGTTGCTGACAAACAGCATATTTGAGAAAAGAGTCACCAAGAGTTTCTAGTGATTCCAAGTGGAACTGATCTTGGCACTTCCTCGTCGTGATGGCTTCCAGTACCTGTACCCACAATTGAATCAAGAACATTTGGTGAAGAATTCAACAAACAAAATTCCCATGAATGATTTACATCAGCTTGCAAGTCCCAAGTTCTACCTTGATGGTTGGAATGTTGACTTCAGGGATGCTCTTCTTCAGGTTGTATGCTATAAGCAAAGATTCAATGCGTTGCATAACAGACGGGATGAAAGTATATGAATAGATCATGTCGACTGGTATTGGCGACATAATGACATGACACAGTTCAGGAGGTAGTTCAACAAACTCTCTGTCATGCTCTGCAGCAAACATTAAATAAAAATGGGGAGAAAATTAAGCAATAAGAAATTCAGTAAAAACTCAGGATGCAATTAATCAGGTTGTGGTTAAAGATTACAAAACCTTTCCCCTTTCTCTTCTTGGTCATGTGAATGTAATTATGCAGCGTGAAAATGTGTCTCCCATTCAGAAGTGGTTCACCCACAAAATTTAATTGAATCCCATGCCTGCAGCATAAATAATATATCATCAATAGTGAGGACAATCAAAACTCAAACCATTATAATTCGACTGGATCGCAAAACTTTGTAATGTGAAAAGTATATGTACCGTTTCTCATAGTACTCCATGTAAGTCTGATGGCCAGAACTTCTCTTAGTCAGCAATGAATTTGCGTTAAGATTGTTCAGAACACCTTTGGTGCAGTAGACGTATCCATTGTGTGGGGTGTAAACCAAAGCATTTTGTACGACACAAGTACAACGCAAGCCGTGTTTTGTATGAAGAATGCGAGAAGCACACTTGGCAGAACAGCCCACGTGTCTTTCCGAAGCTGTATGACAAGTTAAGTTCACGGATCTAATCACCTCCCAATTAACAAGAGATGTTTCATGCTCATGAGTGGATGGAAGCAGTAGATAATCAAGTCCCACCCCGTCTCTGAGATGCAATCCATTCAATGCCTCCATCAAATTATTCACACTGTGATCCAAAAGAACTCGGAGAAGAGTTATCTGAAACTTTCTACACAAGAGGACCTGAAAACACACAAGCAAGAAACTGAGATTCAATAATGAATTTAGATGAGATATATCACTGATCAAGAAAAATGAACAACAATACCTCCTCTTGTGTAAAGTCAAACGCTCCCACATAGGTCAATGTCACAGCTATTGTACCACGATGATCTTCCAGCTTGAAACCGGTGTTCCCAATGTCATCTTCAAGCTCAGTTCTGGTCCCCAGAAAAATATCGTTAAAAAGGAAATTTCTTGGAGAGTCTGGCTTCATTCTTATTGAGTAGATGTGGTATGTTGTCTGCGACTGTCCTGAGAACTGGGAGACTAGCTCTGGGGGAAAGTAACATGGCTGTTCTGTGTTATAGTGTATTTTCCCTGCAAACTCAAACCTCGTAGATGAGAGGTTTACTATTATGCAGACCAAATCTAAAAAAATGAAGAAGCAGAAAAATACCGAGCTTTTGTTCGACATTTTCCGCCACAACCATGTCAGGGACAAGATGATCAGTGAGAGCTCCAGCTTTGTGCAGCTGAATACAAGCTTCAAGACAGACAGCTTGTTTTAACACATTACCCTGTGCTTCAACTCCAACCTCCTTGATTGGGCAGCTCTTAGGTAAGTATAGCGTACAGATCCCCTGATCCTTGTCTATATCAAACCTAGGTGCTGGTTTAAAGTATCTTTTCCAGCAAAAAAAAAACAAAACAAAACAAAAGAATCAGAAAGAAACTATAAAGAAGAAAAGCTGGTAGGTATCAAGACTAACTCATCTGACGGAAGCTTTGAGCAGTAGTAATATATTAAGCTAACGCTGGAGCTAAAATTTACAATTGCTCCCGTACTGTCCACACGATAGACTTCCCCGGGTGAATCATCTAGAAGAGGTTGACAGGGATCAAGAGAATGATGCAGAGACTCTTCACGCATTCTTTTCCCACCACAAAGGTATTTCATTAACCGATCTCTCGTTGATACATCTCCGCTGCAAGGTGGCAATGAGTGAGAAAGAAGTAAGGTTTTAAAAACAATAACGTAAAACCTATGAAGAATCAGACCTTTCCACCATCATCAAATAATCTGAGTTTAGCATTCTAGCACGCCCACGAGACTGTATGAAACTGCAAATGTTGGATGCAGGGTCGAATCTGATAACAAGATTGCAACTTTGAACATCTAGGCCCTCCTCTAGAATAGATGTTGCTACAATGATGTTTACCTGCGAATAAGAAGAACAGGTTACTCAGAATTTAATGATATCAGTGATCAGAAAGCTCCACCAATCCATAGGAGCTCGTCCATACCAAGCCTCTTCGGAAGTCTTCCACAATTTCGTTTTGCTTCTTCCGAGTTTGACTTTGCAGACCAGAGTTGTTTCCTGCAACGTACTTGGTTTTCCAGCTATTGTAGTTCGGAAGAATCTCGGCCAAAAGGGATTCCAAAACTATTGCTGTTATCACCCTATCCACAAAAATGATGCACCGTATCTTCTCCAAGGAGCTGTATCAACGAAAATTCAGAGGAACAGAGTTGAAAAAACAGGACAAGTTGTATAATATGCAGAATTTTCTTTATATCCAACAGTTGGATAGCGAATACCAAATAACTTGGCGGACTGTTTTTCTTTATTTCATTTTGGATCATCATTTCAAGCAGAAAAGAAAGTGCGCATGCAATCCAAACCTATAACCAAGAAGAGATTCAACGAGGCAGACTGTTTTGGACGTTACGAGACCTGACTCCAAATTTTCTTTAATGTTATCAGCACTCCAGTTAAGACCTATATACTCAAACAAAGAACCAAAGAAGTGAGGAAAATATATAAAAATAAAGAATGAATGGATCTACAACCGTAAAAAAAGTTTGTAAGCAAAAAACTACCATGAGGTATGTCAGCTAAAAAAGCCTGCGAAGCATCAGAACAGAATTGTTTTACGAAAGTCTCACTAAACAGATTTAGTTGTTCCCACAAGGCAAAGTCATTCTGACTGGCTGACAATGACTGAGCAGCCTGTTGTGGAAGAAAACAAAACATTATATCATTTCTTACTTTCCTTTATGATCTAAAACCTTAAAGGAGCACCAAGAACAAAAATACCTTCTGCGCCAGCCAAATTCCGAGATCATCTAAACAATAAGTTAGGCATGAACTAATCTTCCGCAGTCGCTTCTCTATAGATTCAACAGTAGAGGCTTTGAGATCCAAGTTTGCAAGGGATAAGCGATGCTGAAAAACAAGTCCATTGTCCTAATTAATGTGTGAAAACAAGAATGGTAAAAATAGTATGGACAACAGCAACATAGAGACACGACCAGGTAGTGTAACATACCTTTGTGGTTAGCTTTTCCAGCTTCCCTACCAAGCTTGCATATTTGGAACTTGGCATTTCCATGTGCTTATAGTACTTGAAGCTTGGTGTAGAGAAGGGGACATACCCAGCAAGCACGGACTCATTCTCACAGGTATACACCTTTATATTTAAACAAATTTATTACTATGATGGAGTGTGGAAGATATAATCATCCCCACAAAAATTCGTTACCGTCTCAGAATGGAAACATGGTTCAAATTTTAAAAATTATTGAGACAGTACAAGCAATTAACAGATGAGACCATATTGCTGCAGTACAACTAAATGATGTATGTTCACCATAGAGGGTAACAAATGACTGTAATCACTATACCAAACAAAAAAAAAATGAAATTTTCTGATTCCGAGGGCACCTTTCACAGATTAGAATAAAAAACATTTCATTTTCTATAACTCAAAATTCATAGAAAACAGGAGACAATACCAAATACTCAAGATAAGGAAATAACTAACCTTTGAATTCATTAGAGTTTCAAGTTCATGAATAATTTTCCAGTAGCTATCCAACTTCGTACCTTAGTTGAGAGAAGAAAGACAGAGACATACACAAACAAACGTGACAAAACATATAAATCGAATGCCAAAATCCAATAAGAAAAAGCGCTAAGTGCATAATCACCCTTGGCTTTCACAAGGGATGCAGTCATCCCAAATATCCTTGGAACATGGGAAGATGCAGAATTCAACTCCTTGTGATAGAACTCCTACATTAAAGAGAGCTATTTTGTCAACAGGTGTAAGAGCTAACTTATAAATTACATTCCTTTTTAATAAATTTGATTTTTTATTCAGGCCTGAGTATCTTTTCATGCTCACCCTCATGATACAAGCGTAAGGGTGCTTTCCCCTAGCGTGATGACACTCATCAACTATTAGAACCTTGATCATGTTCAATCTGAGAAAACTATGTCTCAATGCATCGAGCAAAATGGCAGGGGTCATCACAAGAACCTGCAGTCATGAGAGCAACGGAAAAACAAAAACAGAGTGAACACTTGAAAGCTTCATATAGGTTTGAAAACTTGAACTTATAAAGGAAAGGAGACCTCGTATTTATCGACTTCTTGTTTCCATGTTGAAGAATCCCAAAAGTCAACCCCCATGTCTCCCCAATACATACCCACTTTTAGATCAGTGTGCATCTTCAGGGCTTCTGCTTGCTGCGTAAAACACGCAAGGACGAGTAAGAACATCTGTATATAGTCCTTTATAATAAGGGAGAAGAGTAATACTATATGGACTGATCTATAGTGACCAAATCACAAACTTCAATCCTAAACACCAATTCTACATAACATTAGACTCAGAGAGATGCATATTTAAAGGCGGTCACATTCTATGTACACTAAAAGAGCTGCCAATAAGATAGAAAGATAGCATCATACTTGAGTAACAAGAACCACTTGAGGAACCAAGAAGACGCTGAAGAACGGTGAAGGTTTGCGGAATAGGTAGGCGTAGAGACGAAGAAGCATAATGGCAACAAGGGTTTTGCCAGAACCAGTCTCCAAGAACACGATTGTGTTCTGCTTTATAGCTCTCTCAAGTGCCTCTACCTGATAGCTGGGTAACAGAACATCATATATACAAAGATGTAAGGACTTGAGATGATAACAGATTGCCAAGAGGAACATGGGTTCATCTCTGTCATTTGTAAAAATCATCTGAGCAAAGCAAAACAGAGCCTAGAAGAAAACTGCGCGAAGAAGATGGAAGATAAACTCACCTTCTTGCAAATGATAGAGGAGTGATAGAGGCTTGATCAGCGTTCTCGGTTTCCATCTCATCGGCATCCATGGCTTTCTAAAACGAAACAGAAAATATAATTACGAGCTCTTCGTCAAGGTTAGACGAAATTCCAAAAAGCAAAAAGATGGAGGTAGACAAACCTAATACGATTTTACAAAAAGGAAGAAGACGCTAACAATCGGAAAACCCAAGGATTTGACCGAGGAAGAAAAACCCTGGAGTGGGCGATCGAAAGACCGGGATAAAGACAGAACTTCGGGTACAGACAAATATCGTAGAGGAAGCTCACTGAAGTAGAAAGGTTACACGAAGATGAAGGAACAAAGCGGTCCTTGGTGAGTGAGAGAGTATTTATGAAAATAATACTCAGCGGTTTTCAAAAAGAGTCTTACTTTTTAATTTAATTTTGTTGACTCGGTATATAGGGAGACGGTGGCGATTCTGGGGATTTTGTTGTGATGGGGAACTAGTGATTTACATTTCTGCTAAAGCTATTATTATTTGTTTTGTATGATAATAATTGATTATTATGACATTTTACTGATGGTGTTATTATTGATTTCAATATGTAGTAGTAAATTATTGTTCTGTTGACATTATGATTATTTATTTTGGTATAATAGTAAATTATTGTTCTGAATTATTTTATGTCAAACGCCATCATTATTATATTTTGGTTTGATAGTGAATTACTATTATGACTTACATTCTACTATTATATAGTTATTATTTTGATATCATAGTAAATTACTGTTTTGAATTATATTTCTGTTGATGCCAGCATTATTTATTTTACTGATGTAGTGAATTAATTACTGTTTTGTGAATAATATTGACATATATATATATATATATATTCGCTGACGCTATTATTATTTATTTTGGTGTGATAGTGAATTACTGTTATAAATTATATTTCTACTGATTATTTTGATTTGATAGTGAATAACTGTTTGTGATGGGATTGTGGCTTTTACTTTGCACTGACAAATTACGAAACAAACAGCGTTGTTCCTGTGTCCAGCTATGAAAAAGGGGAGTTATGTCCGGACCAGTGTCCAACTATTTCTTCAGCCATCAATACGAAAAGGTAACATGGATAAATAACGAAAAATTCATTTTGGACAGTCCATTCATCACAATAGTTGTCAAGTTAAAGAATTAAACTTTTTTTTGTTCCAACACTTTGAAAACTCATAATACGTGCAAAGATATATAGATATATATATATATATGTATTCTTGAAGTCGAAGAGAGTGTAGAAAACTCTTTTTTTTTGTCAACAGAAAAAAGCCCTTAAATGTGTTTCTTTAACCATAAACACATGAAAGCTTCGAAAGAGCGTCTGTCTTCTTTGAAATTCTCATGGAACTTTATGGGTTTTGCAGATTACATAAAGTAGCAACAAAGGAACTACAAAACTGTAACCTGGAAAATGAAGCACCATGTTCATCTCATAAGCTCTAGCTAGACTCCAGCAATTCTGTACAGAAACAAAACATTCCGAATCAGAAATATATAAAACAGACAATGGAATGAACACAAGATGAAGATCGCGACTTTTCTTTGGTAGGTTCTCGCCAGCAACACAGAAATGAATGAACAGTAGAGTATTATTATGGAAGTGATACCTTGAAATGCTTCCAGTATAGAGCCAATGAAGCCAGCAAGAGCGATTTCCGAATCAGTCTTCTGCTAGAGAATAACAGCGAGCGGCGTTGTGATCTCTTCTTCCTTCCCCTGTCATGGTCATCCTCTTTCTTACCCGAGACGGTTCGGACGTGATCTTTGTACATTTCTCTCTCGGCAACCAGACCACACACGACCAAAACACTGGGGATAACAACCAAGACCAGATGTGGGATCACCAGAACCATCACATCAGGTTGTCCGATGTATTCATGTTTCTTATCCGCGCCTGACCTTGTGACCACCCATCCCATAATAGTCATGTATGTTCTGTTTCCGGAACCAGTAAACACCTCACCGGAAAACCAAGGGAAGAATATGAGATAAAAGAAATATGCCATGTAACCAAACCAAACCACAGGAATTCTGCAGAGGTCTTGGAGAATCCACAGTACAAGCGTGATTGGTCCTTTCTTGGCGATGAACTTTTTGAGGGTGTATTGCTTCTTGAAAACGACGATTATGCATTTGGGGATGAGAAAAACGAGAAACAAACAACACAGAGCAGACCAAAGAATCGGATAATACAATGCCGCCCACTGGAAGCCCATGACTCGAAACTCATTCCATGTCCACGAGACTTTAGAGCTTAGACCATTGATGGAAAATGGCCGCATTTCTGATAAAGTTGATCTGCCTTTGATGTCAGTCACTTCTATCTGCAGCCAGAATCTATCTGGTAAGGGATCTTCAAAGGCCCTGTAATTCCATGGAAGTGAAAAAAATGATGCCCCGGAAGTGGAAGAATCGTCTCCATGTTTTCTCATTGGAGCTTCCATGACCAGGTTGTCAAATCCAGGCGTTGAGTCATAAACCCTAGCTACAACTTCAACAACCAGTGAATGAGAAAACACAATGGCTCTGATTGCGTCATAGGATGACGAGATCATATGTTGGCATTCGTATCTGTGACGTGCAAAGGATGTTGACATGAAACGTGAATCCAATGGAAAGGTCGGCAATATGATAGTCTTCTGGGATTTTGACTTGAAGTCAAGATCAACATACGAAACATGACCCCTATCAACGGCCAAAATCCGCATTGCCCTGTTTTTTCTCCAGTCACCCATCTCCCATTCCCAGAATTCTGCAGCCGGCAAGGCTCCAAACGAGCAGTTCGTAGTACTTTCAGCACCAGTCTGCCTCATATTCAGCTGAAACAAGTCATTATCTGATAAACTGATACCAGCAGACTGATGGAGTCTTTTGAGATTCTTGCCAAACCTTGAGTGTAGATGGCCACACAAATAAGCAGAGATGGAGTGCTTCAAGAAAACATCTTTAAGGCTCTTTTGAGAATGTGACGGCGCTGAGAAGGACAGCGGAAAATGCCCAAATGATATCTTTGTCACAGGTTTTGTTGACTGGTCATCCCATTGCGATAGATGCGAGTCGAGCGCGCTCAAAAGTTCATCAGTTGGGTGCCCAAAGAGATTCGTTGGGCCGCGTAATCCAATATGCATCGTGGTGTCAACACCGACAAACAGATGTTTACGTTCACTGGTCTGTACAACAAAACATAGAACTGTCAGCAGCAAATTTTATATAATCGAGCAATGTGGAAATTTGTTCCACCACAATGTCATGGATAATAACCTTCATCTTACATGCAAATCAATGATCTCAACCAAATGAAACAAGAGGTAAGCAATAGAAAAAGTTTGGAGAGTGTAACCAACCTCAAGAGTGACGGTGTTAACAGTTTCTTTCCTTCCCATCTGTCCATTGATGCTATACTTTGAGAAGAAATCAACGGATGAACCAACAGACGGGACACCAAAGTTGTCGTGGTTACCCCTAAGATCATAGAATATGGTCTTATTCAACCGACTTCTCTTCACAACATCTTGCATCACACTCTCGTATTCTAACCACTCGTCTTCATCTTGCTTCATCGTTAGCATGTCTTCACTTTTCCCATCTGATTAACCCAATGAAGGTAAGATATCAACCAGCAATTTGATACAAATAAGAGCTTATAAGTAAAAATTGGCCAAATACAAAGAGCTGAACATATCCGAAAGAGCAATATCTTGTAAGGAAATCACAATGCTTCCCAAAGCTAAAGATTCAAAATTTATTCGCTAACCTTCGATAAATTCTATCCAGAATGGAGAAATCAAACAAACTTAGCTGAGCGAAAAAAATTGGAAGCTAAAACCTAAAAACCCAGAACAAACATCACTGAAGCTCATCAAACAAACCTAACGAGAGATTCTCAAATTCGAACAAACAGGGCAAAAACAAGTCGGTGATTCAGCAGAGATATCAACCTGTGAGATCACCGGTGATTAAGACGAGGGACGGGTTGATCAAAGACAGAGCAGGACCCACTAGGTTTTTGAAATCAATAGCTCTTTCGGGATGATGAACACTGAAATGGAGATCGGATAGCTGAACCACCCAAATCAAGTCTTGCCCACTTCTCGCTTCAATCACTCTTCTTCCAGATTCATCTATCGAACCGGAAACCCTCGAGCTCAAGGAGATTAACAGAAGAAGTATCGTACTCAACGAGATTCTTCTTCGCTGAGAAATTGGGTTCCTTCGGAGCTCATCGTCGCCGCCGATCGATTTCATCACCTCTCGCGAATCAGTAGCATTTGCAGATGAATCACTCAAATTGTATTTACAAATCGTCACGCTCAACGAACTGAAATGCTCCTCCAAAAAAATTCTACATTTTTATTAGTTCTTAATTCGTTTCTTTGGCTTGTTTTGTTTACTAAAGACGTTTAATTAAAAGGGGAAAGGTCAATATTTTCTTTCTTTACATCTACAAAGGAATCTATAAAGCGTGTTAAGAGTAATCAATCAAAAGAAGAAGTGCAGAGATCAAGAAAGCAAATTCTATTCTCCCGTTTATTGAAAAAAATTAAGAATGTGTTAACAATCCCAAAGCTTTCTACTACAATTCCATCATACATGTCACAAATTACAATAGCATATAGAAAAAATTACAATCACACATTCGAAGGAGTTCTTCATTTTCAAATCTAAATCATTCAGACAAGATTTTCAAGTCCAGGCTTTTGTATTAACCAGCATCAACAACTTTGCGAGTCCTGAAGAGCTTCCGTTTAGCCTTCTTGGGCTCAACTCCAAGCCATTGTTGGATGAGCTCAAACACTCTTTTATCATGGAGAAGCCCTCGATGAGTACCGGAGACTCCTACACTCGCAACTGCTTTAAACTGAGCAGCCTGCGAAGAAAAGTAGAAATGTAATAAGGTTTTGGTGAAGGTCCAGAGAAGTGACAAGAAGAACCACCAACTATCTCTCAAATCGTTCAAGCTTTGTTTTTACAGATTTGCTTCAAGAGAAACCGAGAACTCACGAACAAGGGAGTAGCTTACCACGGCTGATTCAGCTAGTACAGTTCCATCCCCATCTAAATATGTATACTCAGGCTGCAACAAGAAACAGAGTTGCAGAGACTTTAAGATCAAAAAGAAATTCATCATGTAGCGTAGATCATATTAAGTGAAGGAATGTCAAAAGATAGAAAATCGAAGATGAGTTATATTTGATAGCTGCAAGTTTTCAGATATGAAAGGGGCTCAAAGCATTCTTCTCAACAAGACTCATTTCACTCACCATAGTTTGACATATTTCAGACAAATCCTCGATTGGAGAAGTCTCTGTGCCATAACTGCAACACAAATCGTTTTAGCCCTAAGATTGCTTTAACAATTGTAATCAACGGAGAATCTAAGTTTGGATGATTTGAGAGATGTATGAATGCATACCAAACATCGAAGGGAGTATCCTGTGCCACTCCATAAATGTTATAAAAGGAAACTCCATCAGGAAGCTGCGCTTTGTTGAGAATTTCTCTCGTCTTACTCGCCCAGTCAAGTATAGAAAAATTAAAGGGTAAAGCTATTTTATCTCCACCATAGCTTAGCTACAAATACATTATAAGATGAAAATATCTCATAATCCAGTGGCACAATAGCATCTCAAGCCAATGAAAATAAGAAAGAAAAAAGCTGAGTTTGATACCTCATTATTCTTCAATGCGTCGTTGAACAGACCAATGCTCTCGGCTAGACCAAATGATTCCAGTTCTACAGAAGTACCGTCGTTTTCAGATTTCTTACGCCAAACTCGAATCTCTGGTTGTTTTCTCCACTTAAAATCTGGATTTCCCATCATCTCATATATCGATGGGCACTCAACCAACTAAAAACCAAAAATAAATTTAAAAAAAAAACACAAATTCATCAATGTAGATCAAGAGTTTCATGGACCAAGAACAAATCAAAGCTCACAAAAATCTAAATTCTTTGGTGCTGTAAAGCCCAAAATAACTTTTGAGGATTAATTACCAGTTGGTGCATGGTCCATCGTGACACAAAAAAGAAGCTTTCTAAGCCTTCCACAAATTGCACTCCAGTCAAAAGTGAATCATTGATGCACCCTGGAGCTCCTGTTAACCAAATCCAAGTCATTCCCAATGAAACCAGCTATTTCTATTATGAACAAACTTCCCCATAGAAATCATTTGTATCACCTTGGAAAGGTGTTGCAATTGTAATCCATTTATTGACATACTTGGAGAAAACCTGCCAATGTTCAAAACAGAGACTCACTCAGCATCCTGTTTGGATGTGGGAATCTCTAAACTTGGGCTGAGAATCTGTCCAAGATCATAATGGATGGTGGTTATAATACCTCGGGGTAGAGATACATGAAACACGAAACCATAAGTCCTCCCATTGAATGAGAGATGATAGTGACTTTTCTCTCCCCTGAACGTTTATACGCAGTTTCCAGCTTCTTTTTGAGGCCTAGTATAAGTTGATCGATCCTGCAATGAAATAGGCAAAACAACTAAAGAATCTCGTAAAATAGAAATTTTAGGTAACAAGAGAGCATTTTTAATGCAAATCACCTATTGCTTTGCCGGAAATCGTAACCGTATCCAAATAATGTAGTCCCCTTCTTATAACCACATCCAACAAGCATCTCTATCATATCGTGAAAGTGATACACCTCCGTCAAGTGACAAAGCTTTACAAACTGAAAAACACAAGTTATACAATATCAAAATCTAACAGGAAAACGAAACTAAACTCCCTACTTAGCAAGATAAAACGATTGAAATGAAGAATCAAGGCTAACATATCCAGAACATTAGATAATGAGGTTACACATCAAAAACAAACAAATTTCATGAATAGAAAGCACGCGGAAAGTGTATCATATTACCCAGGATGGATCTAGAATGTCAATTGCATAGAGTCCATGGTCATCATCAGGGACCAAAATTTCAATATTATCATCCAATGGTTCAGTATAGCCTGCAAAAGACATTCAAGATTACAAATCTGCTTCATAGCTTACTTTTGTTTAACACGTATATAAACTGGTTAGATCCAAATGCGCAAGAATTATGACATCACGTCTGAACGAAACTAGAGAAACAGACAAACAGACAAAAAAAACCAACATATATATATATATATATATAACTGAAGGTAATTACTACAAAGTTCCTTCAAACGTAGGGTCCAGAAGGGTGATAACACCATTGAGATATAAAAACAGACACTTTCGTCCCCACTTCACATTCTTCTACAAAAATGAGTTCCTCAAGGAAATTCTCAGTTAGTAATATTTAAGTCACAAATCAGTTTAAGCCAAAATCAAAATTTCAATTCTAATTTTCGTAAGCCACAATCAGTCCAGATAACGATTTACAAAATCGCAAAGGTAACTAACCACCAGCAACACGCAATCACAAACAAAGTTAGCAGACGAAAGATTTGACTGATAGGATCAAAAGCCACTTCATTTTTGTTTCGAATCAAGCGCATAGCTAAAAAAGGACTCAAATTTTAAAAGGAAAATGAAAACTACTAAAGGAAAGAGTCGATCATAGGGTAAAAAACCAGAACTAAAGCTTTGGTTTCATCAAAGACGTGTACCGGTTTTGGGATTATAGAGAGACCAGAGGCTCTGTCTGAAGGCAAGGTTTGCTAGAAATATTCGGACCCAAACCCGGATTTCGGACTTGGAGTTCTTCTTCTTAGAATGCAGAATCGAGCCTCCCATGCCGGAGACGAGGAGGACGGGATCTCGGTCCGCCACCTCGCCGGCGTTTTCATCGTCGTTGGTTCCCCAGCACGGACACGAAACCCACTCCATCAAAGCGGGTCACAGGTCACGGACCCGGAATATTCAATTCGGATCTTTCTTTCTACAGAGGTCAGGAGAAAATGGGAAGGTTGTGTGTGGGGCTTATCAGAGGTATACATGATTATGAGTCATGGATGATCTCTGAGAATATGCCATGTGTGACTGTGACTCTCTGGAACGGAAAGCCTCCTCACGTGTCATCTTCCGTTTTTTAGTTTCATAACTCCGTTAGTTGCACGTTAGTTACAATGAGGTCCTATCTGTTCTTTCAAAATCTCGTTGGATCATCTTGCAATATTTACAGAATTCAGGGTTTTTTAATGATGTGACTCGGTGTGCGAGATCCACGTGTCACCTTCCAGCACCTTACAGATTGGGTAACGACACCCGCAAACTGAAATGTGGTCCTATCTGTATTTTTAAAAATTTCTGGATCATCTCGCAATATTTACAAAATCCAGGGTTTTTGAAGACATGTGTGATGTGACTGTGGTGTGTACGAGATTCACGTGCTCCTCACAGATCACAAACGACAGCCTTTTTTTTACTTCCGTTTAAATTTTTTAACTCCGTCACATTACACGGAAGCAGAGTAAGATCTTACTTGCGAAATTTAAAATTTCGTTGGACCCTCTTGTAATATTTATTAAATTCAGGATTCTCTAGTGCATCTTCTCAAGGGTATCTGTTAATAATCTCTTTAGCGTTTTGAGGAAGACAGTCGGCGAAAATGGAACAGCCACCGTCGCCGGGAACGAAGTTAGTGAATATCGAAGAAAGCATGGAATCACTGTTACGGTTTACTCTGCGCGCTCATTTGGACGAACCAGTTCCAAGTCTCGATCTTGAACGAGATTTCTGCCTCCATCTCCTGGAGGAGGAAGATACAGATTCAACAGGTGAGTTATCAGATTCTGCTTTGTGTCTGTCTAGGATTTCTTTAACTAGCAAGCAATATCTGAGATAGGAGTGCTCAAAAGAAATAACTGAAATTTTCTCAGAAATGCTCTGTTCACAGAAAAACCTCCAATGTACAAGCTTCTAGCAAGGGCTTTGTCTGAATGTCTTACTACCGTTGACAAAAATTCCAGCTTTGAAAAGTACAGCAAACTGTTTCATGGTTCAGGACATGATTTGGTAAATGTATGTAAATATGAAAAAAAACTTGGTCTCAAGACTCTCAACTACTGAGTGGATCAAATGAATAAAAAAATTGGAGTTTTGAAAATGAACTCTTTTTGTTGTGCCAGATGTTGAAGAAGGTGAGCTTTGAGCTACATGTCCAGGAGCCTTATTTCACACAATTGAAAGGTACGTTTTCTGTTTACTTGCATCTCATCCTCATATATATTCCCTTCACTGGTGCCTTTTCATTCACCAGATGGTCTGAAATCTACTGAAGGAAGATGTGCAGTAGGAGACTACATGAGGTCTGATTCTTTAACCTCTGTTGATGACTCCACATGGTGATTTTACATTTATCTCTGTTAACCACAAAACGGGAGCTTGTTTCTTATAATCTTCTTGCGTTCCGTCTTGCTTTAGATTGTCTTATATTGGTTTAGTTCATACTTGTTACCTTTGTGTGTCCTCTCAGGATTAGTTCTGGAGCTTTTATTTTGTTCAATAAATGCTTGCTGCTTCAAGTTCAGGTAGTCTCTGTGAAATCTTCATTGTGAGGTTGAAGCTTTGTTTTTTCTGTGTTCTTATCAACAATTTTGACGATGGAAGGACGTTCGCCAATATACTTCATTCTCAGAAATGCTGAGAGTGGAGGGTCTTGCCAAAGTTCTTCCTGGAGTTGAGAGTATAGAAGAAGGTTTGAAGATCTTTACCAAGCTATGGAACATATAGAAAGCATCTTGTTCTAACCTGACACACGCTGTTCTATATGCAGGTGTTGGAGTTTACCGAAACTTTTACCCTCAAGAGAAGGAAAGAATGAACGGTGTTGTCGCAATTCGTGTTGCAAAACCAATTGATCAGCCTTATGCAGCAATGGCAGGAGTATTGTCTGTGAGTTTCTGACAGCAAGTGAAACTTTCTGAAGCCTTTGGTCATTAGTATTCATCATCACAGGAAATTTCTTTGATGGTTCTTTTGCAGGAACTCAAGTCCACTGGGATCAAAGGTCTGTTGGATGACTATGCAGCACGAGTTACCTTGTAGCTGCATCTAAAAACCTTTGGGAGCAGAGAATCTATTCAGTGCTGTGGAAAATTAGAGTTTTTACTCGGATTGTGTCAAACACATGTGGATGTTTTTTGTAGCTAAAAGACGGATTGTCATATTTACTCGATCAAATCATCAAAAAAGCAAAATAATAAACAATAAACAAAAATGTTTCTTATAAATCACTCATTCTAAGACTGAGGAAGTAAAACATTCCTATATTTCACAGTAAAGGACGGAGGAACTCTTACAACCAATGCCTAGAAATCTCACTTTATCCTGCTTGGTAATTCACAAGGCAACAAACTGTTTTCTGAGCACAAACACAAGACAAGACTTCAGAGCTTATTCTCGGATACTTTCTGGATGACCAGTTTCAGTTTGTTTTTGTCTTATTCGGGAACAGTAAATTCCATGAGTATGTGTTGCCTTTCTTTTCCGCAACCTCCACACGTTTCCCTCCAACCTGCAAGCCATTCGATTCCGTTAAAACAAAAAAAAAAAAAGCTTCCAACAGAGTAAATATTGCCTCTGTTCTTTAACCAAATTCTTGAAATTCTCTTAGTCAAATGTTTTTGTCACATGATAGTATAATAGAACGACATTTCATACCAGTCACTTTCGAAGAAGAAGAAGAAACAGATAAAATAAAGTACCTTGTCCATGAGCCAGAAGCCAAGGGAAGGCATGTACTGCACTAGATACATCACGAGCAGTACTGGCTGATAAATACCAAAAATAAACATATGTATCAGACGTCTAAAACGAGTGCAACATCTGCGATTTTGAGAAAGAGGTAAGGTACCTGATATGAAATCCAAGCTTCCTTCAAGTTATGAGATGCAGCGATTATGGTCAGTTCTGCACAACGTTCAGATGACACACGCTTCTGCGTGGCAATAGAAATGTGGTTTATTAGATGCTTGAGACAAACTGAAAAGAGAAAGCAGAAGAAGATAGAAGATCCCCACTGTATTGTCTGTAAGGCTAGTCAAAGATTAAAGCAAATGCAGAGAAGTACTTGAAACTGCAGACAAGTTAATCATAATCAGTTTAACCAACCTCAGGAGATTTCTTGTCTTCCGAAGTTGATGTTCCAGTACCATTCGAGGTTTCTATTGGACCGGGACAAACAACAGTAACCTTGATTCCCTTCTGAAAGAACTGAAACCATGCGCAGATGATTTTGAACCAACTGTTATATTCTATACTTTACTGTGCTATTTCAGCGATAAGTAAAAAAGAATGTCAAAGAAAACAAAGGGAAATGAGATATAGCATAGCAGGAAATGAAGATTGTTGCCAAAATAATTATCTTTTCTTCAAACATACCTCAGAACGCAAGCTGTGGAAGTAGCCTTGCAGGGCATGTTTTGAAGCAGAATATATAGCTTGTCCAGGTGATGGTACCTTTCCTGCAGCACTGCTAATCTGAGAATAGATTGACTTCAATTATTAATCATCACATTTAACCCAAGGAAATGTCATAAACTGCGACTCATAGGCCATTAGCATCCACGTACCACAACAAAATGACCGCCTCCTTGTTTGATCATATGAGGAGCTACCAACTTTGTAAGAGATATTGTCCCAAATACATTAACTTCGAATGTAGTCTGCACACACACACAAAAAACAATTGGTTAACCATATGTCATCAAAAAAATAACATAAAAGCCACACATGTCCTACTCGCTACAGGCTAAGAAATCTCTGGCTATACTAGACACAAATGAATTATCGAGTTTAATACCTTAAGATTTTCCTCACTCGCATCCAATGCCTTGGATTTCTGCAAGAAAAAAGTGAATGGTCATGAGACTCATGACACGCCCTTTGAACTAAAGATTCTCTGGTCAGTAGATACGAAACTTGAAGTTACTCACAGGACGCTCATACGCAGCGTTGTGTATCAAATAATCAACACCGGTCCCAGGGAAAAGCGACATCGCTTTCTCCACAACATGCTTGAGCGACTCTTCGCCGCTAGCTAAATCTAAAGGCAAAACCTTTACATCTTCTGGTGCATATTTACCTAGAGGAATGCAGCTGAGTGTTGGTCAACAGAAACAAGAAGAAGCTCACGGTTCAAAAGTGGAGACCTTTGATTGATTCATAGCTAAAGGAAGTACCTTTGAGCTCACTCTTGACCCGAACCAGTTCAGCCTCATTCCTCGCAGAGAGAATAAGCTTGGCACCTAAACTTGCAAACTGTTTAGCAAGAACTTCCCCTAAATCCAATCATAGACAAAGAATACATAAGGAGCCGAGCCACAATAAAAGTTTGGAGATAATTCTTCACAGATAATCCTAAAAAGACGAATTACCAATTCCACGACTAGCCCCAGTGATCCAGACTACCTGAGCAAACCAAAACAACCAGAAATCTGAATTAATTGACAACTCAAGTCACTCTCACTATAATTCAGATTCCATCTATGAATCCAGTACCTTGTCTTCTATGGCTTCGCGCTTCACATGCTTCTTCGAAATCAGGGTAAAATCCCCTGCAGAAAGCAGAGAGCAAACGTTTCTACAGAAATTTCCATCACAACCACAAACGAAAAGAATTTAACATTGCATTTGAGCTTCCCGGAGTAATTACCATCGGCGAGTGCGAATTTGAGGAGCAGACCAAGAAGAAGGAGGAGTCCGAAAGAGAAGAAGAGTAGAGTCAGCATTTTCTCGATGTGTGCGACGGCGATGAACAAAGAGGGACTTTAAACATTATCAGGGGAAAATACGTTAACAAAAATTAAATGTAGGGGTTAAAACATAAATTAATCATATTTGGACTCCTGTCTGAATTTACAAATTATCTTTTTTTGGTAGAAAAGTTGCAAATTATTTGTTTCTGAATTCATCTTCTTGTAAATTACAGTCAGTCGCAAGTGAGAATTCATGGCAGTGTAAAATTTTCATTAGATCATTGCAACTATTTCAATTGAAAACGAAGATTTATTAGCTGTTTACGAGATTACATTACAAGTAGCTGAACCATCAAAGTTCGTAGAAATTAAGGTAACAAAAGAAAACATAACATACAAAATGACATAGAAACACATACATATAACATAGTAAATGACTCAATCTCCAAAATTCAAAAAAGTCATATGGGAATGGAACGTGAGACTTTGGGATAAACGTGGGTAGCCGGATGACCCATAATACGGCGACCTTTAGCGTGTTTAAAGATATAAACCAATGCTCCCACCGGCCATTCCACTATTCCGGCTGCCACAAACGCCACAAGCCCTAACGTCGGTCCTACCACTTTGCATCTACATGGGTTTCCTCCCGTTCCGCACTGCACGCATATCGGAATCATCGTGAGAGAGAACAAAACTAAAAATAATATCAAAGAGGTGAAATGTTTGTGGATGTTATAGAGATGTGATGTATGGAATATGAGTAGAACAAGTAGTGTAGGATTATGGATAGTTGGATTGTGAAGCTTATATAGAGACTCAGGCGAATCATTTGGGTCTGTTTTTTTTTTTTTTTAATTGTTCTTCTTGTTTTATATTTAGATCTTTACGTTTATACGTAGGGTCGGTCCATGTATGTTTTTCCTTATTATTCGTTTTTTCCACTTTTGACAGGTGTTGTGTTTCTAGTTGTACATGTGGTTTAAGGAGGATACGTGTTTTCTTCTCTCTATCTCAGACGAGATCATTGGTGACACAACTGACAAGTTGTTGGTCGCATCGTCGGTTTGTCATGTGCATATGTTTTAGGGCCCATGTAGTTAAGACCAAAACGAGATGGGCCTAAAACAGGCCGGGTTCAGAATAAGCCGGGCTAGTCCATCACAACATAAATACTAATGACTATTGTTAAACCAAATCTTTGCAAATTTGAGGACTTGTTCAAAAGTTGAAGAACCTCACATTTTGCATTTTATGATCCGGTCTTCACCAAATGCATATGGCGTGATGTATAGATATGACGCTGCGCCGTTGCATATTATATATGCGCATGCATGTGTTTATACATATGCTTTATTGTTATTGTTCAAGTCGTGAGATTAAAAGAAATTTCCCCATAAACCATCATCATGATCATGTTGAAACCCAAACCTCGAGTTATAGTCTTTTCCATGATACTCGTCTTGCAGTGTCTCACTTACCAAGCCAACTCTGGTTCGCCCCTTGAACACACCCAGGCACCGGTTCAAGGCTCATGCCTTAACTCTTGTACTCAGCCACCACCGAAGACGGTTTACTGCAGCAGGAAGTCATCACCTCCACCTCCGGCGAAATTCATGTACGTGACCGGTGTGCCTGGGGAGCTATACCGGACCGAACCGAATGATCAGTGGGGCTACTATTCTTGTTCAAACCGAAAGTCGGTTAAGTCTCTTCTGCTTATCGTAGTAATGGTGGGGTGGTTTGGAGTTGTTATAAATTTGTGAGCAATAAAATTCCTATAAGGATGTTAGTGATTTTAAGCGTAGCTCAATTAAATGAAATATGTTATTTAATTGTGTAATCGTTTTTTTTTTTTTTGCCAAAACGCAGATTGTGTTTATAATGCGAGTGTTTCTAAACCCAACTTTATATGTATTGAAGCATGAAAATTATCAAAACTTTTTAAAAGATTCCCCATTCACCACCAGCCTAAAATCGGAGTATTAAACATAACTAGTTGAAAAAATATGTCTTCACACTTTATCAAAATATATTCTTAAGGTGTTTTGAACATAATTCGGCAGTCTTTTTTGGGATAGACCAAACTTTCGTGTTTGGATGTTAATTAAAAAAAAAAAGACTTTGGTGTTGACTTTCGTATAATTGACATTAGACATGCAAAATCTCCACTACGAAATTAGTTATATAAACTATGTTTAAGTATCTTCTAATCTTTTCCTTTTTCTCATAGAAACAAAGTACCTTGTTTTACATAACTCTTTCTAATAATTGAACACATTTTGTCGACAAAATGAAATTTATTCTTTCAAAAATATTGATTTAGAAGAAAAGAATTGCTTTCAAATATTTAATTAAAATTTATATGCTGTACTTGTACTATTTATAAGTTTAATCAGCGCACCAAGAAATATAAAACTGCTCTATAAGGCAAGATTATCATCAGATTTCATTTCCCCCATCTTCTTCATATCCTTGGAGAGAAGAGAGACCGATCCAAAACCCTAAACCCGTTCCCGCGGATTTTTCCCCTTTCACTCTTCGTTGTGGAAGGAAGGAAAGCTATCACGGACACCAAATGGGAGATCCGTTGGAGAGGTTGGGATCAGAGGCGTCAATGGCAACGGAGTCTGGCATGAAAACGGACTTGTGTTTAGAGATCGATCCTCCGTTAAGCGAAACCGTCGCCACCGCCGAAGACTGGCGTCGTTCTCTCAGCAAAGTGGTCCCCGCCGTCGTCGTACTCCGCACAACGGCCTGTCGCGCCTTCGACACCGAGTCGGCCGGTGCTAGCTACGCTACTGGGTTTATCGTTGATAAGCGACGTGGGATCATCCTCACCAATCGCCATGTGGTTAAGCCAGGTGCGCTTTTTTCTGTAAAGTTCTCTTATGGGTGAATTCTTGATCGGAATATCTTCATTTGCTTTAAGCTTTTTTTTTTTATATATATTATTTCCAAGAGACGAGTTTAGGGAGCAGCTACTAGCTAGCTAGATATTAGATGTTTATGTAGTGGAACTTTAGAGGCGATGATGTTTTCTCGAAGTTTTGTATTTGCTTTAGGATTTTGTGATTCTATCTTAAAAGGTTTCAGCTCAGCTTAGAAAAGACAATGTTGTGATTGTGATCTCTAGGCCAATATGGAGATATTTTGGTCAATCCTTCTTGGTTGAAATAGACTTGAGAAATATTCAGTGACTCGTTTCTTTCTTCTTCTGTAGGCCCAGTAGTTGCTGAGGCAACGTTTGTGAACCGCGAGGAAATCCCAATCTATCCTGTATATAGGGATCCGGTAAGTCTCGCATTCTAATCCCTTGACTAGATTTCCGTTTTCCCTTCTTCCTGTATCCCGTTGACTACGAGCAAACCTGCATCACAGTTTGACAGAGGCCATGGTTTCACTTGTGCATTTTTACGTTACAGTATCGTATATGCGATTTATGTTTTGTTGAAATGAGCATGCAAGTGAATAAAGTAAAATTTCTCTTTTATAAACCAGAATTTGTGTCTCATCTTATTTTTATTTTTTTACTTTGCTCTCTTCTTATCTCTTACCCCCTCATCAGGCTGACATTCTGTTGGTATCCTTTTCAGGTCCATGACTTTGGCTTCTTTTCTTATGATCCCAGTGCAGTACAGTTTCTGAGTTATGAAGAGATTCCTCTTGCCCCAGAGGCGGCTTCTGTTGGACTCGAAATCAGGGTTGTTGGCAATGATAGCGGAGAAAAGGTAACATAAATAGTATGTCATGTTTTAGTTCTCTTAGCTTCTACTGTTTAAGTCATCACTAATTTACTAAGAAGGGGCATATAATCTATCCTTGTGACTGTCAATTATAGAAAAGATAGTGGTGTTTTGATCCAAACAGTAGCCCATGTTTGGCTTGTCATAATGGGATATCGAATGACACTAGCGAGTTGCTTGATATTTGTCCTACAATACATGTAATATAATAGGTTGTTCTCTATTAGTCATGGTACGCTGCATCACATTGTTTCTTTAGTGTTTTGCCTAATGTTCAGAGTGATTTATGCCTGTGATAACTGGAGTGTGGATTTGCAGGTTTCCATTCTGGCGGGAACTCTTGCTCGGTTGGATAGGGATGCTCCACATTATAAAAAGTATGATCTCTTTCACTGATCGTATATATATAGTTCTGCTTATTTCTTAACATGAAAATTAATTGGGTTTTGGGTGCAGAGATGGTTATAACGACTTCAACACATTTTATATGCAAGTAAGTGATTATTTCCTCATTAATATTTAGTACTTTTATTTTCATCACTGACTTATTTGAACTAAATTGCATGCTATATCCCCTGAGTCAAAACCTTGTTTTCATATTTTCTAGTCGTGTCATGCTTATGGTTATTCTTCTTTTCCATTACATCTCACTCGTATTTTCATTTAAAAGCTACTAGGCTAGAAACTTCCTGTTTATAGCTTATTGTGCAATAATCAACTATTTCATGCTACTGTTATCCTAAGCCTAACCCATACACATCTTTGTGTGTTGCTAATATTTTCGCTTCTTTGTTTATAGGCAGCATCAGGTACTAAAGGTGGCTCAAGTGGTTCTCCAGTCATTGATTGGCAAGGCAGGGCGGTAGCCTTAAATGCTGGCAGCAAGTCGTCAAGTGCATCAGCCTTCTTCCTACCACTTCAACGAGTAAGCAATATCTCTTTTTCATCAATTCTTCCAATTATTTCATAATCAAGTATGAAATTTAGGACTCTTAATCAAGTATGGTTCTCTTATTTGGAAGGTTGTCAGAGCGTTGAGTTTTCTCCAGAAAAGCATCGACTCGAGCACGGATAAGCCAAAAGCAGTTCATATTCCTCGTGGTACGCTTCAGGTACGTTTTCCACCTGTCGGAATTTTATCAACGTGTTTTTTTAATACTAGATATATGAATGAGCATGGATCTTTGATCTGGATGTGTTATCTGAATAAGGTCATGGTTTCATGAGGAAGAATTCTCATGTTAAATTTCTATTCACTTTCCGGAGATTCAGAGGAAGTTCAATCTCTTTTATCTGATACGAGTTCTGGGGTTTCTTATGTAAGGTTTTATCTGTTTTCTTGTGTACTTAGATGACATTTCTTCACAAAGGCTTCGATGAGATACGGCGACTTGGTCTCAGGAACGAAACTGAGCAGGTACATGATTTTCCTTCTTACCATCGTTCCTTGTGTTACACAGTGACACCTTAAAAATGCTATATCTTGGCCTTGTAGGTGGTTCGACATGCATCTCCACCTGAAGAAACCGGAATGCTTGTTGTTGACTCTGTGGTTAGTGCATTGCTTCATTACTAACATACAATACAAGAATTATCTTTATATATGGATACTGTTTAAGCGGTTCCTAAACTTGAAATTTTTCATTTATGTATGATATGTCTTGAATTGTGGTAGGTGCCAAGTGGCCCTGCTGATAAACATTTGGAGCCGGGAGATGTTCTTGTTCGTGTGAACGGCACAGTAAGTTGATTACATCGTTTTTCTGTTTGCCGAGAGCTATAGAGAGTTTTGATATCTTTAATGATTAGTTATTCCCTGATCATAGAATCTATTAATCACTGCACTTTCATTGTCTAGTTAATTTTTCCTCGTTTTGCTAAATCTCACTTTATGCATTTCCTTGTTATCACAGGTGCTTACGCAATTTCTGAACTTGGAGAATCTGATTGATGACGGTGTTGGCCAGATAGTTGAACTGGAAATTGAAAGGGGTGGACAGCCACTATCTGTTAGTGTATCGGTGAGTTCCATTCTTCTAGGATATTGTGTTAAGTTTCTGCTCATCACATACTGGCTAAAAAAAGTAGTAGACTATGCGAAGACTAGAAGTACGACACATTTAGCCGTCTCTTGTCTTTTCTGTTGATCATTAAATTCGTTCTTGCTGCTCTTTTCCTTTCCCCTGAGAAAAAATCCTCAATAACACATAATGATCTATGTGTTTCCTGACACAGGTTCAGGATTTGCACTCTATCACTCCAGATCACTTCCTGGAAGTAAGCGGTGCTGTAATTCATCCGTTGTCTTATCAGCAGGTAACTACGACATGAAAATATATATTTGGAACTTTTTTTTGTAAATGTTTGACAAACTCCTCCACTACCCACACTGGCTTGCTATATCTGAGTGTGGCAGCATAACTAAGTGATCTCGTGATGTTACTACCCTACTTTCTGCTGATAAAGAAGCTTACTTGTGTTTTACTGGCTCTCTTATAGGCATTAGCTGATCTGATAAGTTCTTGATGTAACAGGCTCGTAATTTTCGTTTTCCTTGTGGCCTGGCTTATGTTGCAGACCCGGGGTAAGCCGCTCAACTTCATTCCTCCATCAAAATTTTCACATTTTTTTTTTATTAATGTGCAATTCCCTAATAGAGTACAGCAGAAAAGAGTGTTTCCTTTTGTGTTCTTTTAATTCTAATTTATCTGCACACACGGTCCAAGAGGTCAACTGTAACTTCTTCTTAGACCCCACTTAATCCTGAAAATGGCACTTTTTATCCCTTCACATCAGAGATCCTAAGATAATCCTGAAAATGGCATTTTTTTTATCCCTTCATCTCTCTGTTGACTTATTTTGAATCTTCTCGATTGATGTGTCAATATTCTTACCGGTGAGCTTATTGTGAATGCGAATGATTTCATTTTCAGATAATTAATTCTTATATATTGTATATTACGAGTCTCTGTATTGCTGGATTTACTTGGATGAGCAATTTTCTATGCAGGTATATGCTATTTAGAGCTGGGGTCCCACGACATGCTATCATAAAGAAGGTTGCTAATGAGGATATCTCCTGTCTTGCGGATTTAGTATCCGTTCTATCAAAGCTCTCTAGGGGTGCTCGTGTTCCCTTGGAATATATGTCTCACACCGATCGTCATCGCAAGAAGGTGATATACCGTGTTTAAAGGTTATTTTTGTTTAGACGTTCTAACCCACTGTAAACATATGCTTGTCAAAACTTGATGCTCGCATTTATATATGATAATTTGTTAGGCAACTCTACATAGCTATTTGAATTCTTGCATGCAGTTTGTTGATTCTGTGATAATATTACCTCTCTTTTCGCTGTTCGTAGTATGTGAATTCTTTTGCTACTGTAGTGCTGATGTATCTTTATGATCAGTCTATGGAAATAGATATCTTTAAACTTAGGATTTAATATGGTTTCTGTCCATTGTTCGTTTTGAACTCTATAATAGTTATTCAAATGAGAGAAGTACTTATTTTTGAGTTCCATTTCCTGCAGTCTGTGTTAGTCACAATTGATCGTCATGAATGGTACGCACCTCCACAGTTGTATACCCGTAATGACAGTTCTGGTTTATGGGATGTGAAACCTGCAATCGAACCTGCTGCTGTCTCACCATCTGTTGGTAATAGTGGTTTGCCTATAAGTCAAAATATGCCTCTCTGCCATCACGATACAGAACCCATGCATGAAGTGAACGTTCGTGGGATTACTGATACTGCAGCTATAATGGAAGCCTCGAGTGGGGATGGTTCTCAGAATGATTTTGGCTCAGAAGCAAAGAAGCAAAGAGTGGAAGATGATTCTTTAGATGGAACGGTTGCAAACGGTTCCTTATATGAGAGTGAATTTAAATCTGATGATGCCATGGCAACAGATAATACAGCTTTAAGAGACTACGAAGGTGCAACAGCACTGTCTGCTAATGCTTCATTGGCTGAACGCGCTATCGAGCCCGCTCTTGTCATGTTTGAGGTAAAATCTTTACCGTAAAGATTAAGAATTCCTCAAATTTGGGTGTAGCAGTAGATTATGGCTTTGTCACTGAATCTGAATGAAATAGTATACAAAACTGAATTCAAGGTTCGGAGTTCCTACTCACCAAAGCTATGAAGTAGTACTTAAATTATTTCACCAGAACATGTTGGATTTGGTCAATGGTAACTCGTTCGACAAGTCTGAAAAATGATAATCTATGAATATGCTTATAAGAAAACCATAGAAGTATGACCTGATGACCGAAATTACTGTCTTGGCTAAACTATGTTTTGTGATTGTAATTATAGGCCTTACTGTGATTAAAGGCAACTTGCATCTGCTGAACCTAAGTTCTCTTATACAGGTTCATGTGCCACCATCATGCAGTCTTGATGGTGTACATTCACAGCATTTCTTTGGGACTGGCATCGTTATTTATCATTCTTCAAGCATGGGACTTGCTGTGGTGGACAAAAACACTGTTGCGATTTCTGCATCTGATGTTATGTTGTCCTTTGCTGCTTTTCCAGTCGAGATTCCTGGAGAGGTTAGATTTTCCTGAGAATCTTATAGTTCATGGAAGGAAGCTTCGGTATTGATCTTTCGTAACTGGAATGCAGGTGGTATTTCTTCATCCTGTTCACAACTATGCTCTTATTGCCTACAACCCGTCAGCAATGGGTCCTGCCAGTGCTTCTGTCATTCGTGCAGCTGAGCTACTACCTGGTATGTCAATACAAATCCGTACCAAAGCACCTTTGGAGTTCCAATTATATGCTGGTTGCATGATGGAGGTGGCATTTGGCTATTGCTTTTTTTTTGTTAATCATTTGAAAGTTCCACCATTGCTCTGTTTGGATATCACCATCTAACATCTGATTTTGCTTTTGTGAAAAAAATGCCTTATTAGATTTATGTATTTGTTGTATGGCTTTCAATTGCTTTTAAACTTTCCATTTTTCTTGCTAAATTAATGGTACGAGTTCATGTTGCAATGTCTTCTCTGAACAGAACCTGCACTGCAACGTGGAGATTCAGTTTATCTTGTCGGATTGAGTAGGAACCTTCAAGCCACATCAAGAAAATCTATCGTAACCAATCCATGTGCAGCGTTAAACATTGGGTCTGCTGATTCTCCCCGCTACAGAGCTACTAATATGGAAGTAATCGAGCTTGATACAGGTAAGGAATTCAGAGCCTTTGACGTTAAATACTTTAGACTTGTTCAAATCTCAATCGTTTATTTTCTTGTTTCTTTGCAGATTTTGGTAGCTCATTTTCAGGAGCGCTGACTGATGAGCAGGGGAGGATTCGGGCCATTTGGGGAAGCTTTTCGACTCAGGTTCATCTTCCCACTTTGCACTTTACATAACTTTTTTTGCTTTTTGTTTTTCCTAACATCCTGCTTTCTTATGAATTGATCACAGGTTAAATATAGTTCCACTTCGTCAGAAGACCATCAGTTTGTCAGAGGTATCCCGGTATATGCCATCAGCCAAGTCCTTGAGAAAATCATAACCGGTGGAAATGGACCAGCTCTTCTCATAAATGGTGTCAAAAGGCCAATGCCGCTTGTTCGGATTTTGGAAGTTGAGTTGTATCCTACTTTGCTCTCAAAAGCCCGGAGTTTTGGTCTGAGTGATGAATGGATCCAAGTAAGCCTTATGTTGTTTGTATATTTCGTTAATCTGCTTGGATTGTTTATCACATCGATATACGTCTTTCCGCATGTAAAATTTTCTCAAATCCATTTACTCTACTGATTGTTCTCACAGATCCTAGTCAAGAAGGATCCTGTTAGACGACAAGTTCTGCGTGTTAAAGGTTGCCTGGCAGGATCAAAAGCTGAAAATCTTCTAGAACAAGGCGACATGGTTCTGGCAGTCAATAAGATGCCAGTAACATGCTTCAATGACATTGAAGCCGCTTGCAGAACATTGGATAAGGGTAGTGACAGCGATGAAAATCTCAATCTAACGATTCTTCGACAGGTGACACACCATTAACTCCTGTTTCTGGAGACATCTTGCTATTTATTTGTTTCTCCGTTATCACCTTAGTCCTTGTGTCGATTGATCAGACCACCTGTGACAATAGTTCCTATCCTTTTCTTGACACAAATAAGAAAAAAGGTCCACTAGTTTATACTAGACTCTTGGTTGTTTGTCAGGGCCGAGAATTGGAGCTCGTAGTTGGAACTGATAGAAGAGATGGAAATGGAACTACAAGAGCGATAAACTGGTGCGGGTCCGTTGTTCAGGATCCTCATCCTGCGGTTCGCGCTCTTGGATTTCTTCCTGAGGAAGGCCATGGTGTCTATGTAACGAGGTACTAGTTATGACATATTTTATGGAGTCTCAAAAGTGTTTGTCTCAACCAACTATAGTTCATAGGTCATGTTGGATTTTGTCTCTGACGAGTCTTGTTCTCAGATGGTGTCACGGAAGTCCAGCACACCGATATGGCCTCTATGCACTTCAATGGATCGTGGAAGTTAACGGGAAGAAGACTCCTGATCTAAACGCATTTGCAGATGCTACAAAGGTTTTGTCTCATTCCTTTACCGAACGAAAAGTGATGCAGCCATTACAGTTGTTCTTTTACTTTGAATTGAAGTTAATATAATCTTAGATTTATTTCTTTTGGGATTCGGTTGCAACAGGAGCTAGAACACGGGCAGTTTGTGCGTATAAGGACTGTTCATCTAAACGGCAAGCCACGAGTCCTGACTCTGAAACAAGATCTCCATTATTGGCCTACTTGGGAGCTGAGGTTCGACCCAGAGACTGCTCTTTGGCGGAGAAATATATTGAAAGCCTTAAAATGAAAAAGCCTTTTTTAGGGTAATTACTTACTATGGAACGCTCCAACTTCGTTGTATTTCTACCAATGTTCTCCTCAAAATCTTTCATTATATCATGATTACTAAAAGAATTGTCATTACAAGTTACAGAAAATAAAAACCAACATCCAGTAAAAAATGATCAAACTAAGATTTTCCATGTCATAATTTTTATGTTTATGTTCTTCTCTAACTTTACTAGTATTGGTTTTTGAATCGAAATCTGAGCAAACTTGAAAAAGCTGAAAACCTGAGATCGGAAACTAGTTATTAAAACCCATCATAGTCTTAAACTCGTCAAAGCTAATATAACCATCACCATCTACATCGACGGCTCGAACCATCTCCACACATCTCTCGAGCGTACACTTCTCCCCGAGCCGAGTCATCACCACATGCAACTCATTCGCCGATATTTTCCCATCACAATTAATATCATATAATTTAAACGCATCCTTCAACTCCTTTTCCACGTCACCACCACTAGACCGAGCGGTTTGGTCCATGCACGAAGCGAACTCAGCCGCATCGACCTCACCATCGCCGTTCGTGTCAAGCTGGTTGAACATCTCGACAAGTTTTTCCGAGGGAATGCTCGGAGAGAGAGCATGAATCGCGTCATGAAACTCTTCCCGTGAGATCTTACCGTCTTTGTTCTTGTCGAATTTCTCGAATATATCACTTATAGACAGATCATTCATATTCATATTTAATATGTTTTTTTTTTGTTGGTTTTTTTCTAAAACCTTCTGTGAAATGTGAAACACTGTATTCTTATACTTATAGGATTTTTTAAGTACGCGTTTTACAAATTTGCTGGATTAATTTCCTATGTGAGAACATCGAATGTTAATATCCTATTGGAAGAGAAAAAGAGATTGAAATAGAACGAAATCCGTTTTAATTTTACAGAAAAAGTTACTTTTGCGTGAAAAGAAAAATCAATATATATTTTAATTCATCTTCACGAATTTGTGGATATTATTCTAGAAATGGATTTGTTTGTTTCATCTTGTTGATAGAGTTCTATGTATCTTATTACCACATAGCTCATACGCGTTTTTCAATTTACTACTACTGAAAAGACTTGTGAATCAACAAAAGTAATTGAAAGCAGATTCAGTTCAAAATTCATGGACGTACATGCCAATAAAATATATGAGAAAAGAATATAGATTTTCTTTCTTATTTTTCTGTTTTATTTTTTTTTGGTCAAGTAACATAACAATTTAGAGTTTGTAAAGTGAGACTAACCATCTCGTTTACTCCATTTCAGATGCGGAGGGAGTCTCGACGTATTTCGAGAAACCGACGCTTCTCTAATTAAACTCCTTTGCTTCATCTGTTTGTCTCTTGATTTGGACCATACTTGGAACATAAGAGCACACGGTTGGCCTACAGTTATAGTCTCCAGGTTCTCGCAAGAGATGCAATTCTCTAAAGAATCCAGCCTCTCTAATGATGACAAAATTTATGGGATGATGGTGTTGTTCAAAACCCATGGCGACTTTCTTCTCCTCGTCGATGAAGAAACCATCACGTATATGTGGAACCATGGTGTCAGGTACCGTAGCCCTAGAATCCAATTTCAAGAACTTGCTCCACGACACCACTTGGGCCTCAATCTTAGTCATAATCCATATCTCAAGCTCATATGGATTTGATTCGGTGCGCTGTAATAAAGCCGCAAGCTTCTCTTTCCTAACACAGGTTAATTTCATATATTCATATTTATGATTCCTAACACTAAGTGGCAGAGGCAAAAGCTGCCCAAATATCTCTCTTGTAAAATCAAAACAGATCATTTGATCGAAGTAGCCGCCTTCTGGGTGAACTTCCATGGTCACAATACCCTATGTACCAATTTATTGGAGTGGCATCAAGACTTCTCCATAAATCAGATTCAAAATCATAGATTTCATACAGTGACAAGAATTAGTCTCGTCGTGAGTCGTAATAATATTCAAACCTCAAGAATTTAAGGCTACTATAAGATTTCTTATCCTCGTATCCGAGAGCATACTTGAACCCCTCGCATTCTCGTGGTAGTGGGCGAAAAATTATGCACTCGATCCACTTTGTTTGGCCCTGTGACGATTGGTTCTAACTCGAGCTGTTCTCGTCTAAGTCCAAGACGGCGTCGTGTGGAGTGAGCTGAGCAGTTGGGCTTTAGGAGCTAAGCCCAAGTCGGTGAGAAGCGTTATATCTGTTGAAGTGTTGGGTCGGTGAAATTAGTTAGGCCCAAATAGCAGCATATATATATGTGGATAAGGTAGAGAAAGGTTGTTACGGTCAACGTACCTTTCTTCTTCTTTGATCGGTTCTTAGACCTCCATTGTTGTAAGCTCTAAGCTCTGTAACTCTGTAAACACAAAGAAATAGTGAATTCCAGGAGTCAGATCCTGAAGAGAGATGTACCCGGTTTAGGGGAACTCTATAATCTCGTGTGTCACTTTCTTTCCTTGTGCGTTAAGTAATCAAACGAGTGAGAGAGAGAAAGAGAGTTGCGAGAGAGTGAGAGATCTTTACCTGATCCAAAAGAGAGAGATCGAAGTACGTATCGGCTGCAAGTGGTATCAGAGCGTCAGGTTCTGACGTTCAAGGAGATACGAGGAAGACGACTCTCGGTTCGTTGAGAAGATCAGGGCGGAGATCGGACATCGCCGGAGGAAGCGGGTGGAGAACGCAACACTTCACGAGTCGACGGTGAAGTGAAATTCCACAAGCTCCAAGCAGAATCTACATCCAGTAGATTCACAGATCTCAGGGAGTATCTAGATTCATTTGGAACATCGCTTTATAATTCACAAGAAATCTTTATCGATATTCAAAGTTTCGCTTACTGGTATTCAGTGTATTGTGTTGGGAGTCGATTGCAACTGAAAACATCTACCTTCTTCTTGTTGTTCTGCAGATAACGAGAAGAAAGTCATTAGGTTGCTATGGAACCAACGCAAGGAAAGTTCGAGATGGAAAAATTTGATGGCACGGGGGATTTCAAGATGTGGAAGTTCAGGTTCCTTGGACAGCTAGAGATACAGGGTTTGGGATCAGTTCTAAAGGAAAGAAACATAGCGGCTGAGTCAACTACGTCAGAGGCGGTGACACCAGGCACGATGACATCTACTAGTGAGACTCCGACAGAAGCCAAGCCAGGGCTAATGTCTGTGGTAAAGGATCTCAAGTTTGATCCGAGAGAAGAAGAGAAAGACTTACGAGCAAGAAACTTGTTGGGAACGTGCTTGACGGATAAGATCTTGAGGAAGATCATGCACGAGCAGACTGCAATTGGTATGTGGAAAGCATTGGAACGTGATTATCAGACTAAATCTCTTCCAAACAGAATATACCTGAAGCAAAGCTTTGCTGGATTCAAGATGGTAGAGGGAAAGTCAATCGAAGAGAATCTGGACAGTTTTCTGAAGCTGATAGCAGATCTTGCCAGCTTAAAGATCAACATCAGCGAAGAGGACCAAGCAATTCAACTCCTGACCAGTCTTCCGCCGATGTATGAGCCTCTGGTTCACACTCTGAAATATGGGACAGGGAAGGATACATTGACTGTTAGTGAAGTCACCACATCAGCGTACGCAAAGGAAGCAGAGCTGAGGTAGAAGGGCTTACTAAACAAGTCAAGGTCGTCCTCTGAGGGACTCTATGTTGAGGAAAGAGGCAGATCTGAGAAAAGGCACGACAACAAGTCAGGCAACAACAAGGGATCGAGGGGCAAGGGAAACCACAGGAATAGATCAAAATCTAAGTCTAAGTTTAGACCTAAAGCCTGTTGGACTTGCGGTGATGAAAATCATTGGAAGAAGGATTGCCCACAGAGAAAGAGGAATGACAAGAACAAGTCAACGAACTCAGTGAACATGGCTACTACCCTACCAGATGTGACAGCACTAACAGCGAGCCTACATGCAACAGAAAATGAGTGGGTGTTAGACTCTGGGTGCACGTTCCATATAACTCCAAGAAGAGAACTTCTAGCAGATTTCGAAGAATACGAAGGCTCTAAAGTCCTAATGGGAAACAACACGTTCTGTAAGGTGAAAGGCAGTGGTACTATAAACATAGAGAATCCAGATGGTTCCTTGGTAACTCTAAGCAATGTGAGGTACATGCCAGAGATGGGGAGAAATCTTATCTCATATGGTCAGTTGGAGCAGTCTGGGTGCACATATAGAGGCAGCGGCTTCATGGTTGAGTTCTACAAAGGCGAAAAGAAAGTGTTGTCAGGGAAATATGATCAAGGGTTGTATTACTTACAAGGAAAAGTTCAAACTCCACAGGTCAACACAGCAAAAGTACCTGTGGATATGACTAAGAGATGGCACTCGAGATTGGCTCATATGAGTCAATCCTCCATGGATGCTCTGGTGAGGAAAGGCTACCTGAAGAGTGATGATGTGAGGCAACTTGGATTCTGCGAAGCCTGCATTATGGGAAAATCACATAAGCAAAGTTTTTCCAAAGGGAAACATACCTCAAAAGAAATATTGGAATATGTTCATTCGGACCTATGGGGATCACCAAATGTCACACCGAGTATGTCAAGATGCAAATATTTCCTCACCTTCATTGACGATTACTCGAGGAAGGTGTGGATTTACTTCTTGAAGACCAAGGACGAAGCCTTTCAGAAGTTTGCTGATTGGAAGACACTAGTGGAAAATCAGACTGGAAAGAACCTGAAATGTTTGAGAACAGACAATGGGTTAGAGTTTTGCAACAATCAGTTTGACAAGCTATGCAGAGAATCAAGGGTTAAAAGGCATAAGACGTGTCCCTATACACCTCAACAAAACGGTGTATCAGAAAGAATGAACAGGACTATTATGGACAAGGTCAGAAGTATGCTATTCAAGACTGGTCTAAGTGGTGAGTTTTGGGCTGAGGCTGCATCAACAGCAGTATACATCATCAACAGGTCACCATCGTCGTCAATTGACTTTGAGGTTCCAGAGGCATTATGGACAGGAGGGAAACCAGAGTATGGACATCTAAGAAGGTTCGGATGCTTAGCCTATGTGCACATTATAGCCGATAAGATAAGTCCTAGAGCTACAAAGGGAGTCTTTGTTGGCTATGCTGTAGGCACTAAAGGGTTCAGGGTCTGGTTACTAGACGAGCAAAAAGTAACTATCAGCAAAGATGTAGTGTTTCAGGAGGATCTTCTGTACAAAGACAGAGATGTTGTGGCAATAGAAACCACTAAAGGGATCCTAGAAAGGAAACAAAAGAAACGTGTTACCTTTAAGGAAATCTTGACAGAGGTGGAGCCATCACGGTCTACCTCCGGCGAGACTTCGAGCCTTGGTGGAGTCAGTTCGAAGTCTGAAACAAAGAATGAGGAACAGGTGAGCTCCTCAGAGGAAGAATCTGTTTATCAGACAGAACAAGAAGACAGTGACGATCAGGACACACAAGATGAAGACCAAGATGAGCCAAAAGGATACATAAATCGATTTGGAAGAGAAATAGTCAAACCTGCGAGGTTCCGAGAAGGAAACCTGGTGGCGTATGCTCTCACTAGTGCAGACGCTATAAACATCGATGAGCCGAAGACCTTTGATGAAGCAAAATGCAGTAAGGATTCAGAGAAATGGAATGAAGCTGAAAACGAAGAAATGGACTCGTTATACAAGAATCACACTTAGGTTTTAGCTGATAAACCTAAGAATCAAAAGGTGATAGGATGCAAATGGATATTCAAGCTAAAACCGGGGATTCCAGGAGTTGAAGAACCTAGATACAAAGCTAGGTTGGTGGCAAAGGGGTTCGCTCAAGTAGAAGGAGTTGACTACAATGAGGTATTTGCTCCGGTTGTGAAGCACGTGTCAATCAGATTATTGTTATCAGCAGTGGTGAATCATGACATGGAACTATAACAGCTAGATGTCAAGACAGCTTTCCTACATGGAGTCTTACACGAGACAATCTACATGAGCCAACCTGAAGGGTTTGTTAAGAAAGGACAAGAGGACAAGGTTTGTCTACTAAAGAAGTCCCTATACGGCCTAAAACAGTCACCAAGAGAATGGAATCACAGGTTTGATCAGTTTATGAGCAAGCAGAATTACAAGCGCAGCGAGTTTGATCCGTGTGTCTACCAAAAGGGCTCTACAGTTGAAGATATGGTCTATCTACTCCTATATGTGGATAATATGTTAGTAGCTTCGAAGAGCAAAACCAAAGTTCAAGCCCTAAAGAAATTATTAAACTCGGAGTTCGAGATGAAGGACTTAGGTCCAGCTAGAAGAATTCTGGGTATGGACATCTTCAGGGACAGAGAAAAGGGTACATTGGTGCTATCTCAAGAGGGTTATCTACAACAGGTGCTTAAAACGTTTGGTATGTGGGATTGTAGAGAAGTTCAGACTCCTATAGGTTCACAGTTTAAACTAAAAGCAGTGACTGATGAACAAGAGAGTGATCGAGCAAGGGAAATGGAAGACATACCTTACGCAAGTGCTGTTGGGAGTCTGATGTACGCCATGGTAGGATCTAGACCAGATCTTGCCTACGCCGTGGGACTGGTGAGCAGATATATGGGAAGACCTGCGAGAGATCACTGGTTAGTGGTTCAGTGGATCATGAAGTATCTAAAGGGAGCCTCGGGGGTGTGCTTAACTTTCACAAAGGAGCCAGACTTCAAGGTCAAGGGGTATTGCGACTCTGACTATGCTTCGGATCTAGACAGAAGGAGGTCCATCACTGGTTTCGTGTTCACCGTGGGAGGTAACACCATGAGCTGGAGATCTTGCTTGCAGAAGGTGGTGGCCTTATCTACAACAGAAGCAGAATACATCTCGTTGTCAGAAGCTAGCAGAGAAGCAGTATGGCTCAAAGGCATTTGCGAGGAAATGGGATTCAAACAGGATTCAGTGGAAATTCATTACGATTCATAAAGTGCAATCTATCTAGCTAAAAATCACATGTTTCATGAAAGGACGAAACACATCCAGGTAAAGTATAACTATATCAGGGATGTCGTTGATTCAGGCGAAGTGAAGGTGATAAAGATTCACATGTCGGTGAACCCGGCTGATATGTTAACGAAGGTCTTACCTGGAGAGAAGTTCAGCGGCTGTTTGCGGTCGTTGAAGGTGATTGAAGCCTAAGGGCTTCGTCGGCGTCGTCATCTCAGGTGGCTACAGAGGTGATGATTGAGTTCTGGTGTTCAGAGACTTGACATCAGGTGGAGCTTCATGGTGATTGAAATTGAAGCGGTGCAGTTACTTCTCAGGGATCGAGAAGGTTGGTGGTGGTGGATCAAGTCTGGATCCTCGCCGGATTCCAGGATCGGAGTTTAAGGTGCTTGTCGGGTTTCGACATGCAGAGGAAGAGCGAGTGAGAACCAAGGTGGAGTTTGTGACGATTGGTTCTAACTCGAGCTGTTCTCGTCTAAGTCCAAGACGGCGTCGTGTGGAGTGAGCTGAGCAGTTGGGCTTTAGGAGCTAAGCCCAAGTCGGTGAGAAGCGTTATATCTGTTGAAGTGTTGGGTCGATGAAATTAGTTAGGCCCAAATAGCAGCATATATATATGTGGATAAGGTAGAGAAAGGTTGTTACGGTCAACGTACCTTTCTTCTTCTTTGATCGGTTCTTAGACCTCCATTGTTGTAAGCTCTAAGCTCTGTAACTCTGTAAACACGAAGAAATAGTGAATTCCAGGAGTCAGATCCTGAAAAGAGATGTACCCGGTTTAGGGGAACTCTATAATCTCGTGTGTCACTTTCTTTCCTTGTGCGTTAAGTAATCAAACGAGTGAGAGAGAGCAAGAGAGTTGCGAGAGAGTGAGAGATCTTTACCTGATCCAAAAGAGAGAGATCGAAGTACGTATCGGCTACAGGCCCAAATACGGATTCCAAACCACAACTTTAGAATTATCGTCTTTCAAGATGCATAACAATAAACCCTCCCAGTGAAAAACTTGAGATATCCTGACTTGTTCGTTAAGGCAAGTAAGTTTGAGCTTTGTAGATGAATTAACGTCGACGAAGACGCTCATTAAGTAAAGATTGTAATCGTTCATCGCGATCATCACAGACTCGCCTTCTCTTGTTGCTGCTGCTGCTGCTTCACCAATGCGCATCTTCGTAAAGCTCCGGCTTTTGGATAAAGTGTCCCACTTTCTCCAAGTTAATCGAACTCTTCTCAACGATGTCAAGGGAACCCTCCTGAGAATCTCCTCTATCAAATCCCTTGGAAGATCGGAGATCATCATCTTCATTGTTTCAGTTTGCAACAAGGGTTTCTTTCAATCTTCAACAATTCTTTTTTTTCTTGCCGCTCAAGCTAGAGGCTGTGTGTGTATATAAGATAACAATTGAATATAGACACGAAAACCCTAGATGAAGATGCTAAAAAGAATGGTCGATAACCTTTTAAAACCGATGAAAAAAACTACAAAACAATAAGCCCAATAAAAAAATTAAAACCATATATTAACAAATATAATCAAAATCAGAAGAAATTAGTCACAAATGTTAATGATGATTGATGAGTTTCAATTGGCCTCTTGCACGAATGAGATAATCCAACAATTTGTTTATACATGCATATGATCTGTCTTTCCGAATTTTCCAATTTTTCTTAACAACATTTTCTTTCATTTATTTGTAAAATAAAAATGAAAAAGGTCGAGAAACCTCTAAAACCAATGACAATAAACATCGGTGAAACTTATTATATATTACTTATTACATTAGTAAATACACTTACTAAGCACGCAATTTTACTTATTTTTATTATTATTCTTTTGCTAAAAGCATATTACTGATTCTTAGAAGTCACTAAACACCATAGCCACAAACTCCTCAAAGCTCAAGTAACCATCACCATCTGCATCAGCGGCTCGAACCTTCTCGGCACAGCTCTCCTCGGTGCACTCTTTCCCGAGCTTAGCCATGCTCACATACAACTCATCGGCCGGTATCTTCCCGTCACCGTCAACATCACAAAATTCAAACACTTCCTTCAACATCTTCTCAATGCACGATGTAAACTCATCAGCGTCGAGCTCGCCGTCACCGTCCACGTCCATCTCGTTGAACATATTTTTGACTTCTTCCTGAGAAAAGCTGTTCAAAAAAACAAGAGCTGCTTCTTGAAACTCGGCCAATGAAAGTTTACCGTCTTTGTTCTTGTCGAACTTTTCGAATATTTGTCTTGCAGACATTTTCTTAATTAGCTTATGCTTATGTTTGATATTGATATTCTTCTTTTGCCTTGCAGATATTCTTATATTTATAGGGTTTGAAAAGCCTAAACCAAAAGTTATAAAAACTGATAAATAGACAAATATTAATGATTAATTAAAAGTAAAAGATTTCTTTAAATATATGATTTTTAAAAAATAGAGGAGGAAATACATGTAGATTCCAATAAATTGGATAATATTGTGTTCAAATGTATGACTTGGTACAGTATTAACCTCTACACAGTATATGAAAACAATTAATAAAATAGCTATATTATCAAGACAAGAAAAAGAAAAGAAAATTTGTTAATTTTGCAGAATTTTTATCCAAATTAGATTCGGTTGACTTTGACACATGTTTACCTTATCAAATTAAAAAAAAAACTCAAACAGTAAAATAATTAAATAGACAAGATAAGATTATAAAGTTTCAATTCAAATAATAGAAATGGAAAAAAATCTGAGAAACAACAAATCTTTAAAAAAATTCTAAAACAAATAGGAAATGTATATTGACTGTCCTTGTATTAAAAAATTATTGTTCAAAAATTTTTATGAAATTCAATTTATCTCTTGAATGAATATCCTACACATATACATGGATAAAGATTTTGATCAACATTGAAGAGCAACTTAAAAACATATTTTCTGCCAAATGTAAGATTATTAAGTAGTTCATTATGTTGGGTTGGGATCAGGCCGGCCTTTTAGTTATGAACCGCCCATTATCAGTTTTCTTTGTTTTGTATGCATATTTAAAATTGGATTCGCGGCCCTTTAGTTATGAACCTCAACAAATTGGGCTCAACAAAAAAATATTTGTAGCCCATGATGGTTCACAAGTTAGTTAACCGTTTAATAAAAATTTTAAAAAGATAATTCAGAGAAGTTTCCGAAGTAAATATATTTTCAGGTACCAATTTCTCAAATATGATTCTGTTGTGTTGTTTTGGTGAATCTATTACATTTTTTTTTACTGTCAAGAGAGGGATCCTTTTGTAATTTACACATTTCCCCTGCTTCTCCGTTTACTCTCTGTCTGGCCATCGATCTTAGTCCCATCCCCAGGAATCTCCGGCTTCGAAAAAATCTACCGGCGATTAAGAGCGAAGCAGAGATCGAATGGAAGATGCAGCTGCTCCTAATTCTGGTTCCGATTTAAACCTCGGAGGAAAACGCGGCAGATCTATCGAAGAATGCCAGGACATGATTCAGAGAAGTTTCCGAAGTATATATACAAACCAAGCTTCTCGTTTTTTCTTTTATTTTGTTTCGCTTTCTCAGTCGTGAATCCATTGATTGTTTGATTAGCGCCTCTGTATCTGAAAAAAAAAATTGTCAAAAAAAGTTTGGGAACTTTCGACCAATCTAGGGTTTAGGGTTTATGAATCATGCCAGAGTATGATGAACTTTATGTATGGTTTTTGTTTTTTCCATGTTATACCTGAATCATGGGTTTTAAGGAGTTTAGAATTCTTAAAGCCACTATCTTTTCTTTGTTTGTTGTTTTGATTAGACCCAATTGTGAAGTTTCTGATGGAGCAAATGGAGAAATCTGGGTGTAGAGTTGGTGATAATTTCATAAAGGCAGTTGTTTGTACTGGACCTGTAGCTGGAGGCTTCACCAAAGGAAGAGGGGTAAACAAAACAAATATGCTTCGATATTTCTTTGTTTTTCAATAACTGTGCTCTCGAGCTCCTGGTGTTGTAATGCTGATGCTGAAGCTTACTCAATTCCTTTTGTTCTCCATGTTTCAAGATCACTGTCTGCAGTAACTATCTGACCATTCAAGATGAAGTGAATCAAGTGGTTATACATGAGCTAATCCACGCTTATGACGAGTGCCGAGCCAAGAATTTGGATTGGACTAACTGTGCTCATCATGCTTGCAGCGAGGTGATTACATTCTTAAACTAAAGCTTTACGAATTGACTTGACGTACTCTCGTCGAAGTTCTTGATAGTTTTTGTGTGTGTTTGTGTGTGTATTTTTCTTTACACAGATACGCGCAGGTCATTTGAGCGGCGATTGCCATTTCAAGAGAGAACTTTTGAGGGGTTTCATTAAATTAAGAGGGCATGAACAAGTAAGCCCCCATAAGAGAAGATCTTGCATTAGTTTTAGCTCATATAAAACGTTTTGTGGAAACTTGGATCATCCTTGTTAATATTAATCCGAATCTCTGTTTTTGTTTCACAAGGAGTGTATAAAGAGAAGAGTCTTGAAATCGCTTCGTGGCAACCCGTATTGCTCGGAAGTAGCAGCCAAAGACGCCATGGAAGCAGTGTGGGATACTTGTTACAATGACACTAAGCCTTTTGACAGAGCTCCTTGAAGGTAATAGATCTCTTTACGCACACTCGCTCTCTCTCTCTCTCTCTCAAAAGACTCACTTTTGCTTCAAAGTTACGAGTTCAACTTCATCTTTGAAGGTCGATATAAAAGCCGGAAATAACTGTTGGATTCAACCGTTGATTTTTTCTGACAGTCCAACCATTTTGGCCGAGTGAAACTTCAGTATTTGTTTAGATTTTGTACGCTGTTGTTGTTTGAAACAGTGGGAAAAGGTCTAATACACAGTCTTTGATTTCAAGTGGATTTTGCTTGAAAGTAAAATTTTGATTTATGGATTTGTATTTAACATCATACTATAGAGGAAGAGTTAGCTCTGCATCGAGCATCATTAAGTAAAACGTCCAAAACGAAAAATACTAGTTAAACGAATCATAATATGCATTAATCCTGTGATAAATACAAGTTCTCCCTTTTTAAAAGTATAATAGTCAAACGTATTCAATGGTTTTGGTGACCAATTACATGTACACAAGTATTAGTTTCGTCACGGTTTAATTTTGGTAGATAATTATCCAGCTGATTATGCAAAAAAAGAAAATATGAATCTGTGCTGAAAATGACAGTAAAGGTCACAATTTTTTAACCGGTATTAACAGATAATCATCAAATTTTTTTATCAAATACGTCTCCTTCACCAAATTTGTATTCCTTTGAACAAAAGAAAACAACTTTGTATTGACGGTTAATGAAAGACCGAGTCGCATTCTAATTTCGGTAAATTCAGTTTTGTCCCTAGATGGTGGCCTAACTTAAAGCATAGCCTCAGCTTCTTCACAATCAAATCTCTTTATATAATAACTCGTACGATCATCCCATACCTCCGACCAAGAGAAGAAAGCTATAAACAATGGCAGACTCAACGGAAAAAGCAGAGCACGACCGTATTTTCAAGAAATTTGATGCAAACGGAGATGGAAAAATCTCTGCCGCTGAGCTAGGAGATGCTCTCAAGAACCTTGGCTCTGTCACGCACGACGACATTAAGCGTATGATGGCCGAGATTGACACCGATGGTGATGGATACATATCGTACCAAGAATTTTCCGATTTCGCAAGTGCCAATCGCGGTCTTATGAAAGATGTCGCTAAAATTTTCTAATCAATATTTTCATTTGAAAAAGGATTTGAGCTTTGATCATGTCTCATTTGTTTTTGTAATGACAATCATATGATGAAGTATGTTTCTTTTCTTTGTTTTAATTTTATGTAATGGAAGGTGTTGGATTATTCTTGAAAACAAATTGTATTTTATATATTAATGATTTTTGTTGATCTGATTTGTACTATTGCGTCATCGACATGGTGAAAGGCTTTGGTTCTAGACATAGCATATTTTGTCTGAGACTATTTGAGATTCCTGAGCATGATGAATATGAATAACTCATCAAATGTAATGATTTACTACCAATTATTTAAATAAATACTAAGTAGGAGTTATTGGTTCTTGTATTTTGGTGGATTTATAAATCTTCTTTGGATTTGATAAATTTATTGATTTCAAAATCAGCAAAATAGAAAAAAATCAAATCCACTCAAATACTAAAGTTAGACCTTGTATTTGGGTCTTTGTATTTTAGTCATGAAAATCCTTCCAAATCCATTTAAATTCAATTAAAACTCAAATTATTATAATATTTAGATTCTAAAATGATAAAACCAATAACACTGTATTTTATTATGAATTTTAAAATCATAGAACCAATAATACTGTATTTCAATATAAATTTTAAAATACAAGAACCAATAATACTGAATTTGGTTTGGATTCTCAAATCTATTAAAATACAAGAACCAATAACACCTCCTTAATAAAAAATAATTTTGAAACATGGCAATTAACAAATACAGTTACATTTCGAAATAACAATTTAAAAAAAAAATACTAGTTATATTTAGAATTTGTGAACTCAATGATATTTTTGATAAAAATGACTAAGAAATGTGCTAATTACTCTTACTTTTACGAACCGTGTTTTTTTTAAGCAGAATCGTATAATATAAGACATGTGTTAATTAGCTTTTTTTATTAAAAAAAAAAGTTAACTATTATCATAAGTTTATCATCGGCTCTCCATTTTTTTTAATATAGTTAATTAGCAGATTCTCTTATTTTATTTTATTTTATTTTCTATACATAAGATAAAGACCCTATAACAAAAAGAATGGTTGGTAATTAATCTAAATATTGAGGAGCAAACATACTTTTAATATATAAAAAAATGGTAGATCAAAATCTCTCACAATTAGCTTTGGCCCATCTACATCATTGTTCAAAAAATATCTTTTTGTAACAGATAAAATAGGGAAATTGAAGCCATCCCTTAAAAGTCTTTTCAACCCTTTTTTTTTCTCGTATAATTTGGATTTGTTTTTCTTTGACGGCAAAATATAGTTTGGATTCTATTGTTTTCTTTCGATTTTGTATTACACAACAACTATAGTCTTATAGTAAAAGCCAATCGAAATTTCCGAAATAAAGTATTTGACTATAAAATATATAATTTACATACATATTGCCCTTCGTGTACAGTATATATATATACACACACACACGTACTATGAAACCGTTGGCCAACGCCTTACTCCTACGTCTCTCTCTCTCTCTCTCTACCAAACAGATCTTTCGTCCTTCTCTCTGAAATGGACCTCGCCGGAGAAACCAACAGTCTCGCCTCCACCCTTGCTTCTTCTTCCTCTTCCTCCGTATCGTCTATTGAGACGAACCACGACTGCGACTCGCCACGTGGCGGAGATGTAGACCACGAATTGCTCCATACGGCGGTTTCGGCTTCGGTATCCGTATCGGTTTCTTCGTCCTCTTCTGCCTCAATCCAGAGAATTCTCACTTTAATCCGATCTGAGGATCCTGATTCGAGGCTGTTTGCCGCTAGAGAGATCCGCAGGCTCACCAAGACGTCACATAGATGCCGCCGACACTTTTCCCAGGCCGTTGAACCGCTTGTTTCGATGCTCCGATTCGACTCGCCGAAATCTTACCACGAGGCAGCTCTACTTGCTCTCCTTAACCTCGCCGTCAAAGACGAGAAGTACGTTCTCTTTCATTCTCTTGCCCCCAATTCGATTTGTTCTGATTTCTTATGCTGATCTGATTAGTGATTGCTCCGCTTGAAATTATTCAGAAAACCATCACTGTATTAACCAAATCGAATACTGGATAATTACGTGTGAAATTAGATTATCAAAAATCGTAGAAGAGATATAGGGATTCTACTAGTTCATGATTAGATAATTGCATAGTCTCGATCGTAGCGAACCCATTTCCGCTATAACCACTTTCTTCCATCAGATTGGGTGGATCAATCAACTTTTCTGCCTCTTATCTTTGTTGGCAAATGCTTTTTGTTTGCTTGGAGTGTACTCTATGTTTCCTGAAGCCTTTTTTGTTTGTTTGGTGTTGCTCCTTTATTTTCTTTTTGCTTCCTTTTTGAAGGATTTTTGTTATCTTACTGGCGAATTGAAAATATCCTAGGGTTCATCCATTTTTCTGGGGAACAGGATATTTCGTCACAGTGTTACATGGATACTCTTCTTTATTCCTTCTCACTTATAAATTATTTCTTTGGTTTGTGCTGTTTCTCGAGAATTCTGACTATTCTTTTTCTTTTCTCATTATGTTTTGTGAGGTTTGATTGGTTTCTAGTTGCTGATGAAATTTTGATTGATCTACACAAAAAGCTAGAGTCATGTTAGCTTAGCTTTTCCTTTATTTGTCCCTAGTCTTGAGATTCCATAAGCAAGCAAAGAATCAAGTTGCAAGATAAGACCAAAACAAGAATATCTCTCTTAGCATCGTCGCAAATTCCCTCTCATTTGATTCCATTGGGTTTGTGTCAAACCAAAAAAAATAATAAACAGAGGATGATTTAAGTCAAGTATTAGTTTAGATGGAAATCACCTGAAGCTAACTAACTCTTGCTTCGGGGCAGGTATGAATAAGTTTGCCAAACTTAATTTATTAGCCCTTTGCACATCTGTAGGACCCTGCTTTACCAGACTTTAGTATTTTGTGAATTTTGAATTTTCCTTAGTTTATACGCAAACGACTTTGTAGTCAATTTCTTCTTTGGTCTAAACTCTGATATCATCACTTCCTTTTATTAATGGGATCCATTTCTAGTGGAGAAAAGAGAAGGAGCAAGCAAAGTAGAGAAGCTAAACCCAAGCCTTTCTTTATCCTCACTTTTCCTCTCACGGAGTATTAGTTTCAATAAATATCTTCCCTACTTTAATTTTTGTGTCCATAAACATTAATTAATTCAATCCGTGCCTTTAGGTCGGCTTAAGAGGTTAGGTAGATGGCTACAACTCTTATTTCCCTTGATTACATAATTCATATGACTGAGAAATTGAATGCACTAAAGTCTTGGAGAAAGAAAGGTTGATTTTTGCCTATTTGCTAAGAAACATATATGTCATTGTCTTGAAGAATGTTCTCTTCTTAGACTATTCTGAGTTTTGCTGCTGCTTTTTTAAAAAAATAAAATTTCAGGAATAAGGTGAGCATAATTGAAGCTGGTGCTTTAGAGCCAATCATGAAGTTCTTACAATCAACTAGCCCAACACTTCAAGAGTATGCTTCTGCGTCTTTGCTCACTCTCTCCGCGTCTGCTAACAACAAACCCATCATTGGAGCTAATGGAGTGATTCCTCTATTAGTCAAAGTCATTAAACATGGAAGCCCACAAGCTAAAGCTGATGCAGTAATGGCACTTTCCAACCTCTCCACTCTCTCCAATAACCTAAGCATGATCCTAGCGACCAAACCACTCTCCCCGATACTAAGTCTTCTCAAATCATGTAAAAAATCATCCAAAACGTCTGAGAAGTGCTGTTCTCTGATAGAATCATTGATGGTTTCTGGCGAGGAGGCGAGAACGGGTATAGTTTCAGATGAAGGAGGAGTTTTCGCGGTGGTGGAAGTTCTTGAGAACGGGTCGCTACAGGCTCGGGAACACGCGGTTGGTGTGCTCTTGACACTGTGCCAAAGCGATAGGAGTAAATACAGAGAGCCAATCCTGAGAGAAGGTGTAATACCAGGACTGCTTGAGCTTACGGTTCAAGGGACATCGAAATCTCGGACTAAAGCTCAGAGACTTCTCTGTTTACTTAGGGACTCAGAGAGCCCGAGATCAGAGGTTCAACCCGATACAATAGAGAACATAGTGTCGAGCTTAATCTCTCATATAGACGGAGATGATCAGTCCGGTAAGGCGAAGAAGATGCTAGCTGAAATGGTGCAAGTTAGCATGGAAAAGAGCTTGAGACATCTACAAGAACGTGCTTCCACTCTTGTCCGTCCTTAAAACCGCATTTCCTGAGGTCTATGCCAGTCCAGTGCCGGCGTTTTGGTTCTTAGTGACTGGTTTCTTTTTTATTACTCAAAACTGTTCATAATAAAAGCTTTTTTCAAGTTAAAAAAAAAAAAGTGCTTTGTGTGTACATTACTATAGAAACATCTTTATTCCAAAAGAATTTCTTCAATAACGTTATTTTGGTGTTCATTTCGGTTTATATATAAACCGAGCATATCCTGTCAAAATGTCGGTTTAAAAATCAAACAAAACTCTTTTTCGATTTTGGTAGTAGAGAGATCAGATCATGAACATTAACGTGATCACCCATCAAGATCAAAGTTCATATATATATTTTTAAACCCAAAAAACACAACTGAAAAGTTTAAACTGGAGTTTAGACATCAACTTCAAGAATCAAGACTCAACACTAGAAGATATTTCTCTTTTAATATAAGATTTTTTATTCAAGATCACATGGATCACGTTTAAGGATAATAATCATTCAAACTTTAATTCTTTATCGAAGACCATTGAATTTAAGCCTTTCTTTTTCTAATGTCAAATTCTCACAAAAGTAAAATCACTTTCACCTCACATACTTCTAAAATTTGAATACGTACGCGAAGATCAATTTCACATCTATATTACCTCATCGAACCCATACTAAAGTGAGAAAAAGAACAATCTGTTTGTTCTTTTAATGTTTGAAAACAAAAATGTACCAAAAATATTTTGATAAGATCTTCTTTTAACAAAGGCTGACATCAGTCCTCGAAACTGAAAGTACGTTTTAGATCCGCCTTTTCAGAAACGCTCACGTTCACCCCACGTTATCGACGAAAATGTCCAAAACTGAAAATATCACAATGATTTTGATTTTTTTTAAAAGTTATTCATATTGGGTGAAATAAAAACATACAGAATCGCTATCTTTTTCCATTTATTGAGAAACTTTGAAAATACTACCAGCTCGAGCTACGATACAAGGTTTTACTCGTTCTCTCCACTTTCTACGATACGCACAGGGTCCGAAAAGATAAAGACGTAAAACATTTAGGCAAAGCGGTTAAACACACACAAAAAAGTTCGGGTTAAACAGTAAAACATAACTAAAGTTACGGTCCCTTTTCCTAATTTTTTAAAACATTTCTTCCTTATTTTCCCGGTTTCGAGCGAGTCGTCTCTACCGCCGCGACTCAGCGGCTCCGGCGAGTTTCCACGCTGAGGTGGTGATGAGTGGTCGCGTCTGCCATCCTAGCATTAAGCAACCGTCGTTTTCTTCGACTCTGTATCCATCCCCGCCGGCGTAGAGCGATGAGAGCATGCTCGCCTGTTTAAACGCGCTGGATCCGAGAGGAACCGGGTCAAACCCGGCGGATCCCATCCGGACTCTCCACTGTGACAGCGTCTCGTGTCGCTCGACCCGATCGGATCCTTCCGCCGCCACTACGTTAAGAATCTGTCTCCCTAGGTACACCTCTGACATGACTCGGTCTTGACTCGGTAGGCTGTAACTGTCTTCTAGCGAGTCGAACAAGCTCGAGTAGTAGTGAAGCGCTTCGTTGAACCTATCCAGGAAGACGATCCCGTTGTGGTTCGCTTCTTGCTCCACCATCGTCACGATGCTCGGCTTCACAGCCTTGACGGTGGCGAGAAGCTTCTCGATTGAACCGGATCCGGCTAATAGCCGGTGGAGCTCAAATACCGAATTGACCACTAAAGTTTCTGATTCGGGTCGGGTCTCAAACATTTCGGGTTCTAGATCCGATAAACTTTCTGCGGCTAGTCCTTTGAATTCAAACTCGACGCCTATCGCCTGAGCGAATTGAGCTAGCTTCCAACCTAGCTGCTGAAGCGAATCCGAATTCTCAGTCTGCGGTGGTCCGATTCCGGTGAGACGGAACGACGGAGGCCCGCCGGGTCTTACCGCTAAGGCTTGCATCAAAGCCGGCCACTGCATCCCCTGATTAAGCCCAAGATCGATTACGTGGACTCTACGCGCCGTCGTGACAGCTTCCAGGATCGCTTGATTCGCCGTGAAATGGGCAAATTTCAGGTACGGGCAAGACTCGTAAAAGTGCATCTGCAAAGCCTCATCGAAATAGGGACCCACCGCGGAACCCCCTGAGGCGCCCGCCTCCGCCGTGTGAGCGCGATGATAAATCCGACGAGCCAAGCCTTGGGCGAAATACATAGCGACTTTCCCCATAGCTCCAGCTTGAGAAGCCGCGAGTGTTCCCACGCGCTTCACTAGCGCGTCGGCTAAGCTAAGATCCTCCTGCTGAATCGCCTCAGCGCACGCCACTAACGCGTGAACGAGTCTAACTCCGGTCTCCTGCGAGTCAACGAGCACCACAGACCGAGTTAACTCGCCCGCCGAGTCGCACCAGGATCCGACTGATCCGAGACGGATCCTTTTGCTGCTAGCTTCCTCGTCAACGCCTTCCTCTACCTTTGGAAACGCCGAAAGTCCCGGAATCGCTCTCAGATCGTATTCCGATCTATCCTCGCACATTCGGGCCGGGTCAAGATCCGAAGATGCCGGGTTGTTCAGCTCGGAAAGCATGCTCTCGACCCAGCTAGAGAGATCAGATGGGTTATAGTGAACAGTGTCGTTTAAGACAGTAGAACCAACATCATCGTTAGACAACACCATCTCGAGCTGCTCGAGCTTCTGTGCTACTTCAGCCATTTCAGAAGACCGAACCTTGTAGCCAAGAACAGCAAGAAGCTCATCCATGTTGTTCTCATCCGCCATCTTACCCTTGTTATCCGCCATTGAAGGACCTTCAGCAGAACCAGACGGTGGTTGCGGTGGGTCCCATGTTTCTCCATGTCCTCTCTTCATCTTTCCTTCTTTGTGATTGTGATGAGAGACTGGTGAAGTTGAAACAAAAAGAGTCTTTGGATATAGGAAAGGAGTTTACTTTACTTCATGGGTAGGTAAGGTTTTTTAATGGGGATTTGAAAAAGAAAATAAAAAGGACTGGTCTTTTCGTGATATGGTTACAGACAATTTGTGGAAACAAAGGAGATTCTGAGAGGAACATTATATAAACACGAGAGAGCGAGAGAGAGAGGTCCAATGAGAGAAGTGGTACTGAAGTGTGTTTAAGAGATAAGGAGAGCAGAGGATTCCACTATAGTTTGGCATCTGTTTCTCTTTTCTCCCTTTCCCTAACTTCAAGATTTTACTATTCTTATTAATTTTTACCTCCCACAGGATATTGTTTTTTAAATATAATAATCGATCTATTGATAAAATAATTATGTAGTTTATGGAAGTGACATGAGACAGTTGAATAGTATGACTGGTATGTCAGATCAAATAATAGAATAGTGGAATAACTAAAAAATTACTAGCAGAATGAATTAAACTGAATAATATTTTAATTGAATAATTGTGAAACGCTGAAAAACTACTTTTAGTAGATTAATCACGTTTTGTTTTTTTTAGTTATATTTTTAACATGCTAACGGAATCACGTTTCAAAAACATAAAAAACATGAAAACGTGATGAATAACATGAATAGTATAAAATAACAGAATCAAGTTTTTAAAACGTGAAAACGTGAAAAAGCTACATACCATTTAAACTCTAAGTTTTAGTAGATGAATTCGTACGATTAACACTGTAATAGTAACCAAATAACTTAAGGAAAACAATATTTTTAAAAAAATTCACAGATGCTGTTATTCTTCTAATTTTTTATCTGAAAGATTTCTAAAATTTAAGTAGTTTTACCAATTAAAAACTGCAGGACTTTTAGGTTGTAGTGTGCTTTCGTGAGATTTGTTGTAAGTTCTACAGTATGAAGTTGTCAAGTATAAAAGTGTCTTTGATGGACTATCATAGTCTTATACTATACGATTATGACTTAATTGATCTTAAATGGCTTTTAAAAATAAAGTCATATTTTTGCATACGACTTCGTCGTTCTTAAACCAAAACGGCACCAAATGCGTGTTAAGAAAATGGCACGTAATGTCGTTTTCGTAAGTTTATTTTTTTCTTTCGTAGTGTGGAGAATATCTATTGTTTTTCGGATTTGCATTTGATAATCTACTTGCGTGTCATAACATTATTGTAAAGATCTAACTAAATGCATAAATCATTAGATAATTAAATATTTACCGGTCTGTATAAGTATAAGTCAAATATGATTCAACTCATATATATACTATACCCTCCCTTCTTTTTTTAATGCGATGCGAATTTTGTTTTAGAGCCTAATAATGATTAAACAAATTCGTATTCCTTACTGTTTCATTAAGGTAAAAGCCTAAAACTAAAACTACTGCTCAAATTTTTTTTTTTTGTGAGTCTGACACATGAGCAACCTGTCATGTGCCACGTAGAGGAAGACATAGCCTACGAGACGTCCACCACAACATAAGGTTACTTTCAATAATTTAATTTCACATTTCTTTCTGCAGTTTATATGTACATATATATATATATATACACATCAGCATGCATAATTAATAAGGTTTTTTTTGTTTAGTGGTATCGTTTGGGAACCGTAAAAGATCCTTTTTGGAATGTAAGGAAATAATTAAGTGTTGGGGATTGTCGTATGGTCCCAGTCGCAGCTAGAAGAAATTGAAATTCGTTGATATCTCATGTTGGTGGTGACCGGTGAGATTGGGCCAAAGACATATCTCTTTGCAGTTTGCAGATGGTTTCGTTTCGTTTACTGCTCAAAGTCTTCCTGATCATGTTTCTCATACATAATTTGCTTGTGGTTAATTTTATGAAAAATTTGTTTTCTTTCTCTTTGCTCCTAAGTTTGTGAACCAGGTCACATGAATTGAATGCTGGCTTGGGCGGCCGAGAAAGATATTGATTGGGAGGTTTGGGCACTAACCGGAGATTATATAGTTTTATGTTTTAATTATTTTTTTTAGTATAAAGTGCTTTTTTACTAATTTTCAGTTATTATTTATTACTTGAAATATCTAGGTTCACTCAACTAGTCAACCCAGTTAACGGAACCCATACGCGCACTAGTAGTGGCATCACACTCACGCGCCGATAGTCGAGACACAGCTAAATTAAAGAAAACGGCACGTAGTTGAAGTTACTCCATCAGCGTCATTTTCTTTCACTGTAACGAAAGTCCAGAAGAACACCTTATCTCTCTCACTACCTTTCAAGTTTTAACTACAACTATTTGGATCACCGAAAAAAAGAAGAAGAAGACAAAAATATAATCACTTTGTTCCATTTACCGAGTATTCAAATCAAATTCCCCATTTCCTCGCCAGTTCCCATGTTCACCAGCTTCTCCATTTTCGTTTTCTTCATCATTCAAGAAATCTTCCACTGGTTCCTTCTCCTCTCTCTGACTATTAGTATTATTATTATGATGATGATGATTCCCCCATCCATGCATCATCATCATCATCACCTCATCAGGGTTCATGTTACGTCCTTGTTCTCCATGATTCCCAATCGCGTTAGCTCTCAGAGGGTTTCTAGCCATCATCTCGGTATGAGATTGGTGCGACTCTGCCTTCACTTGTCCTGCTTGCGCCAGAGCCGCCATTCTTAACCTTGCCTCCTGAGCCTTCATCTCTCTATCCAACTCCGATTTCACATCGATGCATGCTTTTCTCTCGTCTTGGAGCAAAGCTTGCTCAACCATCAGCTTTTCCTCAGATCTCAATTCCCCAACCCTTCTCTTTTGAGTTATGATGTTGAAAGCTTGGGCTTGCTTCTCGAATGTCGCCGTAAATTCCGCGACTTTGGCGGCAATGTTGTTGTCCCATTGCTGACTCCGGGGTAGCGTCTGGCTTGTTGTGTCTGAATCGAGGATTCTGTCGTCTTCCTCTGCTTCGTAATCTGCTACGACGTGATAAGGTAACAATCTGCATAAATCGTAAGAGAACAGGGAAAACAGATAACTTCATAAGAGATAATCCATGGAAATGACTCTACATTTGAATTCAACAAGAGAATAAACAATTCATATGACCCACTCAAAAAGAATCCAAGCTGATACGGATCAACACAAAATCACCCGGTACTGAAATGTAAAAAAATAACTTTTCTGTGATGCTGGATTATAGGATCTACAGAGAGATATCAGTTAAAGAACTCATTTTATATAATATACTTCTTTACAAAAGGGTGAAGAAAAGCAAACTTTTTTAACCAAAAAAAAAAAAAGCAATGGCCTTTTTGATTAGAGAAGTCAGACTAGTTGGACCCAGAAATCTTTAAAGCCTCTTCCAAGAAATCACTAATACAAGAAATTCATGAACCCAGAAATCAATTCAATTCCTACGATTAAAACCAATTGGAACTGAACGAACCTTTCACAAGCGTCTTCGAGAGAAGCGAAAGGTCGCTTGAAATCCGGATGGCAGACACGCCAAGCGTCTTGGTAAGCGAACTGTAACTCCGATTGGTTCACCGGACGCATCGAGTTCTGCTGTTGCTGCATCACTACCATCGATTTCTGTTGTTGTTGTTGTTGCTGCTGCATCATCATCATCATCTGCGGACTCGGCGCGTTCTGCTGCTGTTGCTGGAAGTGATTGGCGTGTGGAATCAAATTAGGGCCAGAGATAGGGTTAGGGTTTGCGTTCTGAAGCGACGGATTAACGGGTCGGCTCTGGATTAATCCAGGCGTGCGAAGATGAGCGTCGATATTCGACGGAAACCTCGACATCGCCGCCTGTTGCTGCTGTTTCTGCAGATGCTGCATCAGGAGGAGCTGTTGTTGACGCTGCTGCATTTGTTGTTGCTGCTGCTGCTGCGTTGGAACAAAAAGTTTCTGCTGCTTCGACTCCTCCATTTTTCCGTCTTGCTCTCTTCCGTAATTTCGAATTTTAGGGTTTCGGTTTGCAAATGTTCTCCTTCTCCGCCATGAAAATGACAGAAACTAAAAAAAAAACATAAGAAATGATGACTTTCTTTCTGACTGAAAATATATATGAGTAAAGCCCATTAAAGGCCCAATTTGTTACTTAATTAACAACACATGAGAGAAGAAGTAGTTGATAATAGATACAGACGACTGACAAAGCCCACTGGGCTTTTGACAATATAAACGAAGCAAAGCAGAGATCACTTTCCCCTTGGACAAAGATTTGCCTTGAAAGGGTTCTTCATGACCATTGTGATGAACTGTTGCTTCTCGGATAGATCAACCTCTTCACCTTCCACACATTTCCACTCGAACTTCCAAACCAAATTGGCCACAAAGTATTCGAGGTGAAGCAGCGAGAGGCTGTAACCGGGACACATCCTCCGTCCCGCTCCAAAGGGCATCATCTTGATCTCTCGAGTCCCGGTCATATCAAACCCATGTGCTTCCCCGTTCTCTAGAAATCTTTCCGGCTTAAACGTCAGAGGATCCTCCCATATCTTCGGGTCCCGGCCCATTTCTCCAACCATGAAGTTTATTGTACCTATCCCACACAAATCAAATTACATTTCATGATTGAACACCTTAATGGGCTCAAAATGATGGGTTCTAAGGATTTGTTGGACCTAAGCTTTTGTACTAAAACATGAAATTCAGTAGAGAATCAATCACAATCAAACTCTAAAATCACCAAGTTGATGAATCTTAACATGATGATCACTAAACCTTTTTGCTCTGTTCAAAGTTTTAAGCTTATTTGTGCATGGTTATACCTTGGCGCGGAACGAGGAATCCACCTAAAACGGTATCGTTTGTGACCTTATGGTAAGATAAGTAATGACCAGGAGGGTGTCTTCTTAGCGACTCCAAGATCACAGCTTTGAGATAACTCAGCTTCCCCAAATCCTCTTCTCTGATCTCTTCTCTATTTTCTTCTTCTCCGGCTAAAACACTCTTCATTTCCTCGTATACCTTCCTCTGTATCTCTGGGTATTTCACCAAGATCGCCATGATCCACTGCATCGCCGTCGCCGTCGGATCCGTCGCTGCGTTTAGAAACTCCGAGCACAGGCTCACGATCTCCGATTCACTCAGTTTCCTCTTCTTCCCCTCTTCCTCATCCGTCGGAATCTCTAGACTCAGCAGCGTATCGACGTAACAGAGGACATCTCCGGCTGTTTCTCTGCTCCGAGCGTTAACGTATCGGAGTATGACGTTCTCCTGAGATTTCCGCAGATTTAAAAATTCTTCCCATTTTCGTCGGAGCAAGAACTTGGTCACGCTTGGGAAGATGTTGAGGACGCTGAATTTGGTGTAGCTTATGAGCATTTGGTACTGAGCTTCTTCGATTTCTCTGATTTCTTCTCTTTTCAGTTTCTCGCCGAAACACATCAGAGCCAATAAACAGAACATCGCGTGACGGAGATGATCCAAGGCATCGGAGACATGCCCTTTCTCTCCCTGCTCCGATTCGAGTAGCTCGACGAGGGTCTCGAGAGCCCATTTCCTCGACGGCGCGTGGGCTTTCACACGCGCCGGTTGGAGGATTTCGGATGTGAGATTCCGGCGAAGGGTTCTCCAGAGAGAGCCGTAGACGGAGGAGTGGATGTCGTGTTGGTTGCTTGTGATGACTCTGGTGGTGGGGAGAGCGAGAGGACGGTCGGCGAAAACGGCGCCGTTTTGGACAAGCGCTTCGTGAGCGAGTGACCTGTCGGTGACCCAGATTGAAGGTTTGGATCCTACGTGGAGTGTTATGATAGGTCCGTGACGTGAGGCTAGGTCACGGAGGACGCCTTGGAAATCGGAGAAGCTGTTTTTCTTAAGCCATATGATGTTTCCGATGACCGGCAAACGAGATGGGCCGGGAGGAAGTTTGTGGGTTGGGGAAAAGAAGATGAGTTTAAGGAAGACGGAGAAGGAGATAGATATGACGATGAGGAATAAGATTGTGACGATCTCCATTGTTGCTTCTCCTCCTCGTGCTTCAGATTAAGGCTAAATTAAAAAGGGAAAGAGTAAATATGTATAGAAAGATTCAATTCGATATGTCCTGATTTTTTTTTGTATCGTGGTGAAAATTTATGAATGAAAGAAACAAGTAGAACTCTTTTTTCTTCTTCTTCCTTTGTAGGCTTATCTAAATTTGAATTCATACATGTGCCTTAACTTAAGGGACACGTCTTTTTATACAAATATAGTTTGATTTAGTAAGTTTAGGTATGGCACTGATATCATGTGTACTATAGTTATTGACAAGTAGTTTTTTTTTTGTGTGACAATTATCGATGAGTGGTTCTATGATGATGTTTCGAAATGCAAAAATAATGTTTCCCTTACATTTTGTAGACCGTTGATCTAGTGACCGCATGACTTTTGAAGTTTGTACTTCTGTACACTTGTAATGTTTGTCCATGCAACGAGAACGTGGTGTCAATATTCTTCGCCATGTTTCATTCGGTGAGTGTGTGAATCAAAAAAAAAAAAAAAAAATATACACATAGTAAATTTAAATAGTAACGTGTGCGTTTCTGGTCATGTTTTCTTTGCAATGTAAGCGTAACGGTTCCAATTCGAAACTCGAAAGCTTAACATTTTCACTTTTCAGTTACTTTGTAAGTTTGTAGCTAAAATTGTCTTCATTCGATTATTTGGCTTGACTTTTTCATTGATTTTTTTAATTGTATTCCGTTTTTTTTTTTTTTTTTTTTCATATTAATAGTTGAAAACAATGTTTCATATTTATGTTAAAATAGCCTATCATGTGGCACACGTAACAGTGGATAGACCACGAACTTTCAGATAATTTCCATGAACATATTTAGATCCAAGACAACAACCAAATGACATTGTGAGGATCATATTTGAGAGTGTCCTTTTGAGTGTGTTCATGAGATCAAAGACGATTGAGGTAGTACATTGATGATAATGTCTCAAGTAATTAAGCTCTTAGAGCGAAGACCCACATTATGAATGTTTCATAATACACGGTCGAGTTCTTCCGCGAATTTCTCCATTACAGGAACCGGCAAGCTAATCGCCATGACGATTCCCGTCTCGCCTTTTTTATTCTTAAACGGCACATAAAAGCTCACTCCCGGAAAAACGGCGATACCGGCCTTAGCGGTTCCACCGTACACCGGCTTACCCCACGGCCCGAAATCAACTTTTCCCAAATCAAAATGTCTCAAATCCGACACGATGTAGTTCCCTGCCGCGACAAACATAGGACGGCCTCTAGTTGCCATTAAGGCCGTCACCGAACGGACGTAGTCCTCTGTCACGCTCGACTTGGCCTCTTGTATCAACCTCAGAGCAAACTCAAGCGGCTTCTCCGTCAGATCTTTTGCGGTCGCTATCGCCACAGGAATGGCAAGGACGTTTCCGTAGTAGCCCGACGGTAGCGGAGGGTTGCTAAGCTTGGAACGCGAGTTGACGAGGCATGTCATTCGCATCTCAGTGTTCGGTTCAGGACTCAGTGCAACCGTCCGACAACGCCACAAAAACGAAGTCAACGCTTCGAAAGTGGTGTTGTGGAGACCATGCGGGAGGAGTCTCCGTATAGCCGAGATCTCGTCCGCCCCAAAAAAGAAAGACCGACTAACCAAAAAGTCTCCGGCAACTACCGCTTCAGGCTCCACGTTAGCGTCGTACTCCCGGTGCGTGTGGGTTACACGGGCGGAGACGCTTGCAGTCAGCAAATGTCGGTCCCACACCGGAGGAACCGATGGCGCGTGTAACCCACACGCCAGCTCGCACAGTGACTTCAGGAAGAGGGACAGACCGGCTCCATCGGTCATGGTGTGGTTGAATCGGAGGGCAAATATAAATCCACCGCATTTCAGGCGCGTGACCTATACACGACCGCTTTTGAAAGCAATCATAATAGTTGAAAAGACAAAAAGATGTCGCATTTGATATACCTGGACGAGAAGCAAAGGAGCGTTGAGCAACTCACTCGAGCCTTCTACGTCAAAGAGAAGCTCTTCTAAGCAAGGGAAAGGAGGAAGAAGAGCATCCGCTTCCTCCAACTCTGCAAACGCCACGTCAGCATCGGCTTCAATGAACAAAGCGCCTTCTCCGTTGCAGTCCACCGCGAGTTTCCGGTTTGAAAGTTCCCGGAGCCTACCAGCGAGCGGGTAATAGTAAACCAGCGCCTCGGAGAGGGCTCTCCTGATCACTTGGACCGGATCAAGATTACTTGTAAGGTTAGGTCTATAGAAAAAGATAACCGGGATTTGAAATCTCAGTCCTTCTTGGTCGTCAATGTCGGAAAGAGGCTTCAGCTCTCGTGGCGTTGGCTTAGCCGGAGTGACCAGCTTCGGCTGCCGGCGATGCACCTTAAACGAGAGACTTGTGGCGGTGGATGGTGGCAAAGACACTTGAGAGTCCATGGTTTGAGGAGATTTTGAGGATAGACTTAATACATACGACACTGTTATTACCACATAATATACACATAATATTTGCACATGCTATACATTTGTTTGTTTGTTATTATGATATTTTTGTTTTAGTTTTATTAACGGTTTGGTACGATGATATATTTAAACCTCGTAATGAAAACAAGTTCCACTTAGGCAACGATAGCCATCACTCATCAGCGCCGGTGCACCTTAAATGAGATCTTGGTGGTTGTTTGAGACTTGATCAGACTTAGCATAAGACCTTTGTTTTATAAAGCTTTGTTTTATAAAGATTTGATATTTAATTGTAGATGTGACTAACGACTAACGAGTAACGACCCCCTTTGGAAGAGATTTATGTGGTTGGATTTCATCAAAAGGAATTTTCACAACGATATTTATTTTGTGTGGGTGAAATTGCAATCGTACAGAATCATATTAGAGTTTTTCGAGGCTATTTGGTTCCTTGACGTAAGTGACCACATCACATTATACAGCAATCTGGTGAGGACTCGAGCATCTCTGGAGATCTGTGGATAATAAAAACATGAAACGTTGGTTTCCTTTTTAAGGTCAGAAAGTCCCATAGATCCACCCAAATAAGAAAAAGGGGATAACAAAGGAGGAGAGGGGGGGCTCACATTTGGCCTAGACTCGCGAAATCAAACCCGGGACCCATCTCCTGAACGATGTCGTTTGGTGGCTGTCCGCATTCTTGCATCTTCTGCATGATCTCCATTATCTTGGCTGAATTGTTTGGTTCATTCTCGTAAACCGCATTGAGTTCTTCGATTAGTTTGTACTGTTGTGAATAGCGGTTGTAGTCTTCTCTGCTTAGACCGGCTTCGTTCTCTTTTAGCCATTTCGGGTATCTTGCACCAATCTCCTTCATTGGCTCATGGAGAATATCTTTCGACAATAGCTGTTGCATCATAGTTTCGACTATTGATTCCAAGTCCTAAAGCAACCACAACGCGAAAGATATATATTACCAAGTCGAATCATTATCTCAACAATGAGCTCGATATAACCTTCACATAGCATAAAGAAGAATCTCTACCAAACAGCGACCAATCTAGTTCACAGCACAAGAAAATTCAGACATTGGTTCCGTATTGAAAACATCATCCAGCAGAATAGTGATCACTCTGTTCTAGTAAAATCTACTTGTAATAGCAGAGTAAAGACAGCACAACAGTTTCAACAGATAAAAGAATTCACTTTCAGAGTTTCGATTCAACCAAGTAGAGACGATTAGGTTTCAGGGTGTATTTTATTACCTTGGATCCAGCAAGATTCTCGAATTGCTTGAGAAAATCCTCAACCATAGCATCATCATCAGAAGATGGCTGCTGCTTTGAAGAAATAGATTCCAATCCCTTGACAGTTTCTCTAGTTTGTTCCCTAAGCTTATCAAGAGCTTCTGCAACATGGTCCTCTTTCGAAACCTTCTGTTTCCCTTTCTTCTTGCTTCTCATGTCAGGTAATCCCATTCCAAGACCTTGAACTCCACTCGGTAATGAACCCGTCTCTTCTTTCATCTTCTTCTTCCCATCTTCGTCTTCCCTAAAACATAGTAGAAACCTAGAAATCTCAAACTCGGAATTGAATGTCTCTAAAGTCAATCAAAACATATAGACAGAGCTATGCATAAGCTTAATTAAGATGGAAATTTTGAGACTTGGGAGCTAAATGCATTTGTGTGTAGCGAGAGAGTAAGATAAAGGAGTAACCTTTGAGCAAGATTGAGATCTTTGAAGTCATCCAATGCGCCTGAGACACAAAACCACAGAGAACCCTAAGTTTCTTAACTAATCATCAATTGAAATATCTAAAAGAGAAAACCTTTTTTACAATCATGATAGATGGGCAGGAGAACACAATTACATAGAAATCGAGAAAACCCCTATGGATGAATAATGAAAACTTACTATCGAGAAGCTCCTCTAAGTCATCGGTGTGATTGTTTGCCATTTTCTTACGGCGTTGCTCTTCGTCGCAATTCGCAGATGGGAAGAAGAATATCAGAGAGGAGAGAAAGATTGACAGAAGAAGAAACCTTTTTGGTCCTTGCCTTGTTAGACGGTGCGATTGATATGATGACGCTGAGTTACGGTGAAGCCTTAAAGGACTCGATCCAACGGCTGATATCACTTTTTCAATTTTATAATTTTCCAATAATATTTGTTACCAAAAGAGAAATTGTCAACCAAAAAAAAAGAGAGAAAGATTTGTTTTTCAATCTTTGCTCTCAGAGTCTCTCAGCAGCAATGTCGAAGATCTACGTCTCGTCCGTACTCTTCTCCACTGGAACGAGCCTTCACCTCTTGTCCCGTTCTCAGACTAGACCCTATGCTTCTTCATTCGCAGCTGTCTTTCTCAGGGATTACAGTTGTGTAAGCTCGGTTTTGCGGATTTTAAGTGATGGAGTGTTTAGGATTTCTGGATTCGAAAAAGGTGACATTTTCTTCCTCCTTGTTATCTTCAACCTATAGATTCAGTGGCTGAACTAAAGTCACTGGATTGATTTCTGTGAGATTGCGATCTATGAGCCCAACTAAGAGGAAATCATGATTCAGGAGGCATCTGATTGCTTGTGTTGAAGCTTAAAGAAATTGTTTGTTCATGAGGTGTTTATTCATTGTGCAGATCAAGGAACAATTGGATGCAGAGTCGTTATCTAAAATCGCTGTAGCATTCGCTTAATTCGGAAAATGTGAACTTCACATGTTTACCTCCACAAGAAACAGATATATCGTCTTGTAAACGTTTCATTTTCTTTTTTGGTCTTCAGGTTGGTCTTGAAACTGACAAAGTCAATAATGCCCTGAGAACCAACCCATACTTCAAGACATGCCTGCCTCTGTATGTGCGTTTAATAAAACATATGAGTTGTCTTTGATTATTTCTTTATCATTTCACAGACAGAGATAACTCTTATTTAAGTCTATCTTTTTATTGCTTACTTTAATTTGACACTAGTTTGGTTAATCTATGATATAGAAAGGTTTATCATTGCAGTCTTCGATTTCAAGTAAATCCAGATCAGAGTTTCGTAGCGTCTGTTAAACCTTAAACTATCTCAAAAGTCAACTCTTTGTCTTGATCATATGATGAAACCATATCTTTGGGGTTAAGCTATAAACTTGTACATAACCCATTCATTTATATATATATATATATATATATATATATGTCTCTCCAGATGATTTAAGAATCTCAGAAGAGAAGAAAGAAGCCACAAAGATCTCTCAGAACTAAGAACCGCACGGTGAAGATGAAGTTGTTTGATGCTCACTGTCACCTTCAAGACAAGAGGGTCATCGACAAAGCCTCTGAGCTCATATCTGCTGCTTTAGCTGTCGGTGTTACCAATTTCGCTGTCAATGGAACCTCTGAGGTATTTTTCCACATTTTCCTGATCATTCGGTCGCTGTTACACATGTGTATGCATACATGTTTTTAAAGGGTTTTGTTTATGGATCCAGAAAGATTGGGACTTGGTGAAGGAGATGGGAGAAATGTATCCTTCTGTTGTTCCTTGCTTTGGACTTCATCCTTGGTATGGATTCTATATGCAGATGATCTTCAGTTAATGCAAAATGTTTGAGACCAAAGCTTATTCTTTTTCATTTCTGTGTTTTTCGATTTTCAGGTTCATTGCAGATAGGAGCCCTCATTGGCTTAAAACATTAAGGAAGTTCTTTGAAACTACTCCTACTGCTGCTGTTGGAGAAGTTAGTCTCTACAAAAAAAAAAAATTATAGTGTACGCTTTTGAAATCATTTTTAGCTGAGTTCTCATTATAGTAACATCTTCTTCTTTTTTCGCAGATTGGTTTGGATAAAAGTCCCTTAGCATCAGGAATTGATTACGCAGACCAGCTTGTCGTGTTTCGCCCACAGCTTGAACTTGCCAAAGAACTGAACAGACCAGTAGCAGTTCATTGCATTGATGCATTCGATGATCTCCTCGAGATAATGAGGTATCTTTTTATATTTCTACAAGTTGCATTTACAGAAGAATATTGAAGGGAGAAACCAATCTCGATAAATGCAGATCCGTAGGGCCTTTTCCTGCGGGTGTGATTCTTCATTCATTCAATGGTTCTGCTGAAGTTGTTCCCAAACTTGCTGAGCTTGGTGCATACTTCTCCCTCTCTGGCTGGTTCACTTACATTGATGAGAAAATCGCAAAGAACACTTTGAAATCGGTTTGTTTCTTTTTCCTCTGTAACTATACATGCAACTTCTGGATATGAAAGTATTGATTTTGTTTCCCGGTCTTGTGTAGATTCCTTCCGATAGGTTCTTATTGGAGACAGACTCACCTGACGGGTTACCAAAAGCAGATGAGAGTTCTTCGGATCCAAAACCAACTCTCAATGAGCCTGCAAACATTCTTGCTGTATGACATTATTATCAACGCTTTTCGTGTTTCCTTTCGCTTAGATTACACATCTCTTGTCTGATCTTTTCCGCGATTAACAGGTACTAGACTATGTTGCGAACCTGTCAAGCATGAAGAAAGAGGAGCTCGCGGAGTTAACTTATGGAAACACTGTGAGGTTATTCTCTTACCCAGGTTCTAAATTGCTTACAGACCAGTAAATGCTGTGTGTCTCTGCTTCTCTCTTTCCCTCTACGCAGTTGTAACATCATCTCTGGTCAAAAAGCCAAGAACACTCATCATCCTCTGCTTCTACTGTTGTTTGTTATTTGTTTGTTGTTGATGGCTTTGGACAAAACTACATCTCTCATTACTTGACCTGTTGTTTCTGTTACTTGATGCTGTTTCTTTTACCATTATTATGTACTTGTCTTTTGTCGTCTTGTGTAAACCAGTTATGTTGTTTGGCTGTCATAATAATGTAAAGGGTAACTGTAAAAATGATTATGCTATTCAATAAATTTTTACCAACCAAATTATTTTGTATAATTATGCATACTAATATGAAATCGCTATCTTTTTTTTCAATTATGAACTTTTTAATAATAACCAAAAACTTGAAAAGACTCAGAGTGAAACTACAGAGCATGATATAAGGGGGAAAAGTATAACTGATTACTGTAGTTGAAATAGTTTGAAGAAGATTAACGTCTTTGGCCAGTAATATCGGTAAGGAGTAAAACAGTTAACGAAGAATTTTTTGATAATTTACATTTCTCTGAGATATCCCACAATATCTTAACAGTCCTTCCTAAATCTCAGCAAGAACCACACTTCTCTTGTAACGTCTCCTTTTTTTTTTGTTATAGCATTTGACTTAATCTTCAGCATTGAGGCTTTTGTCTTCTTATTCTCTGTTTTTTTCTCCATTGTTGCATAACCCCGTGAAACACAAGCTTCCGCTCCTTCGACCACAAGTTAGTCAGAGAGACTAGTGTTTGCAAACATACGAAATGTCAGATAGATATTCGAAGAACCCATCGACCCGGTAATTACACTCTTAATAATCTCTTTTACTTTTAAGTAAATTTTACAAGAAATATTAATAACCTTAATATTCATGGCTTGTAGAAATTCAGAGTCACCAGATCTTGACCTCTATGTGAAAGGCACCCCGTTTTATCTTCACAAAGTAAGCTTCTGAATTTAATTTAGCCGAGATTTCTTGTATTTTGAGTTTTCTTCTGGTTTCTAGGGTTTGATATCGGTTTTGGTGCTTGTCTAGGAAACTTTAGCTAAGAAATCGGCGAAAGTGACAAGTTTGATCGAGTGTAACAAGATCGACGAACTGCGTTGGATACTCAGAGACATGGACATCGACCCGGAAACCTTCTTTCTCGTGGCTAGATTCTGCTATGGCTTGAAAATCCAGTTATCATCTGAAAACATCGTCTCTGTGCTATGCGTTTCTTATTACCTAGAGATGAACGATGATCACAGCTCTAATAACTTGTTGAACAAGGCATTTACGTTCTTGGAACAACGAGTTCTTATGAGCTGGAACGAGACCGTGAAAGCTCTTCGCGTCTGCAGCGATAAGATTCTGGACAAGATGACTGATGTTGGACTCATTGAAGTCTTCCTAGATTCTCTTGTCGAAAAGGCTCTCAACGATCCTGGATTGCTTGAAGATCTGATTACGTTACCTCTTCGGCTATATGAATCTTTGATCATCGAATCTAGTAAGCACAATGTCTCTAAAGAAAACCTCGTGGCATCGATCTGCAATTACGCGAAAAGATGGGTTTTCGAAAATGTCTCGGGAGATGAAAGCGTTTCAAGACACAAGCGAGAAGTAATTGAAGCTATTGAGAGGCTTTTGCCACACCAGAGAGGAGCCATATCGTGTGGATTCTTGTTCGAGTCGCTTAAAGAATCGATTTTTCTTGATGCTTGCTCTGATTGTCAAAAAGGGTTTGAAGTTAGGATCAGTAAACAGCTTGACATGGCTACAGCGAAAGATCTTCTGGTTCTGTTATCAAAAGAAGATGGATCATATGACATCGATCTGTTGAGAACGATTCTCAAGAGCTTTTACAGTAACTATAATGTCTCTGATGTTTCGCGGTTAGTGAGTGTAGCGAGAATGTTGGAAGAGTTTCTTTTCGAGGCTGCTGCGAGCGATGCTGGTTTAAGGGTAGAAACGTTTAAGGCGTTAGGAGAAATGGTGGTTGCTGCGTCTTGCGATGTGCTGAGATACTCTGATGAAGTCTACAGAGCAGTTGATGTTTTGTTGGAGAGGCACAGAGATTTGACTGAATCGGAGAAGATGGAAGCTTGTAGAGTTCTTGAATGTAAGAAGCTTTCACCGAAGGCTTGTGAACATGCTTCAAAGAACGAGAAGCTTCCACTGAGGATTGTGTTGCAAGTTTTGTTTTTTTCTCAGAACCAGATTCGTGATAAGGTGGCTAGAGAAATGAAAGGTGCAGAGGAGAAAACAGAGGAGGTGGATGAAGAAGAAGAGAAAGATGATGAAATTGATGATATGAATAAGAAGTTGTTGAGGCTCGACATCGAATCTGATTACAGCAAGAGAGGAGAAAGAGAGAATCTTGAATGTGTTGTTCATTGCACGAATAAGAAGGTGGAAGAGAAGAAGATAAGTGTGTGGAGAGAAGTGAAGAGGAAGTTTGGTTGTATGACTTCTTTTACTGTGGATGCTTGCAACTGTCATATCAAGAAGAGGAAGAAGACTTATCATCGCTACAAATAACAGCATCACTCCCTGTTCCTGCTTTATTATAGTTTGACTTTTGTTCTGTTTTAGACTTTTAGTCCTATGTTCTGTTTCTTCCCCTGTTTTGGCAAATCCTCTGTTTCTTCGCATGTTTTGTCAAATTCTCTGTTTCTGACTTTTGTTCTATTAAAAACTGGAACAAGGTTCGAATATGGTATATGATTATGAATGGAAATATATTGAAAAACAAACAAAAATAATAGTTCACACACCCTTCAAATAAGATTCGGAAAAAAACACCACGAGTCTCAGAAATTCAAACCTCTTGAAACTCTATAGTTCAGTTATCGCAAATCAAACAAGAGAAAAGCTTCTGAATAATAGTTTTTGGATTTGAGTGACGAGTAGATCCTTTAGAAAGATCAACGATCTCATGTTCATCACGACCTCCTTCTTTAGCCTTCTTGGACTCACCATGGAATGTAGTGAAAGCTTCTTCTACGTATTTAGCCGCATCCAAAACCTTCATGTTTTCCGCTAGCTTCAACGGGTAAATGTCTTTGATATGATCTCCTTTTATAACAGCCGCTGCTTGAATCAGCTCCATTTGAAAATCAGTGAGATCTTCGTCTTCTTCTTGTGTTCCAATGTCTATGCCTCTTGCCCTTGGAAGTTCCGGTAATGTAACTGAAACAATCGATCAAACAAAAAGTATTATGCATAGTGAACCTATTTTACGTCGTCTACTATGGACTATAATCGACTACATAACCGATAGTTACCGGGGCAATCGGTCCTTGGGGTGGTTCGGTTGATGACAACATCGAATGTTCCGGCCCATTCGTCACGCTTTGTAAGAAAGCTCTTGAGGTTGAATATCTTTTTTAGTGTCGCTGGAAACGATGAATGCTCAAACTGGGACGTTGGCTCCGGTCCGTTTGGCTCGTGTAACACTACATAAGAGAGGATCAATAGTCGGTTTCGACCAAGATGACAATACCGCTAAACTCTCAGCTCGAATTAAAAACATACGTACCGGTTCCAGGCTCGATCCAAGGCGAGATCAGCAATGCGGGAACCCTAACACCGAGCCGGTCAAACTTAAAGTTATACGGCTCTGGTCCAACAAGGCCGTCAGGATTTGGGACACCGATGACCGGAGTAGGGACATGGTCATAGTAACCACCATGTTCATCATAAACAATAACGAAGAGGATCTCGTTCCACTGAGGGCTAGCTCTTAAGGCTTCGTAGATCTCTTTGACTAGGTTTTGGCCTTCGACGACGTCGTTTTTGGGGTGATCATCATTGGCTGGAGCCGACAAAACCTTGAAGTACCTCGGTTCTATGACCACGTAGTTTGGGAGCTTCCCTTCTTTGCAATGTCTCTTGAAGCTTAAGTGGTATTGATGGAAATTGTCCACGTACTTCAGTTTCCTCATGTTCCTAATCGAATTTGGATTTAAATTTTAGTCAAAACTTTAATGAGTACAAAAAATTATCATATGGACCATAGCCACAGCTTATCATATGGACCCAAGACAGATGAATAAAACTCAATTATGTTTTCTTTTCTTTCAAAAACCGAAACTCTGATTAATGATCCGAATGATCCGATCAGTTTGAAAATTCAAAATAAGTGATCCCGTTTGAAACAACTTGTTCCTACAAGTCAATCAGTACAAATCTTTTTTCATACTGTTGGTTTCTTGGGTACACTACACTAATCCAAATTTAATAATCTCTATTTTCTTGTCCAAACTTTAATAATAGACTATAGTATAACCTCCAAATCGAAAGATTCCAAGCGTGTGGCCTTTTCCTAAAGCACTTGTAGTTAGTAAATGATCATTACGGGAGAACCTTTTATTAAAAAAAAAAAAAAAGAGAATCAACTATCGAAGAATTTTATTTCGTTTTTCATAATATTTCAAGTAATTAAAAATTAGATAATATTGCAATCCAGGTGTCACTACAGTTTGTCGGGTTGTCAACTTGTCATTATCATTTATGTATATATATTTCTTCTTTACCCAATTCTACAATCATAATAATTCGAAACTTTTTGACTTTTACGTTTACACATTGAAGTTAAATATTTTGGAAATAAAGAAAAAAATGATTACCTGTAAAAGAGGCAATTAGGAAAAGATTGGTAATAGATCCCAAAGGTGAAGCCACTCTCTTCAAGTGATTCGAACACTGTCTTCTGAGGGAACCCACGGACGAGTGTGTTCGTGTCGTTGCTAAACGCACCGTTCGATGTTGCCGAGTGTACATAGAGACGATTAGGCTGCGTTGACGACGGCAACGACGAAAACCACCGATCGCAGACGGCGAACTCTTGAACTAGTTCCTTGAATACGGGAAGCCTCTCCGGCGGAAACCCCTGCATCACCACTTTCTCCGACATCCCTTTTGTTATCGCCTCTGCGTTTTGTACGAACCCGTTCATTGTCGGTTCCGGGTACGGGCTCTCGTCGCTGAACGGTTTTCCGAACACCTGCTCGTAGATTGCCTGAAATTCCAAGAAAAATATGTACCACTGACCGGTTTAAGAGTGCTCGATTGGGTTAACAAACCGAAAATTTCAAGATAAACCAAATCTCATTTTGGTTCTTTGGTTTAGACCTCAGAAATTAAAACCGTGAGAGAACCGATGAATAAAAAAACCATACGAAGTATTTGTGGATTTTGTCAAAGTATTAACCGAATTGGTGGTTAAAATCACCGGCCGACCGATCTATCACCGGTACATAGAAACCGAACCTTACACCTGTTTAAATAAATAGCTATCATTTTTGAACCGGAACTAAACTGGAGGGAGTACCTGAAATGAGTGACCGGGATCTGGATCAATGTTTTGAGATTCTTTGCCAAAAAAGACTTTAGCAGAGTTTGGGTCGGATGTGGAAATCGGGTTGGATCTGGGTTCGGATTCGGATACTCCATCGATTTCCGGGTTTAGCTCCTTGAACCAACCTAACATGTGATCAAACGACCTATTCTCCTGCACCAAAACGACGATGGTTTTGATCGGAGAAGAACCCCCGGAGCTCGTTCCCTCCACCATTCTCTTTTCTTTCTTTATTCTTTACTTGTTTTCTCTCTGTCTCTCTCTCTGGTTAGAAGATGTCTCCGTGGAAATGATAAGACTCTGTATTTTTTATATAAACGGTTGATAATTAGGGAAAATGAGGCCCAATTATTTTTTTTTTTTTATGTTTAGTGAATTAACATATAATCACATTTTAATGTTACAATTTTATCTTTGGAAAAAATCTTCCTTTTGTTGTCAATTTTAAGAGGGGCAGGATTAGTAATTTAGATAAAATCTATAAAATTTTTAATAAATTTACAGGTTTAAAATAATTTAAATATATTTTGCCTTCTAAATTCTCTTAAATACTATCATATGAGATAATATTTCAATTTATTAATTTTTATCTAAATTATCTTTCAAATTATTTTTTTAAATAATTTATTAATGAAATCCTAATTTTTCAATAAGATAATATTTTAATAACTTTGAATTTTAAGTAACTTTTTCAAATGCTAAATTTAATAAAAAGAGATTTGAGATCATTCCAAATCATTAATTCAATATACCACACTTAAAGTTTTTCTCAAGAATACAAAACTATCTCAAGTACTTAAGAACTAATGTAATGTATGTTAAAAAAAAAAAACTAATAATGTATTAAAAACACTAGCAATGTAAAATTACAAATTATATATTGTAGGCATATATTATGAAGAAACGATTAGTCATGTAGATCACCTCTGTGGTTTTCACATTTTACATTAATTAAAAAGAAAAAGAAACCGGTGGCATTTTTTTAGATTGTGGCATTTGTATGTTGCTCACGGTCGATGAGGTGGCAGAAGAATCACTCGTCTTTTTATTATTATTTCGGACATAAATCTTAGCCTCTTCGGATCAGAACCAGAGCGGTCCTTTCCTTTAGAGAGCGGTCCATGACTCCTTTCCAACGTGGGAATTTGACTTAGGGATCATCCGGGTTGACTTTAGTTTTGGGTAACAAGAAATAATGCGAGTTAATGTGTCTAACCTCACGTTTGTATTTTCAATTGACGTTTGTTTATAATTTTCTATTGGCTTCGACTGCTTTTCTTGTTTGGATTAACTGCCAATTATTATTATTTCATTCTTTGTGTTTACATAAAATGTATTAGTAATTTCATAGAGATATATTCCATTCTTTTCTTCTCGACAGCATTGTTTGTCTATCTAATGAAATATGATACCTACCGCCTATAATTACCTTGAGTTTTTGAGTATCAATTTAAATTGGATATGGAGAAGATAGAACATGTGCGTCCTATATAACTCTCTCTCTAACGTTATTAAAATAAAACTTAATAAGTATATATGTATACAATTAGGTGAGTAGATGGATTAGGTGTTGACCGATGACAAAAGAAGAAATAGATGTCGACCAATTATTTGCTCCTCTATATGTCACGTTTTAGTATTCGTCAGTTTATTAATATAGAATAGAGTTTTGCTTGAAAAATACATTTGGTTAACTAAATAGTACACTATTTTTTTAAAAAATATATTCAATTATCAATAGCTCGTATATCATATTATTAGTTTAAATAAATAGTTATGTGGATTGTTTCAAATGCATTTTAGATTTCGATTCATATGTAAAACTTATATTTTAAAATCATTACAATTTACAACTGGTATTTAGGACCCACTTGTATGGTTGTGTTTACTCTTTAGTTAATATGATCTACTCATCAATCGAATAATTAAAGTAGATCTTATCAAAGAATAAGATATGGCTTGTCCTATATAAAAAGATGAAATATGAAAACAAATATGTAAGTTCTTAAACAAAGACAAAGCATCATTAGGCAAGAGATATTGGAGCTTTACTTTCTTAAATAAAACAGGGCAACATTCAATACTCTTTCAATCATGACGAACGAAGCAAGAGAATAACTTAGTGAAAAATGACGTTGAAGTTTTCGGCTTAGGAGCAGCATGTGGTGCTTCTGATTGT